TAGTAGTAGTAGTAGTAGTAGTAGTAGTAGTAGTAGTAGTAGTAGTAGTAGTAGTAGTAGTAGTAGTAGTAGTAGTAGTAGTAGTAGTAGTAGTATGTTTGGGTGGTTTTGTTTTATATAATTGCTCCTCGAGCTTTGACCAGGCGGGTTCAAACCCTTTGTCAAATCTGGGGCTTCTTGCACAGGTCAACGAAGGCCATTTCCTCAAAGTTGAAATCACAATGAACGGACTGAATTGCTGCGAAAGGCCCGAAGCTATACATATTGATTGAGCTCGTACATTGCTTCCGAAATCAGAGAGACTGAATAGAAATCAAATCCTTGTCGATGCTCCAGGTGTGCACTTTTGAAGCGGTGCACAGGATAGCTTTTATTAGTGGAAGCAAAGACTGTGTGAATGCTAATCAATTGTAGTTTATTGAATGTCCCCAGCGATTGTAAGATTCAGCTTGAACATATATATTGGACTCTAAAATAGGCACCCAGAGGAAGATTGGCGATAGATTCGCTCAATTGCAATCCTTGGAATAGTCAGAAGAGGCGTCTTCTGGTGAGATGAGCTGCCCTTCCTCGAAACTCATGTACCTTGCTGAGACCAGACTAGATGTCCGCCGAAGACGCTGAGGAGATGAACGCTGTCTTTGACGAGTGTAGCCTTATCGCGAGCAAAATACACAAGACGCTGTGCAAGCAGGACGATGTAAAGGAAGACGCTCGCTACACCGTCTCGCGCGCCGAGGTTGTCGACGCCATCCAGAAGCAGGTCGAGACGTACGACAAGCTGTCTGAGATCCAGGTATGTCCACATTCCTGGCATAGAAGTGAATGCTGACAGCTATCTGTAGGAGGAGATTCGCACTTTCCCCTATTTCACCGCGCCGTGGGGTGAAAGATAGAGTCGTCATCCGGAGTATCAACGTGAGCACACGCAACACGAGACAGCGCAAAATGGACTCCATGTTACGTCGCTGACGCATTTTTGAAACTTGAAAAGAATCAGAACCCATCTGTTACTCTGTTGTCCAAATGCGTAAGTTGCGAAGGGACTTCAGCACAGATGAATTAGGCGGAATGATTTGATGGTTGGTGGGGTAGATCTCAGCCTAGCCTAAGAAACGAAAAAATGCGTCAACCCTCGCTGAGGCGAACGCGTAGTTTGAACCCACGCCCCATCGCAAAAAAGAAAGCTTGCTTAGCTGAGCTACGTTTCGATCGTAGGTCCTCCGGGTTATGAGCCCGGCGCGCTTCCGCTGCGCCACTCAGCTTTTTGAAGCTCAACGTGAATTGATATCCATATTCGCAAAATTTATATTTATATACAAGATTGTTGAAATGCTATCAGGATATAGCAGATGCTCGAGCTTTTACTGGCCCAGATGATTAAGCAAAGGCCGCACTTGCCTTGTGGAGGAATTTTTTCGCTCCAGCGCGGGGTTCTTTGCCCCTCGGCAGTTCGGAGCACCAATGAATGACTTCATACCAAGGACACCGTAGCAGTCCAACACAACTTAATAGTAACAACAGCGTGCACGACAGTATTACATAAGACTGTTGCTCTCTGGATGTACTAGGGGCATAGATCAAATTCTTTCAGTGTTGATATGATCGGAGATCAAACAATCAAACTATTGTATCGAGCCGGCAAGACGTAAGGCGGCTAGGACACACGCACCGGAGTAGATGTGGTTTAGGATACTAGGTAACTACAATATATGCCAAATCTTAGAACGGAATGTTTGCGATGACTTTTGTATTCGACATGCGACGCTTGCTTGCTGGCAAGTGCTCGGTCAAAACGGCGCTAGATAGATGCGGTTAGATTTGATCGCGTCGCGCGTCGACCGCGATGCACTTTACACGCGTCGCATCTGGCTAATCCACACCTCTGCTACACACACAAGATGCCGTCACTAAACTAAAGATCCAATGAGCACGTACTCAGACGGTATTCCGACCTCCTTCGACCCTGCTCTCCTAAACTCCGAACTCGAATTTCTCGACGCGCCCGCCACCAACTCCTTCTCCGACGACCTCAGCGCGATACAGCAGTGCCTCGCAGAAGAAAAAGCCAAGAAGACCGCCGCAGGCATAGTCATACAGCATCGCATTTGGAGCACAGTGGAAGCTTTTAGGAGTGAGGAAGACTACCCAATCGGTATTGCGAACGGTCAAACGACGCGAGAGCCGAACTAATCTCTCTAGACACGCCGCTGAAGCACCAAAAAAACGCGCCTCTACAACGCTTCCCGATCAATAGTGGATTCGCCTCCTCACCACCCATCATGCCGCTTATATCCTCGCCTGTGGCGTATCCGGCCAGCTCGTTACCAAATCCTAGCCCCCCGAAGAAGAGAAAGCGATCGGACGCAGAGCGCAGCCCGCTCAAGGACGTACCAAACACCAATGGTTCAAGAAGAGTGGGGGCTTTTTTGGACGACTCAGATGATGAGGACGACATAGCAGCGCTTAAGGAGCAGGCGCTGAAGAGGAGAGCGATCAACAGCATAAAGGACCTTCCAGCTCTGCCAGATGGGATGGACGACTACACCCCGCCGGCCAGCCAGTCTGAGATCGCCGACCCAGAGACGGTACCTATCGAGGCCCTGGATGAATACTTCAAGTCACCTTCGCCGGTCAAGCAATCTGCGATGCCAATCGCAGAACCTACCTCTGCGCAGCCAAATCGCGGCAAGGTTGTGCGGACGGCGTCTGGGAAGCCATTCTACCTCCCTAAGAAGACTCAGCGAGAGTCTATATCATACGAGCAGCTCATCGCGGCTCGGTCCGACGGGGAACAAGGTCAGGCTAGACAGAGCTACTATGGCATCAACATCCACCGCCTCATAGATGATGCGAAAGCGATGGACGAAGCAAAGGCTGTGCAACAAGAGCAAACACGCGCCGAACCCCCGCGACAGTCCGTCGAACAACCTGTGTCTGGGAAGGCGAGCCGGACGTTGATGTGGACTGAGAAATACCGCGCGAAGAAGTTCACAGACTTGGTCGGCGATGAACGTACACATCGCTCTGTTCTGCGATGGCTCAAGGCTTGGGACCCGATCGTTTTCCCGGGTGCAGCCAGACAGAAGCCGAAGAGTGCAAAGAAAGGGCTCGAGGAAGAGGAGCAGAAACACCGCAAGATTCTGTTGCTTACTGGACCGCCTGGTCTCGGAAAGACGACCCTAGCCCACGTATGCGCTCGGCAGGCTGGCTACGAAGTGCAGGAGATCAACGCGTCCGATGAGCGCAGCAAAGATGTTGTAAAGGGCCGCATTCGCGACATGGTCGGCACCGAAAATGTTCGTGGAGTCAACACAACGACCGCAGGTGGCAAGGTTCGAAAAGCGGGCAAACCCGTGTGCGTGGTTGTGGATGAGGTCGATGGCGTGGTTTCTGGTAGTGGTGGCTCTGGCGAGGGAGGCTTCGTCAAGGCGTTGATCGACCTGATCAACCTGGACGAGAAGAACTCGAAAAACATTGGACAGCGGAGCTCGACAGGGCCAACGCGCAAGAAAAAGGGGGATAAATTTCGGTTATTGCGTCCACTCATTCTGATCTGCAACGATGTATACCATCCCTCGCTCCGACCGTTGCGACAATCATCATGCGCCGAGATCGTCCACATTCGCAAGCCTGCGCTGAACATGGTCGTCTCACGCATGCAGGAAGTCTTTGTCAAAGAGGGGATTCAATGTGACTCAGACGGTGTACGACGCTTATGCGAGGCCACCTGGGGCGTCAGTACAAAGAAAGAGGGCGGCACAGGAAGTGGAACAGGCGAAGGAGATATCCGTGGCGTCATGGTAGTGGGAGAGTGGGTTGCCGGTCGCTTTAGAAGCTCTATGGACCTGAAGGCAAAAGAGAGACCCAGGCTTAGTCGTCGCTGGATCGAGGACAATATCATCAACGACCTCGGGCATGGGGGTGGAGCAGCTCGCAGCTTAGGACGAGGTGGCGCAAAGGATGTCGTCGACCGTGTCTTTCGCGAAGGTGCAGGCTTTCCTAAGCAGGCCGAAACTACTGATGTCGCCACCGCAACCGCGAGAGCAAAGCAGGGTGTCGTTGGTGTCGCCGAGGCAGCAAAGAAACGCGCAATGGCCCGATTGCGGGAAATGATAGACACGAGCGGCGAAAGCGATCGTATCATAACTGGTATGAGAATCATGTCCCGTCACTGATCGACTTTTAACCATCCCTAGACTGCTTTTCTGCCTATCCCTTAAAGGCTTTCCAAGACGACAACTACCTTACCAAGCCCACCGCCGCATACGAATGGTTACACTTCCACGACACACTTTCATCCGCCGTTCACGGATCCCAGGAATGGGAACTCGCGCCCTACCTCTCACAGTCTGTCCTCGCCTTCCACAACCTCTTTGCTTCTCCCCGCCAACAGTCCTCCAATCCCATTGCAGACCCTGATGCAGAAACAAGCGCCTTTTCTGGACCAAGCGCAAACTACATGGCTAGTGAGGAAATGAAAAAGAACAGGGCACAGTTGATGGCACTGCAAAGCACACTGAGTCTCCCACTAACGCGGCAGTTCCGGAGTCCGGAAGAAATGGCGCTCGAGCTCATACCGTACGTGCTTAGAATGCTGTCGCCAGATGTCAAACCCGTGATCGTGAATACCGGTGCCACTGGCTCGAAATCTGTGGCCACTGCCTCCGTCCGGAAAGCATCCGAAAAGGTGCTCATCAAGAAAGCTGTGGAAGCCATGGCCGCGACAGGCGTCCGGTTTGAGAGGAGCAGGGTTGAACTCGAAGACGCGGCGAACCGGACCGGCGGCTGGGTCTTCCGCATGGAGCCTCCGCTCGACTCCCTCGCCGCTTTTGAAACGCTAGCTGGCAAGAAAGACGAAAAGGTACGCTATGCAGTCCGCAGCGTATTGGAAACAGAATGGAAGAAGGAGAGCGTGCGGATGGATGCTGAGGCCGCGAAGCGGAGAGGCGGACATCTTGACACTGATGACACTGTCGATGCCGCGAAGGAGGAGGTTGATGCAGTGAAGGCGTCGGAGGAGAATCAGAGGGCTCTGAAGCGGGACTTCTTTGGGAGAATTATTAAAGATGTTCCGATGGGACAGGGGGTAAGGAGAGAGAAGACGCTGGTGAAGAATCATGACGAGGGGAGGATATGGGTGAGCTTCCATGAGGGTTTTTCTAATGCGGTGAGGAAGCCTATTACTATTGATGAGCTGATGAGGGGCCTGTGAGTCTGGACTTAGAAGTAGCATTCGCAAGGTACAATGTGAAATCCTCAACCTACGATTTAAAAGAATCGCCCAGCGTTCAAGCCCTGGACTCTACGCAAGTGACATCGCTGCCATGCCACCCGACGTCTCTCGGGTAGAGAAAGTTAAGTGTGGGTGCAATGCAGTACCAGACAAAAAAGATTATTGAAGCGATACTATCTAAACTTGAACATGAAGAATGTAGGTTATCAATTGCTTCCCGTCCCTACTCTTTCCCGCTAGCCAGCATCTCCTATCGCGCTGTATTCCGCGCTGTATTCAACGGCCGACTAAAACTCTCAAACCGCTTAAGCGTCGGCCCCGGCGACCCGCCCGTCAGATTCTCCTCCTCCGCCTCAGGCGGCGCGTAGTTGATGAACCTACTCCCGAGTAACTCGGACGAGGGTCTGTGGCCCTTGTTGGATGCGGTCTGGCTCGGTCTGAACGGCGGGAATAGCGATCGCCGCTCGCCGTCTGAGCCACGCTGCTGCTGCTGCTGGCCGGGATCAGCGAAGGGGTTAGGGGAAGGGAGGCGGTCGCCGGGATGCACGTCCAGGTCGCGAGAGGAGCCGAGTCTCCGCGTCTCGAACGGCCGGCCAATGCCTACGTCTTCTTTGCCGAGGAGGTCTGCTGTGCGACGCTCTACGAGGGGTGGGCGGGCAAGATTGGACGGAGGGGCGGAGTCGAAGCCAAAGGTCTGCATCGTATCGCTGCGCTTTGGGGGTTTCTCGTTAACGTAGACGTTGCCGCCACCGCTCAAGGCTATGCGTCGCTCAAGAATGAATCGCGTGATCAAGAGGCCGGTGGCGCCGATCTGCGTGAAGAGAACGAGGTTCATTATGCCGACGAGCATGGGGGCTGTGAGGATAGCGTCGACGATGCAGAGGGAGATGGCGCGCAGGTCGGAGAAGCCCTGGATCCAGGAGATCATGCCGAAGGCCATGACCTGTTGAATGAGCATGTTGGCGATGATGTGGATCTTGTGGGCGCCTTTGATGGCGGCGAGTTGGTTCTTGAAGAGGAACGCTGAAGGTGGCGGTATGGGCATATTTGTGCGGAGGCGCATAAAACTGAGGGCGACGGCGGGGACGATGAAGATGAGCGCGAGGAGGCCGAAGATCTGATGACCATTAGTGGATGCAACCGGCAGGTAGGTAGAAGACATACACTGTGCGCAGTCTGGAAATGCGCGGCCGATCCTCTGCCCACAATCCCGAGAGTGATGCCTATAAACGCGAAAAGGGCGAAGAGTATTAACGCGATCATGCGCCACTTCTTCATCTTGGTAGGATTGACGGGATGGCCGATCATGTCCGAGAAGCGCCAGATTGCTCCCAACGCAAGATAGGTAGGTAGAGCGAAGAAGAACGCCACTGTCGAGAAGAAGACTACTCCAGTCAGCATATCACGCCAGGCAATAGTTCAGTGCCTTACTGTGCAGCCCGGTAATGATCGCAAAAGGTTTGAATGCCATCCCGTTGATTGTCACCATTTGGTCAGCAAGGTCGATGGTGAACTTGTTGCCTTGATTCATCACTGTGAGAGGGCCTTTGGGAAGCGCGGCCAGAGTGGAGTTGTCCAGTGACGGGGAGATGCTCATTTTGCCCTTCAGAGCTGGGCCTTGGGTAACGCCCAATGCAAGAGCGGCGAGTCCACCAAAGCCGGAACATGTGATGGCGTCCACTCCGGTCTGAGCGATGCCCTCCAACGTCTGGCCGTCGACAGCTAGAGTCACGGCGTCAGCTCGCCGACTCAAATGTCGATCAGGTACTGGGGCTATTAGCACGACACTATCTGGAAGAGACGATAAGCTCACCTACTGCGCTAACATCAATATCTCGCTTCGCTGGCGGTGCTCCAGAGCTGTTCGTTTTCCCATTGAGCAATTGAGAGATAAGGAGGACTCCCTCACCGGACAAACCACGTGAGAACGCCACGACAGAGCCATTCAATGAATCGTTGAATTGACTCTGGGGAAGCGATGGAAGGTTTGTAGCGAGCTCCGGTGGGAAATCGCCTTTGAGAACCTTCTGAATGCCACCAGCTGCCGACATTGCGCTCACACTGCCTTCCACTAAGCCTCTTGCAGCCCCTTCTGCGGCTTGAGCAACATTCAATTGGCTCGTGAGACCTCCAGCGTTAGACGTAACAGTGTCTCCGATGGCCTTGATGCCGCCATTCTGCAGCAGACTTGCCATTAGATTCTTCGTGAACTGCTCCGCGGTCTGCTCTACAGGTAGATCACCGCCATCGGCGGCCCGCGAAGCCAGCGTCGTGCTGCTGTTTCTAGGAGTTCCACCCAGTCCCAAAGCGATTCCCTCGCCGATGCCTTTGCCAGCTCCGGAAGCTAGCGACACGAGGGTGGAACCGTCGATGCTGAACCCGCCTCCACCGCCGGGCATGAGCATGCTGAGGTTCGAGGACTGCAAAAATGTTTGGCTGAGCCCTTCGGTAAATTTCCCTACTATGCCGGGAACATCCATCTGGGCTGGGTCGATCGCAGCTTGTCGTTTGGCGATAGTCCCATTAGCAGCGCTTTTGCTCAGACCCAGTCCTGCGCTTGCTCCTTGTCCTAGTCCTGTTCCTGCAGCCGCTGCTATTTGCGGCAGTTGAGCCATAATATCGCTGGTACCACCACTTTGACTGAGCAGTCCTTGAACATCTATGCTGCTTGCGATTGGCCCAGTGGCGCCCAGGCCAAAGTTCTTGACGATGGTCATAATGTCGCTGCCGTTCGTGGGCGGAAACTGCTGCTGAGTAAGATTGAGACCGCTTGCAGTCCCCTGACCGATACCCTGAGCTAGAGAAAAGGCCAGCATTCCGACGTCCAGATCTCCACCACCGAGACTGCTCAGAGAGGGTGCAAGCTGGCCGCTGAGTCCGGAACCGAGATTCTGAGCGACGAGGTTGAACCCGGTAGCTTCCTCTCCGCTCATGGCCGCTACCTTGGTTGCGATTTGCTTCGATTCGTCCGGTGTAGTGAGGTTGAGACCGTTCTCCGTGCCCATCCTGCAGAAAGTCAATACAATGTGTTCAAACACTGGATACTCAACTGACCCAATACCGATTCCCAGGAAGTAAGCAGGTGTTGCTAAGCCACCAACGATCCCGTCCGTGATTCCTGAAAGTCCCTCTTTGAAGAGATCACCAAGGCTAGTTGCATTTCCGCTTCCTCCAAGCAAGCTGGACAAGCCTGAGAGCAAGCCCCCGCCGGTCGCATTCCCGTCGTTTCCATTGCCTCCTCCAAATAAGCTAGCCAAGCCTGAGAGTAGGCCCCCACCGTCTTTTCCGCCTCCAAAAAGCTGTCTCTTGTTTCGACTTGGCTTCTCTGCGGCCCTTATCCGCGCGACCTCGGCCGACAGGCTCTTTCCAAAGTCTTTCAGTCCGCCACTTTCCAAGCTATCGCCATAGCTCAAAGAAGCCTTCGCAACCGTTTCCGTCAATTCCAGTATCGCATCGTGCAAGCGTGCATCATCGTATAACGCATCGATCGTTTCCGGCGAGAGGAAGTTATCGAGTGCATGCGCCGGTCGCGCCTGGCTACTCGCCAACCACTGCGTAAACCCGAGCCCAAGTAAACTGTATAGAAGAAAAGCAGCCGTCAGAAAAGCAAATGGCAGGTGCCAGCCCGCCTTAGAAGAAGAAAAGGTCATGCTGAAGGTTTGTTAAACAAATTCATGGAAAGGTCCACAATCGCGGCCCGCCACGGACAGCGCCTTCGAGAACACAATGGACGCATGGACAGTCATATAGTCATGGCCCTATGCCACCACTTGACGCCGGAGCAGGTGTTTGTGAAACAAGTGAGGTATCGCGTTTTCCTGGGGCAGGACGGACGTGTCGTATCCCTACAATCGGATCACAGGCTCTCATTGGGCTTGGGAACAAAACGGGAGCGGACCTTGAGGCCGCTGAGTGATCTTTGCAGGCATGGTAGGGGCGCTTCGGTTGGCATTGCTTGCTACGAAGGAGGAGACAATAGAGCGAATCATCGGCTAGGGAAACGCCAAGCGATGAATTGCGCTTGGAACATCTATATGTTAGCGAATCAGCCACCGAGCAGAGCCTCAAGAGGCGACTTCTCAGACATGCACCCTGCTCTACGATCTATAGGGTGCCTGGTCGATATGAGTTTCTTGCGGCGTAGCAGCGCGTGCTAAATGTGATGCGACGTGTGTGAAACAACACATGCGAGCTAGGAACCCTCACAAAACAAAACGCCACGCATGATATATTGCAGATACGTGCGCCGCGCGAACACATAGTGAAATGAAAGAGGGCGCGAAGGATTAGTCGTAATTGCACTGATCGCTTCGTGAGGGAAGTCTTCCACAAACCGCTGAGCGCGCATATACCGTTGACAGGTCAACTATGGGACGCGTCGGCCAAAAGCAAGGGCGTAACGCGCTGCACAAAAACTGCGCTTGATGTTCGTATCCGGACCGATGAAGAACTGCGATGCATATGTAGGGGAGCTTGCCGGCCGGGATGCCATCATACCGAGGGTAGAGAGACTCGAGGTGGTTGGAACCTGGGACAATCGTGACGCTAGTTTCAACGCGCCGGCGCTCGGAGGATTTCTCCTGACGCTAATTTTACATCATCACAACCATGGATCACATCACATCACTTCAGTTGACTATCTGATTCCACAGTTGTCACAAATCAACACCGTGCTTCCTCTACGTTGTACATTCAAGTTCGATTCAACGTTCTCTGGGCTTGGCGTGGAGAACACCCGCTGCCCTGTTTGCTACCTACCACACGTGTACGTGCGTGCATAATAAACAGATTACTATGCGCGTATCCATCTCGATCTAAGAATTCCTCAAGAAGACTAAGGAGCTGACGGGCGTCTTATTCCTCGATCTCGACCTCGGGCAGCACGACCTCTGGTGCCGCATACAATGGAGCTGTCTGCCTGATAGCCTGGATATCGGCCGCAGTGATTAGATATCCCCCAGTCTTCATCTCTGCGAACATGCCGTGACCTTGTTTCCTTGGTTTGCCCCGCAGCAGCTCGATGACCGTCAGCTTGTCACTGATTTTCCACTGATTCCAATATTTCTCCTTTGCGTATCGCACCGCCATCGCCCCTTCGGTCTGGTCGCTTTTATCAACGATCTGATTGGCCAGAAAGCTGAGATAATAGCCATTCGGGCGTTCGCCCTTGGGCAGCGGGTTGACCTCTAAGTATTCTCGGTAGCGATGGGTGAGGACTTCGTCACCCGTCCTCAGTTCAGCAGTGAGCTCCGCATTAAGCTTCTTCTTTCGTTCTGCCTCTTTACACTCTTGCTCTTCTTTTTCAGCTTTGTGCTTCTTCGAGGCTGCGAGTTGTTGTTCGTGTTCCATTTCTTCCTTTGTCCTGGCACGAGGTTGTGGAATTGGTGTTGCAGCCCCTGGGTAGGAGTTGGGATGGGTGGCACGCGCATAGCTCGGCACAGTGGTCTTATGCTTCTTCTGTGGCGGCTGTTCTATCGTTGTTTGCACGATAGCGGAGTCGCTCAACCCACTGTGATGGTGATGCTTGATGGAAGCGGCAGGTCGATAGCCCGAAGGAATCAGGATGCCGTGTTGGCCCGGCTGCACTCTATGTGGGACTTCTATAGAGATCCTCGCAGGTGGCTGGGTGTTGTTCTTTTCGGGCATATGTTGCCTCACCTGTTCCCGGCAGTCAGCGCTCTCGGGCATGTGAAGCCCTGGGGTTTGCCGACAGTTGACTGCGGCCCGAAACTCTGCCAAAGGATCCATGACAGGTTTTGCGTTCCGCTGCTGAGGCTGCGGCTGGGTGCTGGGTCGATTGGCTGGCCTTGAGATTGCTCCTTCCCCAACAGATGTGTATCCGTTCCGCTGCTGGAGCTGAGCCTGGGCTCCAGACTGATAGGCTAGACCTGAGCTAGAAGTATTGTAGACAGACATGTATGCATTATGTTGCTGAGAATGCGCTGGTATTCCAGGCTGGTAGGTCGGTCGTGGGTTCGAACTATTGCCGAACGGTGCGCAGCCGTTTTGCTGCATCGATTGCCCTGATTGAGAACTTTCGAACTGATTGTTTCCGGCTCCAGGAAAGGACTTGAAACTTGCATATGGCGTCTGCTGCTGGTGTGTGGCCCCACGGTTTGACCTCACAGCGACTGGAGCGTTGTACAAACGGCTGCGAACAGTGGCGCTTTCCAGTAAGGGTGCTTGTCCGTAGCCTTTCTCAGCATGAGAAGCTATGTTCTGATTGTTGTATGGGCTGCTGTATGTAGCGCTATTGTTGGGAAGTCGGTACATGTTTGTGGACAGGTGCGGCATGTGTCCCTCCATCGTGTACACCCGACTCTCTTGAAGGTGTTCTTGCGCGGAACCGGGTTCGAAAGATGATGAGGTAGGAGTCGGCGTCTTTGAGACATTCTTAGCTTCAGCATTCTTCGCGTAAGGTGAGCCGCTTCGCGTCCACGGTTGTGTTGGGCTGCTCGACGGTGCATTTGCAATTTTTGTAGGCTGCTGAGTCGGTGTTGAGTAAGGTGAGAGCAGCGTACAGGGTAACTGCGGCGTTGTTGGCCTATCGTGGGCAAAGGCTGGGTGAACGAGATTAGCGCTCGCTGTCTGCCTTGGGTGTTGCGGCCCAAAACCCGTTGGGACGGCGCTCCCAGCCATGGTCGAAGTATTGTTCCCACCTACTTGGGGTATACCACATGCTTCAACCTCTATCTTTCTGAGTACCGCTTCCGGATCAGACAGGTCCATCGTCGTCAGTTTGTTCTTGTGTTCTCTGCAGTTTCTCCAATTCACTAGACGCTGCCTAGGTGTGCAGGCAAAGTCGACCATGACTGCAAATGGTCCGACATTGTTTTGCCCTTCGAAAAGGCGTATTAAAGGCGGTAAGTTGTTGATAGAGTGTCCTTTAGCGACCAAATCATTGTCGAGTCGTGCGTTGATGGCATCGTACGAGGCACGCATGTCGCGTTCTTGCGTCGCTTCGGCCATTGCTGACGATGACTGTAGTGCGGCTCGCATAGCGTCAGCCATGTTGAGTCTCGGGTTGGCGAGCCTGGCAAAAGGTATAACAGGGTGTAGCTTGTCCACGGCCAGTCAGCGAAGGTTTATAGAAGTGGGAGGCGTTCCGTACCCTGTATCGACCCGGGTTCAATGATACACCAACTGGGCGTAGTAATATCGGTGCGAAGATGGAAGGTGACGCCGTTCAATAACGGCGCGGGCAGGGAGTAAATGATGCTGGTTGGAGTGGGCCACAGAAATCAAATTTGCCCCGTGCGAGTGAAAGTGAATAGAACCGCGCAACGGTGGCCCCTGCAAGACAGCTTCAACCAGCAAGTGCGATAGAAATTATGCCATATACTCTTGCATTGAGAATATACTGCGCTGGGCATGGAGACAACAATGTAATCGCATAAAACGGAAGGCTTCCGAGACGCGTTGCCCGGTCTAAACCAGGAATGATTCTTCCAGGACCGAAAGGACAAGATTCTAAGACTCTTGCGTTGTGTATCACTATTATCAAAGGAGGGGTAGTCACAACAATTTGGAATGACAAGCAAGTGGTCTCACTGCACGCAGGTGCTTTGCGGCCGACTCTTGATATACGATCCGTGTACTCGTAATGCCATCAACATACGCCCATATGGATTGCATGAACTCGTAATAACTCCATTATACGCCCATGTTGGCGCTACAGGGCAAAACTTTACTCTCAAAAAAGCAAACATTTGACGTTCCAGCCCTATAGGCAAACGACCGAAACAGCTACCGTAGGTACTCATAAACGCCATGCATGATACCCATTTCACCTAGTGATTGCTCACCAATCCGCCCTGTCGTCAACATCCACTATTTTGCACACCAATTCCCTCGGCCTCCTCAAATTGGAACAAGGACACCACGCTTCTGCAGCTCTGCATTCACGGTGTCGAACTTCTTCTCGAACGCACGGATCTTGGACATCAACGTCTTCCGCAACTCGCGCTCTTTCGGGCTATACTTCTGGTTGCCAGGACTATCGGGTTGCGTATCATCGTAATCCGCCAAACGCTTCTCCATGATGAGCTCCAGACGGTCGCGTTCGCCATGCCACTCGTGGATGAATTGATTGATGTCCAGAGCAGCTTGGTACAGCACCTCAGTGGTTTTATTTTGGATGCCACGCGTGATGTGGTGGAGCAAAACTGTAATATCGGAGCCAGGGACGGTCTTCGCCTTCTGGGCTGGAGCGCGCGTCTTCTTTTGGGCAGGTGACTTTGCCTTGGGAGCTGTAGGAATCGTAGGTAGTAAGGCTTGTGGAGTGTAATGCACGGCTGCTGGATCAGTGAGCGAAGCTGGAACGTAGCCAGGGTATGCAGGGACTGGAGTGCAGTCAGCTAGCGGAGGTTGAGCGTATGCGGGGGAGGATGTAGCTTGTCCGTAGCCAGAGTATGAAAGCGCTGGCTGGAGAGAGTACGGTGACGGTCGTGGAGCGTAGGCGTTGTAATGCAACGGGGGCGGAGCATACAGATTCTGATACAACGATGAAGCCGCATTGTACCGTGGACCCATCTGCACACTATTCTGGTCCGTCGTTGGAGGCAAATATCGCGACAGCTCTGCGTGGAGCTTTTCGTCCACTGTATCATAGCGGGCCTGACCCAGAGGAGGTGCCGCTAGATAAAACGCCTTTCGATCGCCAGCATCTGCTTGCACGACCGGGAGCTTCGGGGAGCTCGGCGGCGGACTAAGCAACAAGGCATTCGCAGATTGAGAGTGACGCTTCTTCGCCGCGCCCCCACGATTCAGCTCATCGTTCATGCGCTTCTTGGCCATGGAGCTCTGCACGAAGTAATGATCAACGTACTCATCGGAATAAGGGTTCCACCCGCTGGACGGCTCAGCCTCGGTTTTCTGCGTCTCTGAGAGCTTCTGTTCATCCAAAGACGTAATACTCTCCCGAGAAGGCTCATAGGTCGGCTCCTCAGTCTGCTTCTGAGCCACGGGAAGGTTCTTGCCCTCCTGCAGCTGTACCTGCCCCCAAGTGTCCCACAGCGCTTTCACCGTCTCCTGCGTCTCGATCTCATCATGTGGCACCTCGACGCCACCGTCCTGGCTACTCATCAAGGTAACCTCCGTATTGCGATTTTCACCGATGCTGGAGAAGCCATCGCCACCGCAGAGCTGGCGGAAACCCTGATTTACACGGAAGAATTCGTCTGTAGCTTCCTCTAGGGACTGATGCGTGTCGCTTGTAGGCGGGAGCAAGGGTGTATCATCAAGGATCGTATCTAGACGAGCATCGGAGGTAACAGGATCGAACTCGTAATTCTTAGCGGGATACTGAGACGCCGATGCGGAAGATGTGAGCTGCTCGTGAGCAGAAGGTTCCGGTTGGTGCTTCATCGTGAATGCTAAGACAGAAGTCCTACAGGTGTCTATGGTTTCCGCTGGGGCTGGAAATGCAAGCTCAGGCAGTTAACTGGGGTTGAACGCACACAGTGAGGGCGTACGATACACTTAAGAGAGCCATAGAGGGTGCTCATATTGACCTGGGGAGAAGTGAAAAGGAGATTCACTGTTCGTGCAGAAGAAGTGCTAAGATACGCGCAGAAGGTGAGAAGAGCTGACCACATGGACACCAGCAGAATGCAAGAAGACTTCAAATTCCTCGAACCGTTGAAACTTTTGCTCTTCGAAATATATGCAGTGTTTAACAACACCCCTGCAAAACATTATCCTGTTCATTACACAACGCCGCCCAAGAGAGAATCCTTCATGAAATGTACGCGAAAACTTCGTCAGGAGGTGCTTGTCGATCAAAGCAATCTAAGTATCCAAACAGCTGCTACTCTGGGCCCGCGTCCTCGGTTTTGACAGTGAATCCCTTGACTGACTTTCCGGATGTTGTGGATGGAGCAAGGGCCTCATCTCCGCTCAAAATTGTTAAGTTGGAACTTTCATCCCGCACCAGAGTGGCGCTCACCTCGGGAGCTGCGGGTGTCTTGTCTTTGTTCACGACACCCGCCACATCGCCAGCGTTCCTGTCTCCGTCGGCCGCGTCAGGCATGGCGGTATCTGTTTGAGCGCATCGCGCGGGAGAATTGAGATTCTCATGGGGATCAGTGCCATTTTGTAACGCTTCCGCAATGAGATGAGCCTGAGATACCATAGCGTCCACGTGGTGATCACGGCACCACCGAGCGCATTCGGTGAATATGCCAGCTTGGGCGCCAGAGGGGAGCTTTATCAAGTCCTTGAAAAGACCAAGCATTGGAAAATCGCATGTGATGTCTGACTCGCTCTCCGTGTGGCGAATTGCATTCGTTGCCTCTAGGTCGCCAGCCGCTTCGAAGAAGGCAGACATCTGCTTCTTTCGGTCTTCTCCATTGTCGCGGATGAAAGTCTTGACGGCCTTGTTACAGTGAACGCTGCATGTGTTGCGCTTGTAACCATCCGGGTTGACTACGCGGTGCTCGTTGATGATTTGTGCAATGTTATTCGGGCCGCCTCGAGCGTAGAGGCGGACGGCAACGATCGGTCGCGATGAAGAGTTGTAGAAGAACACAATCAATTCCACATCGGTGAGCGGAACTAGGGGCAGCTTCAGGTTGGCCAGGGGCAACTTGGCGGTTAGATCGTGTTTGTCCTTTTTATAGAGGACCGTGCGGCTTCCCGGGGTAACAGGAGTTGGAGGAACTTTGGCTGGAGTGCGGGGAACTGACGGACCAGCATCAGAAGAGCTTGCAGTATTCTCTGCGAAGGATGACGCAGCGCTAGACAATGCCTCGTCCTTGGGAAAAGCGACGCCGGTGCCTGTGGTAGGCCTGCTTGGGAAAGCGAGGGTGGTGCCTGATAGGGTGCCCTATATGGAATTAGCGGTGTAATTCTTGTGGCGGGATCCATCTACCTACTGTGGAAGGTGTGACCAAGCGGAGTTTCTCGTTGATATCCAAGTTGTCTATAGCTAGGCTTAATTTAGGTACCGGTCGTTTCGCCGCGCGAAGATTGTCAACGAGAGCCCTGAGCTGTGTATTCTCTTTCTCGAGAGAGTCTACGCGACCTCTCAAAATTCCCACGTGCTCATAGAGCACTTGGTTGGAAGCAGAAGTCCGAACAAGGTCCCCGTGCATCTTTTCGATAGCGACGAACATCGCTCTGTTGATTGAGGCTTGGTCTGAGAACCTGCTCTGCGGAGACATAACATCGATAGGATCTGGTACTATCAGCCTGACTATTCTAGGACTCCCTACCGCGCGCATGACGCCCAGGCTGCAGAGATTTTACTGACCGACTGTACGCTGGTCTGGCTGCACGAATGACATGAAGCCATTCTCGCTATCAGATCCTGGCCAGAAACCATCCATTGTGCGGTGTTGGAGCTGCGAATTTGGGCTCGTGTTCGTGTTTCTGTTCGTGTTCGCGTTGGTGCTTCTGTTTGCGACGGACGTGTTTGGGACGGGACCAGCGAGGTGACTGGCGTGCCTTCCGGATTTGGTTGCCCGGGCGGCATGCTTCAACAACACAGGACCAGACGCTTTGTCAGATTTGAAGAGGCGGCGCAACGGCTGACGGCAGTGCTTCGCTAATGCGGTCGCATAGGTGTGATCCATTTCGAAAGTCCTCGTCCGAGACTGAACCTGGTCACCAGCGCCGGCACCCGATGGCATGATTGGAGACTGCTGGCAGTGCACCTCCGTACCGACTATAATCAGACTATCCCTAGCAATTCCGCTGTCTATATGTTCGGGTGGGGATTCAGCTGTCTCGATACTTGACGCCCTTGTGAGGGGAGAGGTCAGGATGTGCTCGTCACTCGGGGACATATCTGCTTGGAACTTCTGAACATTAGTCATAATCACTAGAATCGCGTCACTGGTTCTCGCTTTGCGTCTATCGTACTAGATATCGTGCCCGACGCTCGATTCACCACCGACGAGATGATCTACAGCCTGACTGAGATCATGCGATACAAGAGCCCGGGCAACTGGAGCAAGATTGGCCATCATAACAAGAGATTACTTACACGAACTCGCTTCTGTGGTGGTCCCTCTTCGATCGAGGGTTGCGGGGGCGAGGTGGACGCTGAAATAGCCTGCTGGGTCTCTCGCTCCCAATGGACTGGGAATTTGGCGAGAAACAAAAGGGCGGCAGCAGCTTCGAGCTCTGCTTGGGTGCATTCGGGCTCCGTGCTCGGTGGATTGCAGCCAGTTGACTTTGATGTCGTAGATGTGGCAGTGGCCAACGAGGATCTGATGGCACTCTCTTTGAACAGCTTGTGATAAGCCATGCCTGGGGTTGGAGTGGCTCGGTTTAACACACACGTACGACGCGTCGCTCGGTATATAGTACAGAAGATGAAGGCGAGTAAGGCAACGACGTGGCCAACAGACTTTCTCCGTCACCGTCACTGCCACCGGACCTGATCGCTAGGCGCCTTAACTCTCACTCTCATTCGACAAACGGAGAAGGGTCTCGAGGTGACGGCGGAAGCGAGCCCGTGCATGGCCTCGAAGGGCGCCTGAGGTGCGCCGTGAGCAAATCCACACGGACAATCCCAATAGAGAAATGAGCTGCCCAAGTAACTGTGCGCACAAAAATTGAGTTATATTATAGACCCGAGAGCATCGACTTACACGGCTTGATTGAAATGAGAGATACACAAGCAGGGCATGATTCGAAGGTGGCGAAACAGCCGACGTACGTCTGTTCGAGCCCATTGTGTTTGGTGCCAACTACAAGCTCTGTTTGAAGGAAAGAAATGAATTGAAAAGTGACATGAAGAGGAAACAAGAGTGACCCAGTGCGGTCCAACTTAGGTGTGACCGCGCTAGCGTCTAGCTCCAGGCTAGCATCTTTCAGGGAAGGATCGACCATAAATGATGGAACAGTGAATTATCTGGCTCAATTTGACGTATACTGCTATCCAACTCTACGGCCGTAACTTTGGATTACCCCTATCTGTCCAGAACCCACTCCTTGTCCAACGACTTCACCACAGTCCCAACAACATCCCCAACACTGCCTCCAAAGAAGACGCTTCGCTGTATCTTCACCCTCAGCTCCTTCTTCACCCAGCTTTCCACTTCAGCAACGGCGAGACTATCAATGCCCAGATCAATTACACTCTTCGCGTCATCAACATATTCCACCTGCAGCAAGGCCTTCAACTTCTCGATGAAGGCTGGACGCACAATGTCCAAAAGAGCTTCTTCAATCTTGACTGCGTCCGTCTTGGTTCCAATAGCGGCAGCAAGTTGCTGGCGCAGAGAAAGCTTCGCGCTCAATCCAACCGAAGACGTCAGCCCAGTATTACGAGAGCTGTCTCTAATAACATTCCTAAACATAGGCTCTTTCACGTAGTGAAGTCGATTACCGAAGCTTCGGTCAATATCCTTCAAGCCTGTTATGATTTCTGCGTCCATCCTAGAATCCGCCGGACTCGCGAGCACCGCTTCCGCAAAGATCTGATGTAAGTCCCTCTCCGAGATCGGATACGCGCCAGCCCTCACGTCTTCATTGAGCAGTCCTCCTGGCCCGGCAGAACCCTGCTTTGCCATATGTCCGATCCCAGCTACGGTACCTAGATGCACGACCGAGGCAGGGAGGCCTATGCTTCGACGGTACCGTGCGAGCGAGGCCATGAAGGCATTGCCGGCGTTGTAGTTCGCCTGCCCGGGATTTCCTGTGATGTACGAGAGGCTGGATGTCAGGATGAAGAAGTCGAGTGGCAAGTTGGAAAAGCAATTGTGGAGGAGGAGGCTTCCTTTGGCCTTTACGTCTGCGACTGCTCTAAAGGCGTTGTAGGATATGTTTGTAAAAGCGCCGTCGCGGAATATAGTGGCCAGATCGATGAGACCCCCTATCGGCGGAAGCGCAAACCCATTGTCCACATCGGGGGTCTTGATAGAAGCTATGACGTGATTTATTGAGGCTTCGTTGGTTATGTCCGCAGAATGGAGTCGGACGACGATCCCTTTTGTGTGCATGATCTGGGCCCATGGGGCTACAACATCGGTGTTTCGGCTGACCATGACAAAGTACTTCGCTTCGCAACTCGCCATCCACTCGCAGATCGACCGAGCAATCTCGCTAGTTCCAACTATAAGATAAGTATTGCTTGCCTTGAACCGTACAGCCTCAGTAGCCGTTCGAATTGGTACCTGAACGGTGGATTGACTCCAATTTGCGATGGCTGACGCTGAGCGGTCCAGATTAGACAGCATATCGCGTGGCTGGAGTGCAGAATCTCCCTCGAACAAAAGATCTACGGGAATACCAGAGCTGGAAGCATCCTTGGAAATTTCTGTAAGCCATGTCAAAACTTCTTTCTTGATAGATTCCCCATGCTTCAGTAGCGCGCGCTTCTGAAAGATGATATTCTTGTCTTTGAACGTGATTGAACGATCCTTGAGTATTTCTCGGGCCCTAGAAAATAGCTCAGTGTCTTCTGGTCGATTGGAAAGATTGACGACGACCGAAGTTTCCGTGGGGATAATCTCACAGACAGCTACGTCCAGGGAGTGCTTCGATATGTACGTCGCTCCCTCGCAGCCGGATTTGTGCATACCAGTGACAAAGACAACGCTTCTACTGAATTCCCTTGCCAGGCTTTTGATGCGGAACACCCAGATAGGATCGGAGCATATCAAAACCATGCTGTTGTGAGCACTGCTGAAGCGAATAACTGTCCGAGCCACGAATTCCGCAACAATACCTTGGAGAAATGTTGAATCGGGTGGGGATGACAGCCCGCAAGGAAATGTTCTGTCACTGCGAACTCTCGCCAAGGTACAAATCTTTTCTAGGAGCACCAAGTAGAACTGCCCCTCAGTGGCACGACCGATGCCAAGGTAGAGATATCCCAAGCCTTTGATCTTGAACGCGAGTTGCGTGCAATGCAGAATCTCGACAGGCGTGTGGCTCCCCTGGTCGGTTAGATGTCCAATCTGTGGGAGAACCTGGAACGAGTATGACTGCGACTTCGTCTGGACCAGCTCAACGACCTCTCTCCTCGGATCCACCTTGCGCGTGATCTTCCGGTGCTGGGAGTTGTAACGATCGTTCAGAGTGCCCAGACGATGGACGACCGGAGCATAAACAGCGCCTCCTTTATAGGAGAGCTCAGCGTGGGGACCGATCGTCGCGGATGCATCAGAGTCGTGCCAGTGAGCCATTGCATCAGCAATGAATTGTGCTGTAACAGACTTAGGTTCATCAATGTCGAGAATCTGCACTCTGAGGTGTAGCAACTCGTGCCTAATAGACCTAGCGAGACCAACAGTCATGTTTGCATACACTGCTTCGATGCTCTTCGGAGACATGGTTCCGCTTGTCACCCATAGCACATCTGTTGCATCGCTGAATAGCCGTTGAATAGCCTGCCATTTCTTCCGCGTCATATTCATGAAGATAGGTTCCTCGAGCTCCACAATGGATAGAACCACGTATGGGACATCTACATCCTTGTTGATGTCCTCGAGCGACGAGATACACACAACGCGTTGGAAAGCAGTCGCTAGTAGTTCCTCGAGCTCCTTAGCGATATGGAGAGCAGTGCCCAAGATCATAAGGGTTTCTCTGCTCTTTTGGGATGGCGAAGATGACCTCGCCGGCGAGACACTCCCATCCCCTGCTGAGAAGAGACTGTGTGTCGATGAAGTGTCACTACTTGCGTGTGTTTCAGCGGAATCAAGCAGATTATTGTGAGCATGCTCCTTCCATGGGCGATATACTGGTTCCCAGACAACCTCCGAGTACATCTTGACATCCTCATCGGAGGTTGTTAAACGATAAGGGGACAACACAAGCCCATCGAATTGCACCGCTACACCCGTGTCACCGGAATGTAATAGTCCACTCGAAATCTTGTCTGCATTGGAAATGGCTTGAAACTTTACTGTCCCGGCACGATCAGTGATCTCTTTGCACCGTGTAGGGAACAAAGTAATCCTTCGAATCAGTGAAGGCACTACAACGTCTGGCAGCGCAGAATCTCCAGGGAAATTGCCAGCGATGTTCGCGCCCTGAAACAGACCATCCAGCACTGCAGGGTGGAGGATAAGCTCGCTAGGCGTCAGCGTTATCTGGCCGATTGCAAAGCCCATCTTTCGTTGCGCCGAGACGATGTTACGGAACGACCCCTGGTAGTGCAAGCCTTGTGACGTCGTATGGCGGTAGAACGTGTCCGGCATCACATCAACCAGTTCTTGTGGTTGACTAACGACTTCAGGATATGACCGGTCTTCGTCTTCACCAAATATAATGCAAATGCCGCCTCGGGATGCTGTTATTAAGTCTCCATGTGCTTGATCCGCGCAGGAGTCGATTGTAAATGAGCCTTTGATGCACTGTGAGGTCTCATCCAGGTCGTGTAGCGTCAAAACCACCTCAGTCTTGGTATACTCGCTGGCAAAGGCGATTGGTTGCTGGAGGCGGAGGTCTTTGAGGTCAATCGACAAGATGTTGCGATCTGTATATCTGGTTTGTATCGCAACGACAAGCATCGTAACATAAGCGGAGGCAGGGAGCACGAATTTTCCATCAATCTTGTGCTCCAACAACCACGGACTCTGCTTTGGGTCAAGAAATTGCCGCCATTTCGCTTCGTGGCTTGCGCTAAGATAGACTTCTGATCCCAACAACTCAGCCGGTGGAGTTGTAGACTGGAGCTCCTTGCGCATCAACCGACTCTGCCACCAGTACTCTTTGTCATATTGCCAGCGGTATGTTGGTAGGTTCTTCACTGGCTTTGGCGGTTTACCACTAGAGAGCACTCGGTCTATGCTTGCCATGTTGACTGCTTCGCGTCCAAAGTTACTCCATATGAGGCCCAGCGCTCCTGAGAAGGAGGTCACGGCGTCCGAACCGCGTTTGAGCAGGCAAATGTGCACGGAGCTTGTGTTGTCGATCTCGGCGATGATTTTTCGAATAACTTGCTTGAGCACAGGCTGTGGACCAACCTCCAATACTAAGTCTGGCACACCTATATCTTTGACTGCAGCGGATATAGCGTCTTGGAATAGCACAGGCCGAACCATGTTTTCTGACCAGTACTGTAAGCTCACGAAAGTCTTCTGCACACCCGGATGTACTGAAGAGAACCAGGCGGTCCGGCCATTCTTCGTCGTCGGACTATCATGTGTGGTCTTTTCGAGCGATTCCTGGTAAGGCGCAGCGTAAGGTAACATATGGTGCGAATGGTACGCCGTTTTGACAGGAACTCGCTTAATAGCAATACCATCACCACTCAAACGGGCTTCTATCTCTTCGATAGCATCAAGATCTCCAGATAACGTGACTCCAGAAGAGCTGTTGACAGCCGCGACCGTGATCCGACCCTTGAAGTCAGGCAGATCGCAAAGAGCATCAGCCTCGTCCTGAGGAATAGACGCTACAGACATCGCTCCTTGCTTGCCATTGCTACCCGCGCGGCCAGCGTGCAATCCCCGGTAATAAGCATTTCGAATTGCATTTTCCGCACTCATGAAGCCTGCGGCGAACGCAGCACCGATCTCGCCAGATGAGTGACCCACCACTGCTTCAAGTTCTATTCCCGCGGCTTTTAGCAAGCTGACTAGCAAAATCTGAACAGCTGTTGTCAACGATTGGGAGTTGACAGCTTCATGTAAGCTCGACTCATTCTCTTCGAGTAAAAGCTCGTCCTTTAGTTTCCACGGTGGCCTGTCTTCGGAAGGTAGTGTGGCAAGAGCTTCATCAAGCTTATCAATGACTCCCCGGGCGAATAAAGAAGATTCAATGATCTCTCTTCCCATCGTAGCATACTGGGCTCCTTGACCCGGGAAGACGGCCAGAATGTGGGGTTTGCGATTGGTCCCGCGTACAAAAGTATTTTCTGGTCCCGGTTTGGCCTTCAATGTGGTGATCTTTTCCAAAAGGCAGTCGATGAGCTCGCCATGACTTCTGGCAGCAATCGAGCAACGGTAATCGAACAGCGAGCGTTTGTACTGGAGAGTCCATGCCAGATCTCGCAAAGACACCTCTTTCCCTTCTTCACCAAGATAGGCAAGATGTGCTTCCAGCGTGGCTATGAGAGCTTCCTCAGAGTTTCCAGAGAAGACGAAAGGCGTGAACACATGGGATTCATCATCTGCCATGATATCCAGTTTTGTGCGTTGTGGTGAAATTGAATTATCAAAGCTCTCCATGACAACGTGGACATTGGTACCTCCAAAACCTAGCACGGTTGATCAATACCGGAACTCATCTTGTATAGCGCATGCACATGGCTTACCGAAGCTGTTCACAGATGCCCGGCGCGGAACTCCTTCAGGCAAACTCGGCCATGGTTGGGCTGTTGTAGGAATTCGTAGATGCGGTGCCCGCGCTGCGACCTTTGGATTTATGCTGGTGAAATGCAGATTTGGCGGTATTATTCCATGTTGTAAGGCAAGCGCAGCACGTAAGACTCCTGCTATGCCTGCAGTGCCTTCGGTATGTCCCACGATAGTCTTGATTGACCCAACATGGAGAATGTCATCATCGGCGTGCTCCTGGTCAGTAAGGAAGATAGCTTTTTCTATCGCTTCGGCTTCAGCTGGATCACCTACTCGGGTGCCGGGTCCTAATAACATGTTAGTACTCTAAACTTCAACTCCAAAATATTTGAACATCATATTGATCCTGGATACCAGGACCTTTCGACCTGCTGCTGGCTACAACACATAGGCATACTTACCGTGAGCCTCAACATATTGAGGCCTAGAGGATCGCGCAGCAAGATCAAGCCCAGCCTTCCAATACGTCTGGCGAATCAACTCAGCCTGCGCATCCGGACTCGGTGCAGTGAGAGTCCGCGATCGCCCATCATGATTGGTTCCTGTGTGACGTATCACCGCTTCAATAATATCCCCATCGGCAATCGCATGGTCTAATCGTTTCAGACACAGAACACCGATCCCCTCTCCCCGTCCGTAGCCGTCACCCGACTCATCAAACATCTTACACCTGCCGTCAGCGCTGTGCATCCGCATTCTCGACCCGGCTTGGAAGACCGTCGGCACCACGATAAGGTTCACTCCGCAAGCGAAAGCGACGCGTGACTCCTCTTGCCGTAGAGACTCGACTGCGAGATGGACCGCAACCATACTGGAAGAGCATGCCGTGTCGATGCACATGGATGGACCGCGGAAGTCGAAGACGTGCGAAACGCGATTCGCGGTTATGCTTCGCACGGTGCCGGTCGTAAGCATCGGGCCGCCAGCGAACACAGGATCTTTTACGGAAAGCTCGTGGTAGTCGTCGAACATCTGTCCCACGAAGACACCCGTGTCACTCCCTCGGAGACCTTCGAGAGTAAGACCAGCGGATTCCATTGCTTCGTATACGCATTCGAGAAGGAGGCGCTGCTGCGGGTCCATGGTCTCTGCCTCAGATGGGGAGATACTGAAAAAATGAGGGTCGAACAGGCGAAGGTTCTCCTCTAGCCAGTATGCGCGTTTAGTTCTGATGCCATTGTGGCGGCCATCTTCTTGATGGATTCCTTCCCATCGAAATCTATCCGCAGGTGCTTCCTTCACGAGGTCTGGTGGGTCTAGTAGAAGCTCCCATAGCTTGGAGGTGTTGGAGATAGCCCCTGCTAAGCGGCATCCGTTTCCAATTATTGCAATTGGGGTAGGTGCATTTGACGCCATCTATTAAAGAAGTCGACAGAATAGACAGGGAGAGATGCAGGCTCGCGAGTCAATGTGGCAGGGTGGCGCGGAGGTCTGGAATTATACAGAGAAGCCATGTAGGTGGCACGGCCCTTGAAGGGCAGCAGTGAAAGATTGCCCAACAGACAGTACCCGAGCCACGCCTGAAACGACTGCTACTGGTTCCTTCTCCTTACCCTAGAGTTGATTTATTCATTCAGGATGCTCGACCCACATGAACGCCCGGACAAGGTGCTTGGCGGGATTCGTCTTTCTTTGTCACCAGGGTCGTTGCCAGCCATAAGCTGACAACTAACTGCTTCTGTCACTTGGAAGTCATACTAAACGTACTTTAAGCGAATCGATTTGCTCGATTGGTTGCGGGGCATACAAACGCCCGAGCTGACTGCTAGGACAAGTAAACCTTAACTTCTTTCCATTTTTCAATGAAGCACGTATTGAGCGATTGTCGTGTAGTGCTTAGTCCAAATCCTGGAAACGTTTCTTGGTTTACATACATTTCCTTCTTGGTAGCGGCCCAGAATCTGGTAAGCCCGATGAACGTTATGCTTGTACTAAAGGCGTGCCTCATAGCAGACTCCTTTTCGCTAAGTATGGCTCAAAACACTTTCTTGCCCGCGTGCATTCGGCCAGAGGCAACTTTCATTTCGATACCATGGCCGAAGATGGATAATGCCAGGCCTTACCAGGTATTGTTATTTCAACAACGGGGACGTTAAAGACGGTATGTAACTCATGCTTCCCCTTTGAATTGGTAGCTTTCTGGCCTGCTGAAGAGGAGACGGGCGTAAGAGGGTGTGTTGCCGGGTGCGCGTCATCCCGTTGAGCGGTCGGAGTCGGCACGTTGAGTAGTCGTTGAGCTTACTTGCTGGCTCATCCCGCTGTTCCTTGTACGTGTATCCGGCATGCAGGCAAGATTATGCGCATGCGGCTTACAAGCTCGTTTGCCATTCAGATGAGGCGGGATTCGTCCAACCATAGACGATGATCCAAGTCAAGTCGCGCGCCTAATCACTTTTACGAAGAGACGAAGGAATTAGTCGGTAGCAGACACGATGTCAGATTACCCTTTACTTAGTTTAAGCAGTAAGGGGTTGCTGGGTGGGGTAGCGGCGCTAACTGCGTACGTATAGTATGGCTCCACCCACGTACCATCTGGTAATATCTCGCCGGACCTCGATTTGTCTCCCACTCCTCAACCTCGGTAACATGGGGTGCATTTCCTTTAGATTCATTCATTGTTTATCATTAGGAATCCCTACATCTACAAGCAGCCGTTGCTGTCCAACGCCAACGGGATTAGTATGCGCAGGAAGAAAAGAAAATGAGGCAGAACCGATGCGGACCGGTGGGTAAAGTCGACGAGTGATCCCGCTGAGGCCCGTATGTAGGCGCAGCTATACATGCAGTTGCAGAATCTCGCTGGTGCTGTTCTTCTGGGGCTCGATGGCTTTGCTCAGTGTGAGAGGCATATGGTTGTCCTAGGTCAACCATAAGCTAATGTAGACCATGCCCATTCTCGAGACCAAAACCCCCTGGGCTGTACGCCCCAAACTAGCATTCGATGCTTGTATTAGTGTCTATTGCAGAGTGAGAAATCAATTGTTGCGCGCCGTTTATTGCGATCGTTTACTGCGCAAGTGCGTCCTCTGCAGTATCGTCTTCCTCGCAAGGCTATTTAAGAACACTCGTTGCCATGAGGACCAAACTCGTGCGAAACAAAGCATCGCAAAGAACCATTGTCCGGCCATGCAGTGAGGCGGGGTACGTCTGTTTGCGCTGCATTTGTGGCTGTAACAAAGTCTAGAGCCAGGCGCTGTGACCAACTAATTAGGGCATTCGAGAACAGCGTCTCCTAGTTTGCAAGTGTCTGTATTGCTTTAGTCACCGACAGCTACAGATGTTATGGAGTATAGACTTACAGATGAAACAGCAACCCCAAGATCTCAAGTCAGGATCTAAGACCAGACCAAAATACGTCCCTGCACGACAAGTATCTAGTCCACCAAGCTTAGCTTTCCGTATGACAGACCGCGGTCATATATGATGGATATACTCACGTCGGAGACACCATTAACCACCATCGGTGCTTCTACGATAGCAGTCGTCGTATCTACATTCATGTCGATTGCAGTACTTCGACACTCGATTCGGTCGTGCTCCACAGGTCTCTTGGCAGCGCAGACCTTCTTATTGCCAGGCACTATAAGAGGCCGTTGCTGAAAAAAGGTACGTCGGAGGTGAAAGTGACGAGGACGAGCAACAATGAGACAATGAATTTGATCTTGCGCACGTCAGACTGATGCTTCGATCCAACCCTATCTTTATAGATGCCCACATCTCCCTCGACCTGGCCGAAGGGAGTTTCCAATCTCTCTCAAAGAAGTCAGATGTCTTTGGTCCTTCCGGAGCTAACAAGTGATGACACAATTGGAAGTCCAGTTCACATGGCCACACCATACACACGATGTGAAGAATGATCACTGAGGGTCGAGGCCGGACCTTGGAGCTCGTTCGACGACGAGTGGTGCACAAAACACCGCATTCGCCAGCGAACCTATAAACGAGTTAGTCTCCGAACCTGATCGCGCTTCAGTGACGTTTCCTGGATATGATATTCATCGCATCTTCCACTGAGCACAGCCACGGTGTCGAGAACCACAAGATATACCGTGTTGCGCGATATAGGTTCGGGATTGTCCGCTGAATGCCACGTCAGGTAATGAGGTTGAGCGGATCAAGATCACTATCTGTGGCCACAAAACCTTAGTTCGATCTGGGGACGCCAGAGTGTGCAAGTGGCATCAATATCCTTCGTCGCTATTCGTTCTTTGCAAGTCGACGCCGTTTTTGTGTTGCGTCGGAATAGTGCAAATAGCGTCCTGCGCAATTCCTGAGTCCTTTGTTGATCTGTTCAATTCCTGAGAAAGAAGCACTCTTTCCTGGACCATGTTGTGAAGCCGCGAGATATCTCGCGCTCCAGCGGGAGACCCATTGTTGCGGAGACTTGTTCAGCTGAGTGTCAACTAGTGTTGGGTGCGCCTTTGGCAAAACACCGGTCGGATGAGAGCTTCTGGGAAGGGTGTTTATGGCCGGCCATCACCGGTACAAGGGACGATAGATGTGCAGCTTCTGTCCATTGTTCGATATCGCTCGTCGCAAAGCCTCCGTCAGGAGCTTCCTGTATCCTATAGACGTCTGACCAGGCTGATGTCGGACCTGTCGACTGCGGGAAGCATACGTCAGCTTGCGCAGGAATCTCTGTAGGGCATTAAGTCTCGAAGCCCAAGTCCCTCCCTTGAAGCCCAAGGATGTCGGGCAGCATCGTAGCTAGATCAGATCGGTCATTCCCACCCAGACTTGCTTGCAGATGATCAAGGTGCCTCTCCCAGAGACCAGCCCCGTGGACTCGCAATGCGGTGTGCATGATCTATATCCACTGTACAAGCCACCTGTGCAGCATGTTGGAGTTCGGCGTCGAGTTCGTATACGTTACCTGCGGCCACGAGTCTGCGGTGCATGTATGTATGAAGCAACCATAGCGCTACGCTGATAGACTAATGCCGAGCTATGCATTTGCTTTGCCTCGTGGAGTGCTGTCGTTGCCATTGTTTCAGAGAGATCAGGGAACAGGTACGTCACTGCTCAACAGCATACACAAAAGGTGCTGTCCAGCTAGACTGGCATGAATCGATCAAGTGCAGGAAACGAGGGTTAGATCTTGCGGTGTAGTAAACAGGCTCCGTCTAGGCATGCAGGACGAGTCGTTAGCTGGTTCCAGACCCCTGGTATTTCGCTCTTCCCCTGCGGAAGGGCCGTCACGCGGCGCACGTGGGAGTACGTCGGCCAATGGTTCCTGGCATCGAAAGCCAATTCCCACGTCCACTCGCAGAAGGCCAATCTACGCACAAGAACTCTTTCACGAAAGAGTATGGTATGGTATTCAAGCTTCTATCTCTACCGAGGCCGTAGGAGCAGCTCCTCGCCCTAAACAAAAACGCCGCCGATGCATCTAAATCCCCGTCAATCATTCCTGTCCCAGTATAATATACATCCGCGCGCCGAGCTTCATTTCTTGTCTTACAATATACGTACAAAATCTTTACACAACAGCATTCTGCTCAAAATACTTCAACAGCGTCTGGTACAGCACCAGCATCGTGCCGGACTGCACGGACGTCCACACACCGCGCGGCCCGACGCCGCGGAAACAGCCCCATATCCCTTCCGTCTGGTATATCAAGCGCAGACCGCGGATTACGGAGGATGTGTCGAGGGTGGCGGCGCCGTGGGCTTTGAGCGTGGTGGAGGGAGAGGAGGTGGATATTGGGCGGTTTGATGGTGCGGAGGATTTATGCGATGCCGAGGGTGTAGAGTGTTTCGTTGTTGAAGAAGGGGAGAGCGGGGCGGTCGAGGCGGGTGCAGGCGCTGATGAGGTGCTGGGTTGCTGGGTCTGGATGCGCGTCTTGACGACGTCCAATGGTGTGGTTATAACGCCGGCCATTCCTCCGGCGCTCGCGGCGGTGAGGATCTCCAGCGGCAGACCGATGTTACTGGAGCCCATGTATTTTTTTGCCAGCTCTCTTTCCTCCTCGTAGAACGCGAATTGCAAGGCGGAAAAAGGGAGGTCGCGCCAGAGGGTGGCTTTGTATCCGTAGAAAAGGGCTCCGAAGCCTTCTGTTCTTGCGATAGTGCGCGCAGCGTCGATGGTGGAGCGGTAGTTGTAGCCGGAATTAAAGTAGGGGTTGTTGTGACGGCCTTGTAATTGGAGACGGGTTTTGAGGACTTCGGAAGGAACGTACACGGGCGCGGCGGCGAGGTCGGCGACGAGTCCTTGAAGACATCAGTACACGCAAAAAGAGAAGCACTGAGCCACTGCTTAATAAAGCTGCCTGGGTACGTCACATACCGGCTGTGAAGTACGAGACGGAGGGCGCGATGCCGTTGTCGATCATCAGGCGCTTGCTCCACTCGTACGTCCCGAAGAAAGCGCATGTCCCCAGGAACGATCCCACAAATGCTGGCTGCACTCCTCCGTACAACCCCCGACTGAGGCCTTCTTGCCGCCATATGGTGTAGTATGTGTTGCCCATAGAGGTGTACTTGGGGGGCATGTGCGGGTCGCCCTGTTGTCGCGTTTTTACGGTGTCCAGAGAATGCATCAGCATGTCGCCCGTCGTGCCTCCTATACCACCTGCCAGAATTGCCTGCGAAACTCGATCAATTACGTTCGGAGCATCAGTCTCCCGGACAGCGGCATACATGGACATAGGGTGGCCGCGCCATCTCGTGGTCTATCTCCGCGTCCGCCTCTTGCGGTGTCCTCTCCTGCCTCATATCCGGCACCGATCTGATGCCCTCCATCGCGGGTTTTCGTGCCCTCTGACCATCCTCCACGAGCTTGTTTGGATTCGTAGGGCTGAACCAGTTGGATGCGCTTCCAAACACCATCAGCAATGCAGGGACGAGGGAGGCGCCTTGGAAATGCTCGAAACAGGCAACAAATACACCAACGGAGTAAGAAAACGCGGGGATGCGGAAAGCGAGTGTGAAGGAGTGACGTGTGGTCAGCGTGGTGTCGCCGTCGGTTCGAAAATTTAGCCAAGACAAGCCGACCCTAAGCCGCCAACACCCTGGCGGCGAGCAGCAGGCGCGATGCGGCCCCGATGCGAGCGATAAGATTGTCGGCGCTCGACCTCACCGCCAGAAACACAATGACGCTCTTCCTGCAATGCCGCCTGCAAATTTGTCGCGGAATATGGGGCGATTTGCGAGGCCGTCCCAACTGCATCCAATGAGCAGGCCTGAGTGAGAGCAGATCGGGCTAAGCGCCGGGGACCATCACGTGCAGCGGGCTGCTCGGGCTTGTTTACAATCTACTCGAGCTCCTTCACCATCACCGCGACACGCCCACCACCATCCCAGCATTCCTTCCCCACCACGCCTCTGTTACTTTTTTAATTAAATATCCACAGTCGCATTGATCACACCACCGCGCTCACATCAATCACCATGTCTCATTCCTGGCTGCAGCGCAAGCGCAAAGGCGAGCTGTTGGAGCTGGCGCAAAAAGCTAGCATTCCTGAGTGAGCATTGCTCTATTTGACGCGTAGAAATCGGCCGTTAACGCATTCGATTGACAGCGCGGACACGCTCCTGAAGGATGACCTGGTCGCCGCCCTCGAAGAAACGCTCGAGGCAAACGAGACCACTTTCGCGAAGCAGCGCGCATTCAGCGAGTTCTACGGCCGCGGCGGATCACCCATAAAACGCGAGCGCTCGTCGCCCGATGCTGTGGTGCTGACCAAGACGCGCAGCAGACGTCAGACTCTGAACAGAAATGGGGATTCGTGAGTTTTTGTTTACCTACGCGTATACGCGCCGAAGCTGATGGAGCTGTTCAGACCCGACGGCACCAGCACACCGGACCGACCAAGTGTAGTCTCGCGCGCACTCGCGAAGACCCCGCGCGAGGTCTCCCAGGTGACCAGGCGCGTCTCCGAGCGCGTCACTGAGGCCACTCCGCGCGCGCCCCAAGCCGACCTACGCGCCACGGAAGTCAACCTGCCTGCGTCTCCCGCGCAACTCGCTGACTTTGCCGACGAGTCATTCCAGGTGGTCAAGGAACGGGCGACAGAGATCTGGGACAAGACGCGCATCGATGAAGCTAAGGAGTGGCTCCGCGAGACCGCCAGCTCTGTCAGCGCAATCCAGACCCTCATTCTGATCTTGGAAGCCGCGACGCTGCAGTATAACACGCTCACAGACACGCATTATCTTTTCGACTCTCCTGCCACTACTGGCTTCAATGCCAGAGAGGTTCGCTTTCCCAATCTCACCAAGCTCGCGGGCTCTGGCTGGTGGGGGCCCGCAACGCTGTGGTCTTTGACCAACTGGGCGCTGCCCCTCATCTTCTCGTACTTCTTCAACCTGACACTGCGCACAAACACGCGCCACAAGTCTTCTAAGACACAGTATACCATTGACCCGTTCACCTTCAACATCGCAAAGGCTATCCTGGCCTACAGCGCCTACTACGTCTACACCACAGCCGACGCATCGCTTCTGGGCCAGCCCAACACGGTTCTTGCGCAAACCCCGGGCTGGGGTCCGTTTTCGGAAAGCTCTGTTGCCACCGTGCGGGACAACATTCTCGGCGGCTACTACGGCATCCAGATCGGAAGCCTGGTCGGCGTGCTAGTCAGCCTGTACGACGCTGCGTTGAAGAAATAGGGTCGGGCGCGTGCTCCTCGCGACCAAAGAAACGACCCTTGGATGTAAACGACGGGAACGGTATGGGCGTGTTCCTTCTTTGGCGTTTTGGTATTCTTCCTTCATTCTTCAGCGCGTGCTTGACCTAGCGTTGGCGCGCATGGGGGTCGGGCGTTGGAGGTCATCTCAGATACAGATACCTCGTTGACGGGTATTGTCGCTCTTGAGATCGGATTAGACCCGATCACTGACTTTTGGATACTCGAATTTCAGTTGTTTCATTCCACCACGCCGACATGCAGCTCGAGCGAGAGCTCATTGCCCGTTTCGTCTAGCTCCCCCATAGCTCCCGTGATGTCGCCCCGATGCTTCCCCGCACCCGCACCCGCACCCTCCACATCCAAGGCCATCGCTTGCGACACTGCCGCGCAATTGTCCCTGCCGCTCGGGATTTTGCCAGTGCCGCGGGATGGCGGACGCGAAGATGCCGAGCTAGCATACGTAAATGTAAACATCCGTACATCTCACACTATTGTACAAGAACACACTCCCTGGACAATCTTCCACATGCCCCGCCAATGATGCCATGCCGCGCGAACTCTCCATCCTCATAGTCGGCGCGGGGCTCTCGGGCCTCGCGACCGCCATCCAGTGTGCGCTCTCGGGACACAGTGTCACGGTGCTTGAAGCGGCAAGGGAACTCGCTGAGGTGTGGCCTCTACATGCCTTCCTCGGCCACTCCTCTCCCACCCGCTAACCTAACCCCAGATCGGCGCCGGCCTCCAACTCACGCCCAACGCCACACGGCTCCTTCTCTCCTGGGGCGTCTACGACCGCATCCACAGCCCCTGCGAACCCGCCACGTGCACGGTGTACGACTACAAGGGCACTGTGCTCGCGCACGAAGATGGGTTTGACGCGAACTGTCGCAGGAAATACGGCGCGCCGTTTGCGGACTGTCATCGGGTGGATTTGCAGCAGGCGCTTGTGAAGAGGGCGCGGGAGCTCGGGGTGGAGGTTGTGCTGGGGGCTAGGGTTGTGGGGCTGGAGTTTGATCTCATACCCGAGGGCGGAGAGGGTGATGCGGACGATGGGAGGAGGCAAGCACAGGTTAAGGGCGAGGATGGGCGGATCTGGGAAGTCGATCTTGTGGTTGCGGCCGACGGACTGTGGAGCGCGTGTCGCTCAGTGCTGCTTGGGCGGCGCGACGCACCTCTTCCAACAGGCGACTTGGCCTATAGAATTGTGCTCAAGGAGGAACAGATTGCGGAGCTGGACCCGCAACTGAGAGATATGGTGCGCACGCCGGGGGTGCGGTTCTGGGTTGGACCCGAAGCGCATGTGGTCGCTTATAGCATGCGTGGAGGGAGCATGTACAACGTCGTTCTCCTCGTGCCAGACGACCTCGAGGAAGGTGTTGCAAGAGCGGAAGGCAGCACGGCGGAGATGCGGGCGCTGTTCGAGGGGTGGGACCCTGTGTGCGTGACCTACCCCTCCACCTGACTATCCACTTCCCAAGCTTTGCTAATGGGATGCCAGACTAACGCAGCTCCTCTCGCGCGTCGACAAAGTCGATAAGTGGAAGCTCATGCACCGCGAGGAGCTTCCCTCATGGGTCAACGAACAGAACAACCTCGTCCTCGTCGGCGACGCCTGCCACCCCATGCTCCCCTACCTCGCCCAAGGCGCAAACTCCTCCATCGAAGACGGCGCCGTGCTGGGCCTTCTGCTGTCCCCTTCCAATAACTTCACTTCCGCGTCCCAGCTCCCAACCACGCTGCAGCTCTTCCAGACGCTGCGGAAAGCAAGGGGCGAAGCCATCGCGCGGGAGACGTTTAAGCAACGGAAAGACTTCCACATGCGGGATGGGAAGGAGAGGGAGGAGAGGGATAGGGTGTTTGCGGAGTGGAGGGGGAGGGGTGAAGAGTTGGAAAGGAGCGGGGTGGAGTTTCCGAGTCGGTGGACATGTCCGGTCGTGCAGCCGTGGTTGTATGGGTACGATGCCGTGCGGGAGGTTGAGGGGGCTATTGGGCGGTAATGGTGGTGGTCAAGACGGAAGACTGCGCGTTGGCATTAGGATTTACGATGTGCCTAGCGATGAGGTTATTGTGGTGAGTATGCCTCGGGACTGACCAGGTGCTTAGCAGTGAGGTTATCGCAGCGGATCTGCTTTCGTTAAGGCAGAGGCGATCGTACATACATGGTAACGTTGATATACTTGGAGCATTTAGGACCTACGGTATGACTAGCATTGAAACGACACGGTAAAAGTTGCCGTAGTCAATTGATCATGACTTGCTCCGATTCCACAGTTTAAATACCCTGTTACCTCGCATAGACCGGGTAACCTTGTATCTGCACGACTCGTGGACGTCGCAGAATGAATGGGCCTGTGGATTGATAGTAGAACGCGCACGGAATCTCATATATGGCCTCGGTTAGCAAGAATAACCAGAAGGCTAGTTGCAAGACTGCTAGCGTGACCGTCAGGCCGGCAACGGTCTCGCAGTAGCGACCGCCGCTCGAGTCGAATCGCGGCCGCGGGTGTGAAGTAGGCAGGATGTCGTCGTGGCCGAGTGGGACGCCTACTCAAGCGCGGTGAGACATACATGTAATCATGTAAGCACACACTGCGCTGTGGTTAGCCGGACTGTCTTGTGTCGTCTAATGATAGAAGCAGCGTAGATCTCCCGTTCGCAGGCTGAGACGGGCGGCCTTCGCCTAAGGATGCGATCTCGTGTTGCACGTCTCTGTATGTTGGATCTGGCTGAAGGGCAAGCCGTTGCCCAGTAGGAATCGCCTGTGAGGTTCGCGGTCGAGAGCAACCTTTGCCCTTGCCTGCGTTCTGGAAACAAGTCGCGCCTGCTCCCGGCAGATCCGACGCACTTCCCCTGCTCCGAATCTAATCCGAACTTGCCATGGCCTTCCTTCATCGAGATTTTCCACCGCCACCGGACGATGAGGCTGCAACGACGATTCCGGCTCCATAGATTCGAGCCACGAATAGCAACGAGTAGTGGTTTCAGATCAGCGGCCCGTTGCATCGGCATTTGTGGAGGTGAGACGTGACGCTCAGCGGTGGCCAGCCTTATGAGGCTATCCACGGACACTAGCACACTGGTGCCCCCTGCGCTGCCGCCACACCGCACTGTACACAGTAGACGTGAATTGGGCAATGCCTGTTTTCCGGGATTAACAGGTCAGGCCACGACATAGTTCTCCTGGCTGGACCCCATGATGGCGGAGCCGCTCTCGAACCACGGCCCACCCCGTGCAGTCGATGCTTGCTTCCGCGTAAACGTTAGCCAGGGGATTGGTAGCTTTTGACGGGGAAGTAGTAGTGCTCAGTATACGCCGTCAATCACAGTGCACAACGGCGGTATGCCTAATTTCCACAGCTTCGGCTTCCGGCCATGGATTTCTCCCTAAAGTACAATGACAGGACCGTACGTGTGGGCTCAAGATTCTGCTTAGATCAACGGACGGGCCCTGCATTCACATCCAGACCCCTCCGGTATACCTTTTTGTGTCTCCCAGTCAGCTCCAGCGGTCACTTTCGCGAGGGTAACCATTGAGTGCGGCGGTGTAGGCTAGCCACCATGATCGATCCGTAAACGTCAACTTTTCAGACGACTATGAAAAGGACCGCTATTCCGGTAGGCAGCGACAACAGAAGCAACTCATTCTCTCTCACCTTCGCTCCTTGTCTATAATTCTCAGTTCTCAGTACTTTCTTCCTTCCTTCCTTTCATCCTTCCTTTCTTCCTTCCTTCCTTCCTTCCATCCTTCCCTTCTTTTTTTCGAAGACGCTATATCTTAAAACCATCGCATCTTCGCTCCCTTTCTAATCGCTTCTTATTACAACATCCCACAGAATGCTCTCTGAATCGCATAAACGAGGGTTTTGCAAGTTTTGTAAGGAAAAAGGCGTCCAGGTGAGTGACAGCAACCTGCGATCCAATTGAAGCAGCTGCTCATACACTCCTAGTGTGACAAGAAGAAGCCACGATGCAGTGAATGCGTTGCCACAGACAAGTCTTGCGGTGGCTACGATATGGGTCACATTTTCATCAATGTCGACTCATCAGGACCACCGGCCACGTGGAATCGTGGCCAGAGCGCACAGAAACACCTCCTACTGGACTTGGCATCACAGCCCGCGACTTCGCCACCCCAACACCTAGACATGCTAGCTGCATCTCTTCCTTCGACATCCGATGCCATGTCTCTGGGCTCGGTGGATGCCTCGAAGGCCATACTCGCCCTTGCGAATCTCGCAGATCTCCACCATCTGGTCGAGCTTTTCCTGGACCTCTATCTAAGGCGTTACGGGCCTGGAAAGACAGTTGTGGACCCACTTACAGCCGGTAATGAATGCGGGGGCTGGAGACTATTGCTTCCTTCATGGTTGGGACGATCTGAGATTTTGGATACCGCTATCGGGGGAATGGTCGCTTCCTTCATCGGCGCACAGTACCAAGACGTGGCTTTGTCTAATCACGGAGGGAACATGTACCTGAACGCTCTGCAGATGGTCCAGAAAGCGCTGCCAGAGCTCGGCGCCTCTGAAAGAAAACACCTGCTAGCGACGACCTTGGTAATGAGCTCTACGGAGCTGTTCATGTCCAATGGAGGCGGATCGAGCCAACTGACCCATATCGAGGGCGCGACTCGCCTGCTCAATCTCTCGCTGGACAGCATGGATCTTGAAGAGCTGCACATTTATATCGTAAACCAAGGCCTGTTTGAAGCGATATCGAGCAGGCGTTGTTACCCCTGCTCGTCTTCAGGGTTTCGCCATCTAGCACGCCAGATCTACTCGGTGCCCCGGGCGAACCACAACGACTTGTACTTCCAGTGGTGCGAACGGATTCTCCCTCTACCTAACATTCTGAACACTGCCGATACTGTCGTCTCATCCACTGCACCAGCGCCCATTTCCGCTGTCCTGGCTATCCTGGACGACTTGGCCACACTCGAACAGGCCATCGCACCTTGGTACGAGCTCCTTCAATCCAGCATGTCCACTCCATGGACATTCCCCGCTGCACAAGTCAGCACAGACTCCGTCCCATTTCCCCTTCAGTTCACCTCGATCGAAGCCTGCACCAACTACTGCCTGTACTGGATATCGCAACTCCTCATTCTCGAAGCCCGCCAAATGGTATACGCACGGCTACCTCCCTCCGAGATCCCCGAGCACAACACACTGCAGCCGCGCATCTCGGAGTACGCGTCGCTAGTCTGCCGCTCCGTGCAGTACTGCGCGCACAACACGTCCTACGCTGCCACGGAAAACATGTTCCTGCCGCTGGACGTGGTCTCGAGTTACTATGTCAGGCAGGGCGACCACGAGCGTGTGAGCTGGTGTATCAGTGCGTTTGCACGCATGAGCCTGGAGCATAAGATTGGGTTTGCGAAGAAGAAGATGGAGATGGTTGGTGTGAGGATTGGGGATAGTGCGTGTGATCCTGAAGGTATTTGGGATCAGGTTTGATGCGCCCCCCTCACTTTCACGTTATTGTTACTGCGTCCGTGCTTTCCTCTCGTCCATTTCCTACTGTCATATCCATTTGCAGCATTTTCGGGTAGAGCATAGCATAGCATTTTGAGCATTTCTCGGCGTTGGAAACCAGGGGGCATTTACGGCATGCTCTGGCAACATTGGCATCAGCAGGGGCATTCCTGGCGTCGCTCGTTGTTAGGTAGTCATTCTTTAAGTGTTTTTGTCTTTTGTTCACCGGGGGATTTGGCATTGCCTATCCTACAGTAGAGCATTATCACGGTACCAAACATCCATCTCTAGTGTTGTGCAGATTGCCATACTCCCTAGCCATCTGAGTCTGTCTTGGTGCAACACATGCACCAGTCTTGCCAGATCGGCTAGAATATCGTTTTGCACAGCGATGTCGAACCCACCGCCAGTCCTCGCCGGGTGCTTCCGCGATGGCACTCACCGGCCCTCGCACGGCGCTCAGCTCAGGCGAGCCATGCTCCGTTTCGTCTGGGCTCAGAAAGAGTAGACGTTCGGCGTGCACGCTAGGGCCCGTCCAAGGGTCGGTGCTCGGATTTGCCACTCAGCCGAACGATCGACCCACGACAGCACACGCGGCAGCGCCGAGGACGAGGCCGGCTGCCGCTCATTAGAGAGACGCGGACCCAATGCTACCGTAGCAAACGGATTCGATTATCGTTTTTTCCATGCAGGTGGACTGCGAATGGAAATGCGGCAAGGCACCGGTGAGGTACCGCAGGCGGAGTGTAGATGGTTGCCGGATTGGGATCATGGCGAGGCGTGGGCGTGGTTGGTTGGTTTCTTAGTTGGAGGTACTGCATAGATTTAAGGGCGTGGAGAGCTTACCACAAAGCCGTTGTCCCGTCTACCTTGGGTACGGTAGAGGTGGGGTTTGCGTACTTGTTCGCTTGCAAAAGCTGGGCGGTGAGAGTCGTCGTAACGCGCACCCACCCTGACATCTGCATAGGATGCACAATAAGCGCAGGAGAAATATGATTTACAGAGGGGAGGAATAAAGATCTGATCAGGCTTTTAGTGTACTGTATGCATGCGTTTTGTCCTGTCCAATCCAGGGCGCACCAAGACCAAATAGCAAAACTTAGAGACAACAACGCCAATCCCATGCACGACCGCCCGCCTCCTTTTCACCCGGAAGTAAGACAGAAAAAGCAAATGCCATGCTCTCTTATTACCTATTCTGCCCCTCCCATCATCATACAATCTAAAATCCTCCCATCTACATGATATCAAAGCTTTCCTTGAGCTGCTTGATAAGTTTCCACTCGTCCATGCTGACGTCAGCGCGGAAGTAGTTCTTGAGCGTGTCGATGCTCTCGCGGGAGATGTGGGAGTACAGCGTGTCTTTTTCCTCGAGGTGGCGGCCGTAGAGGGGCTGGTTGGGACCCTCGATCTTGACCGCGACGGACGGCTGGCCCTTCTTGCAGACAGCGATTTGCTTGTGGTCGCGCTCGATGGATGTGCTGTTTTTGTGTTGTTAGCGTTTGGCAGTGTTGTGAAGGGGTAAAGGGGGGGACCTTACACTCTACCAAGGGAGATGATCTCTTTGACGCCGGTGACGGGGTTCTTTTTGATGGCGGCGATGGGGGTTGTGATCTTGAGGCTGCCTTCGACGACGTCGACGCCCAGGACGATCGGATCTTTCTTGTTGAAGACGGCGATGGGGCTGAGCACGCAGGGGAAGACGGCAAGCATCTTGCTGTCCTCCTTGCGCTGCTCCTCGAGCTGCTTCATGTGCGCGGTGAACTTGTCGAACAGATGGTAGATAATGTCTGCTTCGAAGATCTTGACGCCGATTTCGTCGGCGTAGGCGCGCGCGTCGCGATCGACCTTGACATCGAAGCAGAGCATGACGGCGTATTCTTTCGCTTTTTCTAACATGATACCTGCGCGTAGGACATCTTTCTTGAAGACCGGGCCGATGGAGATAGTGGCGACGGGAATCTTGGATACGCGCAAGAACTCGAGCAGGGCTTCGAGCGAGCCAAGCGTGGATGCTTGGACGGAGACACCACGGCCGGTCTTGGACACCTTGCTGAGCAAGTGGGCGAGATCGCCCATGACTTCGTCCATCAGGTCTTCTTCGTCGTCGTCTGGGCCAACGACGAGCAGTCGCGAACCGGCGATAGCTTGGTCAAGACCATCGGCGGCAATCTTGATACCCATGGCGGCCTTGACCTCCTTGTTGTGTACGTATTGTGACTTGACACGGAGCTCCTTCATCTCCGCAGGCGTAAGCAGAGCTCGAATGTTAGTTGCTATAGGCTCGGGGTTTCCGCAGAGCACTACTCGGTCACCCTCGTGCAAGACACCGTTGGAGAGAATAACGTCGATGGTGGTGCCGAGACCTTCGATGACCTTGACTTCCAAGACTGTGCACTCTACCTCGGACAAGTACATGAGGTTGTTCGTCATACGCTCTTGGGTGAGCTTAATGATGAGCTTGATCATATCGGGGATACCTTCTCCGGTGTGTGCAGAGGTCGGGCACACAGAGACATACCGCGACATATTCTTGTTCCTGAAGAAGAGCTCCGAGTTGAAACCTTGTTCTTGCAGTTGCGTGTGTACCATGGTCCATCGGTCGTCGAACTCCTTCTTGACGCGGTCCTTCTGGAGGCTCAAGGAGTCTTCGAAACCGTTGTTGTCAATCTTCTTCCAGTCAAGGAGACGATCGATCTTGTTGAGAGCGACGATGAAGGGCGTTCTCCGTTCTCGAAGCAGTCTCATGGACTCCAGTGTCTGTGGCTCGAGACCGTGCATAATATCGATGACAAGAATAGCAATGTTGCAGAGAGAAGAACCTCGGGAACGCAAGTTGGTGAAAGACTCGTGACCAGGGGTATCGATAACGAGGAGACCGGGGACGTTGAACACAAACGAGTGATCTTTGTTGACGACGGCAGTCTTCTTCTCCAATGCCTCGACAGGGAAGTAAGTGGCACCGATCTGCTGCGTGATACCGCCAGCCTCGCCTTCCTGAACGTTGGTCTGCCGGATCTTGTCCAAAAGCTTGGTCTTTCCAGTATCAACGTGGCCAAGAATACAGCAGATGGGCGATCGAAGGTTGTCTTTGGATCGGGCAGCGAGGGCCTCCTCGTGCAGCTTCTTCCTGCGTTCCGCCGCGGCAGCTTTCCGTGCAGCTTCAGCGCGCTGTGTGGCAGTGCCCTCCTCGTCGGAAGAGGAGTCGTCACTGTCGTCGCTGTCATCCTCTTCCTCGGAAGACTCGTCGTCTTCCTCAGGTTGGGCAGCTGGTTTGCCGTTGGCGGCAGCCTTCGTGGCGGCCTCCTTTGCCTCCTTTGCAGCAACCGCGGCCTTCCTCTTCTCTTCTTCCTCGTCGCTGTCTGCATCCCAGCTGTCCTTGACGCCATCCATGGCATCGGCCTGGGCCTCCCAGTCCTCGGCCGAGTCACTCTCGTTGCCCTTCTTCGCCTCAGCATCTTCACGCGCCTTCTGTGCCTCAGCCTCGGCAGCAGCGGCCTGCTCTTCGGCTATCCGGAGCTCCTCGAGCTTCTTTGCTGCCTCTTCGGCCTCCCTCTCCTTCTGCAGCTCGGCCTGGTTCTTCTTCTTCTTCTTGCGGTCGTCGTACACTGGCTTTTTCTTCTCGACGGGCGCTTCAAGGGCGTCTACCTTGGCAGTTCCACTCTCGAGCATCTGTTTCAAGCGTAGCTCGTTCCGTGCCTTGGCCTCTTTCTGTGCCTTGGTGAGGTACTTGCCCTCCTTTTTCAGTTGCTCAACCTTCTCCTTTTCTTTTTGCTTCTTGAGAGCTCTGGCCTCGGCCTTTTTCTTCTCTTCTTCCTCGGCCTTGCGCTCCTCCTCCTCTATCCTGGCCTTTTCTTCTGCTTCAAGGCGAGCTAGTTCCTCTTCGCGTTTCCGTCGCTCTTCTTGTTGCTTCTGGAGTGCAGCAAGGGCGGCGGGAACTTTCTTGCCCTTCTTGCCAGCCGCGGCAGCTGGAGCGGCGACGGGCTCGGGAACGGGTGCTGATGGAGTGGCAGCCTTGGTCTCTGTGGGCTTCGCGGCTTCGGTCTTAGCGGGCGCGCTGGCCTTCTTCTTCGCGGCCTGTATCGATGTTAGATTCGGTCTGATCCAAAGCGTCTCTCTACCGGGTGTAGCAAGAACATACCATCTCCTTCTTCCGCTGCTTCTCCTTCTCCTTCTTTTCCTTTTCCTTTTCCGCCTTCGTCTTCACCCTGGGCGCATCGTCCGCCACTGGGGCCTTCTCTTCCTTCTTTTCCTCTTTCTGTTCCTTCTTAGGCTTGAAGTTGCCCGCAAACACGTCGTCATCGTCGAAGTTGGCCTCCTCGGGCGCCTTGCCTGCAAAAGGGTCGCCTGTTGCGCTGGCAGCAGGACTCTCGCCCAGCTCGGCCTCCCAATCCTCCTGTCCACCCTTCTTGCCTTTCTTGCCCTTCTTGCCGCGTTTGGCCAGCGCAGCCATCAGGCCGCTGACAGGAGCTTCTTCCTCCTCGGCGGCAGGCGCCTCTGCGGGGGGCTCTGCGGCGGCCTCATTTTGGGGCACAATCGACTCGCCCAGGTCGTCCTCCCAGTTGTCCTGGGCCTTCTTGCTGCCCTTCTTCTTTGGCGGCATTTTGGATCGTGTATGGCGTGTGCCGTGTCGCGACTCGTGGAGCTAATAGGCCGCAAAAATTGTACGCGGGTAGGCGAGCGTACGATGGGTTTCGAGACCAGTGGCGGGGTCAAGCGCACACTTCAGTGGCGGCGGCACTGTGGATACGGCGTCGAAATCCGCTAAAAAGGCAGGCCGGTGGGTCTGCGAGGCGGCGCTCGAGAACTGCAAGCTCGAGCGACTCGAGTATTGTGTGGCGGAGTCGAACGCACAGTGGACGTCGAAATTGGCGTGTTTGTGCATCCATTGTCGGCGGGGTTCGCTCCTGCGGGTCGCGCCTGCCAAGCGTCTCACTCGACCATCGCTTGCTGCCTGATGAGTCGAAACCAGGACGTGTCAGATGCCGCGCCTCTCCGTGAGTAGCAAGAATAGATCCATTTTCACTCAAAATCAATGGTTCAAGGCATGACTCAAACAATGCAATCGCTAATTTGGATTATCGCTCTGCCCGTGCAGAGCCAAGTCTACTCCGTGCCTCCTGCCCATGCACCCATTCTCGCAACCCTTGTACAAATCCAAAATTGAACGCCCAATCCATTTCCCGCGATAATAAAAAGGAATGCTATGCTTTAGAGGCGTGATTAGGTAGCTGTATATATAGACAAGTGTACCTTCCCCCGACCCGCGAACAAGGTAGTAAGAATACGATAGTATCAAAGAATGAAGCGACTTTTGCTAGACCATACGATCGTGAGTGGGTACGTACGCTGCAGATGGTAAGATGTTGATGCGTGAGTCGGTGGCTGGACGCTACTGCGTTTGGCCGACGAGGAGGGACTCCACGGCGCTGGAGATGAAGGCCTTCTTTGGTGTGAGGTCCATACCAAATCTGCGTCTTGTTAGTCATGTTTCTCTTGGGAAAGTAATGTTACGGACCTCTTCTCCAGTTCCAGCTTGATCTGCTTCTTGGTTACACTCATGAGATCCGACGAAGCAAGAATGTCGCGGATCTCGGCCAACACTGCATCGTCAGAGGGCATGCTCATGAGGTTGCCCATCTCGACGCTGCTGTCGTAGCCGCCATAGCCGCTCGGGGCGAGGCTCATCCGGGACCCGTTGCCATAAGGCATGTTGAAGTGGGACATTGGCCGAGATGGCGGCATTTGCCCATATTCAGACCCAACAACGGAGCCGCTACCGTTCATGCCCATGAATCGTTTCGTCCCGTAAGAGAAGGCAGAAATCTCAGAGCGATCGTCGCGCATCGTGTGCTGTTCCCACATCTCGGCCTGGTACTCGTCCCACTTCTTCTTTGGGATGCTGGCGGGGTCAAATTTGCCCTCGTCGGACACGATAACCTTCTTGCCAGCCTCACCCTGGATGATACGAGTGTTACCCCAGGAGAAATCATCCATGTGCCAGAAAGCATATAGCGGAAGACCAAAGGAGAACACCGGGGTGGCAAGAATGTAGATGATCATCCAACCAATCATTTCCCACTTGCGGCGAATGATGAAAATGATAGCCTGTAGACCATAGATGGCACCCAACAAGATGAAAGCAGTCATGGGAACGATTCCTGGCTGCACAATGACCTGGTAGATGAGATAGCCAATGTAGACAACTGTAACAGGCATGACAATGGTTGAGATCAAATCCAAGAAGACGACGAAGCGCATACTGAAACAGCAGAATCCACAAAGCTGCTGCAGAGGGATGAGCTCGAGCAGGTTGTGCACCGTAGAGTTGATCCAGCGACGACGTTGAGACATGAAGACCGCCCAGCTGTCGGGAGCAACAGTCCAGGCGTGAGCTCGGAAAAGGTACTTGGTCTTGTACTTGGAGTGGAACTTGAGAAGCAAGGTGGTCAAGTATCGGTCCTCTCCGAGATGCAACAGGTTCTTCATATGAAGGGTGTCAACGCGAATTTCCTGGTACGCTTCCAACACTTCCTTGCTGACGAACAGAGGCTTTCCGGTCTCGGCGGCTCGGATGCGGTACATGGAGAAACAACCAGGAAGACAAGTGACGCAGCCGAACAAGCTTTCGAAGGCCTTGGTGAGGTTGTGCGAGATGAAGTATTCGTAGACCTGCATCATAGTGACAAAGGAGTGCTTGGCGTTGGTGAGCGACGTTTCTCCGCAAACACCAATCAGGCGAGTATCGTGAAGGAAGGCGGCAACGAAACGGGTGGCGGAGTCTGGAGCAACGACAGTGTCTGCGTCGATTTGCAATATGAACTCATAGAAAGTGGGGTTGACACCGATGATGTTGCGGACCTGATGATGCATCTCGAGCTCCAAAGGACTCATGGGAAGGTTGTAGTGGACCCTGTTCAAGAATCGCATGAGAAGGACCTGAGAATCACGCTTTCCACGGTTGCCGGGTTTGGAGACTTCGGACGGCTTTCCAACCTTGACCACAACGAGGAAAGGCACGATGTGACCCTGCACCTCGTACAGACCAGAGTAACATTTGCCCATGTTGTGTTGTTTTTGACCTTCGCCAAGACTCTCAAAGCTCAGAGGGTCGGGGTCAACGGTCTCTGATACACCGAGAATGTCTAGTACAATGCGAGGGGTAGGTTTGTCGTTGCCTTGTCCGATAATCATGCCGTCACACACGATTACGATGAGTTTGCGCTTGTCATCGTACTTCATCCGCGCCGCCGAATCGATGGCACGACGCAGGGAATCCTCGTCCTCGGTGTACGCTGGCACAGTGCATATGATGAACTTGTCTATGTTCTCCGGTACGCTCTTCCGTCCGAACTGGAGTGCGGCGAAGAACTTGAATCCGATAACACTGACGAGAAGAAGCGAGATAGCCAGCAGGAAATACTTGGCGAATTCGCACTTAGCCGAGCTTCTGGTGTCGAGGTCTCCCACATAGAACAGGTTGTCCATGCAAGTCTTCATGGCCTTCTTCTTGTCGGCGCTTAGGGTGAGTCCCTCCCAGTATTTAGCGACGTCGGTGCCGGACTGCACTCTGAAAACGTCAACAAGGGAGTCGTCCATGAAGTCGGTGTTGGTGTTGTAGTTGCTGGGCCAACTCTTGCCGTCAGCCCGGGGTTGGATGGAGCGTCCACCCACGATATAGTCTGTGAAGTCATATACTCTACCGTACATGTAAGCGATGGACTTCCCCGATTTCGTCAGAGTCTTGAGGTACTGGGGGCTGTAACCAACACGTCCCTTCATGTAGTTGGACTTGAGGAAAACCTGCTGCTCGAACCACCAATCAGGGCGAGAGTCATTCCAGAACGCGCGGAAATCGTGGAACTTGGCATTCTGATCGGTGGTGGAAACGAGGTTCTGCTGGTTGGTGTAATTGGAGCTCCTGAAGTCGAGTTTGAGACCAGGGTGCACTGATCCGTCAATGCCAACACAGAGTGCGGACACATCTACCGGGAAAAGGTTGGTAGCGTCCTTTCCAGCATACTTCTCCAAAGAAGCATCGGGGACGATGGAGGGGTAGTGAGCTGGAATGAACTTTCCGAGATCATATACAATGCCACGGATAGCAATGTAAGCATCGTTGTTGTCTTTTCCGTTGTACGATGTCAATTCAGCGGTCGAATAGACGTGCTGAGTAGGACAAATGAGCCTTGGGAACCCAATCATGAGGAAGACGACGAAAGCGCAAGCGAGCCAGATGAGCATGTTGATGGCCAGCTTCTCTCGCCAAGCGACCCTGACATCTTTGCGCTTGATTCTTCCAAACCACTTGATGAAGATGTCGGGGATAAAGAACGTCAGGGCATAAACGACGAAAAGCCAGCGCTTGCGGCTGCCAGAGACAGGCTGAACATCCACCTCCTCCAGCGCGTTCACTTCGGCTTTTTCGTCAAGGATCTTGGGTTGCTCCAGGCCATGGAACATGTCTCCTCCGCTGGTAATAGCGGAAGGCGCCTCGGATCTGGCGTCGATGTCCTTGCTGCCAAAGTAGCTACCAGTTTTGTCGTGGTAGTAGCCTCCCGGCGAAGGTGCAAGAAGACCAGACCTGGGATCGCCAAAGGATCGAGGCGCATCAGGAGTCAGAGTGTCGTCGGTCGGCCCATGAGCTGGGGGGGAGATATCGCCGACGTTGGCAATCTCAGTCCAACACCGTTCGCTCAGAAAGACACCAGTGGTACCCACCCTTACCTCTGTCTCACGCCAAGGCTTGCTGTCAAGCACCGTCTCTGCCCGCTCCCTCTCACTACCAACGAGAGACCTGTCCAACTCGGCAAGGCCAAGAAACTCGGCAAAGGGTAGGAAGACGCTGAAGTCGGCAACGTGAAGCCGCTGGCTAACCTCAGCGATGTTCAAGGACTGAACTTGTATCCGCACGCACTTGCTGTCAAATTGGTTGGCGATCCTCCTGTCATTGGGCTTGAGGCAGAGCACAAAGTAGGGGTTGGCCTTGCGCAAGGAAGATTCGATGGTTTTGAGAGAGCTCAGGAATTGGCCGGCGGCGCCAGTCTGCTTAGCAGAGTCGCCTTTCTTGGATCCCGATACCGTACTGTCGGCCTCGCTCATCGCATCCTCGTCAAAGACGTTGACTGGCCGACCCATCCTACCACCTTTTTCTGTTTTACGGCGTGCCATGCTGGGCATTCTCATGGGCTTTGAACTGACAGTAGCTTGTAGGATAGCAGACTTGTCCTTCTGGTGAGTCACCTTCTTCAAAGCCTCTTGTCCGAAGAGCTCTTGCACGAAAGAGCTCTGAGAGGATCTGAGAAGGTTCATCATGTCGCCCGAAATAATCTCAGCGTTCTCTTCCATGAAGTTTTCAGCATTGTATTCGACCTCACCGGCAAAATGGCGGACTGTGAAAGTGACAGATGTGTTGGGTGTCGGGAAATTGCTGCCAGGTTGCGTGACGTTAAGTTTGCCAGGCTCAATGGAGGCATTCTTGCCATCGAATCGTTTGCGGATAGCCTCGAGGAACTGCATATGGGTCTTACCGCGGCGTGTCTGATCATCCAGGATGCTGAGAAGACCATTTCCAGACTTCAAAAGACCCGTCTTGGCCTCGGTGTTATCCCAGTACTGAATCTGAGGTAGGTTGATCTCCTCCTGCTCAATTTCCCTCATCTGGCGCTCGAAGAAAGTCTGTGAGTAGTAGTTGTACAGGAACTCATTAGCTGAGTTATTGAGGAGCTGGTCCAGGTTGCAACCAGTACCCGAGTAAGGAGCGAAGCCGGGGAAATCGACCAGAGACGCCGAGTTGTTGACCTCATCAGGCAGAGCAGCTATCCTGGAGTTCACCTGTTCCATGACATAGGCAACCAGCAGCGAGTAAAGAGTCCGTGCCATCTCATCGGCGTTTGCTCGAGCACCTTTCGGGTCGAGCATGACTGTGACACGCTCACGGTACAATGTCTTGGTCTTGTATCGCAAGCTCTGCTCGAGATCATTCATGGTGACCTGCAGGAAACGGGCAATGGGCTCCAATGACTCCTTATTCTTCACCATTGTAATTGTCTCACCACCTTCGTGCGAGTAACCTCCGCTGTCGTCTGCCGTGGGGGTGGTAGACTGGCCGCTTTCGAACTCCAGCTGGCCAATGTGGAGGATGATGGCCATGACTTCACAGATACCGGCGATGTCCTGCTTCGAGAACTCGAGCCTGCGTAACGCGGTCTTGAAATCCTGGAAGCCTCTGGCATCGTCGATGCCCACCTTGAGCTGCGAGGGGTGGCCCAGATAACGCCATCGTTTGTTGGCCGTGAGCGAGGTGCGGTTTCCGGCTCCATCACCGACCATGTCCAGGCCTAAATGCTTCTTCTCGGCCAGACTAGTACCCTGTAGGAGATAATACAGAATGTGGTAGCTGCGCTCGCCAGTCGGAACGGTCGCGATACGGCCGCGTTCCAGACGATGAGCGAGGAACTGGGCACCGATGAGGGTTGCGTGGTGCGAGGTTGCCGTCTTGTACTGCAGCTCAAGCAGCAGGCCCGCCTTGGAGGCTGTTGGGGTCGTAGTCGATTTGGTTGTCGTAAACGCATCGAAGATGAAGTTGGCATGTTCGATCTTCTTGGACAGCGGAGTTGCCGAGTACGAGAGAAATGCCCTCAGCATGTGCCCGCGGATGGTGGTCTTGCCAGCACCCGACTCGCCCCTGCCGCTTGTTAGTCCCTTCCCGCCACAGTTCCACGGTTCGACGCGGGAACTTACAAAAAGACCACGGCCTGATCTTCAGAGCGCAGGCCCAATCGCATGTAGGCGCGCTGGGCCATGTCTTCGGCAGCCTGCTGGGCGCTGCCATCCTTCCCTCCCTCCGGACCTCGGCTGGAATCGGTGTATGTGTTGAGAGAAATTAATGCGTGGGAAGAGAGCGTCGAGGTCGGCAGGTGGGCGTGAAAGCGGCTGGCGAGATGAGCCGTGAGATGTGTGTCGGACTGCAGGTGCTGGCCCAGGGCGGGCAGCGACGGCTGCATGTATTGGGGCATGTTGCCGCCAAACGAAGTGTTGGCCATGATGGGCAGACGCGTCCCGGTGGGAGCGTGGAGCGAACGTGGGCGTCAGACAGCTACGGGCGAAGCTGCAGCGCGGTGGAGAGGGCTGGGGGAGCGGTGCTCAGGCGATTGGCGCTGGGTCGTGTTTTGCTGCGGAATGGAACAGATGCAGAGACTCAGGAGACACACGCACGCGAGCGGCAAGCAACGCGCTCGGAACACGATTATTAGGAGCAACGAGCGTGCAGAAGAGTCAACTAGAATGCAAAAACGAGAGTATCACCAGTCGCAGAGCCTCGCCGGTGTCGAATAGGTCGGACGCAGGAGTCCTCACGACAAAATGATGCAGGCTGCCTGCCGGGGGGTGCTCGCTGCTTGGAGTGCTCTCGCCCTAGCGAGTGGACCTCGCTTTGAGGCGGCCGTGCCCCCCGCCTCTATTAAAATAGACACCTTTCAGCGTATTTTACGGCCAGATCGGGCGCGCCGCCTGTTTGACAGCTACCCTGAGTTCTCGCGCTGCTTATGCGAGCGGGCTGCTGGTGCGAACGGGCTGCTGGTGCGAGGTGGTTGCTTCGCGGAGACAAACATTGTGTGTTGCTTCACAGCCCGCGTAACCTCGCGATAACGTGGAGCACCACAACATGCGGAGACAAATGGGTGGTGAGACAACGCTCGACGGCTGGTTGATGAGCGTGCTGTCTCGATGGCGTCGTGTGCAATTTCAAGGAGGCGGACCAGGGTTGCAAGGCTGGGGTAGATCGCTGCGGCTCATCGTGCTGGGACGCTACACCGGGTGGGCTTTTCTTTCCACACGGCAGCAGCAGACGAAAGGCGACTCCAACCCTACCCAACCTCTTTGCGCGTGCAGGTGCGGGGACTGGGAGGCTGGTGACACACTGTCTCGGGCGCTGAGGGCAGAGGTGGCACGCATGCAGCAGTCGGAGCGTTGTCCGGGACGCAGCGGCGGCGCTGAACAACGCTTGAAGAGGAGGCCCGGCGATTGAGACACCCGTTGATCGCCAAGCTCTCCTGTTTCGTCCGCTCAATGCCCCAGCAAAGCTTTGGCAGAGGGGTGCCAGGATGCCCGTGACGTCAAATTTATTGATGGGCCGCAGAAACTCCCAGAGCAGCAACGCAAGTCCAAGCAGAACAGTCTGATGGGCGGCCAGTCGGTGGAGCTAAATGTATTGACGCGCACAGTTACGGCGGTCCGCCACTGGCCGGGCACGCTAATGAGGCTCCCGAAGCTTGATCCTGCCTGTGGGTGGCAGGATGAAAGGCGGCGCGCCGGGCCTCTCCACCTCGCTCTATCGATAGCCACCAGGTCCAGTGTTTTTTGGTGTAGAAGAGGTCCGCCGCTCTTGGTGACGTCCACGCCGCGGGCCCGCGAGCGGTGGTGTAGCTCAATAAAGAGCAGAAAAACACAAGAGGCCGCTAAAAATAGGGGCTGTGAGAGAGGACCGCGCTCGCTGCAACGACGGCCGCCGGCGCGCCACCTTGATTGGGGCGTGCGCTGAGGCAGCTCATCCCTGCGGCGACGGTCCAGCTGCCCTTCAATGATCGCCAGACCCGATGCGCCAAGCCGTAATTTACTTTGGTTTCTTACCAGCAACGGCGTCTAGCGCATCGCCAGGCGCGCAGGGAGTCCCGGAATGGGAGAGCCTCCGCCAACAAACATCACTTCGGTAGCCTCCTCTCCTCTGCGCTTGTCGAGGTCTTTTGCGTCGTCGGTTCGTTTCTTCTTCATACAGTCGTTTAATCAGTACCCTCGCTAGGCCTGTACGCCGTAATTACATCAAAAGGAGCTCCTAGAGGCGCGTGTGGTTTGCCCGTTGCGTCCCGTCCGTCACCGAACCCCCATTTCCACCGCAGGCCTGAGCCTTTCCAAGTCACTCGCTCCACCGCCCGCTACAGTCGTTACACCACTTCAGCTCCCCCAAAAGTCTGAACTCCGCCTCGAAGACAAGTCCACCCCACTCGCCCTCGGGGCTTGTACCCCAGCTCGCCGCCATCATGAGTTTCGTCAACAACTCGCGCATGTCGGTCTACTCGACGACCTCCAATGCCGCATCACGCCCCGGTAACCCGTCGTCACAGGTGTCTACCACTACACTGCTTAACAACCTGAACACATGCTTCAGGACCAACCAGCCATTCCACCTCGAGGCGAGCACAAGCCTGGTCGTGAATACATGGGTCAACGCCCGGAGCAACATAGACGGCCGCATCGGTGGCACCGTCGACCTCGAGCTCGGCCGCAAGGCGTGGGAACATGCCCGTCGGCGTGCTGAGGACGGCTGCATTGTCTTGGGGTATGTCGTTGTTTGTCCTTTGCCATTGAGCCCATACTAAACAAACCAGGTCTCTTCACGAGTCTAGCCCCTCAACGTTGTCACCGTTCGTCTCTGGGCTGCCTCTAGCTGTGCCGATTAGCTTTTGGACGGCACTCGAGGTCCTGCGTGCTTTCACACACTGCGTGACGCCCCACAACCCTTCGTTTCCTCGCCACTCTGCCCTCGCCACCATCTTCACGATCAATCTGCAGGGCACTCTCGTAAACGCGGAAATACGGCTGTCGACAAGTGGAATAGACACGCAGAATGGTCTGCTGAACATCCCGTCTAAGGCTGGATTCCGCGCGTTCGATGTTTTCTACTACCTCAACTCCAGCTCAGCCAGCCAAGCGGAGCGACAGTTCCTCAACTTGCAACACCCTTCAGAGTACAAATTCTTGAACCGTTCCGGCACGTACGATCCACCGTCATACCTTCCCGATGTTGACGATGCCGCTGCCGCCGAGGATCTCCGTCAAAACCTCAAGGCTATTGGCATCCGCGGCCAGAAGCTGAACAACTTGATTAGCTGTCTTGCTGGACTTCTTAAGCTCGGCAACACCATCGGCTACGATGTAGACCAGGATATGGTACAAGCCGTATGCGACGACTGCAGCTCTCTCCTCGACATCGATCCGTCTTTGCTGGGACACAAGCTCAGCGACAGTGACCGCGCCACAGCCATCGGCGGTATCTACGAGGCCATCGTCGACTACGTTGTGATGCACGCCAACACCACTATCCAGGAGGATGTGCGAAGTGGCAGGATGGGCGCTGGCAGTGATGCAGGCCACATGACACCGCCTTCAGACGATGACGATGGCGATATTGTTAACATCACGGTGATCGAAGTCCCCAGCCAGGCACTCGGCAAGGCTATTTCACTGCGCACCGTTTTCGACGATACAGAGGGAATCAACTCCGAGATGAAGGAAGACGGGGTCCAATTACCTCCCGCGGGTGCTTCAGTGTTGGAGGGTATGCGCCACGCCATCCAGGCATGCGAGGCTGAACTTGGCAAAGAAGGCCCAGCCCTGCAGGAGCACCGAATGGATCTCGAACGGCGTGAGCGAGTTTTGGAGCAAATCGCCTTGGAAATTCCGGACGAGGACAATTTCGTCAGGACGGTATTGATGCCTGCTAACGGGCAAGGCATCGTCCTTGGCAGCGCAGACGTCAACCGATTAGATTTACCCAACGTCCTCGCTACCAGCAGAGTCTGGTTCCATCTTGCTCTGCATCCCACTGACGCCGCGCCTGAGAAACTCACCCAAGACACCACCGCCAGCTGGTCAGCCGCAACAGTGTCCAGGCAGTTGCGAGACTGGAGATTACCAGAATGGGCTAATCGTCGCAATCGTTCGTCTGACTTCACTGCCGATTTCGACCATCAGGAATTTTATGATCGTTACCACGCTTTGGGATGCATGGACGGCAAGGATGGCATCCAGAACTGGATCTTGCAACGCGGATGGAGCAATGGCGAGGTAGTCGTTGGACAGCAACGTATCTGGGTCCGCGAAGGAACCTGGTGGGAAGCAGAAAACCAGCTCGACCTCAAGGCGCAGGACTTGACTGGTGCGAACATGCTGGGAAGCATGGTAGGTGCCGGTGGCCTCGAAAACAGCTATACGGCAAACAACCCTGCGATGGGCAGCGGCTTTTTCCCACCGTTGCCTGATATGAGCCCGCAGGCGAGCGCAACCAACATCCTGGGCAACCAAAGCACCGCTACTTTGGGAGTCAAGGGCGCAGCTTTCGATTCCAAGTCCATTGCTCCTACCACGGCTCCTACACTTCAAGGTCGTCCTGGAGATTACGGTCTTGGTGCGAAGGGCGATGAAGACAAGGGCGTCACCTACTACGATACTGAGACTGGCGGTAACATGGTCATCACAGAAACGGCTACAACCAAGACACGAAAGATTTGGGTAGCCTTTGTCTGGGCACTGACTTTCTGGATCCCCTCGCCTCTTCTCAAGTTTGTTGGCCGCATGAAACGCCCCGATGTTCGAATGGCATGGCGCGAGAAGGTTGTTCTTGTACTGCTCATCTTTTTGATCAACGCCACCATCATCTTCTACATCATTGCCTTCGGAAAGCTCCTCTGTCCCAACAAGGACAAAGCCTGGAATCGCAAAGAAGTGTCCACGCATCAAGGTGACAACGATTTCTACGTGAGCCACCGTGGCGTTGTCTACGATCTGTCGGACTGGTGGAAGGTTCAGCACAGTGACTCCCACACCAAGGTTACCACTGAATCTATGCAACCTCTAGGAGGCGCTGACATGGACCCGTACATCAGCCCTCCCCTGTATCTGGCCTGCCCCGAACTGGTCGACAACTACCTCATCAAAATCGTCCCCAACGACACTCTTACCAACGATAACGCCGCGGCGATCCATTCTTCGGGAAACATGTCGACCTCGACCGACAGCGACGCTCTGAGGAAAAATGACTGGTACCCTAACGTCTTCATGCCCAAGATCAAGGAGTTCCGGAAGGGCGACCTGGTCTGGGATACAAAGGATCTTGAAGACCAAGGTAGAAATGACGGACGCCCATGGTTCCGACTAGGCAACAAGGTCTACGACCTTACACCCTACTTCTACACACTTGATGTGCGACCCAACCTTCCGGAATGGGAGTACTTTGACTCCGACTTTTCAGACATGGTAAAGCAATTCGCTGGCCAGGATATCACCGAGCATTTCGAAAACACCCTGAACAAGACCACCCGGGACCACACGCTGCGATGTCTGCAGAATACGTTCTACGTAGGCATCACTGATTTCCGCAAGACGGCCCGCTGCCAGGTGAATGACTACATCCTTCTCGCCTGCACAATCATTCTATGTGCAGTCATTGTTATCAAGTTCCTGGCTGCGCTGCAGCTTGGTTCTAAGCGACGACCTGCCAACCAGGACAAGTTTGTCATTTGCCAAGTCCCTGCCTACACCGAAGGTGAAGACCAGCTACGGAAGGGGCTAGATTCTCTCACTGCTTTGGCGTACGATAACAAGCGCAAGCTCATCTGTGTCATTTGCGACGGTATGATTGTTGGTGGTGGTAACGACCGTCCTACACCCAAGATCGTCTTGGATATTCTTGGTGTTGACCCCCGCGTGGACCCTCCCGCACTTCCATTCAAGTCAGTCGGCATGGGAAGCGAGCAGCTCAACTACGGAAAGGTCTACTCTGGTCTGTACGAGTTTGAAGGCAACGTCGTTCCCTACATTGTCGTTGTGAAGATGGGTAAAGAGACGGAGCAAAGCAAGTCCAAGCCTGGTAACCGTGGAAAACGAGATTCGCAGATTCTGCTCATGAGCTTCCTCAACCGCGTCCATCACCGTGGCGCCATGAATCCCCTCGAGCTAGAAATGTTCCATCAAATCAACAACATCATCGGAGTAGACCCCGAGCTGTACGAGTATCTTCTCATGGTCGATGCCGACACGATGGTCAGGCCTGATGCGCTTACTCGACTGGTGGCAAGCTGCGCCAATGATTCCAAGATTGCCGGTATCTGTGGCGAGACGAGTCTGGAAAACGAAGACAAGTCTTGGTGGACTATGATTCAGGTCTACGAATACTACATTTCTCACCATCTGTCCAAGGCCTTCGAGAGTTTGTTCGGCAGCGTCACCTGTTTACCCGGATGGTATGTATTCCTTCTCTGTTCTGCTGATCACAACTAACTCCTACAGTTTCTCCATGTACCGCCTTCGCACAGCCGACAAGGGCAAGCCTCTCATCATCTCCGATAAGGTCATCAAGGAATACTCTGACTGCGTTGTCGATACACTGCACAAGAAGAACCTGCTGTCTCTCGGAGAAGATCGTTTCCTGACCACCCTGATGACGAAGCATTTCCCGACCATGTCGTACAAGTTCATTCCAGATGCCTACGCGTTCACAGCCGCTCCGGAATCCTTCAGCATTCTTCTCTCGCAGAGACGTCGCTGGATCAACTCTACCATCCATAACTTGGCAGAACTGATGCTTCTCAAGGACATGTGCGGTTTCTGCTGCTTCAGCATGCGTTTTGTTGTGTTCATCGACCTCTTCGGTACCGTCATCCTTCCATCGATCTGCGCCTATCTCGGATACCTCATCTACATGGTTGCTTCTGGCACTGGACAGTTCCCCATGTTCTCAATCATCATGCTGGCAGCCGTGTACGGCCTGCAAGCCATCATCTTTATCATCAAGCGACAGTGGCAGCACGTTGGATGGATGATCATCTATATCCTCGCCTTCCCCATCTACTCTTTCGTGCTTCCCATCTACTCCTTCTGGAAACAGGACGACTTCTCATGGGGTAACACTCGTGTTGTTATCGGCGAGCAAGGCGGCAACAAGAAGGTGCTCACCACGGACGACGAAGGGTTCGATCCTAAGAGCATTCCCCTCCAGCGATGGGACGACTACGCTCTTGCCAATGGTCTTCCTGGACGTCGGGGCTTGGCTGGACAGACCTCGGAGAAAGGTGGCTACAGCGCTTACGAAGATGAAGGCTACGAGATGAACGACATGCAGTCCGTCTATTCCTCCGTCAAGCCCGCCTCCACAATCATGTCCAACATGCACCACATCTCCCACATGCCTCCCAGCCAGTCTCCCGGGCCGTACCAGGCAATGCAGGCGCGCCAATCGTCGTACTCGAACTTCTCTCGCTACCAAGACAACCCCAACGGCCGTCTGATGTCCATGGGCGGCATGAGCGACCACTACGACCAGTCGCCATACAGCAGCCGGCCCAACGTCGGGGGCTTCCAGAGCTCCGACAACCTCATGACGGCCACGCCACCGGTGCGCGGACGCAGTCCTCTTGCCAGCGGCTACGCGCAGTCCCGGCCCGGCAGCACCGTCAACTTCAACGGCATGATGAACGGCCCCAGCGATGCAACCATCATCGAGACGGTCCAGCACTGCCTGCGCGAGGCCGACCTCGACCGCGTCACAAAGAAGCAGCTCGTTGCCCTCGCCGAGCAGCGCCTGCAGACCCAGCTCACCGGCGAGCGCCGCATCTTCCTCAACCAGCAGATCGACCACGAGCTTGCGAACATGGTGTAAGCCTTCCACACGCACGCCCTGCTTCGTTTTTGCCTGCACACGGCTTTTCTTAGCGCACTCATTGTACATTGCAAGCACGTCACGTCACGTCACGACTTTGTCATTTCTATCTGCACAAAAACATCCCTTTTCAGTGTGTGTCGTTCCTTACCATTGATTCAATGCGTCTCAGGCGCAGGCGTATAATGTTGGGAAAACCGGGTGTGACTGATTATGGGCCTGGACGGTCCGGTGGCTGAGCATTGGGAGCGTCGCTCCTTGGTTGCGAAGATTCTTCTCCTTGTTTTGATATTCCAGGGCGTTGTTGATATAGGTCATGTTTGTGGGTATACATAGCTTAATATGAAGAGTGTACAATCCGTCATCGCCATGTTACAGTGCACTGCCGTCTTCGAGCAACACGAGTGAGTGCATGCCCGTGGAAGGGGAGGTTGGATGGAGGGATGGATTCAACAGTCGTTGGGTATTCTAGCTTGTAGCCGCACCCCTCTCACCTCGCCGCCTTCTCGTCGTCAATCTGCCTCCGCAAATCCGCAAGCACCCCGTTCCTCCGCTCGAGATGGCTCTGCAGCCCCTCCACCTGCTCCTTGACCGTGTCAATCTCGTCCCTGATGCCGCCCAGCCCCTTGACGGCGCCGCCATCCCCGCTGTCCAGGTCCCGCAGCACGCCCCGCTTGTAGTCGAGCAGCATCTCCAGCTCGCGCTTCACCAGGGCGGGGGTGCTGTCGCCGCGGCGGCCATGGCGGCGGCCCTCGGCGTCCTTTTCCACGGCCGCAATCTTGTCCTCGAGCTCCTTGAGCTGCTTCTTGAGCCGGACTTCCTCCCAGTCCTCGGTCGTGCGCCCGCCGTGGTCTGTGCCGCGTGCGCGCGCGCCGTAGTTGTGCGCGCGGTCGCCGACGCCCAGGCGCGTGAGGTAGGCGTCGCCGAACTTGGCCTTCTTGCCCGTCGCTGTGTCGTCGCCGCCGCGCTCGGCCCACCGGCTGCCCGTCCGCTCGACGTCGTAGTCGATGTTCGCCTTCTCGAAGCTCGCTCTCAGGCTGGGCGGCACGCTCCGCGGGACGCGGAACCCCTCGCTCCGCTGGTTCAAGATGTGCAGAAACGCCAGGGTCGCGTCCTTGCCGATGTCGCCCCGCGCCTTGGGGTTCACCAGGTTCCAGGCGAAGCGCACGTCGGAGTCGGGCACGCCGTCGAGGGAGTCGAAGAGCGGCTGCAGCGTGGAGAAGGCGACGTTGCCGTGGGCGTCGCGGTTCGCCGTGTAGATTTCCTCGTACTTGGCCTTGTCGGCGGGCGACATGTACCAGTCGAAGCCGTCGCGCAGGCCGGGCGTGTCGTCGTCGTCGTCGACCGTCTCGAAGGCGGGCAGGCCGCCGGCCATTGCGCGCGTCGCCTGCACGAGGTGGGCTTTGGACTCGGGGACGAGCCAGTCGGGGAGGGTCTGCGGCACGTCGGCCGTCTCCTGCAGGCGCGCGTGTCAGCGAGTAGCTCCGGGGGTGCTGGCTGGCGGCCAGGTGCGTACCCCGTTGATCAGGTCGAAGATGAGGCGCATGGCGACGCAGAACTCCTCAAAGTCGAGCTTGCCATCGTTGTCCACGTCCGCCAGGTCCCACACGCGCTCGAGCTGGTCATCGCGGAGGTGGCTGTTCTTGAGCACGGGAGCGGCCTGCACCCCGTCGAGGTGCGTCGAGCCCTGCGAGAGCGTGCTGAAGATTTCCCAGTACTTTTCAATCTCCTGCTGCTCGATGCGCCGCGGAGCCATTGTGACGCGGTGTGTCGGGTGTGCGTGCTGGCCGTGAGCAGTCGGACTCGAGGAGCCGGTGGGTTGGGCTGCGGCATGTCGCGGTGCATCATGGCGGCGCTCCAGCTGCAGGGGTCCGGCCAGCCGAGGACGGCCCGGCCAGACCCATTGCTTCGCACTCGTCTCGGAGCCGTCCTTCACGAGCCGACTACGGCTGCATTGTGCGATTATTGGCTAACCAGCAGACAAAACACATGCCCACGTCCTCCGCCACGCCCACTCCCCATAGAACCCTCCCGTCCAAGACCTTCACACCCCTCCTACAGCGTCCCCATCCTCGCCCCCGCCCCCCTATCAGCCCTGACATACTGCCGCGGCCACTCCATCCCCACGCCCAGCTCCTCCGCCCACCGATACACCAGCCCCGCATCCCTCAAAAACTCGGTCGCTACCAACGCCAGATCCGCCTTCCCCTCTCCCACCGCCGCCTCCGCCGTCCTTGCATCTGCAATCCGGCCCACCGCGGCAACTAGCATGTCTTTGCCCGCGTCCCGCAGCGCCGTCTTGAGGTGGGCGGCGAGGGACGTCTGGTAAGATGGAGTCGAGGGTATGCGCTGGGCAGCGTTGTTACCCCCCGAGGAGACGTCGAGGATGTCGACGCCTGAGTCGGCGAGGACGAGGGCGAGCTGCGTAGCATCTTGGACTGTAAACTGTGGCGTCTCGGGTGCATGCATCATCCAGTCCGTTGCCGATATCCTTGCGGACAGCGCCACTGTGTCGGGGATCGAAGAACGTATCTCCCTCACCACCTCCAGCAGGAAGCGCGCGCGGTTCTCCAAGCTCCCGCCGTACGCATCTCGCCGGGTGTTTGACGCAGGGGACAGGAACGAGGAGAGGAGGTACCCGTGTGCGCCGTGGATCTCGATCAAGTCGAACCCGGCGGACACGGCGCGGGCGGCGGCTTGTCCAAACGCCTGCACCACCGTCTGGATGTCCTGCTCGCTCATCTCCTCGGGCACGACGTAATTGTCTTTGAATGGCACCGGGCTGGCACCCCACACCTCGTCCGGCCATCCTCCGTCCGCTTTCTCAGCGCGAACGACGGCGTGGCCCGGGTAGATGGGCAGCATGCTGGCTTTGCGGCCTGCGTGGCCGAGCTGGATGCCGATCTTCGCGTGCCCTCCTGCAGTGGGTTCGAGGCCGTGCACGAAGTCGACGACCCGCTTGTGCGAGGGGATGTGCGCGTCGGACCAGAGGCCTGCGTCGGAGGGGGAGGAGCGGCCGTTTGCGAGGACCGCGGTGACCTCGACGATGGTGAGGGCGGCCCCGCGGAACGCGAATTGCCCGTGGTGCATCTGGTGGAACTCTGTGAGGTTGCCGGAGGGGTAGGAGGAGTACATTCCCATTGGGGAGACGACGATGCGGTTGCGTAGCGTGAGGCCGCGGACTTGGAGGGGTTGGAAGAGGCCAGGGACGTTTTGGTCTTCCATGTTTGGTTCAGCATCGACGCTGTGGTTTTCCGTGATTTGCTGTGGTGGGAGGGAGCTCATGATGTATTCGATGCGGTGGGAGTGAGGTAGTAGCTGTGCTGAGATGGATGGGTAGATGCATGTTGAAAACCTCTGTGGGAATACATTCATGTAGTCTTGATCAGTCGGAGTGAGTGTCTATGCCGTGTTTCTGTTCCGCCGTGACGGCGGAGGAAATGGTATGGGGGTGGGATGGGATGTACACTCCGTTGCGTACGTCTGGGCATGGCTACCATATGCTAGCATCTCACCGACGCTGACAAATATGGTACCTTACAAAAGATATCTGCTCCGCCGCATGGCGGAAGACGCCCCAGATCTTTGCAGGTTCCCAACATTTTATGCTAATCCGGACTTAGTTCCGGTCAGAAGTATAATCAATTCATGTCAGAAGAATCGACTGCGAAGAAGCGGAAGCTTAGGAAAGGAACGCACAGTTGTTGGGAGTGCAAGCGGCGGAAAGCAAAATGTGTGTTTTCCAATGAGCATGACACAATGTGCGTTGGATGTCTTCGGAGGGGTACCAGATGCGTTGATCAAAATGAGAGCATTGTTGAGCCGGAGAGTAGGGATGGCGCGACAAACCGTCGGCTTCTGCGGATCGAAGCGATGCTGGAAACGTTGCTCGAGAGACAAGTGGCAGACGGTGCAGTATCTATGAAATCGATCGAGAGAACAAGTCCTGTAATTGACATGGAGGCGGGAAGCATGAAGCTGTGAGTGACGATTCTACCCAGACGACGTGACCTTGCTTTTGAAACTGGATGTCGTGTTGACAGGAGATTTCTAGGTCCCATGATAGCGAAGGAATCACGAGTCGCAAACGATTGAGACATCCTTCCCCACGAGTAGAAATCACTCAAAGGCCCTCTCCCAAGCGATTGTCAATACCGCGTGGTCTAAGCACTACCCTATCAGAGACTCTTTACAGTCTCTTACCGTCGCAAGAAGAATGTCAGAGAGTCTGCAGCTCGAGCAAGTTCCTGCCTTGTTTCTTCCAGCAGATGCTTACTAGAGACTGGAAGACTATGTCAACGTCACAAGACCTTCCTATTCTCACGTCTAGCCGTGTTGCCAGATTGCCTTCGCCAGACGTCCACCCCATCCTCATCGCACAAAAGATGCTGATGCTTGCGTGCCTTGCTCAGTTCGTCTCGCGGGAGCTGGATAATGGTGAGTGGAAACACAAGGCAGAGCATATGGCATCAACAGCCATTGATGTGGTGGCCAAGGAAGAGCTCTGTCACAGTGCGGAAGGACTGGAGTGCTTGATGCTCGAGGCTACGTATCACGCAAACAATGGTAATATGCGGAGGGCTTTCAGTGCCGTACGGAGGGCGGTGGCTACTGGGCAGTTGCTTGGTATACATCGCTCGCACCAATCTAGCGTTCTGCAGCTGGACAAGACAGCCCCGCCTTTCGATCCGGCGTATATGTGGTATCGCATTGTCTCAGCCGACAGGTTGTTCAGCCTGGTTCTTGGTCTACCCCAGGGGTACTCAAGCACACTCCGTACTCACATCATAGACCTCGCAGCATTAGATCCCGAACAACAGCTAGATAGACGGCACAGTGAAATAGCATCCTGGATCCTCGACCGCGACGAACGCAACCCTGAAGATATGCTCACCACTCAAACCATCGACAGCGCGCTGCAAGACGCGACCTCCCTCCTCCCCTCAGACTGGTGGCTCCCACCACCGCTCCACAGCCTCACCTCGAGCCGCTCCATATTCCTCTCAACAATCCGCCTCGTCGCCCAAGTCCTCCACTTCAACCTCATCAATCAGACCCACCTGCCCTACCTCCACCTCCCTGGCCCTGTCCACGGCTACAGCAAAGCCGCCTGCGCCACCGCAAGCCGCGAGATCCTGGTTCGATACCTGATCTTGCAGGACTCGGGGTTCGTCGCACACACCTGCCACATGGTCGAGTTCTTCGCCCTCATAGCAGCGACGACGCTCACGCTCGCGCACCTGGAGCGCCACTGGCAGGACACCTCGCCGGAACTGAGCGTGCTCGCGCACGTCCGGGCGAGCGACCGCGCGATGGTGGAGCGGGCGAGAGATTGCATGGCGCGGTTGACGGCGTGCAAAGGCGCGCAGATTATTGAGCACCTGCTGCAGATCGAGGACGAGGCGTTTCGCACTCGGAGCGTGGGATGCGGTACCATCGTCAAGGACTATCCGGACGAGGGGCCGTTCTTTGAGATGGGGATACCGTATTTTGGGCGGCTGAGACTGAATTCGGCGAAGCTTTGTTTTCAACGGGCGGCGGATATTGAGGATGTCAGCTTGGGTGTGAAGAGTGGAGGGGACTGTGGAGGTGGGGAGGAGATGCTTGGTTTTGAGGCGTTTGACTTGAGTGCGTTTGTTGGTGATGGCGGGACTACAGAGCTGGCTGATTTGTTCTCGCTCTGAACGGCGGTCATCATGATGGCTACGTGTTTATACTGGAGCGTGTCACGTATACTATCCCTTCCTCAAGAGCCTACTAGCAGCAGCTCATTCAATGAGAAGAAGGTCGCGTCGAAAGGAAAGCATGGGATATCTACAGTACTTGGAACTTCGGACTTGCTCATAAGCTGAGATAACAAGCCATTTGGCTTACCATTCTGACAAGATTGCTGGCTCTAGAATTGAGCGACACATGCCGTTGTTTTCAGTCCGGATAGTGTCCTGTGGATAAGAAATCGAAGCTCTAGGTCGCACTCTAGATGCACTCTTTCCCTACAAGGCAGTATCAATAAGTAGTCAAATGTATGTAGAGCCAGGAGAGGCTATGCGAAGGACGTTCTCCCGGGCTCAGGACCATCTGAATTGGTACTCGTACTGGGACTGTGGCATGTCTTTGGAGTTGCTATTTTAATGCGTCTAGTTGCTCTCATGGACTGTCGTAATTTGTTACGTTAGGTATGATTCAGGACATTGCGCGGGGTGGAGATCAAGTACAATACCGTTCTATTCGGTGGCCATTGGCTGACTATCACCGAATCCATGCAGACCTTCTACTGCTGGGGTGTTGACGCTCTGCCTCGTTCTTGCAAGTGGTCGCTACGGATTTCTTTCGACGAGCTCGACGAAACCCCGGAGATTGCTGGCTTCGACAGTGGCTGGTGGCTACAACGCAATGCTGCGCTGTTCCGAAGCCTACTTGACATCTGCGTCTGGGCCAGCAACTGGGAGATGCATCCGAGCTTTCCAGGTAATATGCTTGGCGATAATCTTTTCCCCGAGGAACGTTGGTGGAAGATCAAGAAACGTCACGGAAAAGCAAAGCATCTCCAGCTTCACGCCTGCAACAAGGACTTCTGCATCCCCACACTCTTGAAGAGTGCCAAGTATCGACCCTTGGGTTCCCGACCCTCGAGCAGGTGCATCCTTGACAAAGACTTCAAGACAGACGGTGGGAAGGAGAAATAGGTCAAATCCGTCGCGAAAATGTTCGAGAACGGTATCTGAGGCTCAGCGAGGCTTGTGGTGGAGGGTCCGGATTCAACAATGCTAGTATGGTATCACTCGCAACATACTCAACCATTCTGCAGGTGGTACCTGCATAAAGAGTAGGTATGTCAAGGATTGAACGGATGACCCGCATGACTCTCTTCAATCGATGTTGGACAATGCCTAGATTGCATACCTTCACGATTGACAGGACATGAATGGAGGCGGTGATACCCACCAGTTTGCAATGCATGCATATCCCCACAGTTGCTGATAGGTGGCGAATGAATTTCCAATCAAAACCTTCCACAAAACAGAAGACCTGATGCCGCTCACGATTACCTACTACAAAGCAGTGTAGTTATCCAAAGAGCTGGACCTAGATCTCAAGCACCACGATTATTCTGCACCTCATTCCTCATTCCAACGGCCGATGCCACAATTCAGACATCTCTCCGTCGACGACATCCAAGCTCGGACCTTGCCATGCACACGCACAAAGACACCCGCAGCATCAACACCCCCGATCTCCTGAACCGACCTACCGGAACCCATGATAGCAACTACACACGCCCATTCGAAACCCTTCAAACCACACCATCTCGGCCAGCACGATAACATCGAGACGAGAGAGGATGCACAAGAACGCCGGTACAAATTCTCCTCTAATTCAAATCATCAGGTCTCGCTTAGGCTGTATATTCCAAAACAGGGCTATCTGATCAGCCTGCATCTGAAAGGTGAAGTCTTACCGACAGCACTCTCCCTCCCCATCAGCATGTTCCCTGTCCGTCTCCCGTGATGTGGTTACCACGCCAGTACCCCCTGGATTTGAACCCAACTCCCATACGAAGCCTACAGCACAGGCACAGCAACAAGCGCGTGGTTCAATACACATGCAACGTATACCCCGTGCTGCTTCCAAGTGCAGCAAAGCCACTGTCCTCGACAGGCCATATTCATTCATTGGGATGTACAGCAGAACTCTCATGAGCCTGCGCGCACTCACCCCGGCTTTTACCATGTGACTTTACGGAACCAGTTACTTACTCCAGGTAGCGAATGTGCTCAATCGCTATTTCTGTCGAGTCGAATGACGGATTATTGGGTTCCTGTGCTATTGCATACCTGCAGGCTTCAAGTGTCGAACTATCGACATGTCTAGCATGCCAAGCGCGCGCAGTATATTAGTATTATCAACACGCAAAGGGTAGAACGACCAGTAGAGTAGAGCAGAGAGTGTGGCAGTCAGGTCCGTGGTGAACGCGTTGTTCATTGCGAATGCGCGACCGCGCGATATATCAGGCGATACCTTCTGGCGCATTTCAAATCTAGCCCAGAGGCGTCTTGTGCTACGGATGGAGAGATAGGGGCAGTGTTTTCGGAGTGGCAAGTATCAGACGAGATGAGACTGGAAGTGCCGTTGCGCGGCCTGGGAAACGAGCTCCAACGGAGCAACGAGCCCGCGACGGGCATTACCAGCAGAGTGCACTGCACGCGAGAGTTGTAGATGTCTTGGTCTGATCCATCCAACGCATTGAACCTAGGAAGATACGTCGACACAAGGGAAAGTCCTACTCCATCGATATCTTATCGTAATGGCTGCGTCAACATGCGTTCGCGAGTGCAAGCTACAGGCGCGGAAACTTCTTATCTAGGAGTTCGCCTGCCCCAGTCTTCCACAGAGCGAGGGCGACAGCGCGTCCAAAACCCACCCAGTCGCCTTCCCCGCCGCGTCGAGCGCCAGATTGCTCCAAGACACGACTCTGATCTATGGCAACAATACGATCACGACGAGACATGTCTAAGCTGCGCGCAGGGTCTACGCTGGCAATCAAAAATACCATTGCTAAATTTACTTCCCCTTTGGTTAGGTACTCGTAAATTCCTGCACGAATCGGGTAAATGACTAAAGGAGCAGTCACATCCCGAGGGTAGATCCCTTTGAAATCTTGGGGTGGCTTACTTTGGAATCCGGAGTGCCTAGGCACTGTAAAATCGGCTTTGACTGTCACGTGAGTTGTTCCGACACCTCGATGTCGCGTAGTCAACGCGACCGACAAGTGGTACAGACTGCAATCCGATTCGGATTCGGTCTGCAGTAAGGATAACCTGAAACGCAACCGTGGGAACTAGCTAAGAGGACGATGATAGGTACGTGCAACGGTGCCGGCCGATGTCGTTGCACACCGGCCATTGATTCCTAAGAGGGCAGCAGGCGCAAAGAGCGTGACGACCGAACACAACAGTGGCGACCGGCTAGGCTAGCAAGATCCAGTGATGCTCCCGTGTCAAAGGGACGTCACGCCAAGGTACGGTCTCGGGGAAGGGCGCCCACACCGGCGGCTTGCTTCCTACCGGCCCTGCCCTTGTAAGTTGCATGGTAAACCCGTGCGTCCAGAATCGTGGATAGCTCATGCAAGTCACCCGTGTGGGCGCTTCAGGAACGATTTTCCCCACACAGAAGGTTCCGAGGAGGCAGCTCGAGACCTGGTAATTGGGCCTGTGCCCTTGCTTGGGTGAATGCTGGCTAAGCGTCCGTGTAACGTGCTGGCAGAAGAGCCCAACAACCAGGTTTTCGAGGGGGTGCTCGCGGGCAAAGGACCCTGTGGTAAGGGCACTCGGCTTCGCCCGAGAATGGAATGCGCGCTAAGGTCCCAGACGTACGATCCTCGAGGAATGTGTTCAACAATGATCGTCAGCCTTGATCGTGATGGCTTATCCATAACGTTGTAGCTCGACAGTCTAACGCCAGCTTTCAGTAGCTTGCGAGATGTGCCTAACACCAGAAGGTGCTCGTTGGGTCGCGACTGACCCCAAGGCTTGGATGCGCTGTCGAGAGATGGTGTTGCAATACAGAGGGCTGGACACGCGGCGAATGACAATTGCTCGGATGGCGCCTGTGTTCGGTAGGTGTGCGCTCGGAATCGATCGCCGAAAGAGGGAAAAGAAGGACCCTCACATGCTCCTCTGCCCAGCGAGCCCGCCGGTCGGTGAAGAGGACTGGTGAACGTTAACCGGTTCTCCCGAAGAAACCGAGGAGAGCTAAGGCAGGTAAATCTGCTTGTGGTGTAGCAGATGTAACGATTAATGGAGACAGCAGTCCGCATGTGTAACAAGCATCACTGTCCATTCATCTTGACAAGCTACAACGCCGTAGGCCGACGTTGCACGAGCGATGGTTTGCTTTGTGTTACACAAAGGTCGGGCGGCATCTGTGTGTACATTTCTCATCCCCCAATTGACCAGATGTACCCACTGCAAGCTGGCCAGGAACCCAGTTGCAACGGCGGGGAATCGTGCTCGCGTGTGGGACGGGTCGCTGCAGAGGGGCAAAGAGAGTGTGGTAGTCTGTCGTGCATGGACGTATCAGCCGTAGGTTACGGAAGGCCCGAGGCCATGGCGTGCGTCCCTCGTGGTAGAGATGACCCTGGCCAGGGCAACGCCATCAAGCCATAGTCGGTTTGAAGGCTGTCTCTTAGCTGGGGATTACTGGCAACGCCAGTCACGCGCGACTGAGTTGCTGTTCACGATAGGCATCGCGAAAGCAGAGTCCGGCAAATCTTCAGGAAAACAGCATGACTTCTTGAATGGACTGCGTCTCAAGTAAACATTGGGACCTACCAATTCGGGAGATCACAGCATTTCAGAGTTTCCAAGGACTACAACGTCCATTGCATTCATTCGCAAAGCTCCAGACGCTGCGGAGGCATGGCCGAGTAGCCATGGGATCCCGCATCGTCAGGTGCTTTGCTGGTGCATATGGCGCCCTCAACCTGCGACGAGTAAGTTTTGGCGAGCGTGGAATCCGCCCAGCGCGGCGGGTTTTCTCGGGCGTGATCCCAAGCGTTCGTTGGAGCAGCCCAAGGAGGCGCTCAGTGACGTCCACGAGGACGTGCACGGAGTGTGAGCCGACGACGTCTGGTGTCAACGGATATCAAATGGGACTAGGGCAGGACCGCAAACGCAGCGGATACACCCGCTAAGTCGTATCGAATGCGGAGATGAAGAACAGGCTTCCACTGCGGGCGGCAGTCCTGCACTGCGACGATGGCAGGGCTGCAGAGGCAAGGTTGAGGCTGGCACCTGCGCAAGCGCAGCGGTTCCTGGATCCGCGCATACTCTGAAACGACCGGGAAGGCAGCCATCGAAGTCAGCATGCGGCGAGGGCGATTGTTGCGAGCATTGCAGAGCTCGTTGATGCGTTTCGGGGGGCGGATGGCTGACGTTTGGACACAGCCGCAGGCAAACCGCCAGCGACCCCATTCGGGTAAGAGCGCTGGATGACACGGCAACAGCTGCTAAGAATACATACAATCATACCGGCGCTGGGGCGTTCGCGGAGAAAGAGAGCTTGAGGCCACGGGCAGCGCGTGCGGGCGGAGAGGCGTGGGCGCGGCGCGGGCGGCGTGAGGCAGAGCGGAGGCAGAGCGGAGAGGCAGCGCTTCCTCAACACCACGTCGTCGACGCGGGCGCAACCCGCGATGGGCCCGGTCGGCGGAGGTGGTGCACTCGCGGTGGGGACGGCGATGCCATGGCGCCCTGCAGGAGCCGGCAGACAGGCAGGAACCCGCCGTCACGGCCGGGCTGGGCTGGTATCGAGCGTTGGTCCGGAAGGCGCGACGGCGCTCTTGCCCGTCCTCAGGTGGGCGAGGCAGGCGAGGCAGGCGCGGCGGGCAAGCTCAGCAGGCAGGCGCGTGCAGCTGGGTCGCGAATCGCACAAGAGCGCCGGCGTGCCACAGCGAGGGCTGGCAGGCTCCCTTTGCTGGCGCTCGCGATGGCGACGCAGCCGTGCCTGAGCGCTGCTTGCGTTGGGGGTGGCTGTTGGAGTTGCAGCAGGGGCGATTAAGGTTGCTGCAAGCCACGCCAGGAATAGATGGCCGACGATTCGCTTGCCGGGGCGCAGGCCAGTGCTGCTGCTCACCACACTCGCATCAAGCCCGTCTGCCTCCCTTCCGGCCTCACGCTCCATCTGATCGCTGCCGTCACGGAGCGCTGGGCACGGGCGGCCATGGACGCCTGGTCCGGCTGCCCAGCCACGAATCCCCGTGCCCTGCCCTCTCTCCGCGCTGTGGCTCTGCTGCCGCCGCCGGGCCATGCGTGCGTGCGTGCAGGCCTGCTATCCAATGTCTGCGTCGAGAGCAGCGTAGCTGTGCTGATGCTGCTCACGGCCATTCTGGTCGGTATAACACCCTACGTGTCTGTTGTCCTCACGCTGTGCCCCGACGTCGACATTCACCCACGCCGCACTGCCCATACCCGTCTCCATCACCTCCCCACCCCCCCCAACAACACGCTCCTTTGCACCCAAAGCGCCCCTCGTTTGCTCGCCAGCACCACTACGCCATTCTCCGCCCTGAGCGCCTCACGGACTGGCGGTTTCGGCGCATTGGCCCTGGCCCTCCACATTCTCGCTCCCTGCTCTGATCTGCTCTGGTCTGGTCGGAGAGCCCCGCCGGCCCTCTAGGCACTGGCCGCGCCCGTCGCCCGTGGGAATTGCAGTCTCATAGCTCTGGGCTGCTGCTTTCATTCTGATCACCATCCGTCTCACCTGCTCGTGCACCCATCCCATTCACTGCGGCGCCCACGCACTAGCACCCAGCGTGCAGCTGAGCTTACAGCCGAGCAGCCTACTGCGCCATCCTGGGCCGCCAACAGAGCCTCAACGCACGGGGTCCTGCCGCCCGCTGCCATTCTGCCGCTGCTGTCTTTTTTAGCCATCCCGGTCTGTCAGGCACTGCGCGACGTAGTGCTCAACGGTAAGATTAGCGGGCGTGGGAGGGCGTGCTCTAGCACTCACTGTCCTAGTAGCCTACCACGCCGGCGGACTCGGTAATCACCAAGAGTCTTCCGAGCCTTGAGAGGTAAGTCTGCACGCTCTTCCTTGCATATCCTGGTCGTCGTTCACACGGCCAATCCCACCACCTCCCGCCCGCCTGGGTGCACCGTTGCCTCTGCTCCTCCATCCTCCTGTCCGTCTTAACTCCTCTCTTCCGCAGTCATAGCTCCCTCTAAGATTTGTAGTTTCTTTTCGTTCCGCTCTGCAAATTGCTCGCCCCGCCCAAGCACGCACATACTGGCCAGCCCTGGCCCTATGTCTCGCTTCCTTTGTCCACCATGTAAGTCATCACATCAATTTGCGGGTCTCTGCAAGTCGCGTCTCAAATCATATCGCTCACCTCCACTTCAGAACCGGAATTTGCTCTGATTCAGTGCTGTTTGCTACCGAAGCAACCCTCATTCTCCCGCTTCCGTCGTCGGGACACTGTTGTTGTCTGAGTTGCCTCTGGCGGAGAAGTGGACCCACTTGTAGACAAGACAGACAGACATTCAAAGACCCCCTGATCCCCGGATGAATCGACTGTTCAAGCACTCAGATCACCTGTCTCTGGGGAGGCTTCTTCTGTCCATCTCATTCGTCACAAGGCCTGCCAAAACAGTCTCCTGTTCCCTCCTACCCAGCCTCACAGTCTCCACTTGTCGCAACATTTGCATAAACCGAGATCCTATTGTCAAATCTACTATCGAGACAGCCCACACGCCGCGTGCTCAATCTGTGCATGTTCCGCCCCGTTCTTGTTCGGTGCTGAACTCACGCATTTGTTCTTTTCGCTTGGTTTTAGCAGCTTCAAAACACCGTCAAGCTGGCCTGCACCGTAGACTCTAGCTATCAGGTGCGTCTTTCTCCCTCGTACGTTGAAGTTTTCAAAGGCCCGCGGGCTTTTCTAAGCCCCGCTGCTACCTACTGCTGCCTGCGAAACGACCCCCATCACGAGTTTGCCTGCTAATGTTGTCCTGAGCACAGCCTGATAGCGACCGCGCGCCCTTCTCCGTAGGCGGCAACTATCACTCCTCTAAGCACTTCTTAGCACAGTACAGTCAAGACCTGGGAAGCGGTCCGCTGGTCGCGCCAGCTGCGTGGGCTGTCAAACCTTCGTCCATGTCTGGTTACCATAAGAACCAAGACCAGTATGTGTATGGTAAGTGCGTTGCGGCGCAGATGACGGGTCCGACAGGGCAGATGCTACCACCTGGTCGGATGGACCCGGTCAGGTCCCACGTGAGTGCGGTTAGCAGTTCGACTGACCAGCCCACCCTTCCAGATTCCGAAGCCACAAGACCGAATCAGCTTCCGAGTTACGGGGGCATTGCACAGCCTTCATTCGCGTCGCAATACACCGACGCGCCCACACGTTTGTCCCATGAACCTGCGAATGTAGAAATACCATTTATCCCTAGTTCGACGTACGAGTCACGCGGCACGGGCTATCCAGCCGATTCCTCTTTTATCGCTGCAAAGTCTCGTCATCCCGATACCTACACTCTCACCGAGTCCGAAATAAGCGAACGTATCCATCCTTCGCAAGGCGTCGCTGGTTCCAAAGTGCTTCTGCACCTACGGACGAGATTTGATCTTGAGGCTGACCCGCTCAAATTTACCATCATGTTTGGGGAACAGAAGTGCGTTGCCGCACTGCAAAAGATGGACCAAGATGACGAGTTCTACCACTACGCTCTCAGCGTCGAAGTTCCTCCCTTCCCGCTCACCAACTCCTTCGACCCGACGATGATGCTCAAGTTGCAGATGGAAGGCAGAGATGGGCGGCTAGGAACCCCAATCAACGCTGGAAAATTCACGTTTAACGATATGGCTGATCCGCAGTTCCAAACTTCCCCAGACGTTGCCAGGATGAAGCGCAAACTTTCCAGTGATTACACTGAAGACTACTCAGATCATGCCGCCAAACGCACACAATCCATACGCTTTCAAGCAAAACCACGAGCAATGTCTGGCACGTACTCAGCAGCCTCCGTGTCACCGCTTCCAGCACAATCATCCCTGTCCAACCCGTATGGATACGGAGGAGGATACGACATTGCCAAGCAGACGAGCTATACTCCTCAGATGTCTCAAAAAGGTCTTTATGCTGTACCCTCTGGCAGCAGTATCTCGCAGAACGATATGAAGCCGCCGCAGATGTCGCCGAACCTATCGTCCTATGGTCAATACAGCTCCCTAGGACAGAGAAGCCCCGCCTCTATGGCTGTCACCCCAACCCGATCCACTGTGCATTCTTCGCCGTCGGCTCTTCCAACACCGGTGCTGGTACGAGCGACGACACTGCCGCAGTCTGCAGCTGCGCCTTCCGGCCAACCATTCAATCCGTATCTGATGTACCCAACGAAGGCGGTCCTCAAGATCGATGGAGATCTGGACACAATGATTGACAACTGGACCCAGGACGAGCGAGACGCCCAGCGCCGCCTTGTAGAGTTCAAGAGATCTCAATCTGGCAGTACCATTACCACGTCTTTCGCTCCGATAACTCTTGAGACCAGACAATCGCGTAGCATATGCGTCAGCTGCATCTACTGGGAAGAGAAAGACGAGTGCTTCATCACCAGCGTGGACACCATCTATCTTCTCGAGCAGCTAGTCAATGTACGGTTCACGGTCGAAGAGAAGAATCGCATCCGGCGCAATCTGGAAGGCTTCCGTCCGCTCACCGTGTCAAAGGCGAAATCTGAGAGCGAGGAATTCTTCAAGGTCATAATGGGCTTTCCAAACCCTAAGCCGCGCAACATCGAGAAAGACGTGAAGGTGTTCCCCTGGAAGATATTGGCGCATGCGCTCAAGAAGATCATCAGCAAATATGTAGGTAACCCCCTCTTGCAACGCGTCAAACAAAACTTATTAATCCTAGACCGCAAATTACTCCTCGACAGCCGGCGCCGGCTCCCACCCTGTAGGATCTAGCTCGGGCTACGGTCAAGTCCCTATCTCGCAGACGACCGGAGACGTCCATCGCAATACCTCGCCGCGATCGATATCCAGCTCGGTGGCTTCTGCCGCGTACACTCCCAGCATACACTCGACCAGCCTCTCACCACACCTCAGAACGTCAGCAGGCATGGATGGATCAGCAGGACACAACCTATCGATCGCGCCGCGAGGTCCCACAGGGCAGGTTATGAGTCAGTGGGGGACCTCGACTCGTCACCAGGTACCGCAGTACACAACAGGGCTTACCCCAGGGCGCGACTCCTGGGAGTACGGCTATCTCCAAACTTCCTCCGCGGCGGGAGTGCCTGCGGCCGCGCAACCGATGCAGATGCAGCGCTCCGATATCACGCCCGAGCTGAACCAGCTCTCAGCCGATAACCCATACCAACAATACGGGCAGCGCACAACACGAGTGTAGCATCGACGCCTTTCGATACTCTGCGGAGTGGAGCAGGCGCGTCGTCGTGCTCGATAATGGTGGTGAGCATGCACGTCGGGTGATCTACGCCGTCCTCATGATCCTCCCACGCGATGCCCGATTTCGCCTAGCACCACCTCCTCCACACCCTCTTCCGCGCGTAGTCTGCCTCGCGTCGCACACAGCGCCCGCGCCCTTGCTTCATAGAGTTTCTTTCCTATCGACTACTCACTTTTGTCCTCTTGGCGTCAGCTCCGGATTCTACAGGCCACCGCAGCGCCTGACTTGGATTGCATCATACACAATACCCCCGGACGGCAGGCGGCGTTTGAGAAATATTTTCGGTTCATCATGGGTTGGGTGCGTGGGGATTTTTTATTACTATCGCGACATATGGTATCTTTTACACGGGCATCATGGGGGACCACGGCGTATGGATAGAGTCGGCTGATGCGTGGTGCATCGTATGACTTGAAGAGCAAGCATATCGGACGGGCTGGGCTGGGGCTGACACTGCATCTGATTTGGCGTTTGCTTCGAGCTTTGGGAACTTTCTCTCCTTATTTCCTACTACCATTTCCCCTTCGACACGATCGTTTCATGCCCTTCGCTGTTCTTTCCCGCAACGACATTACGATGCGCTCCTTCACGACCTCTTCGGTGCTTACGTCATTTCTGGAGGATCTGGGTATTACTAGGAGCCTGAGGCATGCATAGCAATGTTGGACTGGTCTCAAGATTCCTTTTCCATCCTTTCTCCTTTGGACGGACAGGTTTTCCTATATACCCTTCCCCTCACCCTTCACTTCTTTCTCTTCACCAAGATTCCCCACCTATTGTAATCTATACAGTACCGCAATGCTACCTATCGCGCGAGACCCACGCCTAACCATCCATACATCATCACACTGTGTCCTCTGCCTTCCAGCCTGAAGCTTCTCACCCCAAACCTCAGGTCATGGCGATGTTAATCCCCGAGTGCGCAAGGCAACAGCTTTCCATCCGCTTCCTTGTCCGCCGTGCAATAAGAAGGCGAAGCACACCGACTCCGCCTCACTCCCGCACGACTGGCTTACCTCACCCGTCACCTGTCACATACGCACGCAACCTCCTGCTGCTAGGAATGCAAGCACCCGGTCCGTCGCCGTCGCCGTCACACTGCGTGCGCATAATACATCCCCGCCCCCACCTCCAATCCCCAGTCCCTATTCGCACACCACACGTTGCCCACATTTGCGCATATTCAAACGTGCAGTTCACGCATGTGCGCGAGGTAGCTTGACCGCACATGTGCTCGTGCGTGTGGCGTGTGCGTGGAGCCGGGTCGCACGCCTGACAGGAAGGATCGCGGCTGTGTGCATTTAGCGGCCGCGACGCTGCTATCTTGGGCGCGTGGTGGGATTTAGCAACGGATCGGGTGGGGAAAAGTCAGGTGGGAAATAGTGGGGACGATGCGTAGCCTGGTAGAGGGAGGTTGGTAGGAGCGTGCGTTGTCCAGGTGATGGGTAGGGCACGTGACATTATAGTAGGAAAGTTTTCAGTGAAGCTGTGTCTTCAGAAAATAGTGGTGCTGTAGTTCTGAGGTGATCGGAAATGATGGCTATCCTCGATTTGCGGGCGTGAAGGGAAGAGCGGACGTTGTGCTGAGGTCAGCGCGTGTGGTGAAACGGTGCGCTTACTGTGATGGCGGTTGTTGAAACGATGGTTGGAAGTTGTCAAGGCTGGTGGAGTGAGGTAAGCTGGTGATAATGTATACGTGTGTTCTTTGGATTGCTTTGGTGAAGCGATGCACTCGCTTTGCAGATGAGATCATCGCCGTTGTTTGTAAGTCTGCATGGGAATGAGGAAAATCACCCGCGCGTTTTCGAGGGAGATTTACTGCTTCTGGTGAACCAAAAATGTTTAAGGTATGGTCAAGTAATCATTGGATTAAGTTTGTAGGGTACGTTAATCTACTTTTGTAGAGTCATTTATGATGTTCTGAACGATTAACATTCTGCACTGGTGATCCTAGACTTCAATGTAATCATGTACGATATTTCGGATTCTTGCACATGAAGGTCGCAAAAAGTCCTTGAAATAAGAAGTGGCAATGCCATATTGGGGCCAGCCCGTACTCCTTATTGTGCTGCTTTCTGACACCAACATATACCACAGGCCTCACTGATAGCACTTTTACCAGAACGATTACAGAGATGCTAAAGCACTCACCCAACCGGTTTAGTAAGAACGGAGAGGACAAGGACTAGACACCACTCGCGACTGCCCGCCAAGTTCCTGCGCCAGAGTCCTCTAGAGAGAATAGTCTGCTTAAGACAACCCGACAGCTCCCGGCAGCAGATTCTTCGAAGAGCACTCATCGTTCTCCACTAAAGACATCCAGAATAACCAAACTGGTGCCTACTTCTTCAAGCAAGAAACGGCCCGACTACGAGAAGACAACGGAAACAGGTGCAGTCAAACATACGAGTGCTGGTAGTGCATCTGCTACAAAGTCGAGGTACCCCGAGTACGCCACGCGTGGACTCACCCAGCACCAGATACAAGTGCAGGAGGTACTAATGCTAAAGGTACCCTGTCCGCGGAACTTTATCTGGATGAAGCAGAAAGTGAGCTGGAGGTGTGAAGAGGGGCCCATTGGATGTATGATGATCAAGTAGAGCGGCTCGCACGTGGCGAAGACCCTGCTGTTGTCGGTTGCCAGGCGGGCCCTGGGCCAGCGGGGAATGACACCAACCCGGGCAGGGCGGCGCTCCGGGCGATGGCCCAGTATGCCCAAAGGAAAGGAATGCGATAGGCCTACAATAAATCACATGTTGAGCCCGGTACCTGCCCAAGACGATGAGTTTTCAACTGAGTTTTGAATGTTCAATTACAGATCCAGTCTCAATGGCAAGTTCCTGCACCGTGTTTGGAACGACTGGCTCGGCAATGATTCAAAGCATTAATTGGCATGGAACATATTAGACGCTATATAATCTTTTCGAGAAGGGTGAGTTTGGGATCCGAGGAGCATTCTCAAGCCTTGGTGTGTACTCCGCATTACACCAATGGCTGTGAATACTAGAGTGAAATATGCAGAATACACGCGGGGGTGGCAGCATTGGCCGCAGATTTGGAGCATACGTGAGAGATTGAAGGTACTTGCAAGCGTGCCATGCATACATGAACTGCCCCAAGCCTGGGAGGAAGGAGCAGATGATAGCCTAGGAAAGGCGGAGACATATGCGGATATGGTTGCATTGGTAGTCTCGATGAGAGCACTCATCGCATTCGTAGATCTAAATGGAATGGAATTGGCAATCGTCGAAATGCGTCACCTGCACTACATCAGCAATCTTCTGCGTCATGTCTTCGACAAATGCAGCCTGTGGAAATGGATGCACAGAGTTTGATTCAACAAAAAGGTCAATAGGAATGTATACCTTAGAAGCCCCGTAAATGCGAAGACGTGATATCCCCTGGGATACAGAGTCTAACAAAGGTCCGCTGTGAGCTCAGACAGGCTCATGGGCTAGGCAGGAGTAGCCTGGAAGACGTAATAGACCGGGGCGCGTAGCAATACGACAAGGAAGACTACCATCCACAGTCCTCATTATTTTACAATTATTTATCCGCATGCAATCACGCTTGGTATACTACAAGACCTAGAACCGCACAGGAAAAGAACTGCCTTTTATCCCACCTTAAGTCCATGGAACGCCCTATGAAACAATTCCCATCCCTTTCCCACACTATCTCCTAGTCCAACTCCCTACGAGCTCCCTAAAATCCGCTCATACGCCTCCTCTACCTCCCGCGCCAACTCCAGCAGCGTCACAATCACAATTTGATGCGTCACATTCGGCAGCCGATCGCGATGCAGCCCGATCCACTCGAGCGGCGGCGTCGCCTCGCCCATGTCGCGGAGCTGCGGCGTCTCGATGAGCGGGGGCTCTAGCGCCGTGTACTCGTACTTGCTCTGCGGGACGTTGACAACAGCAGTAATTTTTTCCTGGCCTTGTGCTTGAACTGGCGCGGGGGTTTCTTTGGTGTCTGGGGTCTGCGTCGCCGACGAAGAAGCCTGAGGCGCCGCTGGCTGAGCTTGTGACGACGTGATCTTGATGTTGGGCTCTGGCAGCGGTTTCCCCAGCCGACTCGCCAGCGTACGCGTGTGGTTCCCCCACATGGTGCGGATGTAGCTGATGCGGCTGTAGTTCCACCCGACGTCCACCTTGCCCTCGAGACTGCTCTTAAAGACATAGTCAATGTGGTTGCTACGCGGCTTCTGCCACGTGTGCATCGTCGCAATGACCTTGGGCACGCGGAGGATAGTCCCGCCCTTTGCGCTTTTCGCGGAGGATATGATGTCCTCGACCGTGAGCTCGCCGACGGGCTTCGCTTTCTTGGGTGCCTGGACTGGGGACAGAGCGACGGAGAGCTGGCCGAGCGTCATGCCGAGGGTGGAGTGGATTTTGCCCTTTTCGAGCGCGACGGTGAAGCGTGCTTGGGCATCGGCGGCTTCGAGGTGAAGGATCTGCGTGTCGACAAAGGTGGAGGGGAAGATCCCGAGGCTGATGGAGCGGAGAGTGACGACGACGTCTGTGTGGAGGGAGATTGGGGTCTTGGCTGCGTCGGTGTCGGGCTTGGGAGCGATCACGCTCTGGGACGCGGAGCGTGCGTATGGCGCCGCTACAGAAGACTTGCGGCGGAGGAACTTCTCGATGTCTTTGAGGGACTGCTTGTACGCTTGCTGGTTTTCCTGGATGAGGCGCTCGATAGCTTGCCAGAGCGCTAAGCCTTGGGCTGCGCTGGTAGCGGTGCAAAGAACGTGCGCCTTGTCACCGTCAAGGATCGCGACGAGACGGTCGCGCTTTCCCCGGTGGTGTTCGCGGACATTGTACATGAGGAAGTCGAAATTGACTATGTACGCGATCAAAAAGGATTGATAGTCGAACCCAGCCTTGACCTGCAATTGTCCGAAACCAACCGATGCTTGTATGAGGGGCGTTTGCCGAGTAGCTTGGTCTTGAGAAGGCCAACTAATAGACGTGCGAATCTTAACACCAGTCAGATCGACGAAGCCACTCGTGCGACCAGTGCTCTCGATGCCGATCTTCTCAATGCCAACGCACAGATTTTGTTCCCAATCGACGCTTTTCTTGGACGACGCCCACATGTTCTGGATCCGCAGCGATGATTTTCCAATCGACTGTCCCAGATCGAGATCCACAGAAACATCGGCGATAGCGACGTTGGCGTTCCACGGGAAAGCAGTTGCAGCAGTGACTTGCTGGTATCTTTGCATGAGATATTCCTGTGGTTCCTGGCTCGCAGTCGCTGGAGCTGGGTTTGATGATCGTCGAATCTCCGGCGGTACCCAAATTTCTCTGAAAAGCAAGAAATCTTGAAGTTGCCGGGCATTGATCTGTAGTGCCGTTGGGTTGATCTTCAGAATAGCCGATATCCCGCTCGTACCGCTCAAATGCTTGCTGTTCATCAGAGACAGAATGATGGAATCAACATTGAATCCGAAAGTTGACTCTCGAGAATAGACGTGCTGAACGGTAGCCTCGAGCTTTTCAAAAGCCGCAGACGCAGCAAAGAAGTGACCGTGCTCTTGTGACTTGACGCTGTTCACGGTGATGTAGATGTCCTCAAGCTTGGCTATCGCGGCAACGCGGGCAATAGGCTGGCAACTGAGACTGAACTCTTGTTTGCAAATGCGGACGCCGAGATTCAAACGTTTCCGGCCCAAAATCGAACTAGGGTCGACGCTGATGAGATTGTCCTCCTCCAACAGCTTTACTCCAGGTTTTGTGTCGTTCTGTGGCATGGAAGTCGCCGGCGAGAGTGGCGAGTCCTCATCCTTTTCGCGAACAACCTCCTTGATGCTCTCGGACATCTCGATGATGACAGGCACAACGGTGGGAAATAGAGTGTTACTTGAGGCGTCGATTCGCACCTCGGCTTTCAGTGTCGGGTCTTGGCCATCGTCTTCATTCTCCACCTTGAGCGCAATACCTGGTGCGCGAAGTACTAGGCTGCTCTTGGAAGCATCCCCGACAAATTGACTGTATCTGCCCTTTTGTTGAGATTTGCTCTCTTTGCCAGTAGAGGTCGAAGTGTGCGGCGTGTCGCTCCCATTGATGTGCACCACGGCTCCTGCGAAACTTGCATCGACCGATAAAGAGGCCAGACGTTTGTTCCCGAACGGATTCTTTCGTTGAGCGCCATCTGTTGTTGGCGTCATACTCCAGTTGGCCGAAGCGGCCCTGAACTTCTTACCGGCCAAAGTTATTGACCGTTGTATGATATTTGCTGGAAGAATGAAGCGCGAATCGAGTTGAAGATGCAGCGACTTGCCCGCGGCATGGAAAGCCACTTTTCGAGTGTCTTTGGTTGAACCGTAGGCCACGTTGAAAACCACTTCGGGAAGCAATGCGGAGTTAGCCGATCTCTCAGTTTTACTTGCCGAGACTGGAACCATTTGCAATTGCATATCCTCAATCGTCAAGCGAGCCGCGTCGTCTTTGCGTGTCGAGAGATCGATCCTTCTAAACGAAAGCACAAGATCCTCGGATTCCGTCTTCGGATACGGTTCGATGGAATTGCCTACGATCCAGCTAACATAGATGTCGAGAAGCTCGAGGGAGTAGGTGGAAGTGAACAGAGCACCGGAGCTCACACTCTCGGCGTCGGTCTCTGTGACACTCAATGTGCTTGCGTCGCCCTTGTGGGAATGTTTACTCTTGGCGTGCCGGAGTTTCTTCAGGTATTTTTTCTCCACTGACAGATCGAGATCCTTGATCTTGTCTTGTAAATGGTTCATAACATCTACTACTGCAGATGCGGTGTCGGCAAACATGTTGACCGCCAGGCCAGAACTCTTCAAGCGGTAAACTCTGCGAGGAGGCTGCGCATTCTGCTCCGCTGTGACATGGAGTACTGCCGCAAAACTGATGTTGCCGCAGCGACGAATAGAGTTCTTGTCGGACAAAGTAAGGTCTACGCTGATATCTTGGAGAAGCACGATAGCTTCTGCTAAGTGGAGTATAGCACCATTGCGGTCGGTGTTAGTCGCTCGCAGTTGGATAGAAGATAGACGGACAGAAAGGTTCGCCATTGGTGAGTCTGCATGCTGTCCAGGGGCACTTGCTAGAACGCTGATACCCGATAGTGTCATTTGAATGCCGAAAACTATCTCTCTGGAAGACTCGGGCGTTTTGATGACAGGTTTACGGTTGTCTTGGGGTATGATTTCTCGGAAACGGGCGGTGAGCACATCGATATCTTCGCTAACGGCGCGAACGACATTCGTGATCTCTGGCTTGTTGATCGTCGCCACAAGCGCTTGTACTTCCGATGCCTGCAGCTGAATAGTCTCGATGATGCCTGCAGCAGATATCTTCGTTTGGGTTTCCGTGTTCGTAACCGATAAGCGTCCATTAATTGGCGGAAATTCAAGAGAGCTGATGAGGTTAGAGGCATTCGCAGTCTTGCTAAACATCCGGTGGTGACACGAGGCCAAGTCGTAGTCCACGCGAAGAGTCACGTTTTTACCCATAGAGGGTACAACAGAGACGCGACCAGCGGAACCGGTCATGGACCAACTCAGTGACTCAAGCAATGCTAAATGAATAGCATATCTGTCCATCAACAAAGCCAAACTGATGTTGGGCAATTGTGTCAATTTGGGACGGTCGGTTTGCTCAAGCTTAGGTCGCAGTGAACTCTTGATGAGCATCGCTTGCTCATGGAAGTAGGCAACTTCATCACGAAGCACGGAGTCCGCTACTTCAAGCAGGCCAAGCACATGTTCTTCAAGCCGTACTTCGATCTTCCGGCTTGCGCCAGCAACCTTGATCTCATCTGGTACAGAGTCTCTGTCTTCGAATTGATGGTAGGCAAAGTAAACGCTAGGCGAGTCAAATTGCGATCTTAAGAGTAGACGAGACCGAGACAGCAATTCCGTAACAGCCTGTTCGAGATGTACGATGACGGTTGTCGTGATGCCTTGCTTTGAAGGGCGGCTATCTTCGTTCACTGCAGAGAAGCGGAACCGCCGGCCAATAAGTAAATTGCGTAGATTGATCGTGTCGAGCGCAATGGTAGCCTTCTCTGTCACGTACACAAACTGCAGGCTAGTCTCGACCTCCTGTTTCTTTCCCTTAGTTGGGCAAGCAGACTGGGCTTCTAGAGCTCTGAACTGCTTGGTGTTCTCCTTTTCGAACATGTTGATAAGTATGTCCATCAACTCGCAGATTTCCCAATGAACACGAACGGCAGTCTCTCCCGAGTTGATCTGCACTATCGTGGTACGTTTCGGAATCTCAGCGCCCACCAGCATGAGACCTGCCGGTTCGGCCGGTGGGATTAATCCAATACTGATGGCGAGGATATGGAGTGCTACTTCACTTTGTGTGACGCCTGGGTCGAGTATGGCCTTGATGCCGGCAGAGCGGATGTCAATGTATATTGGAGACGGGGCTGCTTCCTCCGGATGTTCCATAATGGCAGACCCGAACAGCATTTGCATGGCCAAACTCTTTTTGACATGAGCCAGATCCCATGTGCGCCATTGATCCCACATCGAGACAATTCTTTCTTCTGCATCCGCCGGGCACCTGACAGAATTGACGGTGCAGTGATCACGGATCCGTCGTTTCTCGTGATCGGACAAGGTCTGCCATATGTACCTAAATCTCGAGATGATCTTCCAAGAGTCGTGGCTACGTAAGTGGTCTCTGACCGCACGAAGCGCGAAAGATGCCTTGGTCAAGAAGGCGGGGTCTTGACGTTGGACTTGCGCAGTCGTGAGACGTAGAGCAAGGTACCGCAAGCGGCTCTGCTGCGTGTCTTCGATGCTTACGAATCTGGTCGCCAATTCTTCGCCCAATATTGTACTACGATGAATGAGTGACGCCATGTAATCGATCTTTCGGCTAGCAGTGGCAAGTTCGAAAGCTTTCGAGTTTACATGAACGTGGGTCTCCTTGTTCTGCAGCATCCATACAAGCAGATCATTGACTTCAGCCTGGACTGCAACATCATCGCCGGTGCCGTCCATTTTCCTCTCAGTGACGGAAATCCCAAGGGATCCCAGGGTGGTGTGTGCTGAGATTGAGCTTTCGCCAGTCCTCTCCCCAACAAGCTTCTTATCTCGTACAGCGACTTGGAGCCGGTTCAAGATGACATCATACTGGTCTATGCCCGCTTGTGCGCCCAGATGGGGACCGAAAGCATTGTGGAAGCGGATGTGTGTCCAGGGTACACGTACACTGAACTCAATCGATTTGCCTTTGCCTTCACGGCGCTTTTGTCGGTCCAATATTGCGGTCATTGCGCTTATCTGGAAATCATCTAAAAGATCTTGAGGTTCGCGCGGTTGGAGTGTGCTGACCAAACCTGATATACAACGTACAAATTCCGGAGTACAGTAGAGGCGTATACCAGGTTCTGCTTCGATAATGAGACTGGTATGCTCGAAGCTTTCATCGAAGTGCTTTGTAGAGACGTCATTGAACTGTATTGCGTCTTCTCTGTCCATGCGAGGCCGGGGTGGGAGATCTGGGAATGTTGGGACCTCGGACTTGTCCATGTCGATTAAATCTAAGCTGGAAGTAGGCACTGCAAGCGGACTTGCTAGCGCCACAGATGATGGCAAGCCACCAGGCACCCTCTCTTTCGCATCATAGTGTGTGCGATGACCGTTGGAGCTGTCCGCCCTTGCAGGAGAGCCGCGTAGTGTCCGGCTTTTGCTAGATGATTGTGTCGCTGTGCCCTCTCTATGCCTACGAACAGAGCGTATACTGTTTATAAATGAACCGCTTGAAGAAGAAGCAAGTGAACGAGTCCGGATGGAGCGTCCCCTAGAAGATGCAGATCCAGATGAGTACCCAGACGACGCATCGGTTACTGATCCACCCGGTTGATTTAGAAATATCGGTTGGGGTATCTCAGGAAACTGCATCGCAGGTGGCCTTACTTCTTGGTGGGTGGGTAGCTGGTGCGTCGCATGGTTCATGTACATAAACTGCGCGCGGTTCGTTCTTTGGTCATGTTCGAGCATATGCGTGTGCTGCTTGCGTCGCTCCTTGCTAAAGTCCAGTTTACGATTAAACAGGGTGAAAGACACACTTGTCTCGAGAAAGGCTTGAACTTTGATTTTTTGGGTGTCTCTGCCCCGACTGCCATATCGCAACGCAGCTCGTTCGTCAATGGCGCTCACACTCAGGTTGGGAATCCAAGCATCGAGGCGGCGAGAAAACGTGTCCCCAGCAAGATCATTAAAGTCCAGCTTGACCGGCCCGGTGCTAACAAGGACAACTTGTTTGTCGACGTGCAGCCACACTCGTATGTCATGAGTTCGTAAGCGAAGGAACGTGGAGTCGTGTATGATCAATGGATTGGTGATAGGCAAAGTGTTTTCGTCGTCGTCTAGGCTGAACACAAAACAATTGATGGACTTAGCGGCCTTCGATAAGAAGTTCGGCGTGCACTCCCCTGAGACGGTCCCAAGGTCGAAGTCCCAATTGCAGACGTACGTTGGCTCGGTAGGCGGAAGCCCGAAAAGCCGATGACCGGCAATGGTGAGCGACTCGATGAACACTTCGGTCTGCCCACCAGCATCATGAGCAAGGCCTGGGCTCGTTACATCACTACCAACCGAGAGACTGATGGGGCTAAAGTCCACTAGGAGATCCATGTAGTAGTTTGTGAACCTCAGGTCACAGTGCGCAAAGGGTAGTTCTGCTCGAAGGCCGGTCTCGGCCGAGTACAAATTGGCAGGAAGAAGTATGCTTGCGTTCTCAGCTGAAACCGAAAGGATAACATCGAGGTCATTTGAGACCTTCGGTGGTTGGCCATTAGGGGTCGTCGTATCCATCGCCAAACTATGACTCTGCAAGCCTTGAAATTCTTCCAGGGTTCTGAAGTGAAGGTCATCACCAAAGTAATTTTCCTTGATTTGCATGAAGTGATGCACGAGCCAGCCATACAGCTCTAGGTATAATTTGTCTCCTCGAATGTCCATGAAGAGTCTGTCGGTATTCATAGCCGAAGTTTCGGTCATGAGCGTATAGCTTCCATTCAACGTCAATCCCGTCAATTGTGCAACCTTATTGGAGTGCACCCAAGTGTGCAGCGTATTCTTGGGCGGCATGCAGACCTCGAGACCCAGATGCTGACCTTTCACGTCGAATTTGATCTCGTTCTGCAACGGTCTGAATTTGTCTAGCGGGATATGAACATCCCCGTGCAGTCGTTGGCCGAAGAGAACGACAAAATTATTCTCATCGAGTTCGGACGGGTTGTTGATGATGTTGGAGTCGTTCGTGTTCAGATAGAGTTTGAAGTTGGTGAAATCGACATTGAGTAGGTATTGGAAAGGGAGAAACGTGAAGTAGTTGGCTGGTGGACCAGAACCCCAATCAGCGACGAGGTCGGTCAGCAGGAATAGATGATCTCTCAGCAGGAAAAGCTCCAGATCTCGACAGGAAATGTTGAACTTCCATTTCCTCAAGCTGTTCCAGCTGAGAGGGTTGGACAAGTCGCAATCCAGCCCGATTGCACCCGATCGCCACAAAAGGCCATGATTAACGCTGGAGGATATTTCTGCTCCGGCAATATCGACATCCAATTTGTTGTTGAAGCCATGCCGGGATGCGACCATATCCATTACGTAGTTGACAGAAGAGTTACCCGCGACCTTGACATCAATCCAGCCAAAGGGGCGCATGTTCTGCCCAGAAGACGCGGCGTCTCGTTGTTTCGTCCTTCCGTACTTCTTTCGTGACCTTGTTCGCCCTTTTGTCTTGTCCGAAGCTTGTTTGTCTTGCCCACCGAGTGTCTTGGCTTTGCCTTTCCACTTCCAGTCCTTCGATGGCTCCCGAATCGGAATCCGTAGTACAGTCTCATCCTCGATGCTCAAATACAGTTTGAAAACAGTAAGCACTCTGGTATCACCAGGCTGGAGAGCAGATGCGGGTTGCGCATCCACATGGGCGCCAGGGAAGAAGAACGACTGGAAGATGCCACGATGTCGGTCAGTCCACGGTCCATAATTGATTGTACCACCATAGACTTGTATATCCACGCCGTACTCTGGTGGAGTAGCGCCATTAATATCCCCGGAATTCGTAGGCTCAGTGTACATGCTGTTGTCTAACAACGTGGGCACTTTACCGGCAACGTCCCAGTAGAAGCTCACATTAACACACGGACAATCTGCAATGAGAGACGTCCTAGCATATTCAACGCCATCCCATTCTCCATGCCCATCAGTCTGGTCGTCTTCCATGTAACGAGAAAGTCCCCTCCATTTCTCTTGCCCCGGAAAATGCCATTGTGGGACAAACATACTCGCTCTTCTGCCAGTAGTTTCCCCATGGTGGGTGTGAATGGAGTCGGATGACTTGGAAAATAGTTTAGGGAAACGCGGAAGGCGAAAGCTTTGCTGCTTAGGCTTTTCGCTCGTCTCCTCTTGCTCCAGTACACCCTGTTGTTCTTCCTGCTTCAATCGTCTGGCAGCGTCGAGTTGGGGGCTCTTATAGTCCGGATTGGGCTTCATGTGCACTACAGGGTGAGTGACCTGGAAATTGAAGACTTGTTGGTATGCATCCAGGGGGCTGCTTGGGGCGGCGTCGAAATCACCGGTTGCTTTCTCGAACTGAGCAGTGATGACGGACATGGTGTGCTCGTTTCCGATGATAATGGCGCCTTTATTGCACTCTACATATACAGGCAGTAGCTTCAGGAACGCAGGTAGACCGTCGGTTTTGCCATCGTCGGTAGTGTCGGTGCCGGGACGGGTCACGCCTTCTTCTTTTGCTGGGGCTTTCCTCAGCTTATTCATTTGCTGTCTTTGGTCTTCGGACATCTCCGTCGAGGTCCTAAACAAGACATTGTTTCCAGTACTTGTGTTCTCGTGGTCCAACGGTCCCCCCTCTTCTGCGCCCGTACTATTGGCTTTGTTCCGTATAGCGTCGATGATGCCATCGTAAGCTGGTGTGCGATTGTATAGAAACGCCTCAAGACCTGAAATCTTGACGGAGAAGCGACACGGGAGGCGTTTTTGCGGATTCTTGCCTCCTTTTTCAGCCCTATCTACGTTTCTGCTCCGACTTCCCGAAGGTGCACTGCTCGATGCTCCGTCGCTTGTGTCCGCGTCCAAGGCGGGTGGACGGTCGGTCGTGTAAACCTCGGCGTCTCTCACTCGCCGCAGCCAGTAGTTCCAGGTGATGTATCCATTGTGCACCAGGATGGTCTCGTTGTGTCCGTGGTAGCGAACGTCCTTGAAGAAGATGCGACCGCCGAGGAGTGAGATCTGTAGGGCTTGGATGTCGATGTAGGTGCGGTAGGCGCGCCATGTGTAGGCTCGGATGGCGTACGACACAAGTGTCGCGAACAGGCGGTTGAAGTAGAAGAGGAAGAAGACGGTCAGGATGCTGCATATCAACAGCTCCACCAGGTACACCCTGAAGCGGTCCACGTTAGCAGGGACGACATGCATGCACACGGACAGCTTGCGCACCAATTGAAGCCCCGGGGCGGGTTTAACGGCTCTGCTACGATGGAGCCTTCCATGGATGGCGGTTGCGCAGTAAACCAGGCAAACGACGGGTGCGACTCCTCATCGTGGCTCGTGGCCGCGCATGCTGTCGCAGCGCTAGTCGCGCAATGAACAGGCGCTCGGGATGGCCCTGATTGAGCGGAGCCGAAGGGTAGCTGGCCTGCTGCGACCGTGCCTAAGATTCGCGACCAACGGGGATGAGTGCGCATGCACACAGTGCCCGCGAGGTTGAGGCGTCGGCAACCCCATGCGCTAATGACGCGTGCGGAGTCCAAGCTTCCTCCGCATGGCACCTTGCTCCGCCAAAGTTAGGCACACGACGTCAAAGCTGGTGCCGGTGCAAACATCGCCATGCCCTGCAGCTGCTGACCTTGGCCGTTGTTCTGGGTACCCATCTTCACGTCCGCTCCCACGCTCTGCGAGAGCACGCCGCTCTGCGCTCCCGCGCCGTCTTCGCCATGTCAACAGGCAACCTTCTGCGACGGGCTGCCTCCGAGGGCGACCCTCGAGGCACAGGCGATCGCTTTGCAAAGGCCGTCATTATTGTTGCAGGCGTTGCAGCACTCGTCGCAAGTGTCATCACATTCATGTCAGTGCTTGCCTCCCTGGAGATTCGCGCATCCACTGACTTAGTCGCAGCGCTGTCTGGCTACAGACGTACGTAAGAACGTGTCCAATGAAGCCACATGTTAATGAATTCCTATCAGAAAGAACTATCGGAAACCCCTCCTCCAACGCTATGTCGTCCGCATCCTCCTCATGGTCCCGATATACTCGGCCTGCTCGTGGGCGAGCTTGGTGTCCATCAAGGCATCCCGCTGGATCGAGCCACTACGAGACGTATACGAAGCCTTCACCATATACACCTTTTTCCAGTTGCTCATAAACTTCATCGGCGGCGAGCGTGCCCTGATCATCCTCATGACTGGCCGCGCCCCCGTGTCGCATCTTTGGCCGATGAACCTGGTTTTGCCCAAGGTTGACATATCCGATCCGCACACCTTCCTAATGATCAAGCGCGGCATCTTGCAGTACACCTGGGTCAAGCCCTTACTTTCAGTCGCAGCCTTCATTATGAAAGCATTCGACGTCTACAAAGAGGGGTACATAGGAGTCAGTTCTGGCTACCTCTGGAGCGGCATCATCTACAACGTTAGCATCACCATAAGCTTGTATGCACTCGCCATGTTCTGGGTGTGCATGGTATCAGATCTCAAGCCGTTCCGACCCATGCCAAAGTTCTTGTGTATCAAAGGCATCATTTTCGCCTCCTACTGGCAGGGTTTCTTCTTGTCCATTCTTGTCTGGCTGGGCGCCATCCCCGACAACGTCCCCGGATACAGCGCCGACAATCTTGCTGCTGCCATACAAGATGCGCTCATCTGCTTCGAGATGCCCATTTTCTCCTTGGCACATTGGTACGCTTTCTCATGGCACGACTATGCCGACGATACCATCTCGGCTGCACGCTTGCCTGTCAAGTATGCCTTGCGCGATGCCTTCGGTCCACGCGATTTGATTGAGGATACAAAAGATACTTTTGGCGGCAAGCATTACGAGTACCGCTACTTCGACGCGAACGACAACGTGCTTGCGCACGAAGAATCGTCCTCGCGAGCAGCACGCATGGCGGAAGGTATGAGATACGAACGAGGAGGGAAAGGAAAATACTGGATTCCAAAACCCGGCCAAGGCGAACATGAACCGTTGCTTTCGAAAGCATCATCCAGCAGGGCGAGGACGATGAGCCCAGGAGCCTCGCGTGCTCTTGACACATCCAAGTATGGGACTGTGGAAGAGAATGAAGAACCGGAGCTTGACCCTGGAGATGAACAATTGTTCGAAAGCGCGCGAACATTAGAGTTCGGCGACTGGAATGTGGGTATTGTACTTCAATGACGTCAACGCAGCTAACGATATTGCAGTATCCTGTCATCGAGGCACACAGGGCAAATCGCGATAGTCAGTTATATGGTGATCCACCAATACTAACTGGAGCTTCGAACCGGCATTTGTTACAGCCGACCGCCGTAAACAAGAAAAGGCGAAAGAGTCAGATCAAAGACATTCAGCAGGCGGTAGACAAGGGCAAGCATCGGAGCGACTCAAGCAGTGGAGAGCCTTCCAGCTCCAAGTCTCATAAAGGTGTGGTCGGAAAACTCTTCAGGCAGGAGTCATCATCGTCAACCAACTCGGGCAAGTCAGACAAGAGTCAGCTTGTCGATCTTGTCGTGGAGGACACTGACGCAGAAGATGTCGAGCGTGTTAGAGCACGCAAGGAAGGAGGCTCTGGTTGGAACGAAGTCGAACAGAAGCATTTTGTGTAAGTATATCAGATACTCGTCTGCCATTGCAGGCATAAGCTGACCAGTGCTAGCCACGCGTATCCTGAAGAAGGACAAGAAGAAGGGGTGCGCGAAGGTTTCAACCCAGATAGACCCCAGCCGCACAACCCTGAAGGCGTACACAACCTCAATTACCCCTTCACCACCGAAGATGGCGAGGACGAGGACAAGACCGGCAAGCTCGACCCGCCGATATCAGAAGAGGCTTCGCACTGGGAGGAACGCAATTACACCAACGAAGAGGACGGCAACAAGCGGGATAAGAGCCCTCAATACGGCAGTTTTAGGGACGAGCGCGATGCATGGAGCGGTTCGTAAGGGTCAAATATCGCCGATGTGAGCCCTTGCGGTCAGCGCGCACGCCGCACGAAAGGATGCAACGTTTTGAAATGTTTCTCTCAGAGCCAACAAGGCTTTCTCCGTTCCATTTTCTTGCACATCTGTTTTCCCACTCGTCCATGTTTTATACCCTTTCCGGTGTGTATATGATGATCTGTCTCATTGGCGCTATGTTTCGAGTTCTCTGCTTGCGCATCCGTAAGGCGTATTTCTCAGGAAGCGCGCATCTTTTCGTACAAAGGCACAAATCTACCATGCTTGACTTGACCGTACCATTGCAAGAAATTTTCCGCACTGACAGCGGTGCGTACCTGCAGCCGCGCCCTCGCAGCGAACCAAGTCCCGCCATGCGACCCGCCGTGATTCGAGAAGCGTGGCAGAAGTGGAGATGGATGCGTGCGCTGGCACCAGCGGCGTGGGCGGGATGGCGTGTTGTGGTTGTGATGGAGGGACGGCCCGGGGCTACATGTGATTGGTTGGGGCAAAAACTTGCGGCGTGGACCGTTGGTTTCGGGTCTGATAGGGTGTGCCAATCGTGAGCGCGGGAGGGAGGTTTGTATAATGTGGCGTGGTAGATCTGCTGCGAATTTGGGGCGTGTGCCAATTGCAGGCTCAGGGAGCTGTTATTCTGATGTGGCGTTGAGGAATCAGGCTGGGATGGGGGAGTGGTTGGTGCGTGTGTCGCGTGGGCGGAAGGGCAAAGCACTGAGCTCGAGTCTCCAGGAGCAGTTCCAGCTAGACATTTTTGCAGAGGCTTTCGAAGGTGGAGATTCGGACCATACAGTTACCTATCGTCTTTTTGGGTGAGACATGGTTGGCCGGCCGCTGGACAGAATCGTTGCTCTCGAGCCTCGAGGCAGCGACAACCGGACCCTCTCCAACCCGCATTCACCTCCAACCTGCAACCAGGCCCTCATCTCCGGAAACCCAAATACAGTCCTTCCATTCTCCCTCCATTCCCGTTTCACCCGAAATATCTCGATCCAAGGCCCTCTCCCATCGCATCTAAATATACACTCCATCTTTCTGGAGTAGGCGCGAACTCCCAGAAGCACAGAACCACCGCCCCACTCACGTCTCCCCACCCCCAAACATCCACCCAGTAACAACCGCGCCTGCGCGCCATCTGCAGCCCGTTTCGACGCGTAGCCGCTATTGCTGGTCGATTGGCCGCGCATCATCTATTTGCGCTGGCGCTTATGCTCGCTTCGGCCAATAGGGTGCCTGCATGGGCTAGAGCCCCAGCACAGGCTCGCTGCGGGACATCTGGGTGACGGGCAGGGATGGCGGGGGTGGGTGTTATTGGGCGCTTGGGGCGAGGGTAGATTGTGTATATGGGTGCGGCAGGGACGGCGTGGTGTGGATTGATGGGTTGGCCGGACCAAAGTGCATGTGTTGTTGTGTTGTCGGATTGTTAACGCACTGAACTGGACTAGAAGGCTGGCTGGTTCTTACGGCGCACACTACACGCACGCTCTTCTCACCTCTTCTCTTCTTTGGTATACCATCCTTTTGTTGTTTTTGAGAAGCACTTGCTGCCTTGACTGGTCTTGCAAGAGCGTTCGTCGAGAGAGAAGTACCTGCTAGACGGGTACGACGACACAGTAATGTTGCAAGAGAAGAGGAAACCATGGCTGGCCATTGGATGCTGTGCATCTGCGAGGAGAGACTCTATTGAGGAGGAAGACGGTAGAGACGCGTCGAGGGCTGTTGGTATGTTCACTTTTTATCTTCCATCCTTCACTGCAGCACGCGTTCTTCACCACCGATGGGTTCCTTTGAACGCCTTCAGGACATCACGAATTCCATCCTTACACTCAACTACCACGTCGATTCTTCACACCTCATCTGGTCGATGTTCCGTCAGCATGTCTGTTGATGTTGAGCTGCACCTACGCCGCCTATCTCTCCTTAATATGGCTAATTGCATGCCACGCCACCCAATATGACCTGCACACCCAACCTTCTAGAAAGCTCGCCGTCATATCCTTCCACATCCATCTAACAATTTCGTCTAGAAGAATCGGGTCCGGAGATATGTTACGACCAACCACAGACAAGAGAGGTCCCCCGCGCCGAGCCCGTCTCACCGCCACCACGCCCAGCCACAAGTCACTCTATGGGCAAGCATGTATCGCAATGGGTGGCCACGAGTCGTGACTTCGCGTCACGTGCGTCCTCACGAGCAAGCGTGCACACGCTCACACGGCCAAGGAAGTCGCACTCAAAGGTCAGACGGCTCAGTATAAGTGGCCCGACGGACTTCCGGCACGACAGTGGCTTCGATGGCGCAGAAGGCATTCAGAGTATGATTGACGATGCACCGATGCCAGTGCGGCGGCGTCGAAGTTTCAGGCCTCTGGAACTGTCGATATACCTCGCTGATGGGAGACTATCGCCGTTGCCAGATTTCGAACACGATGAGTGGGGCGAGATGCCGCAGTTGCCTGCACAAGCGTTGGTTCGTAATATGGATTCGCGGACGAACTCGATCTCGTCGGATCCTTCTACATCATCGTATCTGGTGCAAAGGAAGCCTGTAGGTTCTGGGTCACGCCGGTCGAGTGTGCAGAGCTCGCACTCGGTGCAATCAAGGCCACTGTCTGCAAGCTTGACGGCGCTACCGTTGCTGAAGGACGAGCCCAAGACTCGAGCAGAATCGATACGCAGTACAACGACAAGTCGGACAGGGTCAATACGTAGTAGAACACCCAGTGATCTCTACCGACGAGGCACACTATCACCGCCGCGTATCCTCTCACGTCTGCCCTCGCCTTCACGAGCTCGATCGAACACTGCCCCTTCACGACCCGGAAGCGTTCGCAGGGCGAAGACCGATGTCGATGAAGCCATCAGAGAGCTGAACACTATTGTCGAAGAGCGCCGTGCAGAGGCATATCGCTCACGCAACCAGTCTCCTGCTTTGATCAACCGACTTCCGTTGTCACCTTCGTCGCATGTTCCGGCTATCGCACCCTCACTGCGCATGCACGTCCGCTCTGAGACATTATCAGACATCGGGTCTGCCTTCTCAGCGCCACTGGTAGCGAAACCACTACCGCCGCCGCCTATTCCACCGACCAATTTCGCACGACAACCGACGAGGCTGACACTTGCTCCGCCAGCACGCACATTCAGCGGACCCCTCGATTCAAACCCAATCACACCACCCACACCAACAACCCCCATCCACCGCCTCGGCGCCTGGCTCAAGCGATCCCTCCCAAGCACACCATCCCTTAAGTCACCCACATCAACCTTGGCCTCCAAGCCCGCAACGCCAAAGTCCACAGCAGCACGCTCCTTCTACCAGTGCGAGCCTGAACCCCCGCTGCCCCTCTCATCTCGTCCTTCAACTGCAGGATCGCGCACAATGGTGCACACGCGCCAGACCAGCGCCGACACCGCAACCGTCACGCTGCTCTCGTCGTCGTACCCGAGCACGCCGTCGCTATCTTCTTCTCCGCGACACTCACCACACTCCTCCATGCACTCGCTCCGCTCCATAAAGACGGTGTCCTCCTCCCCGCCCCGCGCGAGCCTGCCCCTGCGCCAATCCTTGAAGGACGCACCACCCCCACCGGCACGCGTAAGCCTCCTCAAAGGCGCAGGCAAGGCACGCCGGGTGCCGGCGCCACTCACGTTGGCAAAGGAGAAAGAGATTCTAGTTGAAGCGAGTCTGGGGTCTGCAAGAAGCGTCGCGAGTGCGCGGAGCAGCATGAGTAGTCGCCGGAGCTTGAAGCCGCCGCCGAGTCCACATTATGGGATTCTGAGGGGCATGGAGATTGGGGCGAGGCAGGAGGGGGTAAGCCAGCATTTGGGGATGTTGCCGGGGAGTGCGGCAGTGGGTGTGGCTTTTTAAATTATATTCCTTTGGGGAAGGACGGTTATAGAATCGGGGGTGGGGCTGGGACGGGTTTTACAGGACAACGGTATCGGATGCTATTGTATGGTATGGGACAGGCAGGGCAGAGAGATCGGAAAGGAAGGATGGATAGGGTTCTCTTCTCGAGCGCAGCGGCATATACCCTCCGCTCGATGTCCTCCCGGACAGCGGACGCCGCTGCGCTTTCTTGTTGTTCGCTTCCTTTGTGGAATTACCTTGTAGATAGCTCGCATCCCTGTTAATGGAATTAGAGAGGAGAGATTAGGGAATGCATCTCACGCAGGTCTCATGTGTTCCAGTGCAATCTCATTGCGGAAGGTGCGCACTAGTCCTGCATAAGCAGCACTGCCCACCACAACAATTCGTCAATTTTACACCTCACCTAATTATCCTGTCAACTGGTGCCAACCTACCGCGCAATTGCGGTCTGCTTTCCGACTCAGTCGTTTTCTTACTGGTCAGCAATCCCATAGGACCACATGGCGATTTCGAACCCGCTATGCCCGACATGCGAACGTGCATTTGCAGCCAACGACGATACTACTTCACACCATACAGCTGCCGAAGAGCTCCAGCGATCAGTAGAAAAAGGCTGCTTTATCTGCAAGCGATTGTACAACAAGATCCAAGAATTGCGAAATGCTCATGCAACAGGAGAAAGTATAGACCGTCCGCTTTTTGATGAGATCCGATACACTCGACAATGGAGTGGAAACGACTGGTCAGCACGTAATTTCACCGTAGAAGCGTTTGGCAGCTACTCAGAGATCTGGTTTGATTGTATCAGTAAGGAAGGTGAGTCCCGACAGCTGGTTCCTAGATATCCATATCAGATCCCACGGTGATGGCTCGAAGTCTGCTGGTGATCGGATCGTAAGATATGCTAAATCTTGACCAGTCGCCAAGCAACTAGGACTTCGGACCTCTCTCTACCCTTCATTAAGATCGCCGAATAGTTTGAAGCAAGCAAAGGTATGGCTGGAGGATTGTCGACAGCACCATGAGCTATGCAATCGTCGACTACAGAGTACATTTGTTCCGACCAGACTCGTCCATGTTCGCCAGCTCGAGAATGGCTCTGTCACTTCCGCTTGTCTAGTTATTGACACTTCACTCCCTGCTAGGACCCCTTATCTAAGTCTAAGCCACTGTTGGGGAGGAGCAAAATTCCTTACGCTGACGGGTGCGAACCTTGGCCAGTTACGAGAAGCTATTCCGGTTGCTGAGCTTACCGCTGTCTTTCAAGATGCTTTATATGTTGCATTCCAACTAGGTATTCCGTACGTTTGGATTGGTGAGTAAATTTTTTCCCAGTTGGAGCATATCCTGACAACCTTTCAGACTCACTTTGCATCATCCAGGATAGCCCCGCAGATTGGGAATACGAGTCAAAACGAATGGGGGAGGTGTATAAAGGGGCCGTATGCAATCTGTCAGCATCAGCGTTCAAGACTGGCAAGCAAGGCCTCTCCTCAGAGCGAGGCAGTCATTTGTCGGGATTTCTGCCTCTGCAGATAGACACGCAAAACGGGTCATTCAGCACTTCTGCAGCTTGTCCCGAAGATGCGCAGTTTTATGTGGCGGAGGGATCTGTATTGCGTGGAAAACCCTGGGAGGAAATATGCAATGGTCCGCTGTTCGAAAGGGCGTGGGTTTTGCAGGAGCAAATTCTGGTAAGCCGTCGTAGCGAGTCTCTCAGAAACTTTTCCATTGATTGACGTACCCTTTAGGCTCTTCGTGTCCTTCATTTTGGTAAAAGAGAAATGTTTTGGGAATGTAGACAAGTTTTCGCGAACGAAACAAGGGCATCCGGCTGGGCCAGCTTACCCACACAATGGCACGGTGAGGATGCCCATGTCGAGAATGCGCTGGGCAGCATGGGCGATGCTTTTCGTTACCATAAACAGCGAAATCCTCTTTGGCAGTTCATGGTCGAAGATCTCGAGTCTGTGGAGGTATGTGTTCGAAACGCAGACGCCAGAAATGATGTCAAAGCTTAATCATTCTTAATAGTCGTCCGATGGTCTATGGAGGCGCATCGTGCGAGACTACTCTGCTCGCAGCCTCACATACGCGAAGGATCGACTCCCAGCGCTGAGCGGCGTCGCTACAGAATTCAGCGCCATGTATGGGCGCAGTCAGTATCTGCTTGGACAATGGAGTGATGATCTGCATCTTGGACTCCTTTGGTCACAGAAGCGTCCTTTTCCATCATCTGCCCACGCTCTTGCCTGGCCTGAGGTTCCTAGTTGGTCTTGGGCTTCTCTCAACGCACCTGTAGATTGGTATCTCTACGACCTGACTGTCGATAGCCAACAAGATCCTACGTCACTGTGCAAAAGCATCAACCCAATGACCGAACCTGATTCGCATGCGATGACCTTGATAGGAAACTTAATGCGACTCGACGTGCCAGATCAAAACGGAGGGCCGCGGTGGTTCACTTTCGACAACGGGAGCCTTACGCTGGCCTACTGGACCTTTTTCTCGTGGCAGTTTTATCTGGACCAATGGTATTTCGACTCACTGCAGGGGAAGGACGATGAAATGAAGACACATGCAATGTTGAGCAGCGTTTTCTTCATCCCACTTCTCTACAAGAACTACAGACAGATCATCTGCCTTGTTTTGCTACCGTTACCAAGTGTAGGGCGAGGGATCTTCCGACGTGCGGGCATACTCCATATCTATAACCCAGCTGGAGGGGTCAATAAGAATTTTACACCAACGGCACGCGAGTACCAGAAGAATATCACGGAGAATTTCTATCAAGATTGCGATGGTGAGGGGAATTATAAGATTTCTATTATCTAGGCAGATATTTGCAGACAATCCTACAATTCCGGACCCCTCTCCTACACGATTATTCATTACAGGCCACTATGTGTCAAATAACCTACTACAATCACTCGCTTTTTGAATCACTCATTTGGGAACTTTGACATGAAGCCATCTAGCCACCCATAGAGGCGAATATTTGCAGTCATGCTCTGTATTACTTGGCTCTGGCAATGCAACCCGCTTAGTTCCCAGATCTGACTCTGTAGCACTTTTATCGACGCCCGAAAGGCACACCACCTTCCACCGATCACAGTATCTTCCTTGTTTTCTTCTCGTTAGGATACAAGACTTGAAATATCGTCATGCTATCTAGAATGATGAATGAAGACACCGTAACAGGCAACTCACTACCACCCATCGATCACTCTATCTTCCCTGTTTTCCCACGACATACGGCTCGACGTCGAAGATCATATCTCGTCGTCATTATCTACGTAAAATGGTACGCGTACATGCCACAACAGGCAATACCGACAATCCTATCGATCACTCTATCTTCCCTGTTTCTTCATCTCCAAGACCCAAGCCTCCAGAACAAAACTCAACCGTCATTACAGTACGCAAATCGTCCGTGTACATACCTCAACAGGCAACCCAGCCACTCCCATCGATCGCTCTATCTTCCCTGCTTTCCCAATCCACACCCTCACTGGACGCCTCCCTACCACACTATCCCCCTTCAACGTGGTACCTGCATCACACGACACCCGTACCTGCATCACAGGACACCCGCACCTGCATCACCCGACGTGCTCCCTTGCCCAAACGGTGTCTAGCACATGGCCTAAACCCACGTGTGACGGCGGCGGGGCCACCCAATACAATAGTGCGCTTCCCAAACCAGGTTCACTAACGGCTGCGCACGCTAGCGTCTTCCGTATCGGGCCGTAAGCAAAGCGAAACAGGCACTAGCGCCAGCTTAGCGCCGCCAAAACAGGAATCACGGTTCGATTCGGGACAAAAGTTGGATGAACGGACATCATTGTTCAGAAATCAGGGAAGCGGCTGTGTTCGATGGTCGTGGAATGGTTGCCTGTTGGGGTAGGTTGGGAGGGTGCATAGGGTGGCGATGGGCGGGTATGACGATGATGACGACGGAAAGGTGGAACATTGGAGCGAAAACAAGGTAGAGTGATCGATGGATGGGAAGTTGCCGGTTCAGGTATGCGAATGGGGGTCGACGGGGAAGTGTAGCGGGAGGGAGGTTGATATCAAGATGACGATCATGATTCTAGGAACAAACAGTCGTCGCCGTCATAAAACTCGCCTCAGGCCTCACCGGTGTCGATATTCGCTGCTGCGGGTTCTGCGGGTTGTTCGAGCAAGAGGCTTTGATTGCAAGTACGAACTGCACAAGAACGGCTTGGTCATACGTTGAAAGCGGTATGCATTTTATGAATCTCTTGTCGATTGGAACACATCGTCGATTGATGACCAAAACTCGTCGCCACTGATGCTAGAACCGATACGCATCGTAGAGCCGCTCACGCCCACCATGGCAACTGAATCCAAATACAACCCAGCCGTCCTTTTTGCGATTCACTACAACGTCAGAGGAACGGCAAACCCTGGACCTACATCAGAATGACACCTGTTCTACAATGTGCACAACATCATCCTCAACGAACAACTCAGCACGGCGCCTCCCCACACCAACTGAGCAAACTTGTCAGTCTCTGTCACTGAGTAAAGAGCAGCTCGAGTACTCACGGAATCCCCGCACACCCATTCTCATAAACACTAACCCCACACGTCTTCCCATGCGCTGCGATCAACTCAACCACGCTCTCTGGTACAAACCCCGTGAACCTATCCACTGTCAGCTTTAAACCAACTTTCTTCCCTCCGTTGCCCTTTCCCCAACTTTGATAGACCAGCCAGCACGGCTATATCTATCACGGACCGCTGCTTGAGGCCTTCGACGACTTTCCAGTAAATTTCTCTTCCTTTCACTTCCCCTCTGCATCTCCCTAGTAGATAAAATAACTTACCCGAAATTGTTCATCGCTTCGTGGATACTCGCGCCTGACGCCTTGGCCGCATTCAGAAGCAGATCCTTCTCCGCCTGTGTCGTGTTCTTGCCGTAGTGCACAATGACGTCTTTCTGCGATGAGCCGGCGCAGGTGGCTGGGGCTGAGGGGAGTTGACACTCGTCAGAGTGCGTGAAGCGGGCGATCACTGCGGCGGGTGTGTCTTTGTTGGAGGCGGGAACAGCGATAGCGAGGGTGGGAGAGAGGATGGCGAGAGGACGCATGGCGGAGTGTAGGTGGTGCGTGAGTAGAACAAATGCGAAGGTATGGAGTCGAGCGGAGTCTGATTACTTGGTTCAAGAGGATACGGCATAGGCCTTGCGCGTCGTACCTCAGCCTTCTTATATCCTTTGCCGTATGCAACCACGCTGCATCGCTCCTGCCAACTATACTTCTTTTCCGGCCACCTCGCACAAAACGTCGCGTACACTCGTTCCTCTCGACAAAATCCGCGGCGTTGATACGTCCACGGTGCGTCATCCCATCTGGAACCACGGCTCCTTCAATTGCCCTATATAAACCCAAGACCTCCTCTATATCTTCTGATTTCCCGCCGTTCTCCCAGGTTCTCAGCGAGTCGACCCAGGCACGCACCTTGCACTCACACCCACTGCATTATTGGTCGGCGCTAGATTGTGTATTGCTGGAGTTCAACGTGATTGGACACTGTGTTTTTCTGGTATTGGAGTGTGCGCATCGTCGTTACCAGCCTGCCGGTTGATGTGGGCATTCTTCCGGGCGGTCTTGGAACGGGAGACGGGGTTACATTATAGTTTCTTCCCCCACTGATGAGGTGCAGGGATTGCATGTGGGGCTGAGGAACGAGTTTTTGATTTGATTGCCCCAGCGAGTAGGCAGGCGTGGAGGTCCATGACGAAGCCTTGGGGGTTGCACGTGTAGGGTGAGGGGACATGAGTAGTGATAACCATGCTAACATCATAGCCGGCATTTGTGCATACTAACGTTGAACTTTAGTCACTGCAAATGCTCCAGAAGTAGAAGAATGAGTTATCGTTAGCCGACGGGGATTTTCGATGTCGCGGTCGAAGTCTTAGGCGCACAGAGGAGTCTGTTCCTATTCTCAGCGTTTAGAAGTAGCACTTCGCAGCACTGTCTTGGGACCCACCTCCCTTATAAATCCGCGCTTCGCTTTCTAATCATACCAAAATTGCAGCGGCAGCTTCTCCTAACTCCAATCCCCGCTTGTACCCCCTTGGAAAGACCACCATCGGCCGATCGACCACTACCAGAAGCTCCGGTCGAACTGGCGCTAGAGTTTGAAGATACCGAAGAGCTCGAGGAACTAGATGTAGAGGCCGACAATGTCTGGCTTGATGTGCTGGGGAAACCGTCTTTCTGTGCGGTTATATAATAGGAAAGTATGACCATTTGCCTATATGTTGTAAATGGGGTCGCAACCGTAGGGATTGTGTACAGGGTGCTGACACGTTCTATTAGAATGCTATGGCACACTCCCCACATAACAAGCAAGTTTTCTTCGCAAATCAATATTCTTCGCTCGTTGGAAAGGCCTAGGATTCACGCTACAGAGCCCGGAACCGACGTGCTAACACGCTGTTTGCAGGGGACTTGTTCGCGGTTTATGCCGACAAGGTACGCATGTCGCAAACCTCGTCCGAGTTGGCCAAGATGTACAGGGATTATTCCATTCCAGGCGACGGAAAGAAGCCGTCAAAGACAGAGCGATGACGACTTATCTTAATGGTAGCAATGATCTCGTCGAGACAGCGTCAAGACGCTCGGGTTACCACTCGATGAAGAAGTACGCTTCGAGACGCACTGGGCGAACAAGATAGCAGTGAAGGCGGTAGGCTATTGGCAGACCGAAACGGAAGTTGGTTTCGATGATTAGATCCTTGAAAACCGACGAGGTAGATCATTGGGTAGGGCACATTTAGGCACACTCAGATGGAAGACGTCCCGGACCCTAGGTCACGTTACTTGCTATCCTACACCACCGCTACGCTTAACCCTCTATACTGACCAAATCTCGACCTGTTTTTAGCCTATGGCGCCTGTTCAGTCTATCACTATATGCTGCCTTTGGCCTACGCCTGTGCATCTCCAGACAAAGCATTCTCACTTGTAAATGCAACCATATCCTGAAGCCGAATGTCCGCAGATTGGTGGTTGGCCTTGCGGATGCTCTTGCTTGGGCGACTGTGATCTAGTGTATGCGAGGCGAGCGTCGAGCTCATCCAGCTCAATGCGCCCGCTATCGAGTTCCTGCGATGCAATCCAGCATCGAAGAGCGTACCGGAACGTTTCGGTTGGTCTGTGGGATGGCCGTGGTGATATTGTGTACGTCATTCCGCTTTTCGGTCATCCGGGTGGGCTCGCCAACTCGCGCTGGTACGCACCCGCGAAGTCAAGTTGCCCCAGCTGGCTATTGATCTGATCGATCTCCTTGTTCAGATCCTCCAAATTCTGTGCTAAGCTAGTGACTTCGTCAAAGCGACGATGCTTAGTAGCATTTGCCACCATCTCTGAGACCATAAACTTCTGTTCCTCCAGGATGATGAGTCTCTCACGAAGCTCTTTCTCTTCCGATTCTAATGCAGAGACTGCGCTGCTGCTACTAACAACACTCCCCGCTTGCCTGTCGTTGTACTTGATAGACGCAAGTGCGCCTCCGTTCTGACGACCATTCGATTTAAAGCCTTGTGGGGCTGCGTGCTTGAGGACCCTCGGTAGCGACCGCAATGGCAGCATGTGCGTGCTCAGGAAATTGTATGCTTGTTGGTACACAGCTCTCTGCAATTTGGCCTGGGTGGGTGACTCGGTCGGCAAGTCCCGAATTCTTTTGGCTGCAGTGTCGTACTGGGAGAATGCATCCATAAGCCTCTTCCGGACTTTGGTAGCATCTGCAAGCTGTTGCGGTGATGGCGGCTTGTCTGGATCTTGTAGCGCCATAAGCAGCTTTTGGAATCGTGGAAGGAGCAAGCGGATGCCTCGCTCAAACTGGGTCAAGTTCTCATATGCGCGCTGGTCTGTCGGATTTTGCGCCAGTTCCCGCTCGAAGTCGCTTCTGCTGAACAACGTGTGATTACAGTCCTTACACATTCGTATGTCGACACCCATCTGTTCACCTTTCTCGGTTCTGTTCCCGCTTGCTGCGATGTTGAGCCCAATCTCTGAAGAGCATCCGGTCTTCGGGTCTCCACACACTACGCGGCCGCACATGCGGCAATGGTGTCGACGGAAGGTATAGCTGGAGAACTCCTGCTGGCAGAAAGGACAATGCGACACCTTGGCATCCTCCTCCCAGGTGATTATAGACTGCTCGAGGGCTTTACGCTGATTCTTCACGCCTGAAAGCGGCCAAAAACTGCTTGTTGCACTCTCATCGGGAGGAGGGTTTGCCAACAGCTGCGTCAGCTTCGTCAAACGCTTTTCTAGCCTGCTGACTTCCATGTGTTCTCGGTCGACCCTCTTTCTCCGGATGTCTGCGAATCCTTTGAAGTGATCGCGGTCGAGCCCACGGTGGTCGTTGTAGCCATCTCTTGACTTGTAGCATGTTTCGCACACCCTGCACCAGATGCCCCTTACTGGATCGTGTTTTGCCTGCCGCGACAGCCTCATCTGGTACATAGTGTGGTCCTCGCAGAAGAGCTTTCCGCAGCATCTGCAGTTGACGGCAGAATTATTCCCTCCCAACGTCATCTGTGCACTGATGGGTCTACCACACATGGGGTCCGAGCAAACGTCGCGATAGCTTGGCCGCTGCCAGTGCGCTCGCGTGACTTCTTCTTCCGGGTCTCGGCGAACTGGCGCTGGTTCGTGTGAAGGAGCGGCGGTTGAAGCATGGGCGAACGGGGGCGGTGTAGGCGCATCGTTCGATTCGAAGACGTCGAGGCCTTTGAGCTTCTGGTTCAGAACGGCTAGGGGCTGGAATTTCTTTGCCTTCTCCATCTGCTGCTCGAACCAGTTCTTGACTTCATCCTGTTCCTCTTCTACGAGATTCTGGTGGTTGTCGTCGAGATGTCTGATGATAGTCAGAATAGGACCAACCTAACAAGGGAAAACACAAGTACCGGTTCAGTTGCAACAGAGTCAGCTATCGTCGTTAGTGCCTGAAGGTATACTCGTAGGATGTGCATGTGCAGCTCACCATTTCCTCATTGCAGATGGGGCACACAAGCCTGCTGGAGGCGCTTGCTGCGGCATTCTCGGCGCCTGGAAGCAAGACCTTGCTGGTGATGTCGTCCCTGGCCTCGGCGGTACTTGCGGGGCTGTTGGACGTCTGGGAGCTGAGGGATATAGAGCTCTCCGAGGGCGACAGCAAGCTGGCATTGCGGCGGTGGTGGGCAGGCGGGCGCGGGGACACGGCGGGCGAGAGGTTGCGCCCGCTGCCGAGCACGCGGCCACCGCCCAGGGACCTGCCCGAGGTCATGATGGATGCGGTCGCGCGGGTTCGACGGGGTTCATGGGGAACAGCAGCAAGCCGTGTCGACGCGGGCCCAAATGAGGTAGCACGCTGGTGCATGCACGCACCGGCGCACTAGGATGGGGGCGTAGCGCAAGGATCGCGAAGGATCCCAGTGCCGCAGGGCTGAGCCCGCGGACAAGGACATGCCGCCTCGGAGCCGTGGTCGCAACGGCCAACAAAGCGCATGAATGGACAACGGCCTCAGCCGCCCTTTGTCGAGGTTCCCCATCGATTGATATCACATGCCGGCCGTTCTCCAGGGCTCCAGCGCCCTCCTAGTGTGGCGGGTGTGGCTAGAGCTAGACAACGGGCGTCATCACCATCCATCTCCGCGCGCACCCATGCTTTCTCTCTTCCCCACGCGCCACCATGAAGAGCGATTTCCCTGAGATCCAAGGCGGAGGCTCGCTCATCTTGGCCTGGCAGATTCGCAACAAGCGCGTCCTAGTAATTGGAGGCGGCGAGGTTGGGCTTCCGCGCAGTTGCTTCACCACCAGCTAACATGGAAGTAGGTAGCTGCCGGCCGCATCGTGAAAGTACTCAATGCAGACGCAAAATGTGTCGTCGTCGCGCCCCGCTCCGGCCTCAACGACGAGGTCGCCTACCGCGTAGACCAGAAGCAAGTCGAGCACGTCGACCGAAACTTCGAACCCTCTGATCTTGACGGCGCCGACATGGTCATGTGCGCCATAGACGACCCCGAGGCCTCGACCCAAGTCTGGAAGCTGTGCAAGGAGAAGAGGATAGCCGCCAACATAGCCGACGTGCCACCCGAATGCGACTTCTACTTTGGCAGCGAGCATCGCGACGGCCCGCTGCAGATCATGGTCAGCACCAACGGCAATGGGCCCAGGCTGGCAAATTTTGTGCGAAGGCGGATCGCAGCCACCTTGCCGTACAACATCGGTACCGCGATACAAAGAGTTGGCATGCTACGGAAGAAGCTGCGGAAGGTCGCACCCAACATCGAGGAAGGACCAAAGAGAATGGCATGGATGATCAAAGTCTCTGACAAGTGGACCCTCGAGGACCTGTGTGAGATGACCGACGAAGATATGGACGGCCTTCTGGGTTTTTACAAGCCAAATACTGTCCCATCGCTGGATGAAGTCCGACTGGCGCAGCCAGATGGCGCATTTGATGGACCTTTCTTGATCTAACAAGTTGATTTGTGCGCGGCTTTACGGAGTTTGGAAATATCTCGACTTGACTAACGGATCTGATTGCATTTGAGCGCCTGGATGAAGCAGCTAAGTCCTAGAATCCCTTGTATCAATACGACTGTATAAGACGGAATCTTGCTTCAGCCATCATGTTGTTCTGTTAACTTGATCGACTATGGCATGCGCTCGACCAATCAGACGCGATGTGGTCCAAGCGGCATGCGCCAACATCGCTCTTGCTTCTTCGACTTTGATATAACACAACACGACATGCAATCCGGCGATGAATCAAACAAATTCGCTATGTGAATGAGTGATTTCCGCCTGACTTCAAATCAATCATATGCAGCTTGAACGGCAGCATGAGTTCAGCGACAAAGCCTTCCTACGAAACAGTCGACTTCAAAGCCTTGGCACAGCAAGACGAAGCCTTCAACACCATATGGCAGCAACACTCCGGCAGACTCGATTTTCAAGACCCAGACACTACCAAAACATTGACTAAAGCCCTTCTGAAAGTTGACTTCAGCTTGCAGCTCGAAGTCCCAGACGACCGATTATGTCCTCCCGTGCCCAATCGCTGGAACTACGTTTGCTGGATCCACACTCTCCTAGACTCCACCAACCCATCTTACTCAAGTCACTATGACCCGGAACGCCAGGTCATTGGTCTGGACATCGGAACTGGCGCGTCTGCAATCTACACCATGCTTTGCCTGAAGTCGCGACCAGCATGGACGATGTGCGCCACCGACGTGGACAAGAAGAGCTTCGAATCTGCCGCACGGAACCTAACCATCAACAATCTCATCACGAGGGCAAAGCTGCTGCAGACGATTGATAGCCAGCCGTTGATACCGCTGCAGTATCTTGGCGTGGACAAACTCGACTTCACGATATGCAATCCGCCATTCTTCGCAGATGAGATGGACATGCGGCAGAGTCTGAGCGGAGAGGGGAAGTCGGTCAGGCCGAATGCGGTATGCACGGGATCGGAGAACGAGATGGTATGTCGGGGCGGGGATCTCGGCTTCGTGACACGGATAGTGGATGAGAGCCTCACGCTCAGGGAGAGGGTCACGTGGTACACGAGCATGTTTGGCAAGATGAGCAGCGCGAAGGCGATCATAGGGCTCCTGAAAGAGAAGAGCGTCACCAACTGGGCTGTGGGTAGCATCGACGTCGGCGGGGGGACGAAGCGGTGGATCGTCGCGTGGAGCTTTGCGGATTACCGGCCTCCCAATGTAAGCATGTATTCTCATTTGCTGATCGCGTGCGGTCAGTCTAACTGATTTCTAGAGCATAGCCCGCATCGAGAAGTTCGCAAACGAGTATCTCCCGTTCCCAACTGAATACCGCTTCTCCCTCCCCGCCAACACTGACACCAACGCCGCAAAGCACACGATCGACCGGCAAGCGCGCCGCCTCCACATACGCTGGAATTGGGACTCCCAAAGTGCTACTGGTGTCGGCGAAGCAGCGGAAAATGTCTGGTCCCGTGCGTATCGTCGCAAGCATGAGCGCAGGATGAGAGAGCTAGCTGCGACTGATGCCAGAGACGCAGAGATGCACACCATTCTTGAAGACATGGAAGTCGCCTTAGCATTCCGGATTGCGGTGGCGGAAAATACGCGGGAGGTAATCATCGAGTGGCTGCGTGGCAGTGATCAGGTGCTCTGGGAGAGCTTCTGCGGCATGGTGCACCGCAGTTTCAAGAAGTCCTGACTGGGGCGCGGCGAAGTGGCAGACTCTATATCGCGGTGGAATACCCACGGGACAGAGTCGGCACCTGCGACCGCGTTTTTCGCTGACCGGCGACAGGCTCTACCGTATGCTTAGCCAATGAACTATCCTGCAATCTCGGCTCGCTCGATCTTATACATTCAAGGCAACGAAACTACACGGCGACCACCCCACTGTCTCACTGCTGACGCCATCCCTACACACCGCTCTCAACAACCCTCGCTCGTTTCTGCAATTAACTCCCTATCCGAGTACCAATCATCCTCTTTGATGATGCATAAATACCCTATATATCGCCAGTCCATCACACAATCGCCTTTCCCATACCTAAAGTGACAAAACCACTATCCAACTCCAAAATGCAACTCACCCTCCTTCTTCCACTCTTTCTCTCCCTTACCACCCTCACCACCGCCCAGGCCTGCGGCCAATTCTTCGGCAAAGACACCGCGGCGTGCAAAGCGCAATGTTCGGATCTGGGCGGCAAGTGTTTTAACCGCGGGGGAACGGCGGTGTTGTTGCTGCAGTGTTCGTGTTAACTTTGGTGGCGGCAAGGGATGACAGTGTGGTTAGGTAAGACCGTTTGTCATTGGAGATGAGCAGAAGCTGATGCGTGTAGGTGTTTGGTTGAAGGATGTGGAAGGACTGGGAGAGGATGAGTATGGATAAGTTGGAATTGGAGGGGGTTGGTCGAACGACCGCTGTGATGGATTCGCGTTTGGAGTGATTGCGAGGAAGAACAGACACCATGCGTCATAAATATACCATGTCTGAGCGCTGGACCTGCAAGGGACACAATAGCAGGCTACGCTCTCTTCCTTGAACGCCAGCTCTACGGCCGACTACTCTATCGTAGCCTCCAGATGGCCGGGAATCTTATCACGTATCCCCGTGGATTTTTTTTGGCACAAGTCATTGCGCTACATGATGGGTGAAGCTTATATGACTTGTTTCGCAAATAAAATGCTCTAGTCGAGCTACATCTGCAATCGCCACGAACGCTCTCACGCGAATTGACAAGACAACCATGACCCCAAGCTACTCGCATATTCCCTGCCATGGCCCGCTGCTCTTTTGAAACAGATGGTGACATCAAGGACTCTTCCAAATTGCCATAGTTTCCCACCCTCACGCCTCAGCACTGACTCTTCCGAAAATATCCCAGCCTAATGCCCCAGCACTCCATCCTCCCTCAGCAGATCGGCCCATCCCAGAACAATTCTGCACCCAGCTCCTCGGAAATCCCCTTCGCCAACTTCGGCGTCCCCTCACTCTCCCTCACCCCACAAATCAATGGCTCCAACCCACCATTTCCGTTCCTACTGCCGTGCTGCGCACCCATCTCGCCACCGCGTCCGCTCCTCGTACTCTTTCCCCCACGCGTCTCCCTCGGCGGCGGCGGACCCGTAGGCTCGCCCCTTGCCGCGCGATTCTGCCGATGCAGCTGGCCCCCATGTAAGTCGCCCTTGAGCTCCTCGCGGCCGTCGCGCTCGTCCGTCTCGTACTGGAATGTCGACCACGCGAAGACGCGCTGCTCCATGCCGGCAGGGGCACGGCCTTGGCGGACGAGAACGGGGCCCGCAGCATAAAGCGCGTCGTCGCGGTCGCCGATGGCGGCGGTGTCGTGGTCGTAGCGCGCTTGACCGAGGTCGGCGGCTTCGGTGGAGGTGTAGGTGTAGTGGGTGGTGTTTTGGTTGGAGGTATTCTGGGTTTCGTTCTTGTTGTTGATGTTGTTCATGGACATTGTGGCTGGGAGGCTGCGGTGGTGAGTTGAGGGTGAGGTGTGGGAGGTGGAAGTGGACTTACGAAGGTTAATGCGGTCGGGATGTCAAGTATTTGTTATGTGAGGTTATGGGTATGGGGGCAGAGACTGTATTATATACATCTGAGAGCTAAGACCGTGGTTGTGGACGACTGTAAGAAAGTACGTTGTTGCTGTCGCGGGACTCGACGACAAGATAGGGTCAAGCGGCAAACGGAAAAAACAGCCACGTATACGTGGTTGCTTCTTTCCGCACAGCTCAATTACCATTAGAGTAGCTTACTCCCTAATCTCACCCGTAGCTTCCACTCTGCACAGCTTACCATCTTGTGTGTACAGACTCTCAAGTCCCCCACCGCTACTATCTCTCACCTCCCACTCATCGCTTCCGACTCCCGAGATAACCCAAAACACGCCCTCGGGATCCCATTTCTTCTTCACTTCAAGCAGCCCTTCATAATGACTTCCATAAAAAGTATCTTTCCACTCCGGATCCTGCATGTCTCCCTCATTCATATACGCTCCGCCACCCGGTGTGATATCCCTCCACCGCTGCAAGTACGACTGCAGTCTGTCGTGTCGTCTAGCCTGCAGCTCCGGTGGTTCGACAACAGTGCTGCCATCCCATGAGGCATTGGGCTCGTAGATTTGCGTATGCATGATCGCTGTTCTGAACGCGGGGAGGACCGCATTGTTGGGGTTGCCAGCAATCGAGATCGTTGGGCTCATGACTTGGCCGTGGATATCGTAGCCGCCTTCCTCCACAGCGGAACGTATAGCAGCTTGCATTTCGGAGATCGAAGCGTCGTCAGCGTAATTATAGCGCTGGAACAGCCGCGAGGCTATGAGGGTGTGGCCGACCACGTCACCGAGTGCGCGTTTCTTGAGCTTTGGTTGGTCTTGTAGGTTCGGAATATCTATTGTTTGCATTTTCGGTATAGACACTGGGATGCCGACTTCGTTAAGCCTTTGTAGGAAAGGCTTTGTAAAACTTCGCAGCTCGGCGAGTGTGCGGTTCGGCAGGGCGAGTGATGACGTGAAGGTGAGCCCTGTAGCGCCGGAATTCGATCCATGCCTGATGAAGTTGTATCCGAAACCTCCATTATCGCATAGCGGCGTGGAGAAGTTCATGTATTCCTGGATCCCAGCCCAGAAGGACTCATTCGATACACCCGGCAGTCCAGGTCGGGATATTGTTGAGAAGGATATGCTGGTACTGGCAATTGGTGTGAGAGGAAATGTGCGGACGACAATTGAGGTCACGACTCCAAATGTACCTGATCAATCCATCAGTGTCACGCTTGTGAAAGATAAAGAAGTCACGCACCTCCACCTCCTCCCCTAAAAGCCCAGAACAGGTCTGGATTTGTCTGTGCATCTGCAACTACAAACCTACCATCAGCAGTGACTGCTCTGATCTGTAGTACGTGGTCCGCTGCGAGTCCATAGAAGCTCGCGTATGAACTATGGCCCGCACCTTGGAAGTATCCTCCTGGGACTGCGACATCGGCACCGCCAGCGTTCAAGATAGTCGTATTGTACATCCTCGAAGCAGCGCTCACGTCTGTTGCCCTTGTACCGCCGGCCATTGCTACTGCACGTCCAGTGTAGCCTGGTATCGTAAAATTGGGATGATAGGTCAAGCCTCTGAGGTTGTGCACCCAAATTGAGAGTGAATTTCCGCCTATGTTGTTGCCGTTGAAGTTATGGCCTGAGTTTCTTGAAAGACGTTAGTGTGTCATCAAACGGTTTTCAGAGAATGCAGTGAAAGTAGCATACTTGATGACGAGTCGTATATTTCTGTTGCGCGCAAAGTTTACGGCCATTTGCACATGCTGAACAGTCGTCGCGTTCACAGTGAACACCGGGAATCCACCCTGAACACACGTCGAATCAGGGCTTTTTGTGGGCACACATGTCATACCCGTTGCCCATTGTGACATTACACTGATCGGATGGTTTGCGCTGCTTAAGTCAACTTTTTTTTGTCCCCTAGAAGAGTCTAATGAGCGCACTGCTGTGCCATGTTTCTCCAGCCGCTTTGCAGTATCGCGCATTTCGCTGCATCATATTCTGGCCCAGCATAGCACGAAATCGCTAGCGGCTGCGGTTTTAGCAGCACGCCTCCGAGAGTTGCATTGAAGCGCTGCCATTCAGCATCGCTTGGCCAATCATCGTCATCCGGGCTATAACGGCACTCTTCCTGTGGTAGAGGTTGCGAGACATCGCCAAAACGAAGGGCTGGAAATTGAATGGTATCTGAATCTGCGAGCTGCTTATTTTCAAAGTCGAAATTGACAGCGACCACGGTGCTCGCGAGAAACATAAATACACAGAAGAGAGCCATAGCGAGCATGCAATGTTGGGCCGTGTGTTCAGACGGGGACATTTCGAGGAATCGCCATATGTATAATGATCACTCATATGTTGCCTAAAGTCCGAATGAGGACATACATGTTCTATATTCCCACGAGGCATGCATGCAGCAGTGCCGAGCCCCACGACGGTACTTGCGGATGGCTTAATCTATTGTCTCGTGTGGCCCCGTGTGCGGACCCAATACGATGGTTACTTCTGCCAGATGCCCCTGTCGCACACCATCATTGGAAACGGGTCCCTCGCTGTATCCTGGGTCATGCAGACCCTATCAGACATCCAGTATAATAAATACGAGATGGACTGTCGTTTGGGTGATTGATCCAGAAAGGTGGAGAGTTGTCCGTGTTAAACGAAGAAGGTAGAATGGCTTCATATGGCCTAGCGCATTTCAACAGGTGTGTATCAGCTGCGCATCGCACATGCGTACACATGCTGTAGGCCTACAACTTGGAGTTCGTGATTGGACCTCTCCTAAGGGAACGTATTCCAAATAGTAGAGGTATTATGGTCGCCTCATTCTGTCCTTTATCCTTTGGGTGTTGCCACTCGCATCAGGACGGGCTAGGTGATCAATAGCATCGGCGCATCGCATGATCCATAGACGGAACGGCGAAGATATATCACATCCAAGAAGTAGATGAAAGTCGGTTCCTAGGCTCCAAAGTAATGATTGATAAAGCATGATTGTGGCTGCGTTGGCAAGCAGTATAGCCATCAAAGGTCGCTTGGTGCCTCATTTTAATCAACGAATTTTGCCTCGGTCGACTCAAGATACCAATCTAAACAACCGCTAAGAAAAATGGTGTTAGTTCGGTTGGGAAAAAGGGGGGGGGGGGAATACAAATGCTGAATGTGCTCACACTGCTACCTCAAAATAGTAGTGCCCACCATTCCTGGGCCTGTTATTTCTTCTGTATATCACACGGCACATGCGAAAAACATCCAAGAATAGTCCAGCTGGCATGGTTTCGATACCTACAAACACTAGAAGGGTAGTTGCGTGTAAGTCTAGCGCCAATGCTTTGGCTCTGAAATTCGCATAGGGAAGGAACCCTGAAGAACGGCACGTTTGGCGCTTGCGCCGTGGTTGCTTCCCATTACTTTTCTAGGCTGCAACCTCATCTCTTCCCGGTTCCATCGACAGGAGATTGCATTTACTGTTTCCCTCGATGGCCAGCGACATCGACGATGTCTCCCGCCGCCAAAGCCAACCATAGCGACGATGATTTGTATTGCGATCCCATTTCAGAGACAGTGTTTGAAAGCGCCTCCGACGGCGCTCGATATACGGCAAAGGGCACAACCACCGACTCGAACCTTCCTCAACAGGTGCTGCCCAGCATTCGACCAGGCAATGGATCCGTGGTCGTGGGCTCTCAGTTTACCCGTGTCAACACGCACGCGACTTCTCGAAAGGCTCCCCCTTCGCCCACGCCGTTCCGTATGACCGATGAGTGGGCCGCAATCGATGAAGCATACACTCTGTACGCATCTCAGCTACTCGATGGCGAACGAGAAAGCATTGAAGCAGAGATCAGTTGGCGGGAGAGAGAATTCGAGCGCTTGGAAGAGATGTCCAGGAAGCAGGTGCCTGTTCGTTTCACCAGGCCAATGAATGGAGGACACCTCAGGCTGCTGGCAGATCACCCCGACCTTCTATTGCGCTATTTCCACAATGAGAGGCGGATCGCCAAAGCGATTGAGTGTTGCGAAGCGCAGTTCTGGCATATGTACCTTGCAAAGGCCGATTCGGTCCACAACTACTACTACACGGAAGTGAAGAAGCTTCGTCGGGGCATCATGACTATGATGCGCTTGGAGTTGGAGCCCGTTGCCAAAATTCTCATCACACATATCATGAGCCGTCTGTGTGCTCTTGTCGGGGTCGAAATTACCAACTCCAAGCCATACGATCTGCTTTGTCTGCTTGAAGACGCCTTCGTACACGAGGTAATCCTTCCGAACGAAATGCTGCGCAAGGAGTGGGAAGATTGTTGGAAGCTTGAGCACACGGTTCTCCAATCACACATTGTTAGATCGATGCAGGCCGATACCGGTAAGTCTTGGCATACCATTCCTGACACTCCGAGGTAGTGCTTGCGTAGATTCACCGCGCCTCTGTTTGAGAAGAACATGGTAGTAGAGTAGTTGACTTACACAAACTAGCTCAAGATTCCCAAAAAGATGGTGCCAATGGAACAACTCTCAGAGACCTCCAAGGCATCCTTTCGTCTCGTTCAATTGTGAGCGGTGTCCCCATGGCTCAGATTTTTGTCATCTGGACGAAGATTGGGATTGTTAACGCTGCTACAGGCTCCGTAGGGATGCAAATCAGATGTCTGGGAAAGAAACAGTATGGGATTCTGGACGAAGCAAATACAAGGTGTGGAGGTCGTGCTCAATCAGTCGTGTCGTTTGTCGTTTTGCTGGCGTCCGTCGTGTTCAGCGCACTCATCATCAGTTTTTACACCAATCAAGCGCGGAGGAAGGATCATTTTGGATCTTGAATTGCATTTTCGATGCAAGGAGGGCTTTTGTATTTTGTCAGTGTGCAGACACTCTGCGAGTTTCCGCGTTGACTTTGAGTCGTTGGGCGTGCTCTGCCAGTAGCCGCAACGCTCGCGGCCACGTCGTGGCCAGAAATGGATACAACGAGGCCATTGGCATTTGCACACGTCCGTAAAGTCAACTGGCGTAGACAGCGCAACGGAATCGCGCGTTGGGGCACATGAGTACGAGCGTCGCCCTCTCAGCCCCACGGCCGTCGCCGTCTCATCTCCGACGCCATCCAATGCCACTCCCGCCTTCCTAATCCAGCAAAGTTCTTGGCAGATAGGTAAGTCCCACAGCCAACCACCTGCTGCACGCGTTCAAGCCTCCATTTCCGCCACAGTCTGCCAAGCACACTTCGCGCAGCTCCGCCGTCCAGCTATCGACACTTGGGTATTATCGTTTCCACGAGCAGCGCGGCCAGGCCGGAATCACGACGTTTCCCGCGGCCGCGTCTGGGCATCATGGAGTATAAGAGCAAGGATCGCCCCAAGGGAGGGAAGGGCAGAGCATATCGGACTCGCTACGATGGCTACTCTCGTTCGCTTGGTTGGCCTCGCGGCTTCGGTTGCTGTTTCTACTGCGTTGACTATCGCTGAGATCAACGGCAATAAGTTTCTATCGCCTTACAATGGACAGACCGTGGCCAACGTCACTGGTATCGTGACTGCGAAGGGACCGGATGGTATCTGGATTCGCTCGACTCAGCCGGACCGCGATGCGAGGACCTCGGAATCTCTCTACGTGTTTGGCGCCAAATTTGCAACGGCCAACAACATCACTGTTGGAGACGCCATCTCGGTGGGAGGAAAGGTGTCCGAGTACCGCTCAAGCAAGGCTTACGTATACCTGACCGAACTCGCGAGCCCTACCTTGGAGGAGAAGCTGTCGTCGGGAAATCAGGTGAAAGCCCTCGTCATCGGAAAGGACACCACCGACCCCCCGACCCAGCAGTTCAGCAGCCTCGACGGCGGCGATGTATTCGCGGTGCCGAATAACGTCTCCCTAATCTCAGTCGCAAACCCCGTTCTGCAGCCCAAGAAGTACGGCATGGATTTCTGGGAGAGCTTGTCCGGCGAGCTCGTGACGGTGCGGAAACCCACTGCGATCAACAAGCCCAACAACTTCGGTGATACCTGGGTCATCGGCGACTGGAAAGTCACTGGACGAAACGGCCGCGACGGTCTGACGCAGGACGGCAAAGATGCAAACCCAGAGACCATCATCATCGGGTCCCCCCTCGACGGCACGTCGAACCCGTCTACAACCAAGCTGGGCGACTCCCTCGAGGAGATAACAGGCATCGTCACCCAGGCCTTCGGCTTCTATCGCATTCTCCCCACCACCGCCCTCAAAGTCAAGAAATCCCAAAATCCCGCACTCCCCTCGGCAACAAAGCTGCAGTCCGACGGCCAGTGCAGCGGCCTCACTTTCGGCGCTTACAACGTCGAGAACCTTTCCCCAAACAGCACGCACCTCCCCGCCATCGCCGCCCACATCGTCGACTACCTGCGTTCTCCTGACCTCGTCTTCCTCCAGGAGGTCCAAGACGACAACGGGCCCATCAACGACGCCGTCGTGTCTGCGAACCTCACCTTATCTACGCTCGCCGCGGCAATCGCTAGCATCGGCGGCCCGCAGTACGCCTTCACGGACGTCGACCCCGTAGACGACAAGGACGGTGGCGCGCCCGGCGGCAACATCCGTACCGCGTACTTCTACAAGCCGTCCCTGATCCGCCTTTTCAAGCCCAACGCCGGCGGCTCGCTCGACGCCAACGCCGTGCTCCCCGGGCCGAGTCTGAAGTTCAACCCAGGGCGTATCGATCCAACAAACGAGGCATGGACCGCGAGCCGCAAGCCGCTGGTCGCGCAGTGGGAGGTCCTGGGGAAGAAGGGCAAGAGCGAGGGGGTGTTTTTCACGGTAAATGTGCACTTTGGGAGTAAGGGGGGCAGTAGCAGTATCCAGGGGGATGTGCGACCGCCGGTCAACGGGGGCGTGGAGGATCGCCAGGCGCAAGCCGAACTAACCGCGAACTTCATCAAGGTGAGTCCAGTTCATGCACGTGTCTACGCAATGAACATGGCACGACTAACGCCCCACAGTCCATCTTCGCGCAGGACAAACACGCGCGCGTCATCACCGCTGGCGATTTCAACGAGTTCATCTCCGTCGCCCCGCTGCAGACCTTCGTCGATATCTCGGGTCTCAACGACCTCGATGCCGTGGCGGGGATCAAGCCCAGCGAGCGGTACACGTATCTGTTTGACATGCAGGCGCAGCAGCTCGACCACATGTTCGTGTCGGACTCGTTGAAGAAGAAGGCCAAGTATGAGCATGTGCACATCAACACGTGGGTGGACAAAGCGGCGCAGATTAGCGACCACGATCCTAGTGTTGCGAAGTTGGACGTTTGCTCGTAGGGGCGGAGTTTGGGTATGCGACACGGAAAACACCACGTAAATAACCAAAATGTGCCTGAAATTTCAAAAGTAACTTCAGCTATCCTTGCTAATAATCCACCTCCCAAAGTCAAACTCTCCCTCCCAGCGCTAGGTGCGCCCGCAATTATATCCTCCACGTACCGCAGAATCCACTGCACTCACAGAGCATCCAGAGAGACCCCCTCCCCCTCCCCTCTGCACAATGACCGCACCAACGATGCTCTCGTCATATACCGCGGCTCTTACACTCGCTTTCATATAACACACCCCACACCCCCTCTCTGTTCCCAACTCACTCCCTTACAAGTCTCCTTTCCTGACCCCTGGCACGCGGAGATGCACGTGGCAAGATCGGGGAGAGTTTTGAGGGCGAGATCGCCGCGGTAGAAGTCACGTGCTTGATCCCGAATTAGTCCGTTATTGTATGGCTAGGATAGGAGCGAAGAGGAGCGCGGAAGGTGGGTGAAAAGCGGAGAGCCAAGGTAGAAAATGGAAGAGATGGTGAAGAAGCAATGGATGCGGAAGAGAGGACTCACCACGCCGGACCACATACCCTGGCTTCCTCCCCGTGGTATCGAAGCAACCCGCGTCTGCTGTGAGCTCCATGGCTGGGGCAGTAGGCATCAACCTGGTCGAGCGGACAGGCGTCGTGGAAGGGGTACTGCTGGCGGACACTGTGTTGCAGTGTGTATATCAGACGCGTATCTGGTTCAAGCAATACTCTTTATTTTATGTTCTTGTGCGACCGTCGAGTGCATGCGAAATAGGACCAGGCGGTGGGAAACTAAACACGCGCGGAGCCACCACGTACCTGCGTAAGTTGCAGATCGCCGCCATAGAAGTCGGTGTTGCAAGTCACCAGGTACTGGTCACCTCGCGGGCTTGTAGCTGTGCAGCCATTATCTATGGGGCATGTGAGCTGTGAAGAGCAGGCTTTGCCATCGCGGCGGCTGAGAGTAGGGGAGTTCGTAGTATTGGAGAAGGAGGTTGCTGCTGTGATGAGGAGGGCTGAGAGCGTGAACATGATGGCAGTTCTAGAGGCTGTGTAATGGGAGAAGAAAGAAACGGCAGAAACGGTTCCAAGTTGATGATATTCTCAATTATATTCTCAGGGAGGGCACTGGACGTAGTCCATGGTCGGGATGCGGGCATTCCACGCGGAGGTTCCTGCCCGGCATTATTCTATGATCAATGTATTCTTCGTCTATCACTGAGAGGACTACGTTATCTAGTGAAGAGATGGTCAGCCGATTCGCCAAGGCGTACTGTATTGATCATACTCGGAGCCGTATATGAAGACATCAGACGCAAATGACCTCGGACAACGTTTGGAAAGTTCCATAGATCATTTTATCGTCGTCATGGTCCCATCCTCTAGTTTTCCGCACTATGGAAAGCAGTGCCAGTGCGGCATCTGCGTCAGGGGCCGCAGGCACCCGCCGTGCGCCGTGACATTTGCCGCTGCGTTAGTTAGTGCGAGCGTCACTTGACCACGCGCATCTAGCTGACATGTGGGTCCGGACGTTTTTGTGTTGGGGCGTGTTCAGGTGCTACATCGCCATGCATGACGAGCGTATGTATCTTTGACCATTTGCTACGTTGGACGAAAGGTGTCTGGTCCGCGTGGCATCATATTCGGTGCTACGAAGCCGCAACGACTACGACGGACCGGACGTAGCTCTGCATGCTACGCAGTTAGCGACCGGTGCTGAGTCGAGTGAGAGTACTGCTGTTAGCTGTTGTATTCGGTAGACGAGTACAAAAAACCAGCATGCTCAGCCGTCGCGCAGCACCAAACCGCAAGCGGGAGCGCCTCGTTTCCACAGGTAGTTGTTCCTTTGGAGATCTGCGCGGCTATGGTTATCAACACGATGCTGCAACACCATGGGCAGTGATGAGTGGGTATAGGAGCATCAATCAAGCCTTGTTGCATATCGGGTAGTGTGTCGTGGCACCATTTCTACTGTAGCACGTAGACTGACATGAGACCATACGAGCTAAAACGATCCAGATGGAACAAGAGTGTTATTGCAGCCTATTCGACATACATTTCGACGCAAAAGCTGCACTTGTTATGTATGGGTAGACTTGGTTGGTCTTCGATCCGTGACGCTCACCAGAGTTGGAGCAAGCGAGAACAGGCCTGTCCTGAATCTGCCAAACAACCGTCTTCGAACTTGAACCGAGTCGAATTGACAGGCATTGTGAAAGCCACGGGGCTGGAGCGAATTCAGTAGTATTGCAGTGTCATTTTTGACATGTACATGAGACGTGAACAGTTTGTTTCTGGCCATTACCCAAATCTCGCAATGTACAGAGAGATTGAGGCTATAGATGCTGGGCTTAGATACCCAGGATAAGCAGCCAAAGGATTTAGATCGGTCTAGTAGATCGAAGGGGGCCGCATGAGGCATAAAAGCCGCCGATCCTGGAAAATAGACTTTCCCATCGCGATGCTGAGACGCAGGGCAGCGGTACGGTTCTTTGTGCACATTACTCATTATCTAGCCCGTACAAGGGCTGAGAGGCTGCTTAGATGGGCTGCAGGTGAGACGATGTCCAAGGAAATGTTTGGCTGCACATGCTGTATAACTTCGCACGAGAATTGTCAAAAAGCCAGGGCGAGGCCACAGCGGCAACGGACAACGCGACGCGATCACAGGTAGATGGCTGCACAAGGTAGTGGGGCACCTGCGGGACGCGTTTGCGTGCTATACTGGCGTCAATTTCGATCGCATACTGTACGTGCAGACCCGCAGACCACGGCCAGAGCGCCTGCGCCGCATCGCTTACCGGAAGATGTATGAAGTCTGTACGTGTACCTGGTGGCTGTTATCGTTTTCTTCAGATTGAAAGCGCTTGGAAGCGCTTGGACTCGAGTGGGATGCATCAAAGCACCCTGGAGGTGGTCTAGGTGCAGGGTTGACTGGATCGTTAGATGGCCAGAGCAGCTGCCCTACGGTGGACCCAGTGCAGCACGCTTACACTGCATTTCGATATTACAGGCCCGAAACGGTCGCTTGGGTAATGAGATGTGAGATGTCGCTGACTGTTGCAAAGACAGAAGCAGTGGAGGCCAGTCTGGCTGGGCTGGCACCGGGCGAAAGGCTTCGGCAGAGCAGACACAGCCTCTCCGGTGTCGCATTCGTATCGGCATCGTCATGCGGTTGCTCGCGACAGCGGGCTCCGAGCCGCAGCGGATAGCCGCGACCACGTGTGGCCTGGGGGGGCGGTACTGGCAACCGTGTCCCAGGTTCAGTAGTGCGCGGCGAGCGAGGATGGCCCACGCAATACACGGTGGTGCAATGGCCAATCTGGGGCGGGATTTGCGGACGAGCGCGCGGCGTCAGCCCGCGGCATCGGTGCGGGCGAATTGTAGCAGGGCCGTCTTCCATTTATCCGACGTGCATCGGGTGCGTCTATACTGTAAGCAGGCGGCAGCGGTCTAATTTTGCGTGCTGGCGGCGATACAGGCGCGGGGAGGGCGACGAACGCTTGGAGAGGAGCGGAGGGCGGGGCGCAGTGCGCGCTAGAGGGCAGATTGCCGCCCCGCGACCCCGTCTGCGGGGAAGCCGCCCGCCAGTGTGCGCTGAGGGCGAGGCTCAACACCACGGAACCATCGTGGAATGCTGTGGCCGCTCGAAGCTTTCAGCGTGGCCGTGGCTGCGTGTCGGTGCGTGGGACGGCCTGGGCAAAGCTTCGTTGCTCGCGTGGACGCGACTCGCCCCGACGCTGCTGCTGCGTGATCCTTTCCTGGCTTGATGGCTGGAGGGCGCTGTTGCCAAGGTCTTGGGTGGCGTTCCTGAGCGTCGACGAGATAACGCCCAGCATCGAACCCAACGCCAGCCCGTCTGTTCTGGAACATCTCACCTGCCCGAAGGATGCGCTTGGCCCGGCCGTCGAGCGTATCGCAGGCAGCGCGAGGAGCGATCCGTAGAGCTGCCGGGGAGACTGGAATGGAGCGCTGAGGTCAAGGTAGGGTGGCCGTCGCACGCGAAGGCAGCTCAAGTTCCAGTGTCTGTTTGGGCGTGACGGCGCCTGCGTACACGATCTGGCAGGCGCGACAGCTTCTGGAGCAACGTTCCACGGCGCCGTCCCTTGTCGTTGCTGGCGTGCCAGGGGTGAAGCTGCCCGGGGTGAAGCCGCCCGCAATCTGCTCCCGTTTCGGGGCGCCAGCGTAGCCACCAAGGCCGCCGCGAGCCAAGCAACGAACTGCGACCAGAAGCTCGTCCCATCCAACCGTCCCCATGGGGTCCTGCCGCTAAGCAATCTCGGTCCATTGCCTGTGTTGTTGCTTGTTCAAGCCCTCCCAGCGCGCCTGTGTAGCCAGTATAATATCCCACCCTGCCTCCCTTGGTCACAACCTCGACAGCCGTCTCTCGTACGCTGACGACAACTCTCACGATGGCCGCCCAGCCCGAGCTCGTCAACGAGAAGCAGCAGATTGTCTCGCTCGAGAGTGGTTCCCAGACCAGCTCCCCCGCCGAGTTCCATGATGACCTGCCCGATCCCGATGCCGGCAAGAGCGACGAGGAGCGCGCCCGCCTTGTACGACCTCTCCACCTCTTCTTCATCTTGCTTGCTAACACACCCCCAGGACAAGGCGCTGGTGCGGAAGATTGATCTGTGGCTAGTCCCATGGCTCTCGCTCTTGTATCTCTTGTCTTTCTTGGACCGCACCAACATCGGCAATGCGAAGACGGCGAAGCTGGAGAAGGGCATTGGCATGGTCGGTCGTGACTACAACAACGCCCTAACCATCTTCTTCATCTCTTACGCTGGTGCTGAGCCCGTCACCAACATTCTCCTCAAGCGTTACTCGCCCCGCGTCTTCTTCACCTCCATCATCATCTCCTGGGGTGCCATCATGACCGTCATGGGCTTCGTCGAGAACCAGGCCGGACTCCTTGCGTGCCGCTGGTTCCTCGGTCTGACCGAGGCTGGTCTGTTCCCTGGTGTCAACTACTACCTCTCGTAAGAGACCCTGCTCCAGAAAAGAACCGCTGCTAACGTCGGCAAGTTGTTGGTATAAGCGCCAGGAGCTTGGCTTCCGTGCTGCCCTGTTCTTCTCTGCTGCTGCCTTGGCTGGCTCTTTCGGTGGTCTTCTCGCCGCCGCCATCATCCAGATGGAGGGTGTTCGTGGATACGAAGGATGGCGCTGGATCTGTGAGTTAATCTCCATCATCGGTCTCCGAACCCTCTAACGCTTGGCAGTCATCCTCGAGGGTCTCATGACCGTCTTTGTCGGTCTCTTCTGCTGGAAGATGGTCTTCAACTTTCCCGACACTGCGGGTTTCCTCACTCCCGATGAGAGACTGCGTGCCCAGCGCCGTCTCAGCGCCGATAACCAGACGCGTGCCGAGGCCGAGAAGATCAGCCGCAAGTATGTGTTCCAGGCCATGAAGGACTGGAAAACATGGTGCTACGCCCTGCAGTACATGGGCTGCCTCTGTCCGCTGTACTCGTTCTCGCTCTTCTTGCCAACCATTCTCCAAGATGGCATGGGCTACAAGGGCACCCACCTGCAGCTCATGTCCGTACCACCGTATGCCGTTGCTGCCGCCATGACGGTATTCGTCGGATGGTTCGCCGACCGCACCAAACTGCGTGGCTACGCCAACATGGTCGTCTCTTTGATGGGCTGCGTCGGCTTCGCCATGTTGCTCGCCAGCAAGAATCCGCACGTTCAGTACGCCGGAACCTTCCTCGGCGCCGCAGGCATCTACCCCACCGTCCCCAACACCCTCACCTGGGCGTCCAACAATGTTGAGGGCTCGCTCAAGCGCGGTGTCATGGTCGGCATAGTAGTTGGTTGGGGTAACATGAACGGTGTCGTCTCCTCCAACATCTACATGGCGCCGCAGAAGCCACGGTACTGGACTGGCCACGGTACGGTCCTTGGCTACATGTTCGTGTGTCTCTTTGGTGGCTCTGTCCTTACGCACGTCCTGCTGAGGCGCGAAAACCACATGCGCAAGACGGGCCGGCGCGACCACTGGGTCGAGGGAAAGAGCGAGCAGGAGATTAGGGATCTCGGTGACATCCGCCCCGACTTTATCTACACCACGTAGATGCGCGCTGTTGCTGGTGGGGGGCCAGCTTATGAGGTGTAGAGTGGGAACCGGTCTCGCGGGATAAGAGATTGGATCTGCGTTTTCTTAGAGATGGATGCATACACGACCGCTTTAATGTAGCAAAAAGAATCTGTTTTCCTGCCGAAATTATGTTGTCCCCCAACTTGTGTCGCGTAGTCGTGTTCGTTGTATAGTTCCCATCGTTCCTCGCTCTTCGCTCTTCGCTTGTCGCCATCGTCCCTTCCGAAGCATTGACTGCCCCCTACGCCATGCGCATGCGTCTGGTAGCATCCCGAGTCTTTGTTTCTCTGCGCAGTGGCTTCAGCGGAGTAAATATTGTTCCTGGAAGAAAAGAATACGGTTGTCGCGCGCCGGCGTGACCTCGGGCACCGCATCAGCCTATGCTGGGTTAGCATACCCGGTTCCGCACGTCCGAACAGCCGTTCGTTTCCCTTCCTGGCCCCACTTCTTACCTTCCACGTTCTGTACAATAGCACTCCCTTACCTTGTTGGCGATGGAAAGAGAGAGGATTGGGACTGTCACGCTTGACACAATCCACAGATATGGCGTGGTGTCAGAGCGTACGTCGCGCGGGGAGCGAGTAGGAGTAGGGCGGGACTCTCACTGTGACTTCGACTGTGCTGGGCTTGGTTGGAATCACCACGCAACGCGATGCGATGTGACGGACGAAGTCTTCCAAGTTTTCAGATTCACGAACACGCGTATTTCTTTTTTCTTCTGCGCTTGATGGTTCCCAAGGGTGCGCAGCGCAGCGGTCTGCCTTCTCACCCATCACTACTCTGCCTGCTCTTTTGGGAAAAGAAACAACGTGAGGAGGCACAGAGCCAGAGACGTGAAGTCCATTTAAGCTTTCACCTTCCTCCCATCACGGGCCAGGTACGCTGGGTCCGTGGTTTCTCTTACGCACTTGAATGCCCGCGACTGGACATGGCGCTGCGGGTGCGGAAAGGTGGAGTGGTCGAGTGTGCAAGCCTGCCAAGCATCTCCGTGTTTCTCCGGGGAGATGCACAATACACAACATAGTGACATTCCACCAGCGACGATCAATGTACACTGACGAGAAAGAAAGCGCGTGTATGTGGCATGAGGTGTGTATGCTTAATACAGCGATCGTCAGTGTAGGAGATTCTGCCTCTTTTTGGAAGAGGAAGAAAACATCGTGGACTTCATTGGGATACCGGAAAAGATGATCTATAAGCGGCCATGGCCCAAAACACTCCCCCAAACCCAAACATATGTAGGCAGGTATTAACCCCTCCACGCAATGCCTAGGTGAATATGTGCTGCTGGCGCCACAGTACCGTATATACGGTATGTTTGCGCCCATGATAACGCCACTTGAAAGGACAACCAAACACGCACTCCATCCCCCCATGCGCCCCCAACCTCCGTTCCCAATACTGCCCAATAGCGTCTGTGCTGTCCCAGGTCCTGTTCGCTAGAAGGTAGGCAAGCAAAGGTTTTCGGTCGCCCTACCTAAATAAGCTCCTCAAATCCTCCAGCCGCTGCTTCGCGGCCTGCTCCTTACTACTCTTCTCTCTCGTCATCGCCAAATTTGCCAAATCCTTCTTCTTCCGCTGCAACTCGAGCATTTTCTCCTCAAAGCTGCCCTCCATGATGAACCGCTTGATCGTGACCGGTCGCGTTTGGCCCAAACGGTGCACGCGATCGACAGCCTGGGCTTCAGCGGCGGGATTGAACTGCGGCTCCATGACGAAAGCTTTGTTGGCTTTAGTGAGGTTGAGCCCGAGGCCGCCGGCACCGATGGAGACGAGGATGATGGTGACGGAGGGGTCTTTGTCAAAGGCGGAGAGGGAGCGGTTGCGGGCTTCGCGGGGCATGCGGCCGTCGAGGCGGACATATTTGTGGTTGTTCTTTGAGAGGGCGATTTCGATGAGGTCGAGGTGCGTCGTCCAGGTTGAGAAGACGACGCTTGTGGTTTGTTAGCTTGTGCTTTGAATGATACACTGATAAGGACTTACCTCTTGATGGGAGGCTCCGTCGGGTTAGCCTCGGTCCAGGCCCGGTGCTCGGCCAGGTCCTCCAGCAGCGCTTTCGTCTTTGATGATGGTCCATTGTAAGCACCAATCTTTTTCGCGAGCTTAGGATCCCGCTTCAAGCGCTCCTGCTCTTGCATGTATGATGTGTAGTCCGACTTCTTGAGCTCGAACAGAGTGGGGGTGATCCGCGCATCGCAGAAAGGACAAGTGCAGAGGCCTTCCTGCGTGGTAGTCTTTTGAAGCTCTTGACGGAAACCTCGAGTGTGCTTCGCACATACCATGTGATAGCAAGATGTCATAACGCCAGAGATATCAGCCTTGGCATCGTCCTCCTCGAACTCATCAGTGTCTTGAGATGCAAGCTTGGTACCGCAGCCGGGAATGGCGCACTCGTCGTTATCCATCTGTCGGAACAGCTCAAGCATGTCGTACGCTTGGTGCCGGTTTATAGTTGCTGCATCCGGATTGTCATCATCGGCGATCTCCATCGGGTTGTCGTACGTCATGCCATCAGTCAATTTCAGCGCCTCCTCATTGAGAAGGTCGCGACCGTGTGCACAGATAAGACGGAGATTAGTGATTGCAGTGAGGATACGAGCGTATGATTTGCCGCCCATTTTATCGCCGGCAGTGACAGCGTTGACCTTGCGAGACGAATCTGCCTCGAACCAGTCGTGAAGCTTCTGCTCGTCATTAGAGAACTTCAGCCTGATAATTTGGTCAGTGCGGGAGGGTAGCTCAATCTCCAGAACCTTGTCCTTGACGCGTCGAATAGTGATAGAGCTGACAAGGAGTTGCAATCGAGGGACAACGTCGGGGTCTGCGTTCTTGAAGGGACTCATGATCCATTGGTTGAAACCGCCGGTATGGTCGAACGGGTGTAGCTTGATGAATCGGAACAGAGCTCCAAGATCCTGGAGAATGTTAGTATCAATGAAAACAAATAACAATACTCTGCGCACTCACATCAAGTCGGTTTTGGACGGGTGTACCAGTTACAGCCCATCTACGCTGACCGGGCAACGAACAAGCAGCAAGGGATTGCTTGGTATTGATGTTTCGGATAGCATGTGCTTCGTCCAACACAATACGAAACCAGTTAACCCTAGGGAGAGGCATAGCCTTGTCTTGGAAGTCGGCTGCGATCATGTTATAGGTGGTTATAACAATATCATGATCGGCCAGCTCCTGGGGTGAGTACGTTGAGCGAGACTTGCCATGGTAGTTAATCCACTTGAGACCTCGACCGGCCGGGAAATGGCGTTCCAACTGCTCCTTCCAGTTATACATGGTACTGAGGGGGCACACGAGTAATGTGCCGCGAGAGTTCATGATCGGCTGAACTATGGCATTTGGGTTGACGACAGGCCTCTTCTGCTCGAACACAGCCGCAGCTTCCCGGGACTCATCGTCGGCGACTAGAGACAGAATACTAAGGGTCTTCCCAAGACCCATCTCGTCGGCCAGAATGCCTCCTCGGCAGTTCAAAGGTCGGATGGGTTGTTCCTGGCCAGTAATGACGTGAGCGTAGTATTTCCGCCCATTGTCTCGAACCTTCGGCTGCCACAGCAAGTCCTTTCGTGCATCAGCCTCATCGCCCTCCCATACCTGCTCCTTGTCCCATAGGAAATGGAGCGCCTGCTTCTGATGCTTGTAAAGCGGCGTCTGGACAAGTGAAGATGGCTCTCGGAGCGGCAGCTCTTCTACGTTGCCGATAGTGTCGAACATGTTTTGTACGTCCGTACGAATTTCGTCAACCGATCGCAGGACATACGCAGGGTAGCTCGGACGTGGTGCTTCGAACGTCGGTTGCTGAGCAGCTTCTTTAGTCCAGCTGTTCTTCGTTTGCGGGTTGAAGTAGTCGCAGCGATCTGTCTCGAATACCGGATCATCGAGGTATACTTTGCATTTGGCCAGATGGTTTCCGAGGGTGAAGGCAAACTTCCGGGGGCAGTAGAGTTGAAATGTCATGTTAAGCAAAGCACTCATGGCTGAACCCGGGGGCCCCTCATTAGTCGTCTTGCGCCGTGGGTCCGTCCACGCTGACCACTTCATGCCCGTCGTTTTTGCATTGTCCATCAGTGGGGCGAGACAGGGCGCAGTCTTGAGATCGATTCTGCCGAATTCTCTGCCAGTGGGATCAACAGTCATGATCACGGAATTGTTTCGGTCGCCACCAGCGCGGCGAAAAGATATTTTGATGCGGCTTTGTTGTCCATAATTGCCTTGGTGCTTCCTGGGGTCCGGGAACGGCACCCGATGTGCTTGGATGTACACAGAGCGGACTTTACCAATGCATATCACTTCGTTGCTGTTATCCTGAACGACCTTGATTCCGTCATCTTCATCGTCGCCTGCAAGTGAGTCAGTAACATCAACAATAATGCGTAGCGGAGTGTCTTACTCATTGTGAGGTCGATGGCAGGGCCAGGCGGTGGAGCCTGTGCTTGACCGTTGCTGGGATTCTTCAGATCCAGCGCTCCTGCGCCGAAGCTCGCGGGCGAGTGGTTCTTCTTTTTGTGGTGGTGGTCGTCATCAGTCTTGATTTTCTTCGCAGGTGAAGCGGTACGTTCGTGCACGTTGTGTAAACGCTCTACCAGCGATACTTGGCCCGAGAGCTCTCCACCGCTGCCGGACTCACGGCCGCGCTCTGGCTCTTGTTCGGCTGCCGGGCGTTTTGAGGCCGACTTAGGGTTGAGCAATGCACGAGGATCAAACTGTTGCGGTTGATACTGCATTGCGGGAGAAGGAGATGATACATGGGGCGCGGCTGCTTCGTCATTCGTAATTAGCGGCTGCTGGAAGACGTATGGGAGGGGATAGTGTTGCTCGTCGTAGTCGGTACCACGTAGGTAGTGGTCGTCTCCAATAAATGACGCCATAACCTCCGGCGGCCAAACCTCCTGAGGCTCCGACATGTTGTTCCTTGACTTGGTATGACTAGAGTGGAAAGAAGGACAAGAAAAGTATGGGCTGTTACCTCGACGGCGCGCGCCCTTGGGGTCGAGCAGGGCGGCGGGGTTCATGATTTATAATACCATACAAGATTTTTCCACAGTTGAGGTAAGATTTCGGTGTCGCGCGTAATGTAAGAAAACGGTCTCTCTCTCCACGAGCAACGGCGACGGTCGAGGGTGCTTAATGGCGCATGTAGCCGCCAAGCCTTGACGCTTTGATCCACGTGCCGTGATGCTGTGGATCTTGAACCGGATCTAAGATATGGGTTGAATCCCCAGCTCTTTCAGATTTCAGAGGGAGTTCAAGTGTTGGAACCCTTCACCAGCAAGTTTTGCAGCTCGCTGCTGCGGCGGCGGCGGCGGGAAGTGCCGTTCCCACGGTCTATCAGAAATACAAGTCAGGTGGGCGAGCGAGAAGAGGCGGGCGCCGAAGATAGCGACGCGACAGGCCTCGGGCGATAACCATCAACATGCCAGGTCGTACACGTTCCCTCGAGGAGATAGTGAAGTCGCAATGCGACCAGGCAGGTGCCGATGGGAAGATTGCTGCCTTCCTTTGACACAGATGTCGAGGTCAGCGATTTTCCCAGCGCCACCCGTGGCTAGTACGCTAACAATGGTCAGATGACCCTTCAGGAGCTGCGCTTTCGGCAATTCATTATGCGATATTGATGAGAGCTCAAAACAAACGAAAGATGATCAGGTCAAATGACTCATCTGGACAACGGTGCAACGGCTTGTCTTTTGGGAGCTACGGGCCCAGTGCGACACCTAGGCGTCGAGAACTCGCAGCATGCAGTGCAACTCATGCGAGGTACAGACCATGGGATCGTGGGGGTCCAGCATCTTTATTACTACACATGGCCAAGCGACCGAGGGCAGAACGCCACATATGCAACCGACCGCCGCCCATGCAGAAAAACAACGCCGCCCAATGCAAGTCTTCTGTACGTCTGTCTTCTAAGAATAGGTTCCCTACACATAAAGGTTTCATGCGCTCTTTGTGGAACAATCGTACATTAACACCATGTGAACACGGGGTTCTTCGCCTTGACCATCTCCAGCCGCTCGACAATGACACGCTTGCGGTTCCCATCAAGGTCCTCGTTTGCTGCGTAGCCGAGGTCTCCCTCGTCGTCTTCGTCGCCTGCGAACAGGCCGCCGTTTCCGCGCCGCGAGGAGAGTGACAGCCTACGATGGTGTCTCCGTAAGTCTTGATCGCGTCGCCGGGGTGCATCATAACTCATGCGCGATCTGTGTGAAGGCCGTCCGTTCGTTTGCAGTGACGGCGAGCCCGATTCAAGACGAGAATTCCACGTCACTGCCTGAGCCTGCGAATCAGCGACTCCAGAATCGTCTGGTTGCTGTCGCCGCACATCCATGGAACTAGATTCGCGGGAAAGGTTGAATCGGTTCTCGCTCGCCAGCTCCATAGGTGGTGAGTTCATGAGCAGATCCGGCTGCGGCTTTTGCGGAGGTGTAGACAGCGCCGTAATATCCATTTCCTCTTGCTCAGCGACTCTTTGCCGGTTAGGCTGAGTTTTGCGGCGCATCTCCGCAGAAGGCTCACGGAGCGGAACGGCGATCGGTATCTCAACCAAGTCATCCCACACGCAGACGCGCGCTCTCCGTGTCAGCTCCAAGGGGCCATGGTCAGGCTCTTTGAGCGTCTCTACGACGTTCCAGGCTTGGCCTTTCATTACCGCGATCTGTTTTGCGTACATACGTTCTTTGAAATCATCGTCTTGTGTGAAGCACTTGCGCAGAGCTGCTTGTGTCTCAGCCCACCACAGCTTGGAGGTTAGTAGGGGCAGAAAATGGCGACGCGTCGCTTCAGAGAATGGCTTCCCGATGAGTGACACCGGTAGGAACAGCCAGCCGAACGGGTAGCTTCGCCACTGTAATCGCAATTAGCTCGACATTCACATCACACTGCACACCACTTACTGCATCAGGGTGCTTCCATGGCCACGATAAACTGTTGTCGATTGCACCAATCGTTATCGCTGGCGTCGGACCGCTGGCCATAGGCGTAGTTGATCTGCTTGTCGCCTTCATAGGCTCCCGGCGACCGTACGGATCGGCTTCAGACATGGATTGCCTCGTGTAGTTGCTGGGCACGACTTCCTCGTCCTCCTCCAAGTGGCCATCTGTCCTGGGCGGTTCTGCGACGATGCTTGCTTCTTGAGTCTTCTGATCAATCCGGATCATCCAGTTGTCCAGCCCTCTGTCGGTGTTACGCATGATGTAATCCAAGATGACCAGCTTTTCAAGCTGTTCCCGGAAAGACTGCTGTAGACCTTCTGTCCAGAAGCCTCTCCTGTGCTGCAGCTCCGGTGTGTTTGATCGTGCCTCTTCCTCGTCCTCGTCGTCCGACTGCGGTCCGCTAGGCCTGCACTCTTCAGCCCATCTCCGCTTCTTTTTCCTCCGCGCATTGTTGAGGTTTACGTTGTTCTGGTCTGGCCAAGGGTGTTCCTTCAGAAAGATGTTCGCGTCCTTGAAGCCCTTCAGAAACACCTGAAAACTACCCGCCTTCTCCGGAAATGGCTTCCTCTTTCTGTAGTATGCTCTTCGATCCCAAAAATCATAGTGGAAGGACTTGGACGAGAGCGAAACGACTTCGGTATACGGTACGAGGTTCGTGCGCAGTTGGCAGTCCAGTACGTAGGCAGCGGCTTCGGAAATGTAGCTCAGGTTAGGAATCAAACATGCGCGCCCGAAGAAGAAGGGGAACAGATTCCGGTGTATCCACTTAGTCCACTTCGGGTTGCGCGACGCGTACGGCTCCTCGTCCTTTGGCTTGAAGACGCCAACGACCTTGCCCTGCGAGTTGCGCGCGAAGTAGCTGCCCGAGCTGCCTTGCGTGATCAGCTTCGGATGCATGCCCTGTTCGATGGCCACCTGCACACTTTCCACGATCTCATCGAATTGTAGCTTCGTCATGCGATCCGAAGAGCCCTCATAGTCGAATGTGAGTGTCTCTGCCGTGGCCGGGCGTACCCAGTCCGGCGCTTGGAACACCGAGTGGTGAATTTCGAGCGCCTCATCTTCCGGCGTATCCTTTTGCTTCTTGATCTTGAACTTCTGTGCAATCTCGTCCGCCCAACGTTCCAGCCGCGCGTTGATAGCTTTGATGTCCACCCCCGAATTGGTTCGTTGACGGCGCCCGGACGTAGTTCTTCGTAGCTTCGGCGACGAGTCGCCCGATTGTGGCATGCGCATGCGTTCTTTCCGCGGTTGTATGGGAGCGTAGGAGCTGGCCAGTGTCCGCTCATGAAACTCTTCCTCAGAATCATCATGCGAGTCCTCTTCCTCTTCGGCTTGCGCGATGCGCGCATAACCGGAGTTCGGGGGTCTCCGGCTTCGAGGCATCGCGGCGGAATATATAAAAGAACGTGTGGAAGCGCAGAGCTGGGGTAATGAAAGGGGAGCCTAGCATGAGCTGGGGATGACGGAGCATTCGAGCTCTCATGATCGACCGCTAGCCTCTTTGGGCGTGGCGCGGCACATCTTCCCATGTGGACACGTGCATGAGAGCCGCAAGTGGACATGCAGCGTCATTAAATATCGAGTACGTACAACCGTCGAAGTATTCATTGAGCTATGGTATACACAAAGATGAAATACACCGCTCGCTCTACAGGGGTATCATTGGCTTCTAAAAGGAATCATCAAGATCAGGCCGCCGCCGGACCACACTAGGGCTGTCCTCGTCCATCGTGCCCGTTGATTCCGTGATATCGCCTCCAGCTGTTAAGAGCAAATCCTCGACAATGCGTCTGCTTGCTTCGCGGGCTGCGGAACGTCAACTTCAGGTCTGAGTTCGGAATACACGAACTGTACTTACCAGGAGTCTGGTACAGCTTGCTCTGTGGGACATGGAATTGCACAGTCTTGGGTGGAGAGAAATCCAGATCCAACTCATCATCACTGTCGCTGTCGAACACGTTTCCTCCGGTCTTCGTGACACTGAATGCTTGCTTCCCTTTCCCAGGTGTCTGCACGCTGACACCAGGTGTGCGCGGAGTCTTCATGGGCGAAAATATGTCGGCGCGTAACTGGGGCGCAGGTGAAGATGGCGGAGATGAATCGTCAGCCCAGTCGGGCAGTGCGCTTGTCTTCTCGCGAGGGGTTGGTGCACCTCGGCGAGCAGTCGCGGGCGTGAAAGCACCTGTCGGCTTGTACTTGCGCGGACTGATGAGCGGGGTTGCTTGAATACGGTACGTCTTATCGAGCACATGGTGCATCAGTGGGCCTTGGTCCACGGGTGCTCGCTTCGTCGACGTCGGAGCAACGAACGGCGAAGAGTCGAACTGTCCCGTCATGTCTGGCAAAGCGTCCGCCCTGCCAGGCGTTGTAGGCTCAAGCTTGGGCGTTCGAGACCCCAGCACTTCGCGCCTCAGGTTCTCGTACGGAGAAGAGAACTCGGCGAACTGGGGCTGCTCTGTACTCATGGTCGGCGCTCGTGGGGTACTGTGCGCGTGTGCGAGCGAAGGCGATTCAAGCTCCGACGTATCGTCCATATGCGCTTGCGAAGAAGGCCGTCGCTGAGGGGTTGTAACTGCGCCCGTCACCGTATCGTCCCCCTCTTCCGTCTGGTCTTCGTACATCTGCGATTGCTGCGTCATATCTTCATGCGTCGTGGTCTCATCGGGGTCGGGTGCTTCATAGCCAGAGAGGGAGACGTTTGCGCTGGCTTCGAAGAATGTCTTCCAGAACTAGAGGAGTCAGTATCCGTCCACGAGGCCCTTCGCAGATTCAGTGATACCTTCGATCCCTCCCAGACTGCTTCGGAATGCTTGCCATACTGCTCTACTATCGGAAGTATGCTTGTCGTCACGATTCGGTGTGCGCGGCTGAAATTATGGTCGATTTCTGGTCCTGTCAGTTATGTGTGTGGGGTAGAAGCAGTGTTTGTTTACCTTGCAGCGTCAGGGTGATTGACTGCTCCAGTCGCTCCAACTCCTCGGTAAGTGACAGATTGCGCTGCGGCGCCATGCTTTGGCGCGACATGCTGGAATGCTCGTAATGTGTGCCGTACAGCTGCGGTTGGGCTTCAATGTTGACGCGCTTCGGAACAAGGACTCGCGAAAGACGCCAACGCAGAAAGAGCTAGCCCGTGCGCCTTCCCCGCCTTCGCCGCACCTATGCTCTTGTAGATACACCGAAGCGGTTCAGAATCTCATTGTCTAGGTGTGAGAAACTAAAGTCTTTTCGCCGGGTTCTCAGAGCATCTTCGCACACGTTGACTTGATCATCGCCGATCAACAACGACGTGTCTGTAACGCATCAGGAATCACCTGCAGCCATGTGTTATTCCCGCCCGGGATCCTTGGCTCCCCGTTCCACACTCCTTCGGCGTCATTTTGAATGAAGAGGGGTCAGTCCCGTGCCCCGTGTAGCCGGCGAGCTTGTGTAAGCTCCTAGATGGGGTAATGCGGAGTAGTCGTGCAGATGCCGGCTTCAAAAACAATGTGATCTGCTCAATGACTGACACTCGGAACTTGACCTTTGCTCAGTCTCGTCCTAGACCTTCTGCACTTATTCAATTATGGCTTTCCGTACACCAGCTAGGACATTCTTGACAGCCTCGTCAAAGCTTGTAGTCGCACCACGAGTCGCAGTGCCAACCTGCAATCAAGTTCGAAGATATGCTACACCGAAGATGGACCAACAAAACCGCACCGCAATCGTCACCGGCTCAGCACGCGGAATGTGAGGCTTCCACCTTATTTTCCAACAAACCCAATCCTCCTAACCTTCCCAGCGGCAAAGCAATTGCCCTCCGCCTTGCCCATGACGGCTACGACATCTGCGTAAACGACATCCCTGCAAACCAATCAGAAGCGGACGCCGTAGCCTCAGAAATCAAGAGCATGGGCCGAAGCGCAATTGCCGTCGCAGCAGACGTCTCCAACCTCTCAGAAGTGCAGAGACTAGTCCAGACCAGCGTCGATGAGCTAGGACCTCTGAACACGATGGTAGCCAACGCGGGCATCGCGCAGGTCAAGGCGCTGCTAGATCTAACGGAGCAAGATCTGAAGCGGATGTTTGACATCAACGGTATGATGTCCTTCTAGCTCCTTGCAGATAGACTGATGATCGTAGTTTTTGGCGTCTTTAATTGCTACACCACCGCCGCCAAACAAATGATCAAGCAAGGCTCCGGCGGCAAGCTCCTCAGCGCCGCCTCCATCGTAGCCTTCAAGCCCTTCGCCCTGCTTAGCCACTATAGCGCCTCCAAATGGGCTGTGCGCGGCATGACGCAGGCGTTCGCCATGGAGATGGCCGAGCACAAGATCACTGTCAATGCGTACGCGCCGGGTATTGTGGGTACGGCGATGTGGGATCTCATTGACGAGGAGCTGGGGAAGAAAACGGGGGCAAAGAAGGGCGATACGATCAAGAAGTATACGGGGGAGTTGATTGCGCTGGGGAGGACGAGCGTGCCTGAGGATGTGAGTAATACGGTGAGCTTTTTGTGTTCCAAGGATTCGGACTACATGACCGGACAGACGATCGTCATCGACGGTGGCATCATTTTTACATAGTAAGTAGGCAATCAAAGGAAATTGCTGCGATGCTTGCTAGCCAGCCTCACGTTTGTGTGAGAATGAACGGAAGTAGCGCAGAAGACGTGGGACACCTGTCTCCTACCAAACCTCGTGCGACGCTGCCACAGTGCTTATGACAACACCACGACGAACACCAGCAGCATTCACACGCCTTCTGCAAAAGCCCAGCCCATGTGACACTCCATTCACACACCATGTCATCCAACCCAACAAGCACGTATCCTTCCGACCTCTCCTTCCCCTACCGCCCACGACCACCCCTTCCCCATGCCTATGCTTAGCATCCTACTTTCCTCCCCGTACCCGTCAACAGCACACACTTCAACGAGCACGAAGCCCTAAGGAGAGAGGACGAGACGTTGAGACGGAAGCTTGAGGAGCTAGATGGGCGGCTTAAAGGTGTGGACGAGCTGATGAGAAAGGTGTGGACGAGCTGATGAGAAAGGTGTGGACGAGCTGATGAGAAAGGTGTGGACGAGCTGATGAGGCAGGTGAAGCGCTGCCTGGAGGACATGAAGAGGAGTGTGGCGCAGCATCGCGGTGCTCTGGATGATTTGCTGAGGAGGATTCTGGAGGATGTCGAGGATTTGAGAGAGGGTGTTAGAGCGCAGGGAAGGAGGAGGGGTGGGTATGGGAGGACGGTGGTGGAGGTGTAGGGCGAGGAGAAGTCGGGTTGTGGATGAGGCACGAAGGTTTAATTGGCCGATAATCCATTTTGGTTCTTTGGATTTCGGGGAGCATCCATGGCGCAGGTTCACGATGCGTAGAGAGACATTAGGAGCTGCTCATATTTCTTGCCTTTCCCAGTAATGGAATGAGAGCATTCATTTCCATACCCGCCGTTACCGTTTCCCGTCGCTCTCTCGTTTCTACTTTGATGATTCCCTACCTGATTTCATCGTAGAGAACGTTTGGTACATGAAAGGGTGATTTGGAGCACCTATATTCCATTCGAATTCAAGCCCCTCTTCGCCTTTCGGATTGTCCAATCCACCGCAAGGATACGTTATTCTGTCATTGAACCTATCACCGAGTTTCTGGAAAAGCTTGCCTGGAGGAGTTAGCAGATCTATCACTTAGATCTGAAACGTTTCATAGCGCTCTCCTTACCAATGTCCATCATTTCGCCGTTAAGAGGGATGAATCCTTCTCATGTCTTAAGGTTGAATCCAATACCAACAGTATCGCCTGCCCTCTAAGGACCGCCAGGTACAACATCTTGACTTGGATTTCTGTATTTTTGCTTGAGTTGATGAATAGCTCTTTATTGTCGCCATAATAGGCGAATGAAATGGCGTTCCATTCCAGCATAGTTCCTCGGTCGAGCTTCTTGTCGCAAAAGGCAATCGCGAAAATACTACTAGTGTTAGCAATTTGAAGTTGTTTATTTTTGGGAAGAGGTAAATGCTTTGTGTGAGATTCTTTTAAGTCCCTTCATTTCCTGATAGAAGAACGTCGTAAGAGCTGTCAAGGGAGGAACACAGTGCACGGTGCAGATCGATGTGAACAAGGGCGCGTTGGGGCCTTTATCGTAGTAGATCTTACCCGTTATTTGGACAGTTGATTGATCTTGTTTGTAGCGCTATGAGTACGCAGAAAAAAGTACAGTGACAGCTTACTGTAGAAGCCGATGCAATTCCCGTATTTTGTTGTGTTGTAGCGCGTGTTGCAGATAGATGTTGCTATATAATCGAAATTAAAAGAATTAGGCATGAGTCTACTATGAGTCCCGGACTTTTCCGGGATGTTTTGTCGGGCAATCTGATATACCTCTTTGCTGACAAGGTTAAAGCGATATGTCTGAGCATACTCGATACATGTCCAAACATCCTCGTCCACACTCGTGAATCTTATATCCTTCAAGTGCAAATCATTTCCCTAAGATTCAAGTCGTGCAAGCGAGCCGTTACATGAATCGGTCCCGGCTTCACACTCTTTTGCGTACTCTTGCGATTCAGAGCCAATCACATGAACTCATCAAAGGCTGTTATATTCCAAACATCTTCAGATATCTTTGCGAGTGTCAGAAGATCGGTATTCATAATATCTTCATTGCCAATACAATACGATACTTCTGAGATTATACTGCGCATGGCCACGTATGATTTCACAGAAAGATTTCTCAGGCGTTGTTGTTGTATCTGTCTATTGGTGCTCCGGCAAGAAAAAAAGCCTGAACGACGTTTTCGCATCCCCTCTGTATTGCTGTATCAGTGGTGTATTGCTATCCTGATTTTTCAATTTGGGGCTAACTTTCGCGTTCATGAGCAATAACTTCATAATAGTACTGTTACCTTCGTTGGCAGCTGAATGTAAGGGTGCGAACTGTTTCCATCCGGCCGCTTGCTTATCCACGTCGATGTGAGCCCGACGTAATAGGGTCCTTACAATGTCTTCTCGATCTCGCTCACATGCCCATGACAGCGAAGTTTGCTTGGACTGGAGATCCGGATCATTGACAACCTTAGGCCACTGTGCGAGTATTCTGTTTACACATTCTTCTTCTGTAGCACGAAGAGATGCAGTGGCGGGTAAGTACTTCCATGTATTGTCTTAGGTGCTCGCCTGCTGCGGGAAGAGTCCAAGAAGAGGTAGTGCGACCTCATGTTGTTCTTCTTCAATCGCAAGATGCAAAGCTGTCCTACCTAGCAAATTCCGCTCAAGATGTATCGGCCCGCTTTCCAATTGGTTTTTGGTAAGATTAATTAGTACTTCAATGACTGGCAGGTGGCCATTGCGAGCGACAAGCACCAGTGCTGTCACTTTCTCCTTGTTCCCTACGAATGCATCTGCGACAACTTTGTTCCCCTGCTCAGAATCTTCGACGGGTCTGTCAATCCCGTCGAGCGGGAGCTGGACCATATCCTCACGAGCCGCACAAAGCCGCTAGATACAGCGCTGATCTACCGTCGGAATTCGGCTCATGAAGATCGTATCCGATTTGCACCAACTGTTTAACCGTCGCTGTGTTTGTGCTCTTTACAGAACAATGTAGGAACGTTCGTGATCTCTTGCCGCCGTAATCAGGCTTCATCGGCGCAATCTTGACGACCATATTCCGCTTCTTCTCGGCGCGCCGCTGGTGCGTTCCTTGGATGCTGTCTCCCTTAACGTCACCGGCGTTGCGCACGTTCGATGACTACTTTATGTCTCCTTTCAATAGATAATCCAGCGGCGACCAATGCACTTCATCTTTCGAACCAAGCTTTGCACCCTTCTCGAGGAACACGGTAGCAATGTCATCATATCCGTACATTGACGCCAGGTGGATAGGCTCACGTGTCCACAGGTCGCGTCTCGTCACACTCTGCCCGGGTCATTCTTTTAGAATTCTAAGGACACATGTCACCGATCCAAATCTTGCGCTCAAATGCAGTGGCGTCATCTGCTCAAGACCAGAGGATTGAAATGCTTGCTTCTTGACTTCAGCTCCCAGAAGTAGTGCTCTAATTTATGCAGTTATGTAGAATATGTGAAACTGATGCCTCACTAATTACAGTCAAATAACGCATCTTTAATCGCCCTCAAACTGGAGGAGATAAAAGGGCGGCGTCTCGAACAGGCTTGGTTAGTGTGGGGCTGGCATTCCTCACCCAACACTTGTCCAAAGAAGTACCGCGTCCTTCTTCCCATCCACGCCTCTTTAGTCAACCCAGCGATTTCCCACGATGCCATCGCTACTATCGCTACCTCTCGAGATACGGGACAATATCATCGATTACGTCATCACATCTCAGCGCGACCCACCTACTGCCCGGAATGATCATTCGTCCAGAAGAGACACGCGCATTCAATTCGAAGACACCCACTGGAAGGAAATTGGCAACTTGATCTACTTCGAGAGCTCTCCAACGGCTTTTCGACCTGCATTCGGCGGCTTGTTGCTCGCCTGTCAGCAGCTGCGCGCGGACACCCTGAAACGAGTGTCTAAAGCGGACGTCCCCATGATCCTGGATGTACTAGCCGTCAATGAAGAGACGATATGGGTGACTTGGCTTTCCCTGCCATTAATTACGGGACGTATGATCGAAAAGCTTGATATCCAGTATCGGTATCAATACGACGGCCAGGAGCAATCGGAAGAGACCACAAATACACACAAGTGGACTCTCGATTTTACAACGCAGCTGAGGTACCTTATTTATCGGATCTTGGCTGTAGGCAGTGCCGGACCATTGCCCGATTCCAACCGGCGAAGACTCTGGACCGGAGCACGTTACAAATTCAACGATACCATCCGCTTTGAACACGAGTATATCCCTCACTACAGCATCCGCATGCTCAGATTTCATGCTCCTCGACCTTTCGTGCCTCCCGATGCAGCAACCAATCTTCTGCACTCTGGGTACCGAACTGAGGTGAACGACATGATTGAAGAGGTGGCTCTTCGTAATGTTATCTACCAGGGCAGAAAGCACCCGGGATGGAAGTTAGCACGAGAAAGAATTGGAGGGATTCTCTCCTTCTTCTATTCGGGTATGCTGGATCTGGGTACATACTCCGATCTGAATGACTTGTATTTGTCCTACAGTAGTGACCCATCCTGTGCGCAAATTATTGCAGAGATTTTGGAGGGGCGCAAGGCGAACGACCTCTAAAGTTTCATTATCTTCGATAGACTCGCAGAATTGCCACGATAGTAGACCCAGGTATTGCATGCAAAACAACAAAGGCATCGCTCTGTCAACACTGGCTGGGTCAGCTACTTTACCTGAATAGATGGCATACCAATACCAGGCTATTTCAGTGCTTGGTTGTACAATGAAGCTGTTTCAAGCCGTAATCTGTTTCTGATACCATATTCTTTGCAGCATTAGCAGTAAGCACTCTTTCGTCTCAAATCCAAGATTGCTGGACACCTCGTGGTTCTGGTTTACTGTCATGCCTTGACGTGTATTGTACGTATCGCATCGAGCACTCAGACTCTAGCCAACTATTTCCCTTACACCTGGTCGTGCGACCATGTCAAACTCAAAGGACTCTCCAAACCTTAATTCACACTACAAACAGAGACCATTCAAAGTCAATAACATTTTCAACCAATCTGACAGGAACTCATCCCTTACCTCACGCAATGTCCGACCCAACTTGGAGCCTTCTCACCTCGACTACACCTCTCCCACTCGGGAGGAACTGTGACTCTCTGCCCCGGCCAGAAAGATGGCGTGATCTGCGCCAAGTTCGAAAAAAGGAATCTCGCCTTCTCGCAACATGTCCTCATGGCAACACTGCATAGTTTGTACTGGCGAATCGAGTGGCTGCAATCAGATATGGAAAGGGTCGAGAGGGCGAGCAAGGAAATGACTGAAGGTATGCACGATTCGTGAGAGGAGACGCAAACACTGGAGGAGGAAGGGGGGCGAACGGCGCTGTATTAGGTGTTGGGGAAGGTTGTTAAGACGGCGATGATTGTGCAGGTAGGGTCAAGACAAGTGTTTTGGTGATGCTATAGGTACATAAGCTGTATAAACCTAGCTTGAAATGTGCAAGACTCCGATACACGAGACAGCTACCGAAAGTCTTATTATCCCTTTGCGTAAGCACACTACTTTGCATCCTATCCCCTCTTCCGCCCAGAAATATCAGCATTGCCATCTCGATCTCTCTTACCCTTCGGAACCTTCGATCTTTACCGCCTTCTATCCCTCCACCCCTCCTTCTTCCTAGCGCATCTCCCGCACACGCCAGGACAAATCTTCTTCTCCCACAAGCGAGGGCATATCCGCAGATAAGGATTGTTGCTCAGAAGCGTCGTGACGCTGCGTAGGCGGTAACTTCGCATAGAGAGGAGCTGACATGGGTGGAAGAGGGTTTCGGCGTGATTCGGGGCGCAAGTGTAGTTGTAGGTGAGGAGGAGACACATCGTCGGTGGATTTGTGAAGTGTTTCCTTGGACAGGATCAAGGTGTGAGATCAGGCGATGTGCACCCGAGAGTTGGCGATGAGAAAGGTGTTGGAAGCTCCTTTTTGCAAAAACGAGAAATACGTCGCAGGCCCAAAAAGCCCAAAGCAAAGTACACATCCACCAGTCGACCCTAGGCACCCAAGATACCCATCCCGGGCACCATCAGTACAGAAGTACCTCAACCCCAATCACGAGCCATACGTGTTATTGAAGCCTTACATTCGGCATCTACACACACCGTAGTACACTCCGGGCTCCATCTCAAGCTACCTGTGGGTACACACCCGTGCATGATCCCGGACCCAACATTCCCATCAGTGCGCTTCACTCACCCACTCCTTTCAGTCGTCCAGACACCAAACGGCGATGTGTCTATCCTTGGTAGCAATCGATATGTTCCCGCTATGTCACTCCCGCCCCGGACCCACCAAACGGTTCACGACCACCAACAAGCCCTTACCGGCCTGCCTATACCATGGGTATACAGAGTGCCAACCGAACCCGCCTACTCCAGCATCCTCAGCCCATGCTCCGCGGCGTCCATGCGATTGGGTCCCGCGCCGATCGCGCGTGCGCTGACGACACAGCGTTACACGCTGCGATTGACAGGTTGGGGGGACAAACAGGGCGTAGATAGGGCTGCGTGTGGGACACGCCCTCCCGTGCTGGTTGGTGTACGTGGTAAGGGAGGGGAGAGTAGGCGCCGGGAATCGGGACGTAGAATGGGAAGCAAACTTGGTTTTCGGGGGGGAGGGCGTTGTCTGTGGGATGGCAGTTGGGAGAAGGGGTCTTGACGGGTGGATGATGAAGAAGGGGTTTTGGAGGCGGAAGTTCTTGGGCTGGGGTGGTTGTAGATGTTTCGGAGGTTAAGGCTTGGAAACAGAGGGGTGCTTTCGATGGAAAAGATTATAGATTTTCAGAAACGCATGGTGGCTGTGTTGTAGACAAGCATACCTACGTTGCAATGATTACATGACTATGAATTGCAAAATGTCTCACCGATAACGACAGATGATGATTCTCCGAATACAATAGGGTGACGAAGGAAATGATAAAATGTTGAACAATCTCCTCGCCCTATCAACTGTAACCTCGTGGAGGAAACCTGGTTTCCCCATATCCATAACGGCCTTCGTCAAAAACATCTGAATCATAGTCGTGATCATCGAAGTCACTGTCGTCCTCTTCGTCTAGATCACCATAACCATATTCGTCCCACTCATCATCATCATCTTCGTCCTCGTCGTCCTCATCACCATCGCCCCAGTCTCTGTAGCCATAGTACCACTGACGTCGTGACGAGCGACAATAGCTATCTTCAATGTCGCTGTCATCATAGTCGTCCTCAGATAGATCATCCTCGTAGTAATATGGATCTCGCCCGTACACCTTGCGTCGATTTCGGAATGGAGAAGGCGAGTAGCTGCAATACCTGGGCTGGAATTGCTGTTTCATTCTGCCGATGCCGCCTCTGTAGTTGAATGCTGACCAGGGGGAATACCGTGAGTAGGGCCTGCGGAACTGGCTAGGTCGCGCGCCAAATGACAGTGAGGTGGCTGGCCGTCGACTGAATCCGCTATACCCGGTGTAGCCACCGTATCCACTGGGACCGCCATAATAGCCCCCGCCGAAGGCTGGACGTCGCATACGGGATGCTCGGAAGCCTCTCAGGCCCCCGCGACCGAACGTGTTTCGGTAGTTGTTCATGTACATTTCTCCGCCCCTACTGCTCATTGCTTCCCGTTGCTGTGCAAGAAATCTCCGGTACGAATAAGCTTCGCTGCCAAGCGGGTCGCGAGGCTTTCCCCAGCGATTCCCACCTAGAATAAGAGCCATCTTACGTAGCTGTAGCGGTGACGGTAGATGAGAGCGGGCGAGGGCGTTGTTGTGCCCCCTTTGCTTTCAGGAGAAAGGCATACAAAAGATTACGACCCTGGAGGATTTGGAATATCCAAGATCTGAGTAGGTTTACCGGAGCTGTTGCTCATTAGGGTTGTAGTTAAGTACGAAACGTGGATGCCAGTGCAGAAGACGCGGAATATGACGAAGTCAAATGAGTGGAAAAAGTGTGAGGTAGCTGATGATCGGTGAGCAGAGAAACGCGCAAGTCAAGTGAAGATTAATAGCCTGAGCTGCGGGTGGGCGCTAAATCAGTTGCATGGCGGACCACGTCGCGAGGTGGAGCTTCGATATGCTGCAGTGCTCCTTATAAAACCGTCATCTGAGCTCGCCAGTCGCGGCATAGTAGAGCCAGCTGTTAACGAACTCCTGGTTCAGTGTGCTACTGTTCTATGGGGTAGTGTGAGATCGAGCCTGTGAGATCTGGTAATGCTATCAATAGGCAGCACACTGTCTAACGTGTGATTCGCTCTCATTGGTCAGTGGCATAAAGCAAGTTGAGAGCAAACACTTGGGGTCGGCCAGCGAGTTGGAATGCAAACGCGGGTGGCAAAGGAAGCAAACTTTTCTTCTACGTGGAAGAGAGGTCGTGGTGAGAGGAGGGCAACGCTCAATGAGGAGTAGGTAGGCCATATTAGAGAAGATAGAACGCTGTGAGCTGGTGCATTGACCAAACCCACGTTCGACACGGAAGGGCGCGAGTAGAGATTCTGAGAATTAAAAAGGAAAAAGCAATCGTGATTGAAGTCGTGCCGAACTAAGTCGACAGGTTGTTCGAACCTCGACAAGCTTGATAGGGGGCGACCTCGGGAGTGACGCGATCCGTGTGGACGATGGTGGAGCGTTGAGGCATGCATGCCACGGACAGCGGCGTAAAGGGGAGGCAGGGGCGATGCGATTTTGTCGGGCAGGTACGACCGGCCGAATTTGTCGCACAATCCATGGCATGGGAGATGGCAGCTCGATACAGCAACAATGTCCGAGCCAGTGGCAACGCAGAGTGTCGCGGTGGGATGCTGCGCGAGGCTGCTGACTAGTGCTGTCGCGTGCACCCTCGGACGCGTTGAAATGACGACGGGGGGTTGGTTCAGTTTTGGCGAAAATTAGAGCCGTACACGTGACCTCGCCTGTGGAGACGACTTTCAATGTTCTTTTGGGGCGACTCTACGACAGAGCTTCTTCCTTGTGCCTTCGACACAGCTCCCATCCTTTGTGCCAAACACACACACACGTGAACAATAATATCGCCGTCCTCGCATTCGCGCCCAGCTGCAAGCCCGCTACTTCTCCCGTGTCGCACCTACCTTCTACACGCTCGCCGTACCTCCATCTCTCGCCCTTGACCGCGCGCTGCTCGATCGGGACTCCTCTACACCAACTTTGCCATGGCACCTGCATCTTTCGCGTCTGCTGCGGCAGGAAACCATGCCAGCTCATCGCGAGCAGATTCGGGCGGAGACTGGTAAGTGCACCCGCTCCCTCGCCCGGTACCTCGCATACGTACACGACACGCATTCGCACAGCTACCACAAACTCGCTTCCCCGCAATAATCACACCATATCACTAGCCAATACTGCCCATACTCTCGCTCCAATCATGGATAACTTTGTCCTTCCCACCCCGTCTAACGACTGCAGGCCTCGACGCACGAATGGTGCAACGCAAACATTTCGCCGGCCCTCACATGCACCCACCCTCTCCGGCTCCACAGCTCAGACCTCTTCCCGCGATACCAGCGCCGCGCAGAACACATCGGCTTCCACCCCCGGCGTATACGTGCCGCCACATGCTCAGTCCAGCCGCTCTGGCGAAGGCCGGTACCCTCGAGACCAGATGATCAGCCTGTTCCGGTCGCATCGGGAGTCAGACGAGTTGAGGGATGGCCTCTCGGACCTTTACGTGGGCAACTGGGAGCCGAACATTACCAATGGGAACTCGGGCTCGAATTGGGGTCGGAAGGACGAGCATGGCCGGGAGGGCCAGGGCGGGGTCGACCTATGCTGGGACAGGGACGGCAACGTTCAACCCCTCGGTTTATCCAACTTGACCGAAGACGAGAAAGAGGTATTTGATTTCGCGCTACCTTTTTATTGTCCAGAATCTAACATTTTCTTTCTTGCTTAGGTGTTCAATTCTTCGGTCAACTCACCGCTGAAACCCCCCGTGCAGAACACGAACAAGGACGGCACGCCGAAGGATGGACTGTCCCTGCGCAAAACTAGCATTTCAGCAACCGGACCGTATGGTCTGTCGTCCCCCACCAGCGCTCGGCCAGGTACGCGCCGCCGCGATACGGGCGACGCCTTTCCGTTCCCCTCGAATGCGCTAGCGTCGCCGTCGGCATCTAGATTCGCAAGGGACGAGTCCAGCGCTGTGACACCCCCGCCGGCTCTGGTGCGACGGCGCACTGACTTCAAGGAACCGGGCCCGTCGACCGAGGAGCGCGACAAGGAGAGGAACGCGGCTGAAAATGCTGGCCCTCTTGGTACTCTGAAGCGCGCTGCGACCGGCGGACTTGGTTCCAGTACTGCTGCGTCTCCGTGGAGTGCTGCGCAAAGCGGTGGCTTTTCACCAATGGGCACCTTTGGAAATTTCGTAGCTCCGCAAGCTGAGAAGAAGCCTGGATTTGGAAGTGGTCGCGGCGAGAGCAGGTTCAAGGGTTTGATGAATAAAGGCAGTCTCGAGGATGTAGGAAAAGGTCCCGCGGAGAAGGCATCTCTCGGAAACCTCGGAGCCGTCAACGAGGCCGATTCATCCTGGGTGGATAACCGTTCGAATCGACCGACAAGTCACGACACTGATCCTTACGCCGAGGACGACCTCCGTAGTGGAAGTGCAGCTTTGGGGGGTGGACAGGACTTGAGCCCCCCTCGCCAGCAAGGCCAAGGAGCATTTGGGACGCCTCAACGACCAGATCCTCGCGATGATACCGGATTCTCCCACTTTGGCATGACTACGGATACGACGGGCCTACGCGACATCTTCCATGGAACTCATCAGACGCCGCACCACCGCGGCGCGGGAGACCGTCATGAGCCCATGAGTCCGACAGACACGAATCCATTCGCGAGCCCAGACCATGTGAGGCACGATCATCATGATGACGGCGACTCGGATGGTTCTGAGCCACAAAACGCGCATTATCCTGGGATGGGTAGCTTCCAGGTGGATCCGCAGGCAGGATCCGGTCTTCATCAGCACCAATTTGGCGGTCTCGGGGGTCTTGGAAGAGTACCCGGACCGTTTGAGATTGCGGCAAGTGACCGCAGCCAGACTTCGAGCGTAGGACCTTCTCGCGGATTCCCTACGCTTCCAGGACTTGGTGGTCTGCCTGGGCTAGGCGGCGCTTCTGCGTGGTCTACTGGCCAGCAGACCATAGGCACTCCGGTTCAAGAGCGCGGTCTAAGAGGTGGTCTGGATGGTCTGTTTGGAAATGTAGGAGAGGCGCAGTCACCCAGCTTAGCAGGGCTTGGCAGCAGCTCGCTTTTTGGTGCTGGTCACGGTGGGACGTTTGGTCGCTCAAGCAAACTTGGATCCCTTTTCCCTACTGCCATGCAGGAACAAATGCGGACGGGCGACCGGCCTCTTGATGACACTTCCAGCCAGGGCGACCGACAACAAAGCATGACTGGGACTTTTGGGCGCGGCGCTTTCGGTGGTCAAGCTCCTGGCAGCATTTTGCCCCCTCGCGATACCGAAAGCCCTTTCCGGACTGGACGCAACCTTTTTGAAGATTTCTCAGGAGGTCATCAGGAGGAGCTAATTGGATCTGGTTTTGGTCAATCTTCAGGCGTGGGTCAGAGTGCCAATCTGGCTACAACTTCTCTGTCGATGGCGGCGCTGAACCAGACGCGCACTGCACAACCCTCAGCACAGACCCCAGGCATCAACAGTCCAGCATCGAACCTGCCCCCACCTCCTCAGCAACGCACGATGGTTATGCCAGACAGGATGCGATGGATCTATCGCGACCCCTCGGGTGGGATACAGGGTCCTTTCTCGGGACTAGAGATGCACGACTGGTACAAAGCAGGGTATTTCTCGCCTGAGCTGTTGGTGAAGAAGCAGGAGGATCCAGATTATGAACCCTTGCTACAGCTTATTCGCCGTATTGGGAACTCTAGGGAGCCTTTCCTTGTTCCCCAAATCGGGATACCGCATGGCTCTCCATCATCCACGACATCGGGAACAACTTGGACCGGAAACGCTCCTGCTGGCCCCAACGGAGGCGCGCAGCCACCATTTGCCAACTCATTCCCAAGCTTTGGTACCACTCTGACCGCCGAGCAACAAAATGCGCTTGAGCGCCGAAAGCAAGAGGAACAATATTTGATGGCGCGTCAAAAGGAACATCTTGCCGCACAACAAGCGTTGGCCAAACAGCAGATGGGATTAGGTTCGCATGGCATTCTTCCTCACCAGCTTCAACATCACTCCAGTGCCCATAGTCTTCACAGCCAGCCGAGCTATGGTAGCATCACTTCGCCCGGCGGTTACCAACCGTCCCCGGGCCAAGGTCCTCTTCCCGGTGGTCCGGCTGTCCCAGGTCTGCTCGATAACGCTTTCAGGCCGACTCCTGTCCCTGGTCTAGGACCCATCGGACCTAATGTCGATTCACTTGGGAACATTCGAGAGGAAGATCTGCCTTCAGTGTTGGATCGACTCAATCTTGGCCGCACCGCTCAGTCGTCTTTTGGCGGTGCCCCACCCCAATTTGGACAGCAACAGCAAGACTCGAACACGCAGGCTCAGCAGGTTGTCCAAATGTTGAATGATCGTGCCCGTCTCCAGCGCGAGCAAGCTGAACACGATGCTCTGCAGCGACTCGGTCCCAACGAGCAACAAGCTGCTCAGGCATCCGCAGACCGATTGCAGCAATTCCAGGACCTCAGGGTGCAGACTGATCTAGGTCAGCAAGCACCCCCAGAGGGCGTGATCGGAAAGCCGACTGCTTCTACGATTGACCAAGAGGCACAACCCGAGCATGCTCAGGACCAGAGGGCACACGCGACTCAAGTAGAGGAGCCGTTGACCACTCACGCTGAGCCCCTTTCCTTGACAGAGCAGGTGCAGAAAGCAGCTTCAGCTAAGCAAACGCCCCAGCCTCAATCCGCTTGGAATAAGGTTGAGCCAGCCATTCATCCCTTCCCTCCGCCACCATCTCAGTCACCGCTGCCTGCGCCGGCAGCACAGAGGAAACCTATCGTCGCCGACTCTCTCGCGGGCGAATCACGATCGCGTTCGGAGACGCCCTCGGCGGACACTCCCAGCGCTTCAATCGCTCCATGGGCCAAGGAGCCATCAGAGGCACCTCGTGGACCCTCGCTCAAGGAAATTCAAGAAGCGGAGGCTAGAAAGGCAGCTGAACGTGAAGCGATTGCCGCAGCAGCTCGTCGTGAAGCATTGGAGAAAGAATTGGCGGCCCAAGTCCAGGCGTCTGCACCTCAACCTGGCCTGCCGTCCAGTTCGACATGGGCAAGTGGAGCTTCCCCTGTGACGCCAGGAGCTGGAAACGCATCCGCTTGGGCCAAGCCGCTCGCAGGCAAGGCGCCTGGTCAACCAACCGCTGCGGCGAAGAAGACTCTACAGCAGATTCAAAAGGAGGAAGAGGCTCGCAAGCAGAAGGCTGCTGCTCAAGCCACAGCAAACGCATTCACGGCTGCTGTTGCGGCCCAGAGCTTGGCTTCCGGGAAGCGATACGCTGACCTTGCCAGCAAGCAGTCAGCTGTTCCGCCAGCGACCGGCGGTGCTTGGACTACCGTTGGCTCCAGTGGAAAGGCGAAACCCCCCATCGCCTCGCCCGCTCCTCCGCCTGCCGTTCGATCCGCCAGCAGCAGCGTGGTTCCTGCTGTCATCAAGAAGCCTATTGTGACCCGTAGCACTACTGCCCAACCCGCCGGACAGGTCAATGCTCAAGAGGAATTCAAGAAGTGGGCTGTTGCTGAGGTTCGTGGCGATCTCAACAAGAGCATCAATGGTAAGTCCTCTTTATCGGTTCAACTGTTGTCCCTATCTAACGAGAAACAGCCGAGGAGTTCATTGCCTCCCTACTCTCCTTCCCGGCCGAGCTCGAGCTCATCACGGAGTCAGTACACGCCGCTACCCATAACATCGATAGCCGTCACTTCGCCGAAGAGTTCCTGCGCCGCCGCAAGCTGGCCGCCCAGGGTATCGTCGACGAGCGCAACACGGCCAGCCCCGCGGAGAACAAGTCTGGCGGCGGGTGGAGCGAAGTCGCGAAGAAGGGCAACCCGAATGCCCAAGCGCAGCAGCAACAGCAGCAGCAGCAGCAGCAGCAGCAGAGCACGCTCGACAGTGGTAACTTCAAGGTTGTGGCTGCCAAGAAGAAGGGTGCGAAGCGCTAGGTGCCTACGAGTAACCCAGAAGCATCGAACTCGAGGTCGAATGCCGTGGTGTACAGTCAGCTGGACTCGACGGTAAATCTTGATGGGGTGGATCGGAAGGCTCAGCGGGCGAAGAAGAGGGAGAACAGGGCTTAGGAATTGCTGAAGGAGCGGTGTACACAAAAGCTGATCTTGTTGCTGAAAGTGTCGAAGGGAAAGTGGAACTGGGACGGTGGACGATGAGGGCTGATGGATTTTTTTGCATGTTCTGCTTTAGCAGTAGCGTACGGTAACGCAATCCAGTGACGGATGCCGCATGTGTTGGCTGCTATAGTTCACGCGCAATGTTACAACATGCAAACATGATTATGTGCTTTCCATGATCGTGCAACCATTACGCTCCATCCTGCGTAGCCTGCCAGATATACATATTACACACTGCAATCAATGTGGGAAATAGCGAAGAGACAAGCAAAAGAATACGAGACTGCAATGGAAAACGCTATTCAAACAATCGGGGGGAATCCAGATACATGCCATGCGAGCGCCGAAGGGAAAGAAAAGAGGCGCCACTATCGCGCCCAAGCCAGACCGTACCGGACCGTACCAAACGCCAGAAGTGCGTGAGCTGACCTATCTACATGCCATCTCTTCAAGTGTTCTCGGAAACATGGCTATCAGAACTGACGTGTGCAGACGAAGTGCTTACTCGGTGCGGCGATTCCGCCTCAGACGAATAAGCACCACCTCGACTCCGTCCATGACCTCCGACGCCGTCCTGCTCCGCCGGCAAATCCGTGCTCGGTGGCTGCCATGGCTCCGGCTTGCTAGGGTACATTGGATCAGCTAACATCGATCAGATCAAGTAATTGATATATGTGAGCGGATGAGAAGTCATTCAGGGCCACCAACCCCTCCGATCGGCAGCATTCGCGTTGTCATTCGCCGCCGCGTCGTGCGCACTCGCGTGGCCCTGCTGCGCGCTGGAACTGGTATCATGTGCGGGGCCTGGCGGCGAGCTTCCCGGGACGACGAATGGGTTGTTCGAGGTGCCCTCGCCCGCGACGCCGCCGAACGCGCCGGGCATGTTCGCGGTAGGGTCGGCGCTCGAGGCAGCTGCGGTTGCACCCGCTGACGTGTCTATGGGTGCGTTTTCGTCCGTCTTGGTGATGCCTTTGCGGCAGTGGGGACATGTGTCGTGCTCTTTGAGCCACGCGGAGACGCACTGGTGGTGGAACCAATGCTTGCAGGGGAGCTCTGTGACCTCCTCCTCTGGCGCAACGGCGTCCATGCATATACTACAGTCGGCGTTTCCATCCTCGCCGAGCATATCCCTTGTGATTTTCCTGCGGGGGAGGGCGTCGATGTCGGCTTGCGACGCAGGGCCTGGGGCGTTGCTGGTTGCGGTTTGCTCCATGAGCTGGGAGACGATGCGGTCCATGGCTTCTTGTGAGGTCACGAAGTCTCCGTGTTGGCCGCTGCTGAGGGCTGCGAAAAGACCCATGAGGGGATCCATGGGTCTGCCGCCGAAGGCTTGCCCGGGTGGTCCTCCAGGGGCAGCACCTGGAGGGAACATGTTTGCTGCATTGGGGTCTCCGAATGCCGCGAAGAGTTCAGAGAGGACGCTACACTTGTTAGCGAGCGCTTTTTAATATGTAGACCGCCATCTTACTTATTGAGGCCGTCTACAGGCTCCAGACGAGGGCCTGGGTCATCACCATCGCGAGGGTATAGACGCGCACCAGGCGAGTACGTGAACCGATGTACATGCGGAGCGCCGTCAAGGCCAGACCGTGGTGCTGAACCGCCCTGGCCATCACCTGGCTCTGCCTGTTGCTGCCGCATCATGCCCGCGTTGGTGATCAAGTTTGAGAGGAACGAGGTGATACCGCCCATGGGATTAGCGCCGTTGCCGGCCTGCGCAGACGCGGGTCCCGGGTACGGGATGGTCTGATGTATCGTGGCAGAGAAGTGGTATCTGCCCGGACCGGTGTTTTGTATCCGTGTGTTTTGAAATTGCGGCATCTGGCTGATATCTGCCTCCTCCGGATCGTCATCATCAGCCGCGCGGAAAGGGTTGTGGTCGCGGAGCACACCGTGGGGGTCCGCTTCCTCGAGTGCAGGCAGGGAGTCGTCGTCGTCGGTATCATGGCCATGGCCGTACATGTCGTTGTCGCGTGGGTCGTTTCCGTCTTCTATCTATAGCCCAGCATTAGCATCCCCGCTGACAAGGCTGTGGCACGGCCAAAGGTGCACCCACGACTTCAGTAAACTCTGACCCGCACTCTGGGCAGATTATGCCTCGCTCGTCGCGATACCACTCGTCGTGGCACTCGTGGCAATACATCATCTCCCGCTGCCCGGCGCTTGGCCGGGCTGGTGTTGACTCGCTCATGGTGGCGGGGTATGGCTTGCAGGAGCGGGGACAGGTGCGCGAGGGAGAACAGGTCCTAGGTTGTGTCTAGATCGTGTGAGCATTTAGCAGGCGAGGGCTAGGTGGGAAGGGCGCTCACGTGTGGCGTGCAGCGAGGGAAGCTGCTGTTGAGCTGTGCAGGGTAGCGGTCTCGTCATGCGCCTGCGTCGAGCGTCTGGGAGGGCCGTGGCTTGGTGCAGCTGCAGGAACACGCAAGAATCGCAGGTCACGGCAGAGGGGTCGCGTGAAACCGGAATGGAAAGAGGTGCTTGTGAGCAGCCGCGGGCGACTTTTTGTGCCAGGAACCTTGGATGCTGAGGTCGGCCAGTGACGTTGTCTGAGAGCCGATCGATCAACGTTTCGGCGAAGGGTCCGCCGATGATCCCGCAACGCTCCTCTCCAGGATTATCACGATTGCGCGCAGAACTGGAGCAGGTTAGAAAGCGTATAAGGGCTACAGGGCGTGCTTTGTGCTGCCTTGTCGGTTGCACTAAGCGCGATTGTCGCTCTGACTCCGATTGTTCAACACATTGTCTGGCGCCTCTTCTACCAATTTCCATGGGCTTCTGCTCGGCATTCTGTCACAATTGTACGGTTCAAGTGTGTGGAACGGAAGCGTGCTTCGATCAGGCAACGTCGCACGATATCTCTACGTTCCTCCACGTGCTCCCCGTAAAGTTGAGAGAATGTGATTAATGGCCCATGTATACCAACCACTAGACCTAAGATAATCGTACAATCCTAAGCCAAGCTAGGAACCTTAACGCCTATGCAAATTTCGCAAACGGTATCGCAGCTTCCATGTTCCTTCCGGCACTGTTCTCCATTACATGTTCATCTCCTCCTTGACCCTTTCAACAAGAACGTGCCCACCAACCCTGCCGCTACAGCAATACCTCCCACGACTGCTGCACCCATGAGCCCCTCCCGTGTAACCTTGTCATCTATCAGTTCCTTCAAGCTCCCCGCCTGCAGATTCGCCGGCTCCAGCTCCAGCAGAAGCTCGTTGTACCGCCGCGCTTCGGCGTAGTTGCCGAGTTTGTAATTACCCAAAGCGAGGTAGTAGAGACATTCGCGTCGTCGTTCGCGGGAGTTGCGGAAAATCTCGGAGAGCAGGCGTACGCCTTCTTGTTGTTCGCTGCGGGAGTTGGACTTTATGAGACCCTGTGGACAGGTTAGATAGGTGGTCTAAGTGACTGATGGGGCCCGCGTACCCAGGCGTAGTTGAACTTTGTCTGCAGACCGACGTATTCGCCTTCCTTCTCGTATTGCGCACGAAGGACTTGGAGCTCCTCTGGCTTGAGCGGCGATTCGACATCAGCGGCATCTTGCATGTGTCAGTACCCTTCCATTTTGCAGTGCGCGGATGAGCAGGCTTACAGGGTAATGAGGGAGACATTTCGTAGACGTGTGCTTCGCAGATCCTGTAGCTAATGTAGGCTCTAACGTTGCGATGTTGAAAGGCCTAGGCTGGTTCAAAGTTGGGTGCGGATGACTTTCGGTTGTGACGTACGCTTGTGCCACTACGCCGCGAGTGTGGCGGATGGTGCAGGCTGGCGTGGTTGCCGTGCAACGCTCGGGCCGCCCAAACACAACACAACACCACGACTGGAGCATCGCGACATCGCCGTCCGAACCCGAACACCATTCGCTGATACACTCCTTCTCCAAGCAAAGCTACATAAAACGGTTGAATACACACACGCGACACATAAACCCTCCCCGCAATGCTTCTCGACGAGGACCCCGCTTCGGTATGCTCGCGTTTGCTCTATAATCACGACCTAGCTAACAACCGTGACCAGCTCATTGCTCAATGCACGTCGCACTTCAAACTCGACAGCGACCGCTCTGCGCTGCTCCGCATCTCCGACTCTCTCGCGACGCTCTCCTCCTTCCGCCAGCAACACACGTCTTCCTTGCAGTCCACTCTTACACGCCTCAACCGCACACACCAGACGCTGGCCTCAAACCACAACCACACGCTGTCGCAGCACAATCCAACTACACACGCCGCCGAAATATTGCGTCTGGACACGGAGAAATTTAAGATCGCGAAGCAGGCCAGTGATCTTGAAATGGAGGGTGAGCGACTGGAGGGCGAATTGAGCAGACTGGGCGGTGTGCTAGGAGAGCTGGAGGCTGAGGGAGTGGAAGGCGGGGAAAGAGAAAAGGGACCTGAAGAGGATGCTACAGTGTATGTCAACTTCACCTCGCCGCGTTCACCAATGTCACCTGCTAACCTTGTGCGCAGACTGAAGCTGAAAGTATATCGGTCACTCGGTATCGATGTCGAGGCTGATCCCACAGGCCAATACAACAAGGCTGTCATCCGCAACGCCGCCAAAGGCGATGTCCACGTTGTCAACATCGACCCTAAATTCTCACGCAACTTCTATACGAACTATTTCTGGCGGACTATGTAGGCTCGCTGTTTGCTTGGGATCATGATCTCGAATGGTGTTTTGGGCGTTCATTGCCGGAACTTTGCGAGGATAAAGCATGATGGGACGCTGAAGGCGTTCGTATATACCCTGGTAGTGCCCAATTGTGATATTGTTTTTGACCGGGACCCGAAACAGTGCAGTTGTCTCGAAGATATACGCAGCTCTCAAGCACTTCGTCGACAATGTGATATGAGTGCATCGGAAGACCACAAGATCTTGTTCACCAGTGCTCAGCGGATGGCAACTGGCTCCATCTTGCCCCGCGAAATCACATGTGTATTATTCGACAGCCCTGCGAAGAACCCAGTGCGGACCACTCCCGCCGCGCCAAATGCGCACTTCGACTCGCCCTGACGCCTCATCGGCGCTCTTCGGGCATCCGAAAAGGACGCACCAGCAACTGCACTGAGCGCCGCGCGATTCACCAGGTCAACGAAGAGTTTGCATGCTGCGAACAGCTTTGCGAGTCGACGCGACATGGCGTGCGCCGTGGCCCATGATGCGATCTGCATGAAGCTCGAAATGTGGAGCTGTGGCTGCAACTCACGAGGTTGCACAAGCACGCGAATTCTACCGTTTGGCTGGCAGCGGGCGGGTATGCAGATGCAGGGTCCGGTCGTTACGGATGCCGCCGCCGTGCTGCAGTGCCAGTTGTCAAGCCATTTGTCAGGCACGGCCCGGACGCGCTCGCCCCTCGCACGCTGTGTGTTGGTTCTGTGGAGGTGCCCGCCGTAATGGAGGGTCGGCAATGGAAGCACAGTTAGGACGCCTCGATGAGCTGGTGCAATGCCGTGCACCACGAGGCTGCGAGCGGCGGGCAGACGTCGGATGGCGCGAATCCCTGTCTGACCGCCTCTTTGGCATCCGCCGTCAACATTTTTCCAGTCGCCAATCCGCACAGACATTGCGGGACCGACAGCGCATCCACCCCCCGGCGCATCGCGAGCATGGCTGCTCGCCGTCCACATCTTGCCGCCAGCGCGACTGGGCGCGTGCAGAGCGCTCGCAACGCATGGCATCCCGGGTGACGCGCCCGACTTCGCGATGGCCAAGAGAGCCTGTGAGAGGCTGCCTCGAAGCTTCGAGACGAAACATCCAGGGCACAGGACGAGTGCCTGCACCAGTGCGAACCGTCCGCATGAAGCCCAAAGTCGCTCCGAGAGAGAAGACTCGTCATGGCCATCCGTGCTCGCGAAGATGTCAACGAGCGATGCGCGCTGTCACTACATATGTGCTGCATGGTAAGAGCAGGACATGCCACCACGCTGCTCTTAATCAAGCGCATTCGCTGTAGACCGCCTCGACCCAGTGCCGTCACAAGCACCTGCATTGTCTGATCTTTTACTCTTCCGTACGGCGGACCTGTGCCACGTCAAAGCTCTTGATTGGCACCCCGGCCAAACGCTCTGGCTGCACGTCCACGCCGTTTATGCCCCGTACATAAAGGCCAATACCTACGCTGTGCTCGCGCTCCCGCTTAGGAGAATCAGGAAAGAAAATTTGATACGCTAGCAGTCCAGTCGCTATCAGTGCTGAGCTGCAATCAACATGCCGAGCTTTGGAAGGAGTCGGTCGAGCTACGAGTGAGTTTAACTTCTCTTACTACATAACTTTTTTCATACACACTTTCAACTACGATCCACCCCATTTCCTCCATTCCCTCTGCTCCGGTAAGCTCGCTTCTGTCTCGAGGCTTCGTGTCTGTCTAGCCTCGGCAGCCAATTGCACAGCACCTTCTCAACCCATCTGCACCTGCCCGCCAACAAGCGGTGTGGCGCTGTGTTGTGTTGGCGTTTGTTTACCAGCCTTCCAAAAACTTTACTGACCACCACACCACCACAGTGTCTCCAATAAGGAGCAGAAGCAGATCCTCGCCGACATCAACGCCGGCTCGCAGAAGTTTGGCCGCAAGCTTCTATCTCGCAACCCGAGCCACCGCCGGGACAAAAGCAACGAGACCATCACCCCGGTCACGGTCCTGCCTGAACAACAGCAGGAAGAACGCAGAGGTCGCAAGTCGACTAACTCGACCCGCCCGAAGCTCCCCAAACGAACCAGCAGTATGAGGAGGGCGTACAACTACTTCTTCGGTGGAGTTCCGCAGTCAGAGCAACCGCCATCCCCGACGTCGCCTGTCGTCACAGAGGCAAATGTGGAAGCTGTGAAGAGCCCCAAGGGTGACGACAACGCTGCACGCAATGTCGGTGTTGACACGCCGCCACAAACGCCCGCTCGTGAAGCTCTACAGGCGGCCGATGATTCGAGCGTAGAAGCTGGTACGTTGCGACCCAAACATGGCTGCCAGGCCATCCCGTCTGCTAAACCATTTCGTTTCTTTGCTGATCCTTCGCTTCACAGCACCAGAACCACCTTCGCCCACCGCCGAAGACTCGCCCGAAGTCGCCGTCGAGAAGCTTCGTAAGAAGCTTGAAAAGGCCAAGACCGACCTCGCAGAGGCAAACTCTACCGTCAAGCGCCAGGACGACACTATCGCTGGCATCGAGCAAGAGTACAAGGAGCGGGCAAAGGGCTTCGAAGAGCGCGAAAGCACCCTTCAGCAGGACAAGAAGGACCTGGAAGAGCACATGGTTAGCATCGTTGTGCAACAAGTCCGGGAAGCCAAGGCGAAGGAGAGGCACACGGTCGTCGAAGAGTGTGAGCAGGAATTTGCAGGAAAGCTCGCCGAGCGCGATGCCCGTGAGGAAGAGCTGAAGAAGCAGATCAGCGACCTCCAGGATCGTGTCAAGGCCCTCGAGAAGGAGATTGAGAGCCTTCGTACCGAATCCGGTGAGACTGTATCCAAGTCTCAGGTGGAGGCGAAGGACAGCGAGATTGCTGCCCTGTCTAAGGACAAGTCATCTGTGGAAGAATCGCTTGCTAAGGTTCGTCACCCTGTATCAAATTGCACAAACGGACCACGTAGCTAACTATCCTTTCGCAGGCCAACTCCGAGCTCGAGCAGCTCCGCGCCGCAAACGCAAGCCTGCAGGAAGAGAAGGCCTCTCTAGTCCCCAAGAGTGATCTTGAGGCGAAGAACGAGGAAATCGCCAAGCTCAACTCCGAGAAAGCAGCAGCAGATGCCGCCTATGCCGAAGAGAAGGGGACACTCGTTCCCAAGGCTGAAGTCGAAGCCAAGGAGGCCATCATTGCCACCCTCACCACCGAGAAGAACGAAGCTGTCGACTCCCTCAATCAGGCGAAGGAGCAGCTGGACAGCCAGTTGGCTACGCTCCAGCAAGAGCTGGATGCCGCGAAGACCAGCCACAGCGAAGCTGTCCAAAAGCTATCAAGCAAGGACCAGGAGTACACCAAGTTGCAGGAAGATCACGCTGCTCGTGGTGTCGAAAGCGATGGTCACAAGACCCGCATTTCGGAGTTGGAAGCCGTGAGTCATTCCCATTTGACATCTTGTTGATACATGCTAACTTCGTCTAGTCAATTGCAAGCCTTGAATCGGCCAAGGGTGATGTTTCCGGCGAAATCGCAACACTGCAAAAGTCTGTCGCTGAGAAGGAGGAGGCTTTGACTTCAAAGCTCGCCGAACTCGAAGCTGCGCAGAAGGAAGCCGCCGCCCAGGCTTCTGAGCTTGCCAGCGCCACCCAGGCACACGAGGCGACTCGCGGCGAGCTTGCCACTCATCAGACGCGCGTTTCCGAACTGGAGGAGCAGCTCAAGACCGCTCAGGCTTCCCAGAGCGACGCACAGGAGCTAGCCGAGAGAATCACTGCCCTCGAAAGTGAGAAGGACTCTGCCGTCAAAGATGCTGCCGATAAGGCCGCTGAACTTGCTACGGTCACTGACTCCCATGCTGCGACTCGCGGTGAATTGGAGACACACCAAGCCCGCGTTTCTGAGTTGGAGTCCCAGCTGAAGACTGCTGAAGCATCCCAGGGCGACGCAGAAGCGCTGGCCAAAAAGATTTCCACTCTTGAAGCCGAGAGAGACAGCGCCGTCAAGGACGTCGACAATGTAAAGCAAAAGATTGATGAATTGACTTCTGAGAAGTCTGCACTGGAGAGTCAGCTTTCTGAAGAAAAGGACGCCCATGCCAGCGCTGTCGCCAAGGCAGAAGATGCTGAAAAGAAACTCGCTGAGGCTCAGGAAAGCAATGCCACCATTCAGAGCCAGGTCGAGTCCGCCCGCAAGGAAGCAGACGAGGCCAAAAGCCAGATTGAAAGCCTGACCTCTCAAGTGAGCGAACTCCAGGCCGCCCTGGTCAAGAAGGATGAAGCCCTCTCAGCTGCCGAAGCGGCAAAAGGTGATGCCGATGGCTTGTCGACCAAAATCAAGGAGCTTGAGGCGTCCTTATCCAAGGCCCAAGCCGATGTGGAGTCCAAGCAGGCTGAACTGCAAGCCGCAGAAGCAGCGAAGGGCGACGCGCAGGGTCTCAGTGCCAAGATCAAGGATTTAGAAGAGTCTTTGTCCAAGGCCCATTCCGATGCCGAAGCCAAGTCAGCTGAGGCGAAGACTGAGACCGATAGCCTCACCGCTAAGCTTGCTGAGATTGAGGGCTCCCTCAAGGAGAAGGATGGCGAAATCGAGAAGGTTCGCGCCGAATTGGCCGAGGCCAAGGCATCTGGTGCTAAAGTAGACGAACTTACGAAAGAAATTGAGACCCTCCAGGCCCAGATTGACGAGAAGTCGGCAGCTGCGAAGTCGTCTGAGGACAGCAAGGCCGAGTTGGACGCCAAGGTCGCTGAACTTCAACAGAAGCTTGACGCAAGCGTTGCTGAGCATGAAACGACCAAATCGGGCCACCAGGATGCCGTGTCCTCGCTTGAGAAGGATTTGGCCACCGCTCGTGAACAGGCCAATGGCGTTGCGGGTTTGCAGTCCAAGCTCGATGAAGCCACGGCTGCGCACGAGAGCACGAAGGGCGAACTGACCACTGCTCAAGAACAGGCTTCTGGTCATGAGTCTCGCGTCAAGGAGCTGGAACAGAAATTGGAAGCTGCGTCCGGTCATGAGGCCAAGGTTGGCGAGCTGGAGGAGAAGATCAAGAGCCTCCAGGATGTCGAGGTACGTAATCTGCGCTGTGTTACCCCATGAAACCGGCATCCGTTTACTAACCATTTGCGTATAGGCCGCCAAGTCTGAACTCGAAGCGCAATTGAAGAGCGCCACGGAGAGCAGCGAGAAGGCCGCCGTCGACCTGAAGACTGTGCAGTCCGAGCGTGATGAGCTTAACACCAAGCTGACGACGGCCAACGAGGAAGTGGAGAAGAATGCGACTGAGTTGAAGTCCCTCCAGGAGAAATTGGATGCTGCCACCGGTGCTGCCACTGTGAGTTCTTCCCCTCACGCCACTCACTTTCCTGGCGTGTTCTCACGTCGTCTTCTGGGAGATGCCTACCACTGGACTGTACATGAACAATGTCTTTTTGTATACTGACTGCTTATTTAGGCCGAGACCCAGAAAATTACCACTCTCGAAACCTCCATCAAGGACTTGCAAGCCAAGCTTGACAGTGCCGAGGCCGAAACAAAGAGCGCAGTCGCGAAGGCTGAAGAGGATGCTGAGGCTCTCAAGAAGACAAACGCTGAATTGGAGGAGAAACTCGCTGATGCCAGCTCGAATGACTCCAAGGTAGCCGAATTACAGGCACAACTGGAGGCCGCAGAGAAGGCCACCGCCGACGCCAAGACCGCCCAAACTGGTGCTGCGAGCGAGCTCGAGGAGCTCACCAAAGCACATGAGCAGTTGAAGGAGGAAAAGCAGAAGAGCGTCGCTGATTTGGAAGTCAGCCTTGCTAAGCTGAAGGAGGAGCACTCCTCGGCCGACCAGGCCCGTGAGACCGCCGAGAAAGCTGTGGCTGATGGAAAGGCTTCAATTGAGGAACTTACCCAGAAGAGCGCTGATGCCGAGAAGCGTGCGGAAGAAGCTCAGGCCAGCGTGAAGGAGGCGGAGACGAAGGCTTCTGCCGCCGAAGAGCAACTTCAGAACGCTCAAAAGGAGAAGGAGGAGCTCCAGTTGAAGTTGGACGCTGCCCTCAAGGCTGCCAATGAAACCCCTAAGGTCGTTCCTGAAGCACCGAAAGAGAATGGTGACGCTGCTCCCGCCGCCGAGGTTGTGCCCGAGGCGCCGAACGGCGATGCCGCTCCTACCGTTACTGAGGATGCTACCCCCTTGGCCACCGAGGAGACGCCTAAGGAAGACACACCCAAGGAGGAGGCCCCAGCAGCGGACGTCGCTGAGGAGAAGCCTGCTGATGACGCTGTCCCGGCCACACCCATCACCGAGGATGCACCAGCGGGTGATGAATCTGTCCCTGACACGCCTATCACCGAAGACGCACCTGCCGATAGTGGATCGCCCAAGACCCCTGGCAAGAAGAACAAGAAGAAGAAGGGCAAGAAATAAGCGGTCGCTATCAGAATTGACAGCGCGGAGCAACGTCCCGACCTTTGCGCCATGAGCCCCTGAGGCACCCTACGCCAGATTGTACCAGAGACTGTACTGTGCTTTTTGCGATGATTGCATGCGTTGTTTGTTTGTTTGTTTGTTTGTTTGTTTGTTTTGCTTTGTTTCCCGCGTCTTGCTGCATTTTACCGTTCACTCTGCGGCATACGAGATGGCATTATACCCCCACCTGCACCTGTTTTTCACAACGCGAGTGGACATGAGTGTGGATATTGGGTTGAGCTTTTGCTTTTTCTTTTGCATGGATTGTGTTCACGTCACGAGATGATGTTGATGGTAACGGAAAAGAGTATGAGGTTACGGTCGATATACATGAGATGACGGACGACGGACGACGGACGAGGATGTATTTAATGAATTGAAATTGTGTTTGTGTTTGTGTTTGTGTTTGTGTTTGTATATATCAAGATTGTACTGAGACTGATGACTTGGAATCCAAAAGACGAGGGTCAATCAACGATATGATTAGTGTTGTATCGAGTTTTGAGTACTGTGAGGTACCTCAGGGTAGAGCGGCCGACTACCAGGGACGCGATAGTCCGACTTTTCGGACGACGGCTCAAATTCGCTCGGTTTTGACATCCCCGAGAGGCAATATGGAATATAGGTCAGCGCGCGTAGCTTTGACTCTGTTTGACTGTGATCTGGGTCACTGGGATATGCTTTGTTGTGGTTATGGGCTTACACAGAGGCTGGCACGCTAGCATGTGCAAGAGGAAGTGGGCGTGATTGCGTTGCATGGCAATCTGCATGGATCGGCTAGCATGAGACGCCCTCGGGTGTCTAGGAGCACCACGACATGTTCTACAATACGGTCGAACTGGTCAACCTTTGCCACCCACGCCAAAGCCTCACGCCGGCTAGCCGATTCTTTGGGCGTCGGCGTCTTACCGAGGACCGCCACTCGAGGCACGCATTGTGCCTTCCGCTGACGTTGATGAGCTCGTGCATGATCCGAGTTTTGCTTACTACTGACATGCCCACATTAGCTCTCCGGTGTCTCCGACATAAGACAACTGCTTGTGTTGGCCGCTCGTGGACATGATGTATCGTGAGTACCCCTACATCGGGGTACTCTCCCTACAAGACTTGCACTCTTGGCGTTGATCGCTCGAGTGTCTTTGTAGGCTTCCCGAATCTCCTGCAGTGCTACGGCGGAGGGTTGAGGACTATGAGCTGCCCCAGGTGGGCCAAACAAAGGCCGATTGTATCAGAATTTATGATTTGAGAAGGAGGAGGAGAGCTTTTACTTTCAGTGCTATGTTTTCGATTAATCGCACTACCCAAGAAAACGGATTACTGCACGAAGTCAAACCGAACCCGAACCTTGCATCGACCCTGCTGGTGCCAGCCACGCAGAGTAAAAAAAACCCTTCAGGGACCTCCTTTCCACTGTACGAAATTCGTTGCCGTAACAACGTTACCGCAATGCCCATCCTCCATGACTCTCGTTCCGCGTCTCACGTGTAGATACTCTCTGTATATGCATTCACCTGCAGCCCCTTCTCCGCCATTTCCGCGTTCTCCAAGAACTTCAGTGGCATCCACACCAAATGCCCTTTCACGCGGTCCAGCTCGCGCCTTATTTCCTCCACCGGCCTCGACAAATCGTACAAGTGGCCTTGCTTGTGGTCCTTATCCGTCTTCGGGTTCGGCGTGAACTTGTCGTAATCCTCGAAGGTCAGAATGCTGTCATCGGGATCTGCGTGGAACAAGTCGCGGAAGACGCCCGTGTTGGTCGACGCGCGATTTGTCCACATGGCCCAGAGATCGTCGCCGAGGGGGTCGGCCACGAAATCTGCTTCTGCGCCGGGCAGTGTGTCGTTCGGGGAGTTTTCGCCCGGGGGCTGGGCGTTTGAATCGTCGGTTGCGTCGAGGGACTGCGGAGGGATGAGGCCGAGGTGCTCGCGCCAGAGGATGGAGCGCAAGGTGTGCGCATGGCGGCCTGCCTTGAATGGCTTTCCGTCCATGGTGATGTCCACCGTGTCAGTATCGCGCATGACGATGGAGAGCTCGCTGTCATGGTAGCCCAGCTGCGAGCGGTCGTTGATGTTGGAGGAACCGCAGATGACGTATTCGTCGTCGACGATGCAGACTTTGGCGTGCACGTAGAGCTCTTCCTGGAAAAAGTTTTCTTTTTCGGATTCTGGGTCGCCTTCCCATTCTTCGGTGGAAGGCTTCTTGTCTGTGAGCATGGCGTCGTCGGCGATGGAGTCGGGGTCAATGATGCCGCCTTGGTCGCCTAGGCCGACGGATTCTTCGTTTTCTCCTGCGAAAAGGCGTCGCTTTTCTTTGGCACGGTTGCGGGCTTCGTCGCCTCCTTCGAGCGGAGCCTCGAGTTCCTCAATTTCAGCCATCTGCAGCTCCTTGTATTTTAGACCTGACTCCTCCTCTTGCCTTTTGAGCTTTGCGTTGACGTTGAGTCGGTCGTATGATCGCAGGTTGAACAGGAAGATGTGGTCGTCTGGATTCACGCCTTGCTTCTTGACTTGCTCGAAGATGCTGTGTTCTCCTCTGCAGATGGATTTGTACTGGTAGTCCATGATGGCTCTGGTCCCGGTCGCTGCGTCCTCCCTAAGATCGCCTGCAAACCCCGGGATAGCAGGGATAACGATGATGACCCTGAATTTCCGGCCTTCTTTGCCTGCTCGGACCACAGCGTCAACTATCGCGCGACCGATCTGGTTGTGAATAGGGCTCTGCTCCTCGCCTGTGGCTGTGATGAAGAATTGGTTCTCAATGTAAACGTAGTGTTCCGCTTGGCGAATCAAATCGCAATATGAGGTTTGGATACTGTGCTCAGCGGGTAAAATGCCGCTGCTCCAGTCTGCACTGCTTCTCACTATTTGAGCATGCACTGTTCCGCGATTGTCAAGATTCTTCCCACTCAGTGGACTCAGCGGATGATGCTGATAACCGCCGACCGGAAATTTAGGCCGTTGCACACCGACAAGGTCTTCGTCATCACCTTCCCTACCCTCAAGGGTAATCCAAGGGTACCTGTCGTCTCTCTTGTACTTGTCTCGCTTGCAGAAGTTCCAGCGAAGAACGAAGTGTTCCGCGATGTCGTACACGCACGGCCCAATGACGCCCATTGCTACGTCGTGCCACGGCATGCGGCCGTATTCTGCTTTGCTAAGCTGATTCGATTTCCAGTCATCCACACTTTGGAAGTCCATGATGCGATTGTTATTAAAGTCCTGGCCGGGGAATATCTCGTTCTGGACACCTGACGGATGCACATCTGCGAGGGGATGCTGCTTGTTGTCCCAGCGGCCGTAGCAGAGGTCCAGACCGCCAATGAAAGCTACTGCATAGTCGATCACAACAAACTTCTCGTGATGGGCCCAGTAGAATGTCATATCACCAGCATTTTCGAATACATTATGATCTGGATGTCTCATGAGCGTGATGTTGCCATATCCCGGTGCATCCTCGTCAGTGATAAGCCCCATAATAGCATCCTTGGTGTGCCGGCTGTTGCAAGTGAGCGCTGCAGATACCTCTTTGTATACAATGATGTATATCTTTACGCCTTCTTGCGCTTTCTTCTTCAAAAGAGAATCTAAACGCCAACCCTGGTTGTAGTAGGGAGGTCGGCGAAGGAACTATCCTACTTAGTTTGGGGAGAACAACCTCGCAATGATACTCACAAGCTCCGGAGACAACCACCAGTCTTCAATGTATATCGTCTCCTTGGCATTGTTCAAAGCCTCGGAGAGTGCCTTCTTCGTTTAGCACCTACATCCTCAACGTAGACTCAAAATTGCTTACCCAAAAGTAATCCCTGCCATCGACATACCACTTGATCATGTTGCCATCTCTTTCTGGTGCAAAGCTCTCAAAGCGATGGTTTTGGCGAATTCGACTCCGCTTGTCGTCCGTCTTCTGCTCATGCTCCTCGTCATGGCGATGGTTCGAATTGAACAGGTTCGCGAACTTCCCAACCTTGTGCTTCGCATGCGTCGCCTTCACTTTCACATCATAGAGTTGCGTATCCTTGAGCTTCTTGCGCAACTCCGGGAATGGGTGCGCGATTTTGTCTTTCAGCCCCCGGTCGCTGGAGCCGTCTGCCATTGTTTGATGGGGATTCGAGAATGTGAACGCGACTCGGTGAGAGGCTCAATGGCAGCGCGGAATGTGATGTGATGGGCGGAGCGAGGGGCAGACGTTCACATAAGACTCTATGAGAGCTGTCCCCGTGTAGCCTGCAAACCTGCATTCACTGTGTCGCGATACTTGGCAGATGACTGCAAGGATGGTGTGACTGCTAGAAGGTACGACATTGGACAATGACGCATGCCAAGCAACCCCGCGTGCCGGTAAACCATTACCCTTGTCCGAAGCTGTAACCAGGCTGCATTAATTTATGTCCTTTCGAGGCGGTAGAATGTATTTTGCAGGGCGATAAATAACGACTAGACTTTTTTGTATGCGCAATCCAAATCATTTCAACCCCAGGAGCCGACCGTCGCGGCCGACATCCTGGTGAACAGCTTGATCTAGCATCCTCCGGATCATCGTTGCCGGATCTCGCATGAAGGCTGAAGGCTTTAGCTGCTTTCGGCTACAGCCAATCGACAAGCATTCCATTCTCGTGTGCGGCCCAGCCCAGCGGATCGTGAGCATCATTAGCCTGCCAGCGCGTTGCCTATCACATGCAGCACGTCAAGCCCTGGGGCTTGCAATGTGCCTGCCACACGGGAGTGCATCCTTCCTTTACATCGAGGTGAGCACCGGCGATACGGTATCAGGCCACAATTATACGCATGTATAGTAGCTCAAGTCACGGTCTGGTCAGGTTTTGTGTTCGTTGCTGACTTCAGTTTGGTTGCTGAATCTTCACGAGTCTCACACATCAGCACAGTTTTGGAGAGCAAATCATTAATGGCTCAGTTGATATTTTGACCCGACCAAGAAAAAGCTTGACACTGCTCTGCTGTGCTAACATACAGCAGCGAGTACAGGTACAGCTGGGCAGTCTGGGGTTTCTCTTGCGCCCACTATGAATCATGCCTCGAGCACCACTCCCCAATCCCGACACATTCGCATCACACCCTCCCACACGAAGATAGTGGTTCGTGAGTAGTCTCGGGGATAGCGTTGGGCCAGCGTCCAAACTCTGCAATCGGATGTGTACAAGATGCATCAAAGGCGAATCGGAGCCCCCAACGATCTCTGATCAAACACAACGATTCGCTTGGAGCTGTTGAGCGTGTGGCAAGGTATTGCATGGGCGAATACTCAATATTGGCAGCCTCAAAAGCGCTTTTCTCCTGTTTGTGGATAAATATTAGCGGCAGAGCCATTTGTCAGAATACACCAGGAGCGTACTTTTGACCATTGATCCTTTGACAATTGAAATATGGCACTCTTGTCTTTGGGAAAGGGGCTGAGGTGGTCGTCGTAATGTATAACTTTGATATCTGCACCTAGATCATGCTTGAGCACGTATACAGGGACGCGAATGGCTTCGAGGACGTTCATGTGGGTACGCTCGTTAAGACGATCTCGTAGCGGGATGGAAGCTGACATCATGCAAATCTCAACATGCAGTCGTGATGCATTGGCAGGGCTTATGCGCCTACTGAAGTCGTGCAGAGCATCAAAGATGCCCTGGATAAACCTCTTCTCGCCGTCTTGGAGTTCTTCATAGAAAGTGAGGTAAGTGAAGTAATGTTCGTATTTGACGCGGATTTCGAGGTTGCGAATATGGTCGATTGGGAGCAGACCAAGAGGCTCAACGTTTTCCAGGCCTGTTTCTCCTCCGATGAAGTTGTGTATAGGATCTCGGAAGAGAAAGTCGGATAGTGCATTCTCCAGAGTGCAAACCGTGAAAGTGTTCGACGTGTAATAGTACATGGAGGCGTCTCTGGCTACTGCGTGACCAAGGTACGCAGGATTAAGGAGTCTGCTATCTGGGTAGATAATATTCCCATCGCGCTCGATACTGTGGTCTTGTTTTGTCGCTCCTTCCGGCATGACTATAAAAGGCTCACTGTGTGCGGGGGGATTAATATCCTCGGACCTCAGAGGCTCGGGCACATAAACTGTGAAATGGTACGAGCCGACTGGAATGGGGCCGTCCTCAAGGTAGAGATATTGGTAGATCAGTTCCCTAAGCTCCAATGGGAGCTTTGTGTACATCATGCTCGCTAATTGTCTACAGTCAGCTCGCGCATGCTGCTCCAGTTGGCGCTCAAACTCCAGGTGCAGTCTGTGCTGTTCTGCCTGCAGATCGGTCATCCTAAAAATGCGGTCAGGGCTGGAAGTGTCAAATGCAAATTCAGGCCAAACATGCACACCCTCTCGCTTCGAAAAAAGGGTGCATGCATGCGCGGACGCTAAGCGCAGATGAAATCTGAATGTTTGTAACAGGCATCGCTCGGCGCGTTCATGTTTCTGCGTACAGGTCACGAGGGCGCATAGCACATGGCACACTTACTGCTGCTGCGTGCGTGCGGATTGTGCATGTAGCATCCGCAAATTCGCCAGTGAGGCTGTGATATCGGCCGTCATATCCTCTTGAGCGTGCAAATATCGGCAGGAAGCGAACAGATTTTGGAATGTACGATAAGGTCGCGATGTTGGATGGTCGGCAAATTGATAGTGCCTTCCACTGCATCGCTAAGCTGAATCGAGAAGGTCTTGGCAAGCCCCCGTCAGGTGGGAACGCGTTCGCGCGACGTGCAGTAACGGCGCGTTGCCCACGACCATGGGTTGACATGGCCACCATCAAGCCCATCGAGGGCCGCTCAGTCCACCAGATCCAGTCGGGACAGGTCATCGTCGACCTGATCTCGGTCTGCAAAGAGCTGGTTGAGAACAGCATCGATGCAGGCGCCACCTCCATTGGTACGTTGTATCCTCCGCTGCACGACGAGCGCGAGGGCTGACGTTTCCTGCAGAGATTCGCTTCAAAAACAATGGCCTTGATGCCATTGAAGTGCAGGACAACGGGTGCGGCATTTCCCCGGACGACTACGAGACGATCGCCCTCAAGCACTACACGTCGAAGCTCTCCACCTACGATGATCTCTCATCGCTCCAGACATTCGGCTTCCGCGGCGAAGCACTATCCTCACTGTGCGCTCTCTCCAAATTTCACATCATCACTGCTCGAGCTTCAGACGGGGCTAAAGGCACAAAGCTGGAGTTCGAGCAGTCAGGCAAGCTGAAGGGCACGTCGGTGGTGGCGGCTAAGCAGGGCACAACCGTAGTGGTTGAGACACTGTTCCACAACTTGCCAGTGAGGCGGAAAGAGCTAGAGAAGAACGTCAAACGGGAATACAGCAAGGTGCTTGAGCTGCTTCAAGCCTATGCTTGCATTCGCACCGGCGTCAAATTCAACATCAGCAATCAGGTGGCAAAAGGGTACGATATACACAACCAAGCAACCTGCGTATAGCTAATGCCGGGCCAGGAAGAGGACAGTGGCCTTCTCAACCAATGCGAATCCGAACACCAAGGAGAATCTTGCCAATGTCTTTGGTGCAAAGGCGCTCCTTGCCCTCATCCCACTCAATCTGCAATTCGAGATGGATTCCTCACGTCGTCCGGGTGAGACTCAGAGTGCGCGTAATTGGAGTACCCAGAAAGATGGATCCCACGCCGTGAAGATCCTTGGCCACATTTCGCGGCCTGTAGTTGGCGAGGGCCGTGGCCTCCCAGATCGGCAAATGTTCTTCGTTAACTCACGCCCGTGTCACCTACCGCAAGTCAGGAAAGCCTTCAACGAGGTGTACAAGTCCTACAACATGTCGCAGTCGCCTTTCGTCTTTGCAGACATACAGCTGGACACCAATGCCTACGATGTGAACGTCAGTCCAGACAAAAGGACAATCATGCTTCACGACCAGGCGGCGTTGTTGGAGAGCCTGAGGGATGCCTTGGCCGAGCTCTTCGAAGGCCATGATCAGAGTGTGCCTCAAGCCCAACTCTTGGGGAAGCGAACACCGTCCAACCCTACTTTCAAACCGCCTATCATGCAACGACCAAGCACCACAGTACCCGACGGCCCATTCGATCTCGATCCTGTTCTAGAGCCACGCAAGCTATCGTCTGCATATGTTGAACGATCAAGTTCCTCCGCCCCAGCAGACGAGTTGCCCCGGCCTGGATTCATGAAAGCAAGCCTCATCGAAAGATTCGCTGAGAGAGATTTTGAGGAAAGTATCGATCGTACTTCAATCACTACAAGGGAGAGCCTTCTTTCGGGGCAGAATAAGGTTGCTGAGGCGAGAAGAGAGCACCGTACTTCCCATCAAAGAGGCAATTCTACATCACTGGAGAACGCTCCTGTCCAGAACATCCAGCGGGAGGATTCTCCACTGTTCGAACCGGAGGGCGCAAGTCCAACGTCAGTTCCAGAAACTGGCGGAAGATCCAAAGTATTGGAAGACTTTAATACGCGTCTAGCCGTACACCATGCACACCCTCCAGCGGAGCCCTTGCCCTTGCCTATGGATCCAGAAACGACCCAAGAAGTCGGAGAGACAGGAGACAGTATTCCTGCAATCATACAAACTCCACAACGACTTACCCAAAGCACTATACAGAATGCTTTCGACCGCATGCGTCCCATACGGACACCCGCACAACAAGCTACTATAAGAATCGGTGATGTGACCACTGTCTCTACGGTCGGCAATGAGTCGCGGGCATCAAGAAGGGCACGAGTGCATACCCCCAAGTTCTCTCTCAGCGGTACCCCTCTGACGCAAACGCCAAAGCGACCAATTTTCTTGAAGGGTCTGCGTGGTTTCGCCGCTCCTGGTACGCAGCTGGAGGAGAGCGACGAAGAGGATGAAGAGGACCATGACAGCAGTTTGCCTAGTGCACCCGGTCGAGCACCATCCCCTCAGAAGAAGGGCATTCACCATGAGTCTGAGCCTCCCCGGACAGACGAGATCGACGCGTCATCAAGCGCCCCGCCCGGTAACGTCCCCACCGAAGAAGATAGCGACAACGAGCATGCGGAGGCCAAACCCGAGGCTGAGGCCAATGACGAGTCTGACGATGAATACGTTGATGAATCCGAGAAAAAAGCTTACGAAGAAGCAAAGATTGCTCAGATGATTGCCGAAGCAGAAGAGGCGGCAGCAAGACCTACCGAAGAGAACTTGAAGCGGGCTACCAGACTATTCAAGATATCCCAGAAGAAATACTCTACAACTAATCTTGAGCGTATCATTAACATCAACATACCCTCTCTTACCGCTTACATTCGCCACCTTGACGCTGCCCTGCAGGATGCCGAGAAGTTTCAGTCCAAAGCCAAACTCTCCACCAACACTCAGCTGAATAACGAAGATCCAGAAGAGCGCCTCTCGTTGACAGTCACAAAGTCCGATTTTTATAACATGATCATAATAGGTCAATTTAACCTAGGCTTCATCCTCGCCGTTCGTCCACCAACACGGACATCCCCAACCTCCGACCTCTTCATCATCGACCAGCACGCCTCAGACGAAAAATACAACTTTGAGCGCTTCGCCGCAACCACCGTTCTTGTTTCACAACGCCTCGTTCATCCTCATCCCCTCGAGCTCACCGCCGTAGAACAAGAGCTCATCCTCGCCAACGCACCCTCCCTCACCGCCAACGGCTTCATCGTAGAGCAGGACTCCTCCGCCGACCCAGACACCCTCAACCGCTTCAAACTCACATCCCTCCCTATGAGCAAAGAAGTAACATTCACACCAAACGACCTCTCCGAGCTCCTCGCCCTCATCATGGACAATCCTCCATCCTCTTCCCTTTCCACATCTCAACACATCCCGCGTCCGTCCAAGATCCGGAAGCTGCTCGCCAGCAGAGCGTGTCGGGGGAGTGTTATGATCGGCAAAACGCTGCGGAAGAGCAAGATGGAGGATATCGTGAGACACATGGGGAGTATGGATAAGCCGTGGAGCTGTCCACATGGGAGGCCGACTATGCGGCATCTTTATGGATTGGAGAAGTGGGACGGGTGGGTGGAGGGGGATGGGGTGAATGGGCTGGGGGAGGTGGGAATGAGGGTTGACTGGGGCGTATATATAAAGAAGAGGGGGGCCGAGGTGTGGGGTGGGCAGACTGTCGGTTAACTTGAGATGTGTATGTTGGTTGTGGGTATTGCTGTTGTGGCGTATCTAGTTGACATGTATACCCAACAAACTTTTTGAAACATTGGGTACTTTGTTGGCATTAAATCTTCTCGTTTCGATCAGATCTGCAGTGCGCTTTGATTGAAGTGGCACCGTCCAAAAGTGATATTGGTGACATCGCCCGTGAACATTTCGAATAGCCCGATCTGGCGAGTATTGCCTGACAGCTCTGGATACTATAGGAACCCGGTCGTTCGTTGACCGAAGTAATGGGGATTACGTAGAATGGTGGCTTGTATGGTCAAGAGTCAGCTTTCGACCCTTTGGATGCAAGGATTGAATCAAGGCGGCTCCGTTCACTATATTGACTCCGCCCATAGAATCTCTCAATAGTACTACCAGACAAAATCGCTGCGCTAAGAATCTTCAATATGTCTCGCTGAATTGTTGCGAAAATGAGCCATAAACATACGAGGGTCCTTGTTTACTCAGGGTATACTGACAGAAGAGACTTTGGCTATGAGCTCGTGGGCGCTTTCTGTAGGAATGCGGCGTAGTTTGGCTCCAGTGACTATACCAATTGATACATATTATTCATGTGCGAGCGCAACGGGAGGGGGTTCCTATGTATATAACCGTTGCGGCGTGTGCAGACGTCGCTGCGGAAGTACTGTCGCGGATAATCTCTACCAGCCAATGATGAAATCAAAAGCAGAGCGTACTTCGGTGGTATCTCCAGGTATTTTCAATAATTCGAGTCTCAGCGCAAACCATCTTTCATTGCATGCACCATTTACCTTGATCATCACTTCCCTTGCTATCACCGTTGGCGAAATTCATTTCGAGGCGCCTGCTGCTAGACAACCTTGCCATACCTGGTATAAGGCCATGGGTGATCTTAAATTTTCCACTCCTCTCATTCTATATGTAGGACCAGGCTCAGTCATGACTACTTCCTCTCCCTATTGGATCCTGCGAAATACCACGGCATCCCACAGGTCCTATGTAACCAACTCGCGTGTGGCAAGTCGACACACTTGGCCATCTTCATTGTCCCATCAAGGCGTCGCGTCTAGGACGGGCCGAGCCAAGGCCCGTGGTGACCGATCCACACTCGAAGTCACACGCAAAGCACCTCGTCTATGAGACCCCTTTGCTGTTGGTAGACTTGTCGAGACGTCATTTACGAAGCATGTCGGCTGGCGGCGTAGCTCAGCTAGCATCGTAGAGCGGCTAGGGGAGGACTGTGATTGGATAGCTGCAGCATCGAGGAAAGCTCCACCGAGGTGTAGCTCGCATTCCAGGCAGTGTTCAATATATCTGAAGTGTGTGATCAAAGCATATATAAAGTGTTGTGGATCATGGAGGTTGTCACCAGTGCATCCACCGTTATCTCAGCTTCAATAAATCCATCATGAGTACCAGCACCACCATAAACCCAGTACTTTCCGAGTCATATTCTTCCTCCAAACTTGATGAATTCCCAACCGTCGCAATTGACAAGATCGAGCCCTCTGAGGATGAAGACGAAAGGACATTCCATGACACTGATGCCGCATACGTTTTGCCGAACGAGTTAGTCCGCCCCCGCTCCCCACGGTTCATATTGTCTATTTGCTTCTATAATCAGGTAGAACGATATATCGACTGACGAAAATAGCAACATCGAACATCAAAGACTAGAAGTTCAACACAGACTTCTATGGCAGCTCATGGGCAACAAAGTCTTCCATGCTCCGGTACCGAAAGACACTACGCGAAAGACTCTGGATATTGGATGCGGAACAGGTGCAGTTACCTATGAGATGGCCTCTACTTTCCCTAATGCGCAGGTCTTCGGCGCCGACCTATCCGCGGTTCCACAAGTCAGACAGAAGCTATCGAATATCAACTACGTTCAAGCAAACATCATGGACACCGATGATGCTCGCTTTGAACAAGACTCGTTCGATCTAATCTTCTCGCGACTACTCGTGCTGGGCATGTCAAATTGGAAGGCCTATGTTGAGCGCTGTGTCTCTCTCACGAAACCTGGTGTAAGTACGCCCCGCTCATGTTTGACCGAGAAAGCGCGTCTGACATGATCTTCAGGGCTGGGTCGAAATGCACGATTTATCCCATGCAATACACCACGTTCCTGTAGATATCTCTTCACTCGAACACCTCCGCCCGCACTCCATCACCATATCCGAGATCGCAAATGTATCGCATCCCACCGACGCGTACTGCCATCCCTCACCCTGGTCCTGGGCTATCATATTCGGCAAGCTACTCGCGCTAAAAGATGTCGATCTATACTGTGGGGCTAACATTCCCTCGCTGTTTGCTGAAGCCGGCCTTACGGACATCAGAATCACGAGGTACATGGTTCCGTTCAGTCGGTGGGATGGTCTAACGAGAGAAGAGAGGGAAATGGCGGATTATTTGGAGACGTTCGTGAGGGATCTTATTCCGGTTGCTATTCAGAAGGCGGGAGAGAGTGCAGGGCCCGAATATGCGGGGGAGGTTGAGGACGCAATTAGGGACGCGAGAAAGTATCATGAGGCTTTTGATGAGGGAAGGAATTCCCTATGGATGTACGTTGTTTGTGGACGGAAGCCGGAATAGTCAGACTACTTCTAAAGTGAGGATCCAAATTTTCCAAGAGTTTCCGAACTCTTTCCCTTCCTTCGATACTTTGCATCTAGCATGAGGCGTGTCAATTTGAACTGCGGCCTGCCTATATATATGGGCTCAGATAGGCACATAGCATCGCATTCATCCAGTGTGTTGAGCACACGAAAGGACACCAATGCCAAAGACACCGCCCCCATCGATCAAAACGTCAGACTCCACAGTACCACTCACACCATGACCATTACTATTACCTTCACTATCGCTAGGTCCATGAGCCCCCTCACAACACGCGCAGGTCAAATGGGCACACTTCTGCGTACATTCTCTGTCACTCATAGCAGGGCCTGTGTGGCACGTCCAGCCTTCTGGAAATCCCAAGACTGGTTCTCCATCTCCTCGTGTGCTTGAAAGACGACTTGCAAGACGATGAGTCGGCATCGATGGTTGAGCAGGAATGATGGTACACCACTGCCACCGGCCGGCATCGATGCACCCCCACTCTATAATAACCTAATGAGCGACCAACAACTTATAATCCCTTTCACTCCCTCGCGAGTCCGTCTCCCTACTCCAGCAGTACCGGAAACCATTCTTATGCTTGAACGACCGCTGCATGTAAACGGGCCCACAGATTCAAGAACACGACCCTTCCTGAGTGCATACGCTTCCTCGACAAGTGCGTATGCACACGGCAGTCGGATAACTGTACAGGGAGATGCTGGCTATCTCTAAGAATGTCAAATCCTGTCACGACACAGTCTCGACGACACAGTCTCGACCGTCACCAGGGTTAACATCTCTCATTCGCCATCGCGACGTAAATCATGCGACGTGCCTCGATACAGCAAAGCCCAAGAAACGAGACGCGGCACCTGAAGAACCCGCTCACCATTCAACAAACCCCTGTCCTTCCCTATCTGCAATCCAGCAAACTGACCACCTTGCAGCGCTCCATCGTTGTCTTTACGTATAGGATCGCTATCCTGGCACCAACTTTACATTCAAGCCAGCGAGCTCCATAAACAGCTCAGCCTGCCGTATCTGTCGGAGACATACTCCTTGCGCCATGCTCCGCCCATTCCCCAGACTCACAGTCCCCCGACTTGCCACACATGTATCCTTCTCCCTCGCATCATCCGCGGCCTGTTTCCTTGAACCGTCAAGTGGATATCTGGGCGGGATGCTGCTTTACGGGCGGTTCGTACCGCACACGGCGCAAATAGCATACCACATCGTTGACTACCTCGTCCGCAACCGCAGCACCTTCCCGGACTCTCCGTGGCCACTCCAGGCATGGATATTAATCATCTGGATCTAAATTTCCAGCGTTATTTGAATGATGAGGGATAGTGGAGACAATGTTATTTGAGTCTGTCTAGAGGACCAGTGTGTGCGTTTTGGGCGCAGGCACAGCCACGCACGATGCACTTTGCAGCAACGGTCCTGTACGTGTGGTACCCCTTGTACATTTATACCTGTGGGAGGAGGCTGGTTGATTGCGAGGGGAGTTGGACGGCGGGTACGGCGGGTAGAGAACGGGTTTGAGTTAGTGTAGTACCTCTACAGCTAGGGATTAGACGCGAGATGGGATTGCAAGAACGGAAGATGAAGATCGGATGAGAGTGCTTCTTGCGAATTTGAGTGCCTGCTGTGTGTTGCCTTGGGCGAGCAATAGGGTGTCCAAATATCGGGAAGATGGCAAACAGCGGAGTTGGACAGCACGGACATGTACACCACGCCGTTAGCTGAGCGTCACGCCATCGCAAACGGTGCATTATATAACAGCGACGATTTCAGCCGGCATCGCCTCGACATTCACAAATTCAGCACTACAGCACCGCTCTGTACCGAAGATTTCACCACCCTGGGATCTTTTTCAAGAATTATCATTATAGGTCCTTGAGAGCTCCAGGCGGAGAAAGGAATTGAGGGTATCGAACTATCGGACTGCGCAGTACACTCCACGACACAAATCTCCCCACCCAACCATAGTAGCCACTACCACAACCTGGGCACCACACACCAGCCGCCTCACCTCGCACAACCAAAATCTTGGACAGGGCGGTAGGACATCTAGTACGACGACCCTCCCGACACGGGCGTAGGCTGCGGCTTAGGCGCAGGCTTGGGCTTGGGCTTGGGCTTGGGCTTCTCCTGCTTCTCGCACTTGACGCTCTTAATCGTCTGGTCCCACTCCTTAGGCAGCGTCTTCATTGTGATCTTCTTGGTCTGGGCGTTGAGGCAGAGGGGGCTAGCCGTCGTCGGGCATTTGAAGTCGCTGTGTCATTGTCCGTCAGCTCAAGACCTTCTTCGCCTGGTATATAGCATTTCCCTATCAGAGCAGAGGCGAGGTACGATGTAGACTTACTTGTAGAATTCACACTTGTATCCCTCCTGCACGACCAAGCTGCGCGTCTTGCCCTCCCAGGCGCCGTACAAGCTGCTCAGGTCGAGACATCCGGAATCAGCGGGCACGGGCGTGTAGTCCGTGGGCGAGGTCTTGCCGGCAAGGTTCTTCGCTTTGTAGAGCGTGCAAGCGCCGTCGTTACGGAAGTCCTGGGCAGTAATGTCAGTAGGAGTGCGTCGTGGTGAGCTTGGTAGGTCGGTGGGTATGTACCGGTGCGTCAGCGGTGGGAGAGGTAGAGCCGGAGCTAGAACCAGAACCGTAAGAGGGAGAGGGGGAGCCGGAGTCGTACGAGCTGGAAGCGGGATAGGCGGTTGCGAAGGTAGGGACGGCGCTCAGGAGAGCGAAGATGGCGAAGGAAGTGCGCATGGTGGGTTCGATGGGATGGTGTTTTTCTTGGCTGGCAATGTGCGATACACGATGGTGATGTTTAGAAGTTTGGCTATGCTTGGACGTCTTGGTATGAGATATGTATGGGGACGGGCCGAAATGTATAATTGCTCAAGAATTGACACAAAGACGAACAGAGGCGAACAAAGGCTAGTTGGGTTAAACGAGTGGCAGCGTCCAGCAGCGGTGCGTGGAGCAAAGGCAGTGTAAAGAGCGAAAGCGTTGTGAGACAACAGACGGGGCAGAAGCGGTCGCGAGAGCCAAAGAAACCAGAGAGACCCGTGCCTTCGGACCTCCTCGCGCCTTATATGAGTGATGGCAAACACCGTTGCCAAGGGAAGTCCGATGCAGCTCGCAATTAGACACTGAGGTGGACAGGCCAACCCAGAATGGATCGGCGAACCTTAACTCCCAAGCGCGTGGGTGTTTCGTTTGCGCAAGTGCACGTGCGGGGCGAAAGCGCCATAGAACATCGCGAAACACTAGATAGATTTCGTAGCTTGATGAGGCGCGAGACGGCAAAGGGAGCGCAAAGGCGAGGGTGGAGGCGGCGCTTGGGCGCCGTGATTGGCTCTGCGGGCTTCGGATGCCGACCTCACATCAGGCGCCGTGGCCAACCTGCGAACACTCGTGAGCGACAAAGTCCGCTATACGCCTACTTGTCTAGACCTGGCTTATTCGCCCGAGTCAAATGCCCAGCCCCAAGCTGTAGGACGCCTAGAATGGTGTGCTCCACAGCGGGCGCGAAGTAAGGGGAAGTCCGATGGCTTGTGTCCGTGCGTGATGACCAGCGTCGTGAACTCAAGCACTGTGGAAAGGAGCCGCATTCTTGACGAGACTGACGTAGCAGCGTACACTAGACGTGCATTTCTTGATTCGTTGTGTAGCTTCGTATACGGAAAAGGCCAAACAACGCTCCGATCTCCTCCCTTACAAGTGAGGGTCCGATTCTCCTACTAGCCACACCAGTGCCACGCGAGAGGCGCAGGTCAGGATGAGGCTCCGGTGAGTGAGCATCTCACAGGTGTCCTCCAGCGAAAATGACAAAGAAGCCGCCCAATCCGTTGGAGTCATACATCGCCAGCGCTTGCCGCACCTTGGACCAAGCATCCGAACAGCATCTGGAAAGGCTACGCAGAAGACACCTCAAGTCCATCCAGGTTGCTTGTTCGTGACGCCAATCCCACACTTCTATTCCCCTTCAAGTCCATTCTGGCTGAGTGTTGGCAACTCCATTCATCGCGCAAAAGTATGGGAACATCCACGTATCCCAATGGTAAAATTCATAGGCTCGTTGTTCTGAGACTCTGGTCTCAGCACTGCACTCTCACGCGTTTCATACCGCCTTCATCAGATTCTGGAAGGCAGGCTGCTCAACCATGGTGTAGGGTTGTACGGGTTGAAGTTGTCTCTCCGGACTGTCTCTCGGGATATCCCCCCGTGACCTGTCCACCAAAACCGCAGCTGCCGAATCGCGGACCGCCAGATACGGATCCCCCTCACGACATTCCCAGCACACGCAATCCGGAGGATGGAAGTTCTTCGGAATGATGCCGCAGACCTCGGCGGGCCACATCAACCCTCTCCGGGTCTCTTTACTGGACATTTGCCAGATATCAGCGACCACCTCTCTTGCCCATGCGTTGAACCACATGTTAGGGGCCCTTATCAGCGCGATGGCCCAGTTCGCGAAGATGATCAGTGCGAATGGTCGTTTCTCTTGCAGAAGTTTGAAGTAGGCGTGCGGTGCAGTCATCGTCCACACGAGAGCGTTGGCCCAGAGTGGTGGCTTGCATGGGGAGTTCATGAAGAACCTCTCCCAATGCATCAGAGCCTCGCGATATGTCTGTCGATGCTCGTCTTCGACGATGGATGAGGTGTCCAAAAAATGGCTAAGGGAGCGAACTACCTTGGCACCCATGGCGTGCATCACGCAGGGTTTCCGTTTGATAGGCTGTGGTTTGACCAGCTCTCGCAAGTTGCCGTTCTCAACGTCTGCCATGCTCGGCCCAAGAGCAGCCCATGCACCTCGAAGTACATGTAATATATCGATGAAGGAGTCCAGTGGATTGGTCGCGTCGTCGAAACCAAAAACAATGGGAAGACCGATGGTGTATACGAGAATCAAGAACGAGAAAGCGGTAATGGCCCCACCGTTCTCAACAGTGACTTCTTTGACCGAGTCGCGAAAGGAGACGAGAGCTTTTTGATGCTGTTTGAACGCATTCTGAATGTGACGGTCTCGGTTATGGGTATCGATAACAGAAAGGTGCAGCGCAGAGAAGGCCAGAACGCTGTGCATCAAAAACAGATGCGACTTTGCCTCGCCCGGTACGCTGACCTGAAAAAGGGCGAGGGTGTCCTTCGGAGCAAGAGTAAGGGAAGACGTAGTTGCGTAATGTCGGAGCAGACCCAGGTCGTCGGCATCGAAGCTAGCCAACGGCATCGGGTAGGCTAGTGCGTTTACTGTAGACAGGGCTCTACGATAGCGTTCAGTAGGTATTGTCTCGTGCGCATGGTATGCACGCATGAAGTAGAGGTACTGACTCGGCAAATTGCTTCTCGATTAGCGGACGAACCGCCGCGCTCCACGCTGTGAAATCGCATGTCGTTCCCCACTTCGTGCAGTTTCCACACTTGGGCATTCGCATGTCACACTGTATCCAGTAAGCCAACGGCGCAACATTCCAGTAGAGCCACGACGATTTGCAGGGCGAATGGGTCCTTCCGAAGCCATGGTTCCTACAGATCCTACGAGGGTAAAGAGATGACGCGCTACCTTTTTCCTTCGTTTCTTACATTGGCTGCAGCCGTTCCGACTCTTAGTGTGATACTTGCGCAAGCCACCCGCCATTACGCGGCTTCTGATGCGTCGTCAACGGCCGTATGTTTCGATTTCTATGCCTGTCCAAGCCGCATTCACAGTCGGTGAGGCTCAAGGCTGTTGTGAGGAGGGTGTCGGTGGTGGATCGAGGAACGGTTCGTCCGGCGTACACTTGACTCAAAATGGCTACGTTTCGGCACCTGATCCGTGTCACAGCGAGCAGCTTGGCGGCGGGGGAATCTATCAGTACAGTACAGAGCGCCATCCTTCAATGCTCTTATATGTAAACCCCCATTTTGTAAGATGCGGCTGAAGGGGCCACCGGTGCGGCGGGTTTCAAGGAATTCTACATTACTATATCGGGTCGACGTGCAGTAGATACACCGTAAAACTTCCCCCATCTGTAGGAAATGAGCACTGAGTTGGAACCTAGGGTCCCGGCGGCAGCAGGAGCTGGGTCGCACAGCACCGCATATTCGGCAATGGCACTCGAATTGCACATCTGTCCGCAATCCACAGCCTGCGAGGTGCGCACGTCGAATTAATGGTAGAAAAGATTGATCTTGCCGAAATTCATATATTAAACAAGACTACTTCTTCTCCTAACAGAGCAAGACCAAACGGAAGAGTGCCCGAAGAAGCTGCTCAGGATATACAAGTAAACGCTACTGTTAGAAATTATGCCACCAGACCAGGACCGAACCGCCTACTTTTCTTACAACGCCACTATGAAGAGACCACCCAGCCCAAAAAGTCCCAACGCCATGCACGAAGCGAAAGTGTAACGAGATGATAAAGCGAACGAGGCGTTGAAGGGATCTGGGTGGGCTAGCCGATGTTCCCATTACCTCAACCTTCGTGGCCAAGAAAACAAAGCTCTCTAAGTTTTGCTGCGCTTCGCAAGATAGTACGTCAAAAGATTGAGGTGTTGTTCTCTTGCGCCGGCAACAGCCTTCCAAAATACTTCCTTGTCGCCACCGATGCGCTCATGCAGCGAGACGCAGACGTCAATATCCGCTTTGCGCACGTCAGCGTCGGTGTCATCCAGACATCGTACAGCTAGCCTGCCCAGTCTGGCGGTCTGTTCTTGCGTTAAGGGGATGTTTTTCGCGCCGGAGATTTGGATGAGCGAAGATAACGTGCTGAGAGCCATGGTCGTGGTCCGGTTAGATGGGATTGATGCCGAGGAGGTCGAAGAGGACTTCGAATTGGGAGAGGCAGTTGGCGTAGATGCAGGCGTGCCTTCGACTAGGGAAAGCACGGCGTCCAAGCACTCCGACGTCTGACCGTAACGAACGATCTCGTCGGCGGTGGCCTCGATGTCGATGGCAATGTGCGAGCTGTTTTCATATTGTGACTTTGTCTGCAGCAGAGTGCAAAGCACACGAGAGAAGTGACGTGCCGTCTCTTTGCGATACAAAGAGAGCATAGCGCGAATGGTCGCTAGTGCCTGAACCTTCAGGTTGGCAATTTTCGCGGGAGGTGATTTTAGAAGATCGGCTGGAATCTCGAGATACTCCAGGCAAGCCAGAAGCAATTCGCTGAACTTTTCGTCGTTCGAACCCCAGATATCCTGGTTAGACTTGACCATATCTTGAAGTCGTCGGAACATGTGTGCCTCGACCGTTTGATTCTGAATTTTCTTGATACCGCTGGCAAGGAGTTGTCGGTTCTTGGAGAGTTCGGGGCCGTTAGCCTCCCCTGGATCTGTGTGCAGGACGCTCCCGGTGCTCGTAGTCTTGTGGTGGCCGCGCACGGGTGTTCCATTTGCCTCGCCCATCATAGTGTCACGATCCAAGCTCTGAAAGCTGTGTCTACGCTCGGCATTCTTCTCATTCAACGGCAGCTCTTCCAAAACTGGTTTTTCGCCTTCTGTAGAAACAGTAGTGGGTTCCTCGCCCACAAAAGGATCTTCATAAACTTGGACCTCTTCCTGTGCGTCCGTGCCTCGTGTGCTTGGCCTATCCGGCGATCGCATGCGAATGCTCCGAGCAGCCCCGACGCCAACATCACCCATAGACTTAGGGCTCCTCAAAGGCGAGTTGCGGGGACTTCCTACCGCCAACCGGCTGGCCGGCGCAGTCGATTTGGGTGGACTGCGCTGCGCGGCGTGAGCTTGAGGCCTGCCGAGATTCGGTATGACCATGGTGAAATTATCCTCGTCTCCCATATCGAGTACGTCGACGTCGACAGAAGCGTTGGGACTCTGTTGATGTCGAAATGCAATGCCACTGGGTTCATGGTGGCTTTGCGAACGCACAAACGGTTTGACCAATGTCAGATCCTCGTCTTTAGAAGGGCTGATGGCTGGGCTACCGTGTCGGGAACTTATGCTGGGCGCATTGCGGTGCGTTGCAACTTCACCAAGTCTAGACTTGCTACGCACAGGGCTGACGCTTGGGCTGTTCTGAGTGTGCGCTCGTGGACGACTGATGCTTTTAGGTGCAATGGCTTTCTTAGTCGTAGTTGGAGCGGGAGTCTTCTCGGGAGTCGTCATTGAGGGAGTCACCTTGCCTGTAGCGGCACGCCGTACTGCATAAGGATCGGCTGTTGCGGGCCTATGTAGTTCAGGTCGTCGCATTGGTCGTCTAGCTGTGCCGCTCATCAAAGAGCCAGTACCGTTACCTGACAATGCTGATTTGGTTGCGCTTCCAAGTGCCGAAGGTGGTCTGCCCATACCAGATGACGCTGGTGCAGTGGTTGACGACGACTTTGAGGATCCTAGAGATTTTGCTGATGCAGATTTCACAGGTGAGTAACTGGCTTGAGCAGAATTGGGGCGTTCGGGAACACCTTTCACGGCACCCAGCTTTGCTCTCCTTTGCTCAGCAATCTTCGCCTTCAACAATTCGCGTCCAGCGCCAGGGCCCACGGACTTCGAGAACGCGGCAGCACTACTTTGCGATGATGCAAGTGATGTGTTTGGATTGTTGGGATCTTTTTCCAGACCGGTCTTCTCGCGCTTCTCAAGTGTATCAAAAATTCTATACAGATGTTAGCGCGCTTTGATATCAAACGACTGGACACGTACGCTTCAGCCTTCTGGGGCCAGACAAGGGCGAATGTCCAGTAGGTGCTTCGATAGACTTCTCGAACTTTGGGGTTAGCATCTGCGAGTCCTTTTTTCAGGATTTTTTCGATTGTGTCCATTCCAGAGTGCTCGATCTGTGTTTTGTGTTTGCGAATCAAGGCCTTGACCCAATTCGAAGAGAAGCTTCGCGGCTGCACGTTCTTGTCCTGCGATGCGAAAGAAACGTGCTGCAGCAGACGCGTCGTGTAGGATGCGTTCGACATGATGGCCTCTACAGTTTTGTTTCCGTTTTGCGCAGCAATGTTTTTAGTTGCGGCGCACATTTTGATGAAGGTCTGGAGTAGAATTTCCACCCATGGGTCAATCGCGGATCCCAAAGTATTGGCAAGGTCTTGCACCAGCTGGCATCCGTTGGATGACATTGTTGTACGCAAAGAGTTTGCGACTTTCAAGATCCCGTCCAAAAGAGACTTGATCCCTGCCACAAATGCACCGTGGAATTCGCCCGGCGCGTTGCCTTTTGTTATCCGTCGCAACTTGGTCGTATTCTTGTCTCGTGCTATCCAGTTCTGCTCCGACTCTTTACCTTCAAAGGGCGGTCCCATATCGCGAAAGATGTCTTCCAGCTCGCGCTGCGTGTAGATATGAAGCGGGTCCATGGAAACAGGCTCATTTGACGGTGGGGGCGCCTCGCTGAGGATGCTGTCAGCGAAGCCTGTATCAGGCTGTAGTGTGTGTGCGCGTGCGGTAGGGAGTGGTCGGACCGGAGCTGGTGGTAATTCTGCTTCGACGGGACTGGCGTCGTCCATGTGCGAAGTGATGTAGGTCGCAATGGTCTTGCGTACGTTGGCAGCTACAAGCTGTTTTCTCAGATCTACCTTTGCGCGTTCTGGCGCAGTTCTGCAAACCATTTAGCAAGCGACACAGCATGGAGGCAGAGGGTTCTACCTAAAAAGCTCCACAACCGCAATTTTGGCAGCCTCGCGAACGCCCGCGTCGGCATCTTCGAGGTTGGCTACCAGCTGGGGCACATAGGACTTGAACGGCAGACTGTCGGTCTTGTTCATCTGGGACGCGCGCATTAGCCCAGTGTCACATGTCTTTGGAAAAATTGGCGCACATACCTTCACGAGGCAGGGCATCGAGGCCTCTTTGGCACGCGGGTTCGCGCCTTTCATGGCATTCTGGATGACCGTCTCGACCTGCGCAGGACACAATGGGTGCAGATCGGCGAGGAGCTGGCCGGCGGCGTGTCGGTGGCTCTCGCGCGCATCGCCCAGGCGGTCGACAAGAATGGCAAGCAGGCGGCCGGACTGCGATGTGATGATGGAGGTTTCGTCCTGCAGCTGCAGGCGCTTGATGAAGTGGCTCAGCGTCGCGAAGCCGGTGGAGACCAGGGCGGCCGAGGTGGCGGCGCTCATGGCAATGCAGATGCATTCGAAGGTAGAGTCCTGGCAGGCTTCTGGGACGCGCCCATGCTTGATGGAGGATTTGACGGCAGCGAACAGCTGCAGGCGCGTGTCAACATTGGTCGAGGGCTTCTTGAGGGCCGCGAGGAGAGCCGCTACTTGGTCCTCCATGGTGGGCGAGTGTTATTGTGGTGTGTCGAGGACTGCGGGGTACATGAGGCAGACGGTGTGTGTGTCGTGTTGTTGTTTGACCCCGGCCCGCCAGTCCAGCGTCGGCTTCCCGCTTGGCTTGGCCGTGTTTAGGCCATTCGTTTCATCGGCAACCAGTCGCGCTAGCCGCCCCCACACGTCCCAACAACGAATCGGCGCCTTGCAGCCCTATACACGACGCCAGCGCACCGCATTCGCTGTGTTGTCAAGGGAGGCTGCTGCAAAATGGCGCAAACGGCGCCCGTTCACGCAGGCGCGCCTCTTCGCAGTGCTAGCATTGGCTGCAGCACCGCGATACACGCCGCACCGCGGGCTTTGCGACGCCGAACAACGGAAGTGCTGACTCCTAGGCTTTCATCAGTCCCTGCACTGTGCCCTCAGCCTTTACTCACAGCAGGTGCAGGCCCAACCCGCAACGCTCTCTCACGCCGTTGCCTGAAAGCATCCTGAGCTTGCCGTGGTGGATTCCCGTGCGCCCTCTGTGCCCACCACACCTTAGGGCTTGTCCCAGGAGCATTCTCTGCGTGCGAGCTCAGACCAAACTTTGCGTGCTTACACAGTGCAGCGAAACGCGCCCGTCCTCCTTCTGTCCCAAGCCTTGAAGATCCGTCACTGCCGCTGTTCTTAGCGATGCATTACAGCACTCACACCACCAATCCTGCGCGCTAGAATTCATCACCGGCTCCGCTTTCATCTATCACAACAGCTCCCCAGCACGCCCGAACGAATAGCGCCTCTAGCGACTGCTAAGCCGTGGGGCATTGACGTCCACACTAGCTCATTGTGCAGCTCTAGGCCGCCATTACCCCTCCCGCGGCAGGAGCCCCTCCATGCTGAAATACCGCGACTGCCCCTCCAACCTTCTCTTCCTCTTCCACTGCTCCCAGACATCGCCATTACAGCAATTGATCTCCGTACTCCCCTCTGCACTCCTCCATTTGCAGTAGATACTAATACACCCCCAGACTCCACTAAAGTATGGCGCTCGTCACGTACGAAGCCATGTTCTGTGCGCGGGCATTATCCCAACCGCATCAAGGTAAAATCAGTGTTAAGTATGCTGAGCATGGACCGGTGTTCGTTTCCAGCACACACTCCACCCGTCGGGTTCCTCCGGGTTCCTGGGGATCACGCGGGTGAAGCGGGTGCTGGATTCGTTCTGAGATTATACGGTTCCAACTTGATCTGGATAATACCAGCGAAAGGATCATGCCTTCCTACTCCTACCGCTCGAGGACAACCTTAACAGTTCGCAGGCTTCCCGCATCCTTGAGATAATCCGTCAAGATGTCTCCTCCCGCCGCTACTTTTGAAAACCCCATCGCCGTGCGCGACATTAGTGTACCCGTCAAGAAGAACCTTGCGGTCAAGCCGGCCGCCAATGGCCAGACGAAGACCTTGGCCGAGATGGAGGACAACTGGGAGAGCTTCACCTTCTCTCCCATCCGTGAGAGCCAGGTCTCCCGCGCGATGAGTAAGGCTTCGCCTGTCGTCCATGTCCTGAGCATCTAGACTGACCATACAAGCCCGACGCTACTTCGCCGATCTTGATAATTACGCCGAGTCTGACATCGTCATCGTGGGTGCAGGCTCTTGCGGACTGAGCACTGCCTACGAGCTCGCCAAGAAGCGCCCAGACCTCAAGATCGCAATCATTGAGGCAGGTGTCGCTCCCGGTGGTGGAGCCTGGCTCGGTGGCCAGCTCTTCAGCGCCATGGTCATGCGCAAGCCCGCCGAGGCTTTCTTGAACGACCTCGGCGTTCCATACGAAGATGAGGGCGACTTCGTTGTAGTGAAGCATGCCGTGAGTCTCACAGTCCCTCTCCTACCATCTCACCAGAGCCTAACTTACCGTTTAGGCCCTCTTCACCTCCACCCTCCTCTCGAAAGTTCTGTCCTTCCCCAACGTCAAGCTCTTCAACGCGACTGCGGTTGAGGATCTCATCACGCGCCCCAACCCGACCGCCTCCGACCCCAACGCGGTCCGCATCGCTGGTGTCGTCACCAACTGGACCCTCGTCTCCATGCACCACGACGACCAGTCCTGCATGGACCCCAACACGATCAACGCACCACTTGTCATCTCCACCACTGGCCATGATGGCCCCTTCGGTGCCTTCTCCGTCAAGCGTCTCGTCAGCATGCAGCAGCTCGAGAAGCTTGGTGGCATGAGGGGCTTGGACATGCGCACCGCCGAGGACGCGATCGTGAAGCGCACTAGGGAGATCGTCAAGGGGTTGATTGTGGGTGGCATGGAGTTGAGCGAAGTCGATGGAGCCAACCGCATGGGGCCTACCTTCGGCGCGATGGCACTAAGCGGCGTCAAGGCCGCCGAGGAGGCTTTGAGGATTGTTGATGAGAGGAAGGCGGAGAACAGTGAATAGAGTGCAAATCATCCGGTTACGTGGGGAAGTGTGACCACTGTCATTTTGTCTCTCACCACCACGCTGTCGCTACATTGTTCGTAATCAACAAGTAAAGATCATTCGCTCTATCAGTATACGTCCTTCACTTGCACTAAACGTGGTGACGTGAGCATCGCACACGACCTAAGGATTATGACAGGACTAGGATGTTGCTGGCATGCCCATGCTTTCCTCAAAACCTCGGAAGTCTTGGTGTAAGCACAGCCTACTCACCAATTAGGCACCCCCCAGTCTTGGCTACACCATGTACGGCCTTGTTCTCGGCCGACCGCGCTAAAGCTACATGAATTTCCTCATCTGGCAAAATGACTTCCATGGACACGGCACCATCACGGAAGCCGCGCATCGCGAGGATTGCGAGCGCCGCCCGATTCGCCGCAGCATTCGCAACCCCAACCATAAACGCGTCGTGCTCGTTTTAAGTTCAGTGGTGCGAGATGTATATATGCTGGTGGGGACGTTCTCGAAAATGCATCAACGCAATTAATCACACAAAAGAGAACTACGCCCGGTCACACACAACGCAACTACGCCGCACCCATCTTTCACGGAACATCCACATCCGCATATACACACAAAACCTCGACATATTCTGCCCACAATGCCACCGCCAACGTCCGACACCAAAGTTCCAACCACCATCTCAACAACCCACAAAAACCACCCAATCTACTCCCACCTCCTCGCCCGCGCCTTCACCACCGACCCCGTATTCACCTACATAGAGGGCGCCACCCCTTGGTACGCCCGCCCCCTGCTGACCTACCGCATCATCCGGTCCCAGCTCCTGGCAGCCTCCCACGGCAACCGCGCGCTCTTCATCGCTGCCGCGTCGAATCCCACTACAACCTCAAAATCGTCATTACAAGCATCGAAAGAAGAAGACAAAGAGCAAGACGCGGAATTAAACCCCCAATGCACAGCCGTCATCCTCCCGCCAGGCGAATCCCTCCTCGGTATCCCCGTTCCTTCTTGGATATCCCTCCTCCTTCTCCGCGGCGCCTGGCGGGTGTTCTTCTCCCTCGGGCTGTCAGGGTGGAAAAAGTTCGAGAAAGGGTACATCACCCCCGTTGAAGCCGCCAAAGCTTCCGTCTTCGCACAGGGCGAAACGTACTACTACGTCGCCATCATCTGGACCGCGGCGCAGCATCGTGGGAAGGGGCTTGCGCAAAGTGTGTTGGGAGAGTTGACGGAGAGGGCGCAGAGGGAGGGGAAGCCCGTGTGGTTGGAGGCGAGCAGTGCCGCGAGTAGGAGGGTGTATCGGAGGTGTGGGTTTGTGGATGTTGGGGAGACGATTGTGCTGGGGAGAGGTGAGGTGGATGGTACTGGTGAGGCGGCGGAGGGGGAAGCCGCCGTTGGAGTGCCGGTGTTTCCGATGGTGTGGTGGCCTAAAGGAGATCCCAGGAAGACTATGGAGTAGCGAGGGTGACATGAGTACGTTCTGAAAGTGGTGTTGTGTTGCTTTTGGGTATAAATGGGGCGCCCTCTCGTTGCTCTGTTCGAATAGATGGATTTCAGCGTTCCAGGTATAGAAGTGTAGTAGAGTAGCCTGGGGTAACTCGAACCATCATGCATCTATAAGGCACCGGCTGATCGGTTGCGGATTCCGTAACAGAGACATATTCGTTGTCAAAAAGAACGTCGATGACCATGAATGCCAGTTCCGCTCTCGGCGTATGGGCATCCAGTCCATAGCATCCTGCAAGGTTGTTAGCGTCAGCCTGAATAAAGACAGTAGAGTATGCCACTAATCCATGACGTAGATATCAGGAACGCAGAGTTCGACAACAGCTAAAGCAAGCGAGCGGACGTATGTTTTCGTGCCACAATTTTCATCGAATACATCGAGAAAGTCGGGAAGGCCATTACAAATAACAGCGGTGTAGCACCTCGTGGCTAGGGCTAGGGGCTGCAGCTTGTAGCGGCTATCGAAGACAGAGCCGTGGAGGAACATGACGATGAGCTGGATGCAACAACCCGGATGCAACAACCAATAAAAGCCTATGGGTGGCAGTGACAACAAGGTACAGACGTGTGTGCTTGGTGGGTGTCAGGTGGACGCTGGAGAGGCAAGAGGTTGTACATGGAGCAAAGCAGTGAGAAGCGGGCAGTGGGTTTGCAAGGGCGGAGACGCGCCGACTCTCAGCGCGTTGCTTCCGTTCGTTGCTCCTTCCTCTGCGCTTCACCAAGGCAACTCACGCAGACGGCGTGCTCGGCCAGTCCATCGCGCCTGCCCATGCCGCGTTGCAAGTAACTACAACGTTGTCATGACCAGTTCCAGATATTTTCGATTCCCCATTGCTAGCAACTACGAAATTCCGGATAATGAGCGTGAAGGGTCGTCACTAAGATATGGCCTCGGGTCTCCTCCCACTGACACCAGCGCCTCCATGCTTCCAAGTGCCCAAAACGGCTCTCTCGTCCTTCCCCTCATTTACCACTGCCATTGTAAGCCAAATCTTTTGTCGTGACCAGCCCGATAGCCAGTGTAGTATTGATCACGTTCTTCGTGCTTCTGTCTTTGATGTGTTTGCAAAGCTCATCAGGTGTCGGCTTGTTGCCCGGAAGAGCAAGAAAATACGCTCCCAGGCCAGCAACATGCGGGGCCGCCATGCTCGTCCCCGACAAGGTAGCCGTGGCGGTATCACCCTGGTTCGACGTACTCAGTACATTCACGCCCGGTGCATGAATATCCACGCTGGGGCCCCAGTTGGAAAAGGAGGCGAGGTTGTCGTACTGGTCCGTTGCACCTACTGTGCATGCCTCTGGTACACGAGCTGGAGAGACCATTGAAGCGAGTATAGCGCTGTTACCTGCAGCAACGGCGAAGAAGAGTCCTTGTTTGATGGCGGCAGCAACGGCCTTGTCCAGGGACGCGCTGGCCGCACCCCCAAGGCTGAGGTTGGCGACGGCCTTTCCAGTGCGGTTTCTTGCCACCATGTCGTTGGCGGCCCAGATCACGCCTTCGATCACGCCGGAAATCGCCCCAGCTCCGGTGGCATCGAGAACTTTTACCGCGACGAGCGTTGTGTTCTTCGCAACGCCGTATGTTTTTGAGCCAATTGTGCCAGCGACATGCGTACCATGACCGTTGCCGTCTGTGTTGTTGTCGTCGACATGGTTGGATCCCCAGACTGCACGGCCTCCGAATTCTTTGTGAGTTGTGCGAATACCCTGCAGGTTGTCAGAACGTGTTGTCAGGACAAAAGAGGTCTCCGCGTCAATGTGGAGACAAGCGATACTGTAGCGGGCAGGATTTTTGACACAGCCCTGAAGTCACCTCAGGCTTAGGTATAGAGCATTTCACCAGCCCTTGAACCTTGACGTGGTCTTCATGTTGACACGAGAGAAAAGATACTCACAGTATCGACGACGTAAGCGAAGGTACCCACACCTGCGGTGCCATCGTACACATACTCAGTGGATCCATTCTTACTATGACTGATTCTTCCCAGGCCCCATGGTGCGCTCGTCTGGGTCTCCAGCTTCGAAGCATAGACCTTCGCATCAGGCTCAATCGATTCGATCTGACCAAATTTTTCAAGGAGACCAGTCGTGGATCGGACGCCTTTGATATGGAACGCTTGGAAATCGCCGAGTGAGTACACGCGAGCGGGTTTGATTTTGAGGTGATTGGACACAGCTTTGGAGACAGGCCCAAGGGCTGATCCTTTGCGCAACTTGAAGATGTATGAGCCCGCAATCGTCTCCGGCTCAAGGGTTGGAGCAGCAAATACGGCTGGCAGGACCAGGAGAAACTTGATGAAGGTGCGCATGATGTATGTGATGATTGAATGTGCGGATGAAAATGCAAGTGCGGGCGATCTCCCCTTCATATACCCCAACTCTTCAACACATCTCCGTCTGGCCTGGCGCCCTCAAATACCACCTTTTCATCCACCTGTATTATAGACTATCCGGTGCATGGCACGCTTTAGTTTCCGGGCCAATCTAACGAAGCTGGCAGTGCAGCCTTCCTGGGTTGACCAATGTGAAGATATTATAAGAGACAATACTAGATATAAACTTTGTTTTGCTCGACTTGGCGAGGCAGCTGAACGTTCAAACCAGGCATAGCCAATAAGCCATTCGACATTGCGATGGTCGATCGATGAGAGGGGCTTTTGTTGTGAGTATCTTCCCTAAACCATGGGTACTCCCGTGGTATTGCTCTAGCTATTTGCCCTTGGTAATTGCGTCCAAGAGTTGAAGTCGGAGAGTAACCATATGTTGGACGTGGCCAGCGGCCACTACTGGAGGGACTATTGGTGACCGTCGATGGAGTCCTGGTAAGGTACAAGGACCTGCTCGACTCACCTGGCGCCGGCTATTGTGGCTATCGTGAAGGGTCGTTCCGCGAAACCGGTCGAAGCGCTTTTAGGCCATGATTCATCCCAAAAACAAGTTCTGGAACAAGGGATCCCGATGTCGGCTCGATCTGCGTCCTTTCTCCACCGCTCTTGGATACTTCCATCGACCTTGCGAATTCGAATCGAAGTCGGTATGTCCTACGTGCAACGCGAGCAGAAATTCTATGTCAGGTGACTTGACACCTTGGTGTGCACGAGTATCCGGCGTCAAGGATGTTGCATGATAAAGATCAGTATCTTTTCCTTCTCAATGATGGGTAGCGACACCGTAGGGTTTACCAAATGAGACCTGGGCGAAAAGAATACGAATCACGTTAACTTGTGTGACATACCGACTCGTACATGGCGTCGCAGAGGCGCGGAAGATCGGATGGAAAAGATGTTTGCCGGTTGAAAGGCCGGAGATCATCGGGCACGCGTATCGAATCCTCGACCATGGGACAATCTTGCTGTAATGCCGTGTGTGCGGGATCACTGTAGCTTCATTCTTTGGTGTCAGCTACTGCGAAGTATTGACTTCTGCAAAGACCTCAGATGTGTGCGCGCCCTGACGGACAGGCCAGTTGTATCACATGATGATGGGAGGCCGGTTTCATTGCAGCGGTATGTCGGAGAGAAGCACGTTATGTTGTGATGTGTCATCCTCAATCACGAATGCCCTAGACCGGAAGCAAGATATGAGATAGCATCAATGATCAGCGTCTTGTGGACCGTTTTGATACTTGTTAGTGTATGACAAAGGAGCTGGCGTTGGTCCTTGTTGTCATCTGCGCGTGAGGTGTACGTTTGATGGGTGAGGATCTGCTTGATCACAATGTTCGCCATAGGATGCTGCAGTCAGCCGTACGAACGCACGTCGGGAATGTCAGTGGCTACCGGCTTGTCGAAGATATCTCGACAGGTGTCTGAGTCCAGTCTGAACAGTGTGCGGAATTCTCCCGAAGCAAGTAGTCGGATGCGGCAGGTGCGACGGTAACAGTAGGAGAACTCCAGGTCGCGCATCGCCCGTACTCGAGGAACTCAACGGCATTGAAATGCGCTGCTGGACCCTGCCCAGAAATTTTGCTTAGAAACAATCCTGAACAAGAGGCCGTGAGCGTGTGGCTGCGGATCTATCCCCGAAGGGTTGGGCCGTTCAGGGGACGTTCATCCGCCGGCAAGATGAAACAAAGCGCGCGATCCTCTCGGAGCCACGGGTATCAGGAGCATGCTAGCCGAGATCACGGTAAGAGGATAGTCGTAAATGTTGCCCGACTGAACCAGACTGAACCAGACAAAGCTTCGTCGCGTACAAGCGGCAGTTCATACAGATGAGAGGCGGCTCTGGGGTTGATTGCCCTGCAGCTGCGTTTGTGTGCACTAGGCCGTGACGCGCATATTGCATGCGACCCTTCAATCTCCTTTGCGGATGAAGTAAGGCGACCTCGATGCTTGGGTTCGAGGGCACGTATAGGCGCGTACCGCACTGTTGCCATGCACTGAGACGAGGTTTGAGTTGTGCAGACGGGGTTGAGGCCTCGACTGCTCCTTCCTTCGTGACCAGATATGCGCCCTGTCAGCGATCATTGCGGTGGAGAAGTTGAGCACGGAGGCTCAAACTGCGCGTTTGTAGAAGCTATACGCGGACGTTGGTCGCGCTTGTCACGGTAATTCCTGGCAATGGTGGCATGACTGGTGGTGCTCGGGCGATGGCAAAGGGCCGACGTGAGAGGTGATGACGAGAGCTGATGCGTCCATCGATGGTAGTCTCTATTTTGGGCGCGTGCCTGGAAATGGCTGTTTGAGAAACGAGCTAGATGACGAAGCTACAGAAACGTGCAAGTATACACTGGAATGGGCACGTGTTGCCTAACGTAGGGCAACACAGCGGACTCAAACCTTTGGTGTACTGCATCGGGGGCCACGGTGGGTCCTGCGACAGCGACTGCGAGATGGCATGCAGGCGTGGGCACAGCAACGGTGTGTAGACTGCAGGTGGGCGTCGTGAGCGCAGGTGTCGAGCCCCAAAGCCACCAATCTGCTCGCGAGTCAAGCGATGCTCTATCAACAAGCCGGTTGATACTATGTATACTAAGAGGGGCGGCGCTCAATCGACGTGATCTTCGATGTGGAGGCCCTAGCGGCCCTGAGTGTTGCCCGCCCAGGCCTGGCGTGCCACTCCACGGGTCAGGGCCAGGTCGTTTCACATCTCGGGCCCAGTGCGGTGCGCGTTGGGATGCGCTGCGGCTGAGCTGGCACCGACGGTCAGCGCTGCATCTGCGCTCGCCAGGCTGTCTGCCAGCGAGAACGCAGCGGCAGAGAGGCAGAAATTGGCGGCGTGTCGCATGGGGCTGCCAACCGGGCCAGTGCCTCGCGCGCTGATTTATACTGAAATTGTGAAGGACCCTTGCACCCGCAGAGTCTGGCTTGGGCGCATTGACTGCCGCACATGGCGACCCATTGGCTGAGCTCCACTTCGCAGGAGAGCGGGACAGGTGGATGGGGACGACGTGCAGACTGTCAGGTCAAGCCCGTCTGCTGCTCTCACCGCGCTGCCGTCGCCACTGCCAGCTGCCCAGCACCAGACTTCACCGCCGCCCGCCCTCATTCCTCGCTGCGAGCCGCGCCAGGCCCGCGACAAGTGCGTTACACAGCCGCCGTGCAGCGCGACTGCTAGCCCGGGCGCTGCGTTGCTTGCGTAGCCATCCATCACCGCGACGACGAGCTGCTGCGCTCGCATTCAGGGTCCTCAGAGCCGTGTGCCGCCTCGCCCTCACGCCCCCCACCACCGCCGCCCGCCTGCCACGCCCGCAGGCCGCACTCGCAGTCTAGGGCGCAATGGAGTCGCCTGGAGGCTATCCAGAGTCTCCGCTCGACCAGGATGATGTCGTTTACCCGTGCAAGGGATGCGGCGAGGTGAGAACAAGACCTATCACTGCCTCGTCGCCGCAGGCTAACGGCCACGCAGATCCTCGAGGAAGGCAAGGCATTCGAGTTAGGTATGCACCTGCCCTAGGCCACCGCACCCGGCCGCGCGCCTGCCTCGCTACAGACACTGACGTGCGACAGCCGGGAACCGATGGCACATCGATTGCTTCCGCTGCAACACCTGCGGCACGCTGCTCGACTCGGACGCGAACCTGCTGCTGCTCGGCGATGGCTCGCTCATCTGCAACAACTGCACATACAGCTGCAACCACTGCGGCAACAAGATTGAGGACCTGGCCATCTTGACGGGCGACCAGGCCTTTTGCGCAAACTGCTTCCGATGCAGGAACTGCAAGCGCAAGATCGAGAACCTGCGATATGCCCGCACATCGCAAGGTATCTTTTGCATGTCCTGCCATGAGTCTCTGATGGCACGCCGTCGAAAGAAAACTAAAAAACCGCCCTCGTCCTCAGTGCAAGCAAAAGTAGACAAGTCGCTACCCGCCCTCCCCCCGAGCGCTGCGACCCAGTTCACGCCTGATATCGACACGCCCTCCGACATCTTTTCAGAGCCCACCACCACTGATGTGTCTCCCAGGCCGCCTCAACCTAGGCGGAATGACTCCTCACCTGCCAACTTTAGGCGTGACGCGTCCCCCGCGTCCCAGACCGACGCCCGTAGGGGTATGCGCTATTTCGTTGCCCCCAGTTCACACACCACCCATTCGCGTGCTGGGCCTCTCACTGACAAATCCCCCTTAGATACCACAACTCTGCCTGCGAGCACGTACAAAGAGAAAAATCATTCTGAAGCATCCGATACTGGCGATGACAACGGCACTCTTCTCCCTTTCGCATTGGACCCAAACCCCGCGCCAGGGCCGTCGCCCATCAACAATGCACACAGCAGAGGGGCCGAGGGCAAGTCTGCTCGTGACTACTTTAACCGCCCCGTGGGTGGCCACAGAGAAATGCTCAAGGAGAACAGATCTCGGTCGGCATCCGCAGAACGACAGCCTACAAGCCCCCATATTGCGTACCAGGAGAAGGGGAGGCAGCCCTCGGAGCAGCTTGTGGACACGCTTCGAAAGCGCAAGGACAACATCAGCGACCCACCCGCTGTTACTGCCGACCGAACTCGAAGCCAGCATGCGTCACCTGCTCCGTCGCAATCTTCAGAAGCTTTCAAGCTTCAAGAAGTGCCCAAGAACAAGAGGGCGGAAGCGCGCAAGAACTCCACCGCTCGCTCGCCATCGCGTGGCTCTCCAGCCACAGATCTAGCTGGAAGGCTCGCTAACCAACCCACCGAGGCGATTGGAAAGTCAACGGCTTCCGTGGATACCAGCCGTGACGATTTGTCCACGACCTCGAGCTCATCCTTCGGTTCGACCCAGCAAAGACCGCAGGTCGAGCGACCAGCACGTGGCGATTCACTTACCAATTCTTCCATGAAGACTTCTGCTCCAATATCGAGAAAGGACATCTCTGGGCCTTCTCCGACCACTCCTACTATGCCGCAGCCCGACCGAAAGCCATCTGCCACCTCATCGTACAGTCAACAGAACGGCATCTATGGAAACGACAAGGAGATATTGGACCCGCCAGGACTACCTCAGCGCGCGGCAGGGAGACGCCCCCCGCCTTCTACGGACACCTTTGTGTCTCCACGCGCACCCCCGCAGCCTCCACCGGCACCTCAAAATCACAAGACATCCGAATCTGTTAGTACCCTGCAGAGTGATGGTTCCACCACAGTTTACTCTACTGGTGGCTTGCCGAGATACAGTGCACAGGGTGATTTCTCCATGGACGAAGATTTTGCGCGTTTGCTTTCGAACCAGGAGGGGCATGAAAAGGAGGGTGGTATGTTGAGAAAAGTCTCCAACGCTATGAAAGGGCACGGCCGGAGTCACAGCGACCGCGGCTCAATAACCTCTCGTGGCCATGGGCATAAGAAATGGCCCACTAATGGCTCCATAGATATCAGCAGCCCGACAATTGCGTCGCCAAACTCCAATGAAGAGGCCGTCAATCTAAGGAACGAGCTTCGCCGTGCGCAACAAAGAATCGCTGAACTCGAGGCCGAGAAGAATGGCTTGCAGGAGACCGTGCACAGCGCTGCCGACATCAAACAGGCCAACACAATGCTGAGAGAAAAGCGAAACACAATGGCCGTTCTTGACACCCAGCGTGAGATGGTCATTCGCGAGCTCGAGATTATGACCGAGCACCTCAAGAAAGCCAAAGAGAACAGCGGATCCACCATGGATATAAACCAACTAAAGTCGGACGTTCTGCGAGACTTTGCAAATTCACTCCAGAAGTTGAAAGACCAGCTCGGCGGCCAAATTGAAGAGCTCATCTCGAAGCGCACGGCCCTCACGGATGAGATATCCAATCTGATTCAGATGAAAGACAAGGGGTTCCAAGAGTACGAGTCTTTGAGTGCGCAGAACAAGAAGCTTGCCGACATGAACCAAAACCTCATTGAGTCAATTCAATCAACACTCAAAACCAACAAGCAGCACATGGGTAATCAATCGATTGAGGCTGCACGGTCGCCGGCAAATGGTCTAGGTATTTATAATGCCAACCACAAGGGTGGAAAGTCTGATATATCTGTCGACGCCCGTGAGGTCATTCACGAGCATTCGTACTCCAATCTGCACGAGGCAGATTCCGAGGCCACCCTGGCGCAACCACAGGTCGTCAACATTCGCAAGACCGGCAAAGCCACCAAATTCTCCAACTGGAAGAAGGGTGGCCAGGCAATTACGAAGAATGTCACGAAAGGATTCAAAGGCGCGTTCGGTCCGACGGAGTCGAAGCCAGCCGATGAGATGAACATCAAAGTCATTGGCACCCCGTACGGGTCTACTCACACCCAACCAGACTTTGCATCAATGACAACAATGTCGAACTCGCTTAGGAGCCGGGAAGAGGCTCCGCCGCGAGGCTGGTTCGGCGGCAAGAACCCTACAAACGATCCAAAAGGTAAGATGAGGCCGATGCAACATGAGAACGGTAGCACGCAGCAGGTCGACGCTTCGGTCCTGTTCGGCTCAGATCTGATCGCCCGGTGCGAATACGAAAAGAGGATGCTTCCTGCAATTGTAAGCCGTTGCATTGAGGAGGTAGAGACACGAGGAATGGATGTTGAGGGTATATACCGCAAAAGCGGAGGTTCCTCCCAGGTCAACCAAGTGAAGGCCGGCTTCGAAGGTACCGACGAGTTGGACATCTCGGACCCCGACCTGGACATTCACGCCGTCACCTCAACCCTCAAGAATTATCTGCGCCGTCTACCGACCCCTCTCATCACCTACGCCCACTACGACCAATTTCTGGATGCGGGTGTGATTGAGAATCCAGACCAACGAGCCAGGGCCTTGCGAGCTGTCTTGAAGGAGATTCCACGACCACACTACGACACACTTCAGTTTCTAATCTTCCATTTGGCCCGCGTCATTCAACATTCCGACGATAATCTCGTAAGTGGCCCATCGTATGCCCCCGGTAGTATCACGCTAACACGCTCTAGATGACACCGCTCAACCTCGCTGTGGTTTTTGCCCCGACGATTATGCGTCCGACGGATATAAACCGAGAGTTGACCGACATGCAAGCACAACGAAACGCCGTCCAAACTCTCCTCGAAGATCACAAGAACGTGTTCTTTGATGAGGAATAGCGCGGCCGGTGATGGCTACCTCGACTTCTTTCAGACATCTGAACACCGTCAGCGCTCCAACTGCGCGTGCGCATTTTTGAAACCACTTGTAATGGCATGACGATCGATCTTGGGGTCAGGCTACGGTCAACGATCTTCTCCATCTCTGGTCCAGGTTGGCGACAGCTCGATTACGCCGTCTTCAGTTCTTTGTATATGCGCGGCACCTGCATGGGAGTAGGGGTGGCACAAATTGAGCCACGAGAGCGTCGGCGGTCATTGACTTAGCGGACGCACGATGCTATGAACAAACACCACCATTCTTGCATTCCCGACCATTACTCCGAGCTCGGCAGTCGTGTTTTGGAAAGCTAGTAGGGTTGATTCGACTTCTTTTTTGTGTATGATAGGGTTTCTTTTGACCCCTGTTGGATCTTGTTGGTACTAAGAGGGGGATGATTCACTTTGGCGTTGAGCGGGTGTTTGTAGCTTTTATTATACCCTTGAGGGTTTTGATGGCGATGATATAGCATGTTGGGAAGAATCTAAGAGATTGGCACTCAAGCTACTTTTTCATGCCTGGCATGGCTGTGATGTGCTTCGTGAGTTCTAGCGGCGGCCGAAGGCGGCCGACGTAATTGAGTTGCGCTTTCCATTTCGGTCAAGCTCCCGCTTAGAAATGCAGGTCCGAGCCTTGCCCAATGATGAACTTTTGACAACCGGACGACAGCGGACAAGATCTTCACGCCAGCGACCCCAGCTTCTCTTCTTCATCGTTTCCCTTCTTTCCTTTCCATTCAGCACAATGTTCCGACCTGCAACTCGATTAATTGCCTCTAATGCGGCGCGCGCCGTCCCTCGCGCCGCCGCGCCTGCGCGACGATTGATATCCACAGCGCCTCCCGCGCAGAAGTCAAGAAGTTGGAAGAGCTTGTTCGCGCGCGTCGGCGCTGCTGGCGCGATAATATACTACTACAACACTGCGGATGTCTGGGCTGAGGAACCGAGACGTGAGTGATGCGAAGAGGAGGAGTGGCAACACGATTAGCATGCTAACGAGCCCATAGCAGGTGTTGTAGCAGCTCTGCCTATCGCAGACGAAGAGACCGAGCAGCTTCCCACCATCGACGATGTAGCTGCGGCCCGCCTCAAACGCAAGGCGGAGCGGGAAGCCATCGAAGCTCAGTTGGCGGCGCAGCAGCAAGCACAGCATCAGAAGCAGGCTGCCACCGACGCGAATGAGACCATTGCCGCAGCGGGAAGCGTAGAGGAGTTGGAGGAGGAGGCCGGGCAGCAGGGTGCCTTCAACCCCGAGACCGGAGAGATCAACTGGGACTGCCCATGCCTGGGTGGCATGGCCGATGGGCCGTGTGGCGAAGAGTTCAAGGCGGCGTTCAGCTGCTTTGTGTACAGCACCGAGGAGCCCAAGGGCATGGACTGCATTGAGAAGTTCAAGTGAGAACCCCTCTATACCTAAACCGAGAGCATAGTGCTGATAGCGAATAGGGACATGCAAGGCTGCTTCCGCAAATACCCCGAGGTTTACGGCTCGGAGCTTGAGTCTGATGCCGACGATGACGAGGACGACCTTTCGGCAGAAGGAGCGCCTGCGACTGCTGTAGCGGATGCACAGTCCACTGGCGGACCTCTGAGCTCAACTTCATCAGCAAAAGATTCCGGCCTCGTACCCGACGAATACCGACCCAGCGGCGCGACAGACGGCGCGAACAAGGCGGCTGACCAAGTGAACCGGGACCACGAGCACACGAGCGAGAGCGAGCAGCTGGTACCGAAAGCAGCGCATGATGCGACCGGCGCCAACGTGGAGAAGAAGTGAGGTTCGCGAAAAGAAGACGGGATCTCAAGCTTCAAGAGGAGGGCATACAAAGGAATATAAAGATTATGCTGGGGAAAGATCCGACAGCTGTACTATAGAAGGCTCGAAGTAAGGCGTCGAGGTGCGAGGGTATTTTGGTTGCATTTGCATTTGCATTTCGGACGGCAACTACTCCTGCTCCGGCGAAAAGATGTATATTATGTGTAGGCAATTCAGGTGCGCTGTACTATGTACTCCATCCACGAGCTTCAACCAAACGCACAATTTGACCTTGCTAAGCCGCAACTAGTTACGAAGCATTGCGCAGTGGGTGTCTATACGCGGGTGCGATATGGAGGCGCCCTTCGCAGCGCCCTTATTTGTCTCGACTATTCTATGAATACGAGGTATACCACGCTAAGGCGAATCGCCTCCTTAACGCTGAACTCGCGGAAAAACGCCTCATTGTGCGCAAAGAGAATCACCAAAGAACCATAATTCTTCCGCAGTCTACTATGCAAACAATCTCCATCTCTTGCCAACCAAATCCGCGCTGCACACTTCGCCCATACGCGTCGCAGAATAGCTAACATAACCCCCGGCGCACCACCACATCCAACGGCTTTTTACCGCCCTTTATCCCCCAAAGCGACCGGAATTTCTGGGAACTCGGAAGCAGGACAAACGCAATGTCCCCGTACTGGCCAGACGTCTACATCCTCCCCTCCCACCCCTCCATCACGTGCATCGACCGCTTCTCCCTCATCGAAAGCCCCAATGACACCGGCGAGGATCCCCCCTTCTGGCAGCTCTTTATAACGCTGCTCGATACACCGGTCACGTCTATTCCCGCGCTTCTCGATGTTCTGGAAACCATTGCTATTGAACGCAGAGGCAAAGCGCCACAAGATTACAACACCCTCGCCTCCATCCTACGTGCGCGCGAGGCCGCCTTTCTCAACGTCTTGTGGCCAGCTATAGCCAACTCTGCACTAGCCATGCCCAACCTCTTCCCCTCGCACAGCCTCCCCATCCTGGGCGAACGCACCGCGAAGCTGGAGCTGAGTAGAAAGCAAGTCGCATGCCTCGTAGCGCACCAGTTTCTAGGGACGCTCGAGGAGGTCCCCTGGCAGACGGGATTCCACATCTTCGAGCTGTGGTTTGCGGGAGAACAGGTGCATGCCCGCGCGCCGGAGGTGTATATCGACAGCGTGCTGGGGTACTTTGGGGGCATTGCCGAGGGCGACGAGGACGAGGGGCAAGAGTGGAAAGTGAGCTACGAGGTTGTGGAGCGCAGTCCTTGTGCATCTGCTTCATTCTCGCCGTTTCCCGCGAGGCCAGGGTCCCAAGAAACGGATATGGGAGACATCAGCCTGCTGCACATGGACGGCGCGACGAACGCTCCAGAATACCTCGGGGCAGGGGGCAACGCGGTGGTCGTGTCGGCGAACAAGTTCATCGGCTTCGGGCGCTCCGCGACGCAGGAGGAGGTCCTGGTCGGCACGACGCCCGCCGCGTGTCCCGCGGTGCTGGTCACGCCGCCGCTTGCCGCCGCGCAGGTCCTCGTCGTGAGGGGCGCTGAGACCATCACTAGGACCGTCGGCATGGCCCGCGAGATGCGCGGGTGTGGGCCACACAAGGTCTACTCTGCAAAGGTGTGGAGGGAAAGAGCGATGTTGTTCATGGATGCGCTGGAGTTGGATTCCTTCGACGGGTCAATATATCCTGATGTTGAACGGGCGAACGTGGAGCGTGAGATGGAGAAAGCAACCACGGCCTTTTCTTCGGCGAAATACTCGAGAGTGTATACGGGGTTGTGGGGGTGTAGGACGTTTGGCGGTGATCCTGGGGTCAAAATAACGATCCTATGGCTTGCGGCGAGTGTGGCAGCGTCAGGGCTTACGGTCATGTATGAGGACGGAAGGGAGGGTTTTGCGGAAAGCATGGGGAGGTTCGTGGAACTGGTTAGGGAAAAGCGTTGGACGGTCCGGGATTTGTGGGATATACTGTTGAGGGCGGAAGGCAGGGGGATCAACAAGGGGGGGTTCTTGGAGTGGGCTTTGACGGGGGGTTCGGGGTGAGGCGGTTGTACAGAGATGAGTTTGAAAGAGATACCCAAGTGTGATAAACATATAGATTGATTGCGAGGCGACCTGTGACTCCAAGGAGTGGCCGGTGTCCTTTTCCTATGCATTCCTAAACGCCGTGTACTTCATGCCATCGTACTTCGTAACACCCATCCTGGCCGTGCCCACGCCCGACATTACGTCCGCCCTCACTTCGTCTCTTTGCCGGAATCGTAACCGGCCGCGCCGTCAACCTGCTCCATTAACCCCCCCTGCAGCATGTGCTTCATATCTTGCTCGTTCCAGCTCGGTGCCCGGCCCAGGTGACCAAGGCTGAGCCCCCTGTTGCGCGCTTTCTTCACGACTTCCGCCTGTCCGCTGCCGATGCCTTCGTACGAGGGCACGACGCCCTGGCCGGGCGGCGGGAAGGCGATGCCATTGACGGGAGACTGCACTCGAGCGGCGCCCGTGATACCTTCGGGAGCTGTGGTCTCATCCGGGAGGTTAGATCTGTAGCATTGGTGTTAGCAATTGATTCGATAAAGGCAGACTATCTTCTCGAGGTGTGAAGGATCTTGGAATATGAAATTGGAGGCACTCACGACGCCGAACTCTGGCCACGAACCTCTCTTATCGCCCGCTCATAATTCATGCTGCTGGCCCTCACCGGACCACCGGGCCGCCTGTATGCCCTCTGCGCCTCAGACAGGCCGTCGTCTGCGGGAGCTGCGGAATCCGTCTGCGTCATGGCGTTGAGATTGAATGCGGATTCTGCTTCTGAGCGTGTGTTTGGCGTGAGACCAGAAGGTGTAGGAGAGCCGAAGGAAGCCTGGCTGGGAGGCATGAGGACGCGTTGGGTAGAATCGCCCATTTTGGTGGTGAGATGGGGTGATATTTGCGGAGTCGGGAGTGGCGCGATTGATTGGTGGGCACGAATGCAGTCCAAGGGTCCCGACTATTCACGAGCGCTAATACCACAACTGAGTTTGATCAATCGTTTTTTGAGACAAAGATGTCTGTGGTTTTCCTATTGCGGCAGTGTTAGTAGTTACACGTCGGCAGGTGAGGTAGGGTGCAAGCAACACCCGAGCCATGCAAGCATCCGCAAGCGCACTTACAACAAAGGGAAACGAGTTCGGGGGTCAAATTGTTTCTAACTTCTGTACATGTGGTCGTGATAGCTGCTGTAGACTATTTGAAGGCTATCTTCAAGAGGTATGATGGCATTGCTTGGCGGTGACGTACGGTCCGATTAGAGGTCCATCAACTTGCGGGGGCTGCCTAACTGTGTAAGGTAATAGGCTAACCGTGCGGGGCAGTAGCGGTGATGATTGTATTGGATTGTCGTCGATTGTAGCGAATCTTAGATGAGGTTCGCCGCGGGGGCGCACACATCGGGGTCCTTCCGAGGGCTGGATCTTCGAGAGGGTCTTGACGAAAGTCATGCAGGGGCGATCACATGCGACTACTGAGGCAGGCAGGAGGGAGGTCTCCAAGGTGCCTGATGTAACTCTCATGCCAGGGAGAAACTTTTGACTTTGTGGGAACACGAGTTGGGCCCATTGTGAAGAGGGTCGCGGCAGAAAGCGTCAACACATCCAGTGGTATACTCGTTGCATTCCTCCTCGTCCCAACCGTCGCCATCGTCACGGGCTTGAGGAGCATTGGAAGAACCAGCATCTTTCAGGCAACCAGAAGCTGAACCGCAAGCAGCACCTCCACGACACTCAGCAGGCCCTCGACCGGCGCAAAGTGCGGCCAAACACTTCCATCGGCACTCAGGGCGATTTGGATGGGGGCACTTGCTCTTGCAATCGTTCATCCAGCTGTCACACTGGTCGCAGCCGGCAGTCGTCTCAGTCTTTTTCTCGTTTGCCTCGTTCGTATGTTGATCGTCTTGGCGAACGAGAAGAGTGACGGAAGAGCCAGAAGAAGTGTGCCCGTTGGCTCGAGAACCGCAGTATTTCGGCCCAAGAGCTCCCCCTTTGTGACACTCGGAGGGCCCGTCTTTGCAAAGCTTGGCCGCGCAGTCCCATTCGCACTCCGGAGCCCAGGGACGTGCGCACTGGGTCTTCTTGTACTTCTGCTTCCAGTCGCTGCATGAGTCTCCCGCAGCCTCGGCCAGTTCCGGAATGTTCTCGTGATCCTCGTCTCGGCTAGTGAATCCTTTTTTGTAGTACGCGAGGATATGGGAGTAGTGCGAGACGGCTCCGGGGTTGCGCGCGGCTAAGTCTGAGGTGCCTTGTGAGTTGACATCCAAATTGGAAGCACAGCTTCGTCAAGGCATGTATGCTATTATAGGTACACCATGATACCACAGCTTGAATAAATGGCTGTGTTCCCAAGAGCTGGGATTTGTACCCCAAGTGGGCCTGTACCTAAGTACCGGTACGACTTCGCAGGGCACGTGGCGAGCGCATCGAACATTTGAGTGTACGGCGTAACCGCTACACCTGAAAAGCCGGGAAGGAGCGACGATGGGGAGTAACTTACCGTTCACCGCCTGACGGGCGACGGAGGCACGACGAGCAGGGGACTCGTCTCCAGAACCGGGGGAAGTGGCAACCGTGAACGCGGTCACAGCGAAAGCTGTGACAAGCTGGAAGAGCTTCATGCTAATCAGGCGCCGAAAGTTCCAAGGAAAGATGATTCGAGGGTGTCTCGAGGTTTTATAAGATATCGAGGCAAGAATCAGTGGAAGAGCGGGTTTTTAATGTGTGGTTGGGCGCCCGTTCGTCAACCAGACCCTCTTGGCGTTGCCTGAGTGAATGCAGCAGGCGCGCTCCACCGATGAGCTGGTTTCCCAAGCGAGATCAAAAGCCATTGAAATACCTATAAGCAAACGGCAAGAGATTAGATGTTCCTCGTCGAAAGGGTTGAAGACATTGCGTTCCCTGGAAGGGCGAAATACTCTAGTCGTCCAGCAGCCATGTCTCTGCTATCGTACACGACAATGCTGTATGCATGTGTTTGTCCATCGCGTTTTCCGCAACCTCCTGTTGTAGAACTCACGCATTCCTGCATGAATCTTATTCTGAAATTGTCCTACGTGTTCACCGTTCATCTTCACCATCATCTTCCTCGAGTGGGAGGGAGCGGCTTTCGTCGGAGCAAACGTGTTGTGCTTCTTAAATTGCGCTCCACTCGCTGTTTGCCCTTCTCCTTCTCCTCACCACTCTCTAACTCCAGCTCTCGCTTTTCCCTGCTCCGTTCTCTACTGCGGCCTGCCAATCGCTGTTGCAAATTATCAAGATGAAGCTGCTCAATCTCCTCTCATCCGCCGCTCTTGCAGCTGTGGGGTTCGCTGCTGCAATATTGCCCAAAGGTGCGCAGCTCTTGCCGTTGAACTGACAGTACTGCCGCTTACTACCATCAGATGTCTCCGGCTTGTTTGACCGCGGTGAGACGAGTGTCCGACTTTGTCCTGCCAAGTGCAACATTATCGTCTCCGACTGCATCAACAAGGTCTGTTGCGAGCCGGGAAAGCACACCACAGTGCGCTGACCTTTGCAGGACCTTCTCGGATTGGACACCTGCCAGCAGATCAAGTGCCAAGACCGCGATGTATGCCATTCCCACAGGTCTAATTCTTTACTTTTTTAGGTCTGACTTCCGCAGTGTGCTGCTTGCGACGCGAAATGCAAGAAGGCTTCACCTTCCAGCATCGTGATGGCTTCCGAGGCTGAGCGTCGCGACACCGTCACAAAAGAACAAGAGGCCGCACCTGATAACACCTCAAAGGAAGACATCGAGCTTGCCGACAGCACGAAACTCTTCATGTCACCGTACTGCCCCAAGTACTTAGTTGGAAATCGCCAGGCCTGCAAGGAGGTTCGTACCTGTTCATCTTCGCAAGCTTTACCCACTGACATTCCAGCAGAAAGGCAAGAGTGAGGCCGAATGTAATCGACAAGGTTGTAATGGCATGGTAAACTGCTGAAACCATCCAACTTGTTTTGCAAAATTATTCTGACTGTGTGGTTAGTGTTTGAAGACGTGCCAGTGGTGCGAGTCTTTCAGGGCACCACGCCCACCAACCTTCATCGAGACGTAATCTGCGACTTCCTGCGACTCTCGCGATGCTTTCATAATGCGCCACAGTCGGCAATATTGAAGGGCTGCGGTGGTATTCCAATATGTTTGCAAGCTGTCACTCGTAAGCGAGTATTTGAACCAAAGTGGGTTATCTACTTGTGGCAATTACTAGCTGATGATCTGGGGAGGTCAGCATATGTGAAGGAGATAAAATTTCAAAGTGAAATGAAACATATGCATACTTTTCAAGTGGACCTTGATGAATGAGGATAAAACGATGAAAAATCACAAGCATGTAAATAGATCCAAGTGACTGACGATAGAGCGGGTATAACGAGGTTGATACTGCCTGAATCCAATACAGACGTGTGGACCGAAGACGAAAGCGTTCAAGCAAAACTTTTGCGTATCTTATACAATCATGATACAACTTGTCGTGCAATACCCACGACGCCTCTAAAGAGCTCGCTCAGCGGCGCAAAAGCCGAAAGCCTACCGACGCCGGCAGATCGACCAAGCCACAGCGCGTACACGCCTACAATAACAGCCAGTCCGAAGACGCCTTGCCTGCGGTACACCCAAAGCCTACGCTTAAGCATCTGTGCACTCCTCTTGGCCTTAGCCCGACTCTGCTGCCGGCGGACCTCCTTCTCCTGCTGCTGCATCCACTTCTCGCCGTCTTCCAGCTCGAGGCGACTCAGCGTTGCAGGCGTCGTTGACGTCTTCAGCACACTCGACGAGGATATGTTCCACCACTCCCAGCTGCCTAGCTTCCCTGGGGGCAACCGCTCGTACAGCTCAACGGCGCGGGCGATGTGGAACTCGACATCAAATGGCTGCGGTAGCTTGCCCAACATCGCGTGCATGATGTCCTCGTCTTCCTTGTCGATAACCAGCATCTCCTCTCGCCTCGAGAGCACTACCCCGGCGAAGAAGTATATCGGCATGACGGTGTGCCGTGCAAGGAAGAAGTCGAACACCCTTGCGATATCCCTGTACTCCTGTATGTGGTGCGCAAACATAGTCAGGGTGTCGGCCAGTGCGAACGACGGCTGGCTAGTGGGCAGATGCGCGTATAGCTCGGGGTCGGCAGTTTCGAGGATCGGCTTCAGCAGTGAGAGGTGCGCGATGGCGGGATCGAGGGTGGACAGCATGAAGTCGCGGATGCGCAGCAGGCTGAGGCGTGCGACGGCTGCGGGCGCATCGTGGGGACCGAGCACGAGGAGGAAGACCTGGACGATGTCGTGGTAGCCTTGGAAGTAATTTAGGGTGGGGTGGCGGCGGAGGATTTCGACGATGATGTCGGAGAGCTCTTCCTTGAGGCGGTCGAGGTGCTTTTCGGATTCTGGGGGAGATTAGTATACAATCTTGCTTGACGATGTTCGCGATGGTAGATGGGCAAGCTGGGGTTGGTCGCGCGAGCTGTGTACCACCTTTCGTAGCACATGTGCGAACCATTCTCTACAGTACTGGGACAAAGACTCGAATAAGGAATTGCGCCTCTCGGGGTAACTGAGTATAGTCAAGCTTTTGACCAGGCACTGTAGAGTCTGATGATCGAAGTTCGCGTAGGCATCCGACCAGTACGAGGTTGGAACTGAACCACACCTCCAGGAGTCTGGGTATTCATACCATTTTTGGGGTAGTAGACGAACGCTCGGTGGACATCCAAAGCCACCTGACCTTCATCCGGGTGTGTAGGAAGCTCCTTCCACGGAGCCTGCTCGTGTTTGGCAGGAATGCTACCGAGCAGTATGGGCCCTGTCAGCTGTTAGAGACTGTCACAGCGAGGTAGCACAGAGACGCACATGCTACACGGCGCAGGTCATCGCTGACCAGGCCGTGGATGCTGGTCGCGAGATGCACCAGTGCATCCAGGTTGCGCTCGTTGCACGCGTTGTTGATCTGCACCGCCTTTTCCTTGTCGGCAGGGGAGAGGACGGGAGTGGCGGTGCTGCGGCGGCGGGTCGAGAGGCTGGTGGAGCTCACTGAGCGGGAGGGGGTGCGGGATGAGCGTCGTGATGAGGCCATATTGAGAGCAGCGCCGGCATCGCGAGTCGGCGCGCGACAGATGGAGGAGGTCGGGGCAGCACTGGAGTTGCAGCGGGCGGGGCTTTCCGGTCAGCGGCGGGGCTGCCGGCGCATTGCATGTGTTTGCTGTCGTGGCATGGCCGTGGGCGATGAGATTGTGTTTCGAAACGCTCCCAGGTCGCCCATGTTGTGGTGCCTGTGATGAATGACCCAGTCTTGGCAGGCGCGCGACGTCCTCCTGCGCACGCGTTTTAACATTCACGCCTCTCCGGCCCCCAAGCGACCAGGAGCGGCAGCGGCTTGCCATTCCGGCGACTCAACAACTGACGGATCTTCTCCGTTCGGAAGGTGATGACCCGCTCTTGCAACCATTACTCCGTTACGAACTAGCCAACGCTGCCGACTACCAGGTACATCTCCTTCCGTCACCTCATACTGGTGCAGACGACGACCGACCAATACTGGCGGTCCGCATCAATTGGCGTGCATCTTGTGCGATCGAGATATACCCTGTCTATCGCCCTGCACTATATCGATCGTACAGCAGTCTTGCATACTCGGTGTGCCAAGACCCACTGCTGGCTCGTCTGAGCATCCCACTTCTGTGACTCTGGGGTCTTAGCATTCCTGCATCGCAACATTCATCCAATTCGCGCCTCTGCCGCCCGGGATTTGAAATCGCCGCACAATTGTCGTACCATTTTCTCATGCTCTAGGCTGCCGTACATGTGCTGTCCTCCGTGTTGATACCGTCAGTCTGTGTCGGATTGCCTGGTCGCCTGAAGAGGCCTGCATTAGACTCCAGGAAGACCCAACATGACAGCTGCCTTATGTGTCAACTCTGTGTGCACTCAACTACAGCTCTCACACCTCGACTGAGTTCAGCTTTGCGCTGCCCTACATATCCAGGCGGGGCACCTTCGGTCTCGTGCCCTAGGTGACGCACTATCTCTTGGTCACTCATCTTTCGCTTCTCTCTTGGCCCTCAATCATGGATTTTCAAGTACAAGGCTCCGTCCTTGTTGATGGAGAGTGGGTTTCGAGGTCAGCTGATGTCTTTCGGATCATGTCACAGACGGAGCAGGAGGAAGACGTTGAAATGGGAGACGTCGAAGACGTACCCCATGCGCCCCCAGAGATCGGCATACTCACCAAGACAGTCGTTGGAAGTCCACTTTACAGTGCGATCATACCAGCCAACATTCGACACAAAGATCTCGATGATGTGGTTTTTGTTGGCGAAGACTTTGTCCAGCTCAAGGAAATCTGCGATTATGGGCATCTTCGACACATCGCCACCAAATCTGACTTCAAAGGCAAAATTCTGGCGGCTAAGGCATTTGGCGATCCCCGGAAAGTACAAATCAACACTTCCGAGCAAAGTCCACTCCTGAAGAGAGCCTCTCTCCACCGTGGACGAAGATCTACAACAGGGGAAGAACCGAATACTCTGCCACTCGAGGTCATCGTCCTGACGCTCAGCACGAGGACACTCATGTTCTTATGGGCAAAAGCTAATCATATAGGCCCAACGACCTTTGCCCAAAAAATGATTCAACTACCGACAGCGACGTCACGGTTCAACCGACCGGGTCAATTCCTAGCGATAGATCCACGATGCCGCGCTATAGCCGTCGCCGCTTACGAAGGCTGCTTCATGCTGTACAAGACGAAGACGATGGATGTATGGCGACGTGATGTGCAAGCAGGACGTGAGGAGGCTCCTATAATCGAAGAGGAACAGTACCCGATCAAGGGCCGGATCATGCATATGGACTTTCTTTCACCAGGAGACGATGCTCATGTAGTTTTGATCTTCGTTCTGGTCGACGGAGGCAAGATCAAGGTAGCAACGTACGACTGGGATTTTAGAAACAGTCTCGATACCGTGCCTAGGACAACTAGGTCCGCACTGTATTTTGGTGAGTACTTGAGCTCCTTCGTGGCACCCTTCGTCTTTACACGTATTAACATCTGCAGATGACGGCAATCCATCTCTCCTCATTCCACTCAGCCGTAGCACCGACTTCCTACTGGTCCAAAACAAGTACATCTCCGTGTGCAAAGGAGTGTTGGCCGGGCCTCCGGATATTTCCCGCCATCAAATCCAGCCTCGTTTCCTAGAGCCTCTTCGACCTGGCAGCAACACATGCCAACCGCTGTGGGTTCAATGGGATCGAGCACCTCGAAATCCTGACTTCGCGAAAGAAGCCTTCTACTTGGCACGAGAAGATGGTGTCGTCATCTACGTAGAGCTTGGCGATATTGCAGGCTCGCTCGATATCTCCTACGCCGGGAGTTGGGCATATCCAATCGACACCGCCTTTGCATGCCTCAAAGCCGATAGCTCGGAGTTTGCGCAGTCGTATCCTGATGTACTTGTTGCCGGAGGGCACGGAAGTGATGGGCACATATGCAAAGTAGGCGCATGGCCAAAAGAATATGCGGATAAGGTACCGTACTCGCAGGCATACGCTTTCGGATTGGTGGAATCTTTACCAAATTGGGCACCACTCACCGACTTTGCTGTAACCCGCCTTAGTAACTTGCCACTTCCGCATGATCGGAAACGGGCAAATATCTTTGTTTCCAACGGCAAAGCTCCCCATGGAGAGGTATCGCAGCTTCGAAGAGGGCTACGGTCTCTTGTCGACGATTCTTTCGAAGGGTTGAAGGGAACCACAGGGTTGTGGATCGTTGATCACGGCAGCACCACCTTGGAGCAAGATGGCCACCCGATGAGACAAGACTACGCGATACTTGTTGTCAACGCTCCTCCAGAGACCCTAGTTTTACGCGCTTCTCGTACGCAAGAGGAAGGGTCGTATAGACAAGGTGGTTCGGGAAGCGCTTGGGATGGTGCGGTGTGGGAGACCGATCAACCAACTCAGGACGGTCTGATACGCGACGCAGAAACTATCTCCGCTTGTTCAATGACTGATAGCTTGTCTGTTCAGATCACTTATCAGGAAGCTGTGCTTCTCCGGCGCCCACAATTGAATCGCGTTAGCTCAATCGCTTTTCCTAATGCGCTATTACAGGCGGCTTCGAAACCAGGCATTCCTTTCGTCGTAGTCACTTTTCATGATGGATCAAACTCTATCCTTCAAGTCATACCAGCGTTGGAGGGGAAAGCCTTCGAGGTCCCCAATGACAAGGGGAGCCGGTGGACTCTCCCCGATGATCCTACCTGCATCGATATACTGGTCTCCGGCGATGGTCCTCTCATCTTCGTAGGGATCAGAGGCGTCGGATTTGCCCTGTTCGCGGTTAGCGAGGAGGGTCTGCTCGCGCAGATTTGCCGCACCGACGTACCTTCAGCTGGACCTTTAGGCCTGCAACAGGTGTATGAGAGTGCTGTGCTCATAACCACACGTGGGCACGAGAAGCTCGTGTGCGGTACGAGGACTGGCTTGTTGATCTGCGTAGACCTGACAGGCACTAGGGCGTCCGCCTCCGATTGTGAGTACGCTACATGTGTCATGGAACTCGCTAATCTCTTGCAGCACCTCCGCCCTCAGTTACGAGGATGGGGGATACAGCCGTGTATGTCACCCCAAATAAACTCGACAGCTCGACTGCATTTGTAGCTTGTGGTGCCGACTTTTGTCGGATCCACATGTCTGATCGTGATCTTGGCGCGGGCATCGACTCTATATGGCTCGACGATCCTCAGAACCCAGCCTATCTTCAAGGAGCTCTTAGTGCCATGGATCAAGTTCCCTTGACGTCAGCTTTTGGCAAAGAGTTGGGTGGCTTTATCTTTGCTGTGTTTGGAGACCGCATGGTCTACGCTCGATTAGACTATGACATCCAGTGGTCAGGCCAGGCTGCCGCCCCTTTGGCACTAGAAGATGGGAAGATCCTCCCACGGAAATTGCCCACCACACAAACCCCAATCAAGCTTTTGGTGCCAGACGACTTGCCACATCACATGATTGTGGTCACCAACGAGTTCGAAGTGGGCCAAGACAGAGAACAAAGTGGTCAATACAGGAGAGTCATGCTGTCCAGCATCAAAGTTATAGACCTACTCGCCGATAAAACGACCCCTGAAGTCGAGATCAAAGGTGAATTTGTGCCTGGCACGCCGAAGAGCAAAGTTGCGAGGTCCGAAATACCCTTGAAGCATTACGAACGTGTGCATTCAATGGTCAGATGGGTGTTTTCGGCCGATGAGAATCGCCAGCATGCGCTGCTCTTGGTCGGCACTGAACTGAATCCACCTGAGGGAGACTCAAAAGGACGCAGACTCGTTTTGAACATTACCAAATCCGGCCTTAAACTACAAGATAAGAAGCGGTTCGATGAGGCTGTACGCTGCATAGCTGGTTACGACAGCCAGCACATCATCAGCATCGTTGGGTCTACGCTGCAAATCGAGCAGATAGAACGTACCGAGGCAGCCAGGTAAGAACATATGTAATTTCAACGATCTGGAACTGACCTGTCCAGATGGAAACGACGAGCACACATAGACCTACCTTCCCCTGGGGTCCACATGACAGTTAGCAACAATCTAGTTTACGTCTCGACCAGTCACGACTCTCACCTCTGCTTCGGGATCAAAAAGGTATATTCGCCACAGGGCGAAACCTTTGAGATCACCCCGCTCTTCAGCGACTCGCGGCAGCGCAATTCTCTGCGCCATCTTGTATACAAAGTGGCTAACACATCGAACTGCACAATATCGAGTGTACATAAAGAGGCCACAATCGCTCTGGTCACGGACAAGAGTGCCTCTGTCAGTGGTCTACTTCAACCTCTCCATACTTCGAAGAAAAGCGCCACCACGACTTTGTTTGAGGCGTGCCTTCCGCGCTCGGTCATTCGTATCCAACGTGGTAACATTCGCCCGCCGTGGCGCCGCCACTACAATCGTAAATTTCCTGATGAAGCCGCTCCTTATGGCGTCCTCAATGACGATATAATCGGCGCCTGTACAGACGGCACCATCATAAGTTTCACAACCATCAACTATGGTGCACTGAACTTCCTCCGCCTGCTGCAAAATCTCATTGAGGTGAAACAAAGGAAAGACCCTGGACTGCAGTTCAGCACTGTTCAAAAGAGGAGCGGACACGTATATAACCTTTTGCAAAGCGGAGCGGAGGGTGCACAGGAAATTAACATCTTAGCGAGAGAGGTGGACCCGGAATTTCAACGCAGAGGTCCAGGAGCGCCGAGATTCAGGCACGTAGATGGAGACCTTCTGACCAGATTCTTCGAGCAGGGTGGTAGTGTGAGGGACTTGGTTGAGTCAGGGTGTGACGAGGACGTTTGGATGTTGTTCCTGTCTATGGACCCGGGGAGGTTTACAGAGCTTGAAGGCAGAAGTAAGGAGGTGGCTACGCAGGCGGTGGAGGAGTGGGTCAAGAGTATCCTCCTGCCACTGTTATGAGGTGGACGTGTGGTGAGGCTATCTCGTTGACTTTTCTTTCTTCGGAAACAGCCTTAGATGGAGCCTGGAGTTTTTGTATGTTAGCATGTGTCAGACGATGGTGGGGCCCGAGGTCATGATGATGAGCTATGGCGACATGATACACTTGGGAGGGTTCTTGCAGCTGAGCTTCGGTGGTGTAGAAGTTATTTGCGTATTCTCTACACCAGGAAGTTCCCGCCCAAATGAGGCTAGCGTGATGTTGCAACATCAGCCATCCAGCTCTAGGAACCTGTCACGTCTTCTCCCCATCAACAAAAACCTCTTTCCTCCAACGTTCAGCTAACATCATCATGGGGGGCTTTCTGGGCTTCGTCTATCGCCAGTGGACGGTCAAACCGAAACCTCTGCCACCGGCACTCTCTCTTTCAGGCAAAACAGCCCTAATCACAGGCGCCAATAGCGGCTTGGGTCTTGAAGCAGCCCGCGAGCTCGTGTCGCGCAGATTATCACGTCTCATAATCGCCGTCAGAGACCCCTCCAAAGGTGAGACAGCGAAGAAAGAGCTTCTCTCATTGGAAACTTCACCAACCTGTGAAATCGAAGTCTGGCCTCTCGACCACGACTCCTACGAAAGTATAGCGGGGTTCGGCAAGCGAACAGAGAAGCTCGAAAGACTCGATTACGCGCTTCTAAACGCCGGCGTGAAGATGATGTCGTACGAGAAGTCGGCGCTGGGCCATGAGACCAACGTGCAGATCAACCACCTCGGAACGTCCGCTGTTTCTCTCGCCGTCCTTCCCGCGTTGAATAAGACGAGTAAGAAGTTCAACACATCTACGAGACTTACGATAGTCTCCTCAGAAGGCCACTTCTGGATCCCCTTCAAAGAGCGCACCGCATCTAACATCCTCATGCACATGGACGACCCCAAGACATTCGGCACGCAGCAGCAGCGCTACTATACCTCCAAGCTCCTCAACGTGCTTTGGACGCGCGAACTAGCTTCCAAAATCTCGCCGGAGGAAGTCGTGGTTAATACGGTGAACCCGGGGTTCTGCTATAGTGGGCTGCATAGGCATAGCGCGAGCTTTATCAACGTGTTCTTGTGGCTTTTTGCATGGACGCCGGAGCAAGGGGGAAGTTGCTTGACGGATGCGCTGGTACGGCAGGGAGGAAGTCACGGGGCGTACGTTAGTGAACAGCGGTTGACAGCGTGAGCTTTACCGATTCGAAGGTGTAGAAGAGGACTAACGCCAAGCATAGACCATCACCCTTCGTTCTCTCGCCTGAAGGCGCCACCGTGCAGAAGAAGATCTGGAGCGAGACGATTGCGCTATTGAAGCAGGAGGCACCCGCAATCGACATGTCTATGGTGGCGTAGTTTCCCAACTACGCTCACGCCTTCAACGACGGAGCTTCCTCCAACGCAGACGCCCAGGACAACCTGATCCACATCGAAAATTATTCGCCGCTTTCCCGCTCAGCACCTTCCCATCTCCTAGCCGCCCTGGCTCTCACTTTATCACTGCCATCAGCCCTCCCACCGATCAATGTCGTCAGTCTTGCACTCTCCCGAACCAAGCCCCTGTGCCTGAGCCTTCACCCTCGCAACTTGCACCGCCACATCTACCGCCTCTAACGCCTCTTGCAGCTCCCACGCTACACGCTCAAGCTGTGCTGTATTCCTCTGGAGCGCGATATCGGCATTTGAGCCCACCGCACCGTGGGCTATGCGGCGTAGAAAGGCATAGTGTGCTTCGTAGGAGGATAAGACGGTGTGTATTTGAGCGTGAAGGACAGAGAGACGGGACTCTGCGGCGGTGAGGGCAGAGGAGATGGTGAGGGCTTTGCGGTGGAGGGTGGATGCGGTGCGTGGGGAGGAGTGTGTTAGTAGGCGGCCATGGGTTGTGGATATGTGAGTAGTTGGCGTGGGTCTTAAGAATGGAGAGAGAAGGGAGTAAATTGTTGGAATTGCTATTTGGTATGAGGTAGAACTGGGGTGGAGAACATCTAACTTGGAAGTGTACCCCAGGGGAAATGTGTCACGTCATTATGTGGAGAGCGAAGTCAAGGCGACGCCTCATGGGCGAGCCTTCACACGCCGCGATTCTTCCCCTTCGCCCTTCATTTGTAGTGCTGGTGTCACACCAACGCACTTTGTCAACATGTCTTCCACACGCTCTAGTCAGCCATGATGCTACGGAGCTTGCTCACCCATGCCCAGCCACCCAGTCTCCAGCTACGCACACCTCCCCACCCATGCCCCGCGGCCGGCGCGGCCAACTGCACGCCGGAACCATCGGCCTCTTCGACGACTCAGACGAGCTCGAAGTCACTTCACTTAAGAACAACGGACGTGCCGCTCTTCTAGTAGTTCAAAACGCTAAGAAAGCCGCAAGACCCGAGGACGCAAAGCTCACCCGCTACTGTAAACTCGGCTTCCGGCACCGCATCATCCACTTCTTCGCTTCCGCGCAAAAAGGCCTGGGGAGACAACCCAGCGCGTGCATGAGGGGGAACGCCATGATGCACATACCGACGGAGATGCAGACGTGGATATAGCAGTTGGATGCAGAAAGGTAAATGAGGGGGTTGAGAATGTACGGCGCTAGCGAGGTAGATTGGGAGCTGGACTCGCCGTTCTACGAGGAACTGGGGCTCGTGAGGACCGAGCCGCGGGAGGGGCGGGATGCGCAGATTGTGTGCAGGATTCAGGTACGGAGGGAGGGGCCATTGTGTGGCTATGCGATGTAGGAGGCGGGGAGAGGGAGAGGGAGAGGGGGCAAGGAAATGTTTGACCAGGTGGAATTTTCTGCATGCGCGGTTTCTTACAAGGAGAGGACACGGCGTGGACTGACGTAGGCAAATAATATCCCAGCTCAGCTCATATTGACAGCAGATGATGGATCACATCACTATATGGCATGTGGCCAGGCAGTAGATCATATAAACGGCATTGATGATATATGTACAACGACCTCTCAGTGGAGAGCGTTGATGCTGCACCCGTGCTGTCATCTGTGTATACAAAACGCACACCCGGATGAACAAAACCAGCCACAACTCCCACCCATTCTAAGATTACCACTTCCACACGGCATAAGCATATGCTCCCCTCACGGCCTCCACCGGAAACTGGGATGCTTCCAGTCAAGGTCTTGCTGCTGCTGCTGCGTCAAGCCAGCCAATTCCTCATCCACACCCACACTCTTCTCCTGCCTCTTCTTGTTATCCCACTTCATCCAGAACAGCAAGCTGATGCTCAGCAGCAAGATACAACTACTCGTCGCGAGGTTCAGCCCATTCCCAATATGATAGTTCGGCTTGTCGAACGGCAAAAAGCTCCACGTGCTAATCAGGCCCCCAACGTTGCCCAGCATGACGTTCGTGCCGATAGCACTAGCCCGCGCAGTATCGGACACGACGTTCGCGGAGACCTGCGCGTTGCAGAGTGCTCCGAAGGCGAAGGCGCCGCTCGCGATGAGGAAGGTCGCGCCGTAGCGCGTCTGCGCGTCGGTTGAGGCTAGGAACATGATGTAGCCGATCATAATGAGGGGCGCGGAGAAGATGAAGAAGACGAGGCGGCGGTCGAAGCGCCACGAGAGGAAGGGGAAGAGCAGGGTGAAGAAGCCGCCAACGACGTAGGGCGGGACGGTGTGCAGTTGCTGGGAGATGACGGTATCCTTTGGATAAATCGTTTGGACGATAGTGGGGGCGAAGAAGGCGAGACCTTGGACGGTGATGTTGTCTGTTGTGCGTGGTTAGCAGGTGGGCGATATGTGGAATTGGGATGTGGGGGGCTTACTGAGGAGGAAGATGAACGATGTGGTCAGCGTGACGGGACTCAAGATGCCGCGCAGCGTCTTCGTCTTGTCGATGCGATCCAGCACCTCGGTCGTCCCCACACGCTCCGACTTGACCCGCGCATGCGCAAGATCCTTCTCCTCCTGCGTCAACCACCTTGCCGTCTCCGGGCGGTCCGTGAGCGTGAAAAACGCAATCAGCGAAAGCCCGCACGTGATGATGCCCTCAATCGCAAAGATCATGCGCCACTTGTGGAGACTCCCGAAGCTGTCGAGCTTCAAGATGGCGCTCGCGAGCAGCCCTCCGAAAGCGCCGGCCAGAGGCGCCATGACGATGTACAGACTCAGTCGGAAGGCGAGCTCACTTCGGCGATACCAGCGCGACATGTAGTATGCGATGCCGGGCAACATGCCGGCTTCGAACACGCCGAGCAGGAAGCGCACGCCGCAGATCGCTGCCTTCGAGTGCACGAACGCAGTGCCGAGCGAGCAGATGCCGAAGCCCAGGGAAATGGTCGGGATGAACCATCCAGGGCCCAGCCACTTGCAGGCCATGTTACTCGGGATTTCGAAGATGATGTAGCTGATGTAGAAAACAGAGAGCACCATGTTGTAATCGTAGCCAGTCATTCCGAGGTCCTTCTCGAGGCCGGCAATTTTGGCATTTCCCTAACAAGGTCAGTGTGAGCAAGGTGGGTGAGTGGTACCCCGTAGATGTCCCAGCCAGGCGAGAAAGAAGTCTTCCATCAACCAAAGAAACACATCTACTTCGTACGCAGTCCATCACTCACAATATTGGCCCTGTCAATGAAGCAGAAGAGGTACAACAAAGCTACGGTAGGCACGATGTAAAGATCGATCTTCCATCTCAGACGCGACTCAGCCTTAGGATCAAACTGAACGAGGGAGTGGCCGTAGCTAGCAAACACCTGTCAGCGAGTGTCTCCAACTCAGAGAAAGCAGACTCACATGTCAGTCGCGACCTGGCCCCGCTCCGCAATCTGCTTCGCATCTCCACCCTTGAGATCATCGAGATGGCTCGCACCTGTCTTCTCGTCCAGAGCCGCAGAAGTCATGATGTGCTTGTTGATTCGTGAAGAAGCAACGCGCTGCCCTCGCACCGATCAGCAGCGCCCTTCCCTTTATATGACCCACGCCCACGGATAACCCACTGGCCCCAGCCCACAGCCAAGCACGCCCTTACCAACAATGGGTTCCTACGGCGGCCTTGGCAGCCAACCAAAACCTGGGGATGCGCCCACTAACCCCAGATTTGGCGGCGCGCATTGGCAGCTGCACCGCGGGAGGCACGCGCGGCTTGTGCTCCACGCGAGACACCCACGCAGCGTTGCCGTTGTGCGATTCCGGGGTTGCGACCAGAGAGGCTACCCCGCAGGGGCTGGACGCGCGCCTCGTCGGTCGCCAGCCAGTTGCAGCGCTGCGCAGCCAGACTGCTTCGGAGTTTCCGAGAGGCTTGCCCACGCCCCGTGATCGCGCGCTGTACGATGCCATGGTCTGGTTGTACGACTCGGAGGCACTCTTGGTCGCCGCTCCTTTGATGCGAGAAACCGCCTGTTGCGGTTGGATTCGGCGATATCGTAGGATTCAACGCCCAAAACGCTGGTCGTGGCTGTGGCCCCGCCATCTGAGATCGCCGTGGACCCGCTAATATCATAAACTCCAAGACTAACGATTCCACGGCACGTTTGTGCGGCTTCTGCAGCTGGAGGGACGGGGCCGTGGCATGGCCGTGTCCAATGCCGGAATTGCACCGAGCGTTGTGTTGAGTGCGGCCGCGGATTTTAAGAATGTAATTTAGAGGCTACGGGTGATGTAGACTGCATCTTTCATCAAGTGCTTTACTCATGGCACTTGTGAGCGGCTTGTTGAAGGTACTATTCAGCCTGAGCGTTTGAGCTCGCGATCAGCAATTGCACTTTAGACTGAGTCCTTCCGACATGCGCAAGACGCACGCGGCTAAAGGAATGCGAACAACAGTGAACTCGCTGTAGCCGATACGCAATCAATAGGACCGATATGTCTATCAGACCGTACGGTGAGGCTAGCCAGGAGACATACAGGGAGGTTCCCAACAAGCAAGACGCAATGCGCCCCGCATGTTTCTCTACCCACCCATGCCATCCCAAATGTTGGTCAGGCAGATTCAAATTCAAACCAAAGGTATCCTTCCCATTCCGAAAACGCCATTTACCCCCAACCCCTAGTTTGTCGTTGAGAGAATCACTGCTGCACCTGGCTCACGTGCCCGCCGTGCGCAGGGCCGCCCCATTCGCTCTCATCGTCGCTGCCCACATCTGTCCAGCTTGACGGCGTCATGATGCCCCTATTCTCTCCCACCTCGCTGAAACCGGCTTCCGAAAACCCTGCCTCCGTGAAGCCAGACTCGGAGAAGGTGTCAGAGCGTGCATCGTGGTCAGAGTCGTTCTGCATGCTCAAGATTCCAATGTCGTCGGCCTGGCTGCCGACTACGGATGCTCCTGTGAGGAAGCCGGAGCGGTCCGAGCGCGGCGTGAGGGTGCCAGTGGAAATGACTTCTGCTTCGTCGTCCGAGTGAGTTTCGTGAGCTTCGGAGGTGAAGGAGTAGAACGATTGGGCGGCCTGGTCACCGGCTTCCGAGGCAGGGATTGACGCGGTCTGAGGGTCCTCAGGGTTTTGGTAGACGGACTCGGGGGTGAGATCGATGAGCTGTGCTGTGATAGGCGAGGCAACGGGCTCAGCTTCCACGGTGGCGGAGCTTTCGCGGGTATCGGGTTCGGTGTAGATGAAGGGTTTTGGCGAGTGGGCTTCTTCCTCGTCGCGGTCGAAGAGGACATGGTCGTCGGAAAAGGGGTTCGCCACAGCGGCGGCAGCGACAGAGCCAGCCGCGAAACCAGCCGCCCCACGGTGTCGCAGTGTACTGCCCGAGGCATCGTTGCCGGTAGCGATTTGAGTGGTTGAGGTGTCCTTTTTAAGCATGCCGTCGCTGCCGACAAGGTCATCGAAGCTTTTCTGGCTCGCGTTTGTCCTCCTGCGCTGTCGACGCTCCGTCAACTCGACCGTTTCCTCTCCGATGCGTGCAAGCTCGTCCAGGTCTACCGCGATACCCTCCTCCCGTGCGCGCCTGATCAGTTCGTTGCGGTTCCTCCTGATGATTTCTTCCCTCTGTCGGCGCTTGCGTTCGTTGAAGTCGTCAGACGATTCGGACGGGCGACGGGGCTGCATCTCATCGCCGAGCGAGTGCAGCGCTATAGCGATCTTTCGGCGGCTCTGGTCGACCCATTGTCGGACCTGGGGAGACTCGTAGATGGCGATTCCGGCCGCGACAAGGACCGAGGCGGCGATGATAAGGCCTGTGGAGAACGGGTGGTTAGGCCTCTGTGGCGCGTGACGAGCGTGATATACAGGAGAAGCTGGACGAGCGCTGGAGCCGGGTCCTGCAAGCAGGTTGGCACTGGCAATGAAATAGAAGAGACGTGGGAAAGCAAGCAGGAGCGTTGTGTGAGGTACAGGGTGGTGTCGCGGCACAGCAGCGAGATGCATGAGCTTTGGGTGGGCTTACCTTTGGCTAGTGGCGCAGGCATCGTGGCAGCTCCTCTGCTGGTTACTTGGACGGCGAATGGCGTGGTGGTGCACGCTGCTGGACTAGTAGTAGTATAGAGGACTTCTAGGTAGTGTATACAGAACAGCCTGGCGGCTTCAACAAGGAGTGAGCAGGCGCGCTCGAGGCAGTGTCGTCGTAAGTGTTACCGCCACCCACCTAAAGTCCGAGCGCAGCCGTCCAACATGGGTCGAGGCGGGGCTTTCGGTCACCGGCCCGCGCTGTGCCTGTACTAGCCTCATCAACCATTTATGGAGAATTGGATTTCCTCCGGGTAACCAAATCTGCATTGGAGTCTATACGTTGATATCACATGTAAACGCTAAATACACATCTTGCCTTTCTATGACCTGACCCAAATGGTATGTACAGCTGAAAAAAAATCACGCTCGATGGTCCTCGAGCTCTTCGGCCTTGCGCTTTACCGACTCAGTCTGTATCGCCCACAAGCACGCCACAATGCCCAACGCACTCGAGACCAAAGTGACGTAGTACGCCGCCTTGTAGCATACGATGCCCTCGTCGCAGTTGAACTCGCCACCAGCCTGAACTTCAGAGTGCGAGTCGTACACCGCACCGTAGAACAGGTTGAAGATGTTTCCGCTCACAACGGGTGCGAGCGTCATGACGCCCCAGTTGACGGCGAAATTGTCAGGACCGAACGCATCTACTACCACGGCCGGAAGCACGCCAAAGAGAATGCCGTATGCCAGCCCACAAAGTCCTGACACCGCCCACAAGTGGTTGGGATTCTCGATACGCGTCGCGCAGATCTGGGCAACCAGAAATACGGCAGCCGCTACGACGACGCACCAAAAGCGAGACCCGCTCAGTCGCTTCACGATGACATCGGAACCAATGCCGGATAATAAACGCCCCGAGAAGGAGCCCAGCGAGATGATGGAGACGTGCCAGAGTTGGCGGTGAGCAACGAAGTCCTTGCTGGCGGTGGGATCCCAGTGGTTCCATAGTGCTTGCGCGTCATGCCCAACATTGCTGCTATCGTTAGTGGTTTATACATAGCCACCATCGGTTCACTCACTTGATGGTCATCAATCCGACCCCAGTTAGCAGCCCCATAATGACCCAGATCTGCCAGAACTCGAACTTGTATAGCAAGGCCAATCCAGTAACATCTAAACAATGTGAGTGATTCGATTTCCTACTATGCCTACTAGCTGCATCGTCCTCTGGAAGTATATCGCCAGGTCCAGACAAGAGGGAGGAGGTTTCATCTGAATCGTCATCCCGTTCGTCATTGTCTGGTTGAAACGGTTGGCAAAGACAAGGGGCGCTTGGAAGTGGAAAGAAAGGCATTGCTTACTGGGCTCCAGCTGGGGTATTGAAGAGCTGCTGTATCGGCTGCTGTGTTTGCTTCTGTTAGAACTGGTTTGATGCAGGACGTTGGAATTGCGTCGGGTGCGCTCGTTGGAGGGCAGAACAGCATAGCCTGTACCAGTCTTGTGGTCGACAACGTGGAGGAAGGGCAGCGCAGCCAACACGACCATTGACGTCCCAAAGGAGAGCAACGCAAGTAGACTGGAAGTGTTTCCCGGAAACGCTATGCCGGCAATGAAGGTATAGAAGAAGGCGCTCAAGCCAAACGCGGCTAGAGGGAATGCTGTAGCCGTGCCTCTGTGGGTTGGCCAGTTGAGAGTGGCCACCTTCATGGCGGCTTGAAACGCAGAGCAACTCCCCACGCCACTGAGAAATGAGCAGAAAGAGAGGATAGCTACGCTCATGGAGCCAGCTCCGTCATCATAGGCTTCAGCTGTCAGCTTCGGACGTCTCCCCGCTAGCAGCCAACATACCGATGCGAATGGGATAGTATCCCGCGAATAGGGCGAACACCCCAATGAGGGCAGCAAGACGAGGGCTCTTCCTGTCTGTAATCATGCCTACTGGTATGCCCGCAGCATACATGCCCATGTTCCCGGCGGTTCCCTGGCAATGTGGTGAGCTGGAGTTTCGGTAGTTTCGGACGAGGGTCGTACGATGATGTTGCTCTGTGTGGTGGAGAGCTGGAGCTTCTCGGCAAACTGCGGTGCCCATGCGGAATAGGCATACTGGTACATGTCAGCTCTGGATACGAGCTGCAATCCGCTATGCGCAAACATACATTCGTTCCACAGGCTAGAGCGATGGCGGTCGCTGCGACAACGGATACTATCCGTGTCTTTTGGTGTGTCGGCTTCTCGGATACGGCCATTGTGCTCAGTGTGAGCAGACGTAGGCTTTGGTTATCGTGATATCATAGGGCGCGGAGCTGGAGTGGGGAATAATCGCGCAGGATGTCAAGTTTGGAGACAGATGAGGGCCCGACGATGATGGTGGGGTTCTATGGACAGAAGAAAAGATAGGAAAAGAGCAAGTGAATGTACAAAACGAGAAAGCAGGATCTATAGTGTTCACGGTGCAATGCGAGAAACAAATAGCGCGACGTTGAAGTTCGGGGGTGCATCCGATCGGAGATAAGCAGGCGCCAGGCGTGCCAAGCTACGTCGCAAGAACAGTGCATGTGCCTGCGTCACAGCGCGCGACCTTGACGCCTCACCCTCAACACGACACACGACACCACGGCATCGCAACCATGGGCGCATTGCTGTCGATCCCGATGTTGGCCCTGCCGAGCGTCGGCACGGTGAGTACCGCGCGCTCTCCGTCGTCGTTGCACCGCTAACGTGCCCAGCTCTGGGGTGTTGCCGCCTCATGCTGCGGAGCAGCCACCTGTAGCGCCGTCTTTGGCTCCTGCGGTGGAAAGTGTGGAAATAGCATTGCTACTCGAATCGCATACGCCCTCATACTCCTCTTCAACTCGATTGTCTCGTGGATCATGCTCACCGACTGGGCCATGAAGAAGCTCTCGCACCTCACCCTGGACTACGTCGACATCAAGTGCCACGGCGAGCAATGCTATGGATACGTTGCGGTCCAGCGCATCAACTTTGCGCTCGGTTTCTTCCACGTCATAATGGCCGTGATGCTCATCGGCGTGCGGAGCTCCAAGGACGGCCGCGCGCCCATCCAGAACGGCTTCTGGGGTCCCAAGATCATCGCCTGGCTGGCCATGGTGGTCTTGACCTTCTTCATTCCGAACTCCTTCTTCATCGTCTGGGGCAACTACTTCGCCATGATTGGCGCCTGCCTCTTCCTCCTCATCGGCTTGATCCTGCTCGTCGACCTGGCGCACAACTGGGCAGAGTACTGCCAGGAGAAGATCGAGGTCACCGAGTCTAGAGTGTGGACTGGAATGCTCGTAGGATCGGCGCTGTTCATGTATATGTCTTCATTCGCTATGACTGTGGTCATGTATATCTTCTTTGCCAGGAGCGGATGCGGCATGAACCAGGCCGCCATTACCGTGAGTATAAACACTATGTTCTGAAGTTGCGTGTGCTGACTGTCCTAGATCAACCTGATCTTGCTACTTCTGTCATCCATCGTATCGATCCACCCAGCTGTTCAGAACGTCAATCCGCGTGCCGGCCTTGCTCAGTCCGCGATTGTCGCCATCTACTGCACATATCTCACCATGTCTGCAGTCGGCATGGAGCCCGACGACCACCAATGCAACCCGCTCATCCGCGCTCGGGGCACCCGTAAAGCAACCATTATCATCGGCGCCATTGTGACCTTCGTCACCGTTGCCTACACCACGACACGTGCGGCTACTTACGGCCTGGCTCTTGGCGCCCAAGGCAACTCCTACGGAAACGGATACACCCAAGTAGGAACCGAAGATTACGAACACGGTCTCGTGACCCAGCAGCCCGAATCCCGCCGTGAGATGCGCGCTGCCGCTCTCCGTGCCGCTGTCGAGTCTGGATCCCTCCCCGCATCCGCGCTCGACGAGTCAGACAGTGACGATGAGGATGAGGGACCATCAAAGGCCCCACGGGACGATGAACGCAATGCGACACAATACAACTACACGCTCTTCCACGTCATTTTCTTCCTCAGCACGACTTGGGTTGCCACACTTCTGACCACTAACTTTGATGAGAAGGACATGCAGAACGACTTTGTGCCCGTCGGCAGGACGTACTGGGCCAGTTGGGCGAAGATTATCAGTGCTTGGGTTTGCTACGGAATCTATACATGGAGTTTGGTGGCTCCGCTCGTTCTGCCGGAACGGTTCGATTACTAGCATCGGGGTGGGGAACTTATGTATGGTGCGGCATTATATCGTTTGATGTTACTCTTGCGTTTGGCTTTTCTCTTGGTTTTGAATTGTTTTAGGCGCGAGACCTTCGCTAGAAGCATATACCCAATAATGACCTCTTTTAATACGCGCGCATCGTATGAAATCAGTAAAGCATCATTCAACGTAAATCGTCCCTCACGATTTGACAGTTGCCAGAGTAGGATTGAGATAGGATCGTGTTTGGCATCTATCCAATCGGACTTAGTCCAACGGCCGTTGCAATGACCGAAGTGTTGCCCCGCAGCAAAGGTGGAGGTGGAGGTGGAGCTCTGTGCCTCGGCTTACTTCGGTTTGAGATCGCTTTCCGCGTGTGCGAACATCATGAATCTCGAGGGCTACAATGCAACAGTAAACTTAATCATAGAACGCTTATACCTCCATATCTATCGATTGATGACCACCTAAGCATAGACGAACAACCTTCATCTCAAAGCAGAGCTCCAGCTTACCTCACCTACACAATGCCTTCCGCAATCGCCATCAAACAAGTCCCTGGCAAACCAGGCCAAGTCTACTACCCCCTCGAGAAGATCACTATCCCCGAACCAAGACCCTCAGAAAACGAAGTTCGTCTTCCTCAGCCCAGCTGTCGAAGAACCTTACTAACCTCCTCAACAGGCTGTCATCTCCCTCACCGCCGCCGCCCTTAACCACCGCGACCTCTTCATCCGCCAACACCTCTACCCCGGAACTGCCTTCGGCGTGCCCCTCCTCGCCGACGGCGTCGGCGTCGTTACGCGAACCGGCTCCTCCGCCGCAGCACAGAAATGGAACGGAAAGCGCGTCCTCCTGAATCCCGGGACAGGCTGGAAAGACAGCCCCGACGGCCCCGAGCACCCCAAGGGCTACGCCATCATGGGCGGGACAAAGTCCAATCCCGCGGGAACGCTCGCTGACGTTGCGACGCTGGATTCGGGGGAGCTAGAGGCGTGTCCGGAACATTTGAGCGACGAGGAGGCCGCCGCGCTGCCGCTGACGGGGTTGACGGCATGGCGCGCGTTTTTCGTCAAGTCAGGCAATGCGCTTCCGGGCAGGAACATCTTTGTGACTGGGATTGGCGGCGGCGTTGCGCTAATGGTGTTGCTGTTCGGAGTGGCGCAGGGGTGCAATGTTTATGTTAGCAGCGGGGATCAGAAGAAGATTGACAAGGCTATCAAACTGGGCGCGAAGGGAGGTGTCAACTACAAAGAGGAAGGGTGGGAAAAGAAGCTTAGGGCGAGCCTACCCAAGGATAGGCCGTACTTTGATGCGATTGTGGACGGCGCAGGTGGGGATATTGTGGCGAAGGGGACCAAGTTGTTGAAGGTATGGTCCAACTTGATCCCGCTGGTGAGAGGATAGTACTGACGCTGTGTTTAGGCTGGAGGTGTCATCTCCATCTACGGCATGACCGTATCCCCGAAGATGAACTTCCTCATGACGGCCGTGCTCAGCAATATCGAGGTCCGCGGCTCTACTATGGGTTCGCGGAAGGAGTTCGCAGAAATGGTGCAGTTTGTGCGCGAGAAGAAGATCAGGCCGATTGTTAGCAGGAGTGTGCATGGTATGGATATTGGGCAGTTGGATGATCTGTTCGAGGATATGAAGAATGCGACGCAGTTTGGAAAACTGGTGGTCACGCTCGGCGAGAAGGGGAAGGCGAGTAAGTTGTAGTGGACGTGAAGACTGGAGCAGAGTCGAGAATGTGAGCCAATTAACGTGTGGGTATCGTGGCGATTGAAATAACAGTAAACATTGTGAGTGCTTACCAACAACAACCTATAGAAGTCGTGCGTAATGAAAACGAAGAAGGTACTGTGACAACAGGCAGGCGCGCTCCCCGGCATCGTTGAGCCTTTCTCATTCACGTGCTTCGGGCTGTATTTACCGAATTTCGAAGATGATCGTGTAACATTATGCGGACAGTTTTCGATTTCGCTTGTTTTGTGCACTCTGGTTACTACGACCCCATTGCGGACCTGTGGTGCCTGGTCTTATTCAGGAAACGCCCTCAAGAGACAGGCGCAGAGAGGATCAAGAGCAAGAAAGTGCGATCAGGTGGTTCCGTTTGCGAGGTGGAGTTCTTAGGAAGCATGTACTCTCTGACGGCGCTCTTGTTGTCTGAGGCAGCCATGGTGCTGCTTCGACCTGATAGCGAGATCTCCTCACACCTGCTACGCTGGGGGACCAGCACGCGGAGCGGGTGCATACTACGGGTCTGATCGTGCGAACCACACTCGTCAACCGATAGAGTCCCACCATATATCATTTTGCTTCACTGGGCCGGGCAGACACTCTCCGTCGACTCTCTCGTTATATTGACTTTGCTTCGGAGTTTGTCGTCCTTGCAATGGTGCCACATTCCATTGTGTACTCGTGCCGAGAGAAGCCCTGGACGTGAACAACATTGTGCCGCAACTGTTTTGAGATGTACCTTCACCAGCTTAGCGTACCTTCCAGTCTCGACAGCGTGGGAAGGCGCGTCTTCTTGTTTACATGAAGCTTACACAGGTAAGCTGTCTTTACACAAACACCTTCACTATTCCAGTTCTGGCCCCTCGAGAAGGACCTCACGATGAAGCTCGCCTTGTGGGCGGTATTGGCCTTCTTGGCCATCGCACTCGCGTTACAGGATCAACTTCGATACAATCAAACTGGCGGTGATGATCTTGACGGTATCAACGTGACGCGTAGGTGGTAAGTCTCGCCATTAGATGGATCTCCGGGGCAAACATTTGATGCGTCGGCTGGCAGGAACGATCCACCGCCACAGATTCCGTCTGACCAAGTCTGGAACAACGCGCTCTGCAAAGGCCACAACCTCTGGATGGACATGTTCAAAGACAATGGACAAATTGACCCCCGTATGATAAAGACATGGGAACTACAAGAGACAGCGGCGTGGGGCTACAGGATCCAATACCGCCTCCTTCCTCAACAGCGCAACCTTGGAGGGCTTGGCCTTCCACCCAGCAACTATGGTATAGCAAGGGCGCTCGCCAGTCTCGGAAAATCGGATAGAGACAGACAAGACGGAGGGCTGATTGTGATGTGCGAGATCTTCCATTGGAACCCAGATCAACTGAGGCAGGTTCCCCCAATCCCTATCGATCAACAAACATATGCCAAGCCTTCAAATCCCGTTTGGAGACCGCCACCCCAGAACGGGCCGCGCAACAGGTACACAGGAATGTCTTCACAATGGGGTTACAGTGTCGCCGACGGTGTCATCATCAACACGAACATCAAGAGCGCGATATCTGCTGCCAGGGAACGCAACCCACCAGTCCCATTTAACGATCTTCCTGAGATACGCACGTTGTCGGACCTGCAATTCACTGTCTGGGAGGAAGAAGCGAGCTACATAAACGACAACGCAGTCAATAACCTTCAGTGGTACTTCGTGGCAAGCATCCTCAACGAAGAGGCCCGGCAAATCATCAAAGGGGCGCTCATGCAATTGAACCAAGGAATCGATCAGCCGCTGCGTCCATGGCCTGGACTTTGGGTTCCTATCACCGTGGATGCTGGTCGAGCTATACTGGGCAGTCCGGTTGGGAAGACACTCGGCTACTTTCTCGTGCAGCACAAGCAAAAGTTGGGTAACATGTGGGTCGATGGCGTGGTGATCTTCCAAGGAGATACAATGCACGGGTCTGCGTGTCTGGCGTTTCACATACGGCAGCCTGCGCCTAGGCCTCTGACGATCCTTGAGATCAATCCTTTGGATCCGATCGGTGACCCTATGGGCGGACCACAGAGGCTTATTCCAGATCCGCGGGTTTAGCTTTATGGGACTTGCAAGATCACAAGGCTCCGAACGTTTCGGTCAATCACATAAAGGTGACATGAGGATGAGCGGACAAGTTTGCGGTGGGACTGGCTCTAGATTCCTTGGTGCATCCACAGTGGAAGGGGCCGGGATGATGAAACCTGTGACATGGTAATCAGGCTTTGGTTGAGCCCAAAGAGGTATGCCATTTGGGGTCACAACTATCAAAGTAGATATCATATCAAGTCGATTGACACTCCTCAAAGGGACAAGCCCTCTCCCAAGTCCACCACCTGAGTGCAGTCTAAGCCTTTCACTCTGCAACACGAATTGTCTCAGGCTCTCAGGAGCATGCAACTCCACTCGGCACATTCGTACACTTGGCATACTTCTTGCCACCAGTAACCACAACATTGCTCCACGTCCACCCAGTGCAAGCTCCACTGCCGCAGGTCACAACCACATCGTATCCTGAGCTCGACACAGCGCCGCTACCTGAGATGTTCTCGATGGTTAAGCCGGTAATGGGAATCCCGGATGAAGCGGTGCCGCCGTCGAGATCGCCGCCATCATAGTTCTGCTCGATGAGAATGCCGTATCTGCGAGGTATGAGCGGGTTTGCGACAACAAAAAGGCTGCAGAATCTGAAACGTACTTTGAGATTGAGGCGAGGGTGATCTTGTTGTATGTCACGCCTTTGATGGTGCCTGTGTCGTTCTCTATACCTTTGATGCGGATGCCTGACACTCGTTAGAACATTGCAAGAGAATTGCGAAGTTGCATACCATTGACCGAGTTCTTAACCTCGCTGTTGTAGAACGTCACCGTGTCCACAACATTGTTGTCACGTCCACCTACAGAGCCAATCGACAGCCCGTGTCCACCAGAGCAGACGCCGTTCTGGAATGTGATATCCTATCGATGGATGTCAGTATCTGGCGGCTGACCTTGACAACCAACACAGTCGTGATGCGACTCACAGTTCCGGAGTTGATAGCCACACAATCATCCTGGTTGTACACGTTCGCCCCGTCAATAACAACGTTTGTGCTGCTTCCGATATCGAACCCGTCGGTGTTCTTGCCCTGGCTGTCTCCGGCAGAACTGTCGATTGTCATGCCCGTGATAGTCAGACCATTCGCACCGTTGATACTGACAGCCTGGACCGGCGTGTTCTGAATGTGCAAGTTGGTGATGGACGAGCTGATTAGATTGTGAGCGGCAAAGAACTTCGGCTTGGTCTTTCCACTGCTGCCGCCTCCGCCGTCCCACCAACGGGCACCGTCGGGGTTGAGGAGCGCGCCTGAGGCACCGGAGATTTTGATCCCGGTACCTTGGATTTGGAGGAGGGGTCCGGCCCATTCTTTGTAGCCCCAGGTGGTGGTGCCTTGGAAGATGACCTGCGATCGTAGGTGTCAGTGAACTGCGTCTCTGCTTCTGGCTTGATCAAGTCCCGACAATTAGGAGGAACCAAAGAGGATGGTAGCATGTAGGAAGCTTACTGACCGAAGTATCATCAGGAAGCTTCGACAAATCCAGGGTCACGCCAGACGGAACGGCGACATTGGACAGCACGATGGTCGAGCACGCTGTCTGACTCGCACTTGCGGATGCAGCACCATTAGACCCCGAAAAGGTACAGCTGGTAGCACGCTTGGCAACAGGGGCCTTTGGAGCCGGAGTTATGGCTGGCTGGGCTACAGGCGAAGCATTGCCTAGGACGGCCAAGGAAGCCAGGAGGGCAGGAAACACGAATACCATGATAAAGAAACGCTGGTGATTGCTGCGACTGAAGTCTTGGTCTGCAGGACAAGCACTCTTGGCTCCAGCACAAGCTTTTATATGTCGACATCTTCATACAACAGTTAGAGTGTCGTGAAGGACAAGAATTTCCGGAGGTGAAGAGTGATTCCTCCAGTCAGAGAGTGGACGCGTAACACTGGCGCTTTTAATCTATCACAGTGGGTTGGTGTGGCTTTTGAACGCAGTGCACGCGTGCTGTTCTGCACGGGAGGTAAGTACAGAACAAGATGCAGTCTGGGGTATGTGGAGCGATACTTGTGTCCGGTGATTCTTTTGCGGTTAGTCTTACGACCCACCCCCGCAAGTCTATAATGCCGTGGCATTAATTTTCCGGCGCTAGCTCTCCACATGTTCGATTGGTAGCGGAGAAGGGGGAGTTGTACTCACGTGGACGGAGAAAGAGCTGGTCGACTACCTTCCACGAATCATCGCACTTGGTACGAAGCATGCATTGTGTCGAGATACGTTCTCCCAAGCGTCTGTTGTTGCTGCGTCAACTCTCACCCATTCGACACAATTCAAAGGACCTAAGTATCAGTGCAGACACCCGTTCGATACATGCAGCAGCTCATGATGGTATTTAAAAAGTTTAGGAATGTCAAAACGCGAATAGAGACCTTTCGGGTTGTCAACGATGAGCCGCTGTGGTGCCAGATTGGACTAGCCCGTTTTAGCTCCCCACAGAAGACTCCCGCCCCGCGTCTTGTCGCTCCGCTGAAGACAGAACGAAACGTTATAGGCCAAGCAGAGATCGAGCTGGTCTTGAAATAAAACAATTTTTGAGCGAGTCAAATCTCCGAACTCATCACCTTTCGGTTCACTTTAACGTTCACCATGCCGTCCTTGAACTCCTCTGACATCATCGATGTGTTGGTCGTTGGAGGCGGCAACGCAGGCTTCTCCGCAGCAATTTCCGCCGCAGAGTCTGGCGCAAAACGCGTGGTTGTAATCGACAAATGCCCTAAAGACTGGGCAGGAGGAAATTCGTACTTCACCGCGGGCGCCTTCCGTACAGCATACACCGGAGCCCGGGACTTGATCCCCATCGTGAACAATGTCGATTCCGAGACGGCCAAAATCATCGATATGGAACCCTACACGCCGCAAGACTTTCGGAAAGATATGGACCGCATGACTTCGGGACGTACAGACCCGGCCTTGAGCCAGGCGCTGATTGACGAGTCGAATGCAACTGTCAAGTGGCTTGCGAAGCATGGAGTCCGGTTCCAACTTTCGTTCAACAGGCAGGCATACAAGGTCGACGGTCGATATAAGTTCTGGGGTGGCATGTCGTTGAAAACAGAAGATGGAGGGAAAGGATTGATCCAAGACCACCAAGCCGCAGCTCGGAAACTTGGGGTGAGGGTTTACTACTCCACTCCAGCGAAACGACTTGTTACAAACAATTATGGGGCAGTGACTGGTGTTGTTGTGACCTACGAGGGTGTTGAAACTTTGCTCCGCGTTAGCTCAGTCATTCTCGCAGCTGGCGGGTTCGAAGCGAACCCGCGTATGCGATCCCAGTTTCTCGGTCCCGGTTGGGATCTTGCGCACGTGCGAGGTACCCCATTCAATACTGGTGATGCGTTGGAGTTCGCGATTCGCGACGTAAACGCGAAGCAAGCAGGCAATTGGTCCGGGTGCCACTCAACATGCTGGGACGCTAATTCGCCAACCGACAGTGGCGATCGGGTCATCTCAAACGAGTTCACCAAGTCCGGATATCCCTTAGGAATTATGATAAACACTGAAGGACATCGCTTTGTCGACGAAGGTATCGACATGCGCAATTATACATATGCCAAGTTCGGACGCGCAATACGCGAGCAACCGGATGGAATCGCATTTCAGGTGTGGGACCAGCACGCGATCCCGTGGTTACGAAGCGAGGAATATCGTGATGAGGTCGTGCGAAAAGTATGGGGTTCTACTCTGAAAGAGCTCGCGCAGAAGCTAGCCACGGACCATAACCTTGCAGACCCATACACATTCGTCCAAACGATCCAAGACTACAACAATGCGGTATACGCAAACAGGAAAGAAAAAGGGAACCAGAAGTGGGACCCCTCAGTCAAGGACGGGCTCTCCACACAGTCTTCAGCAAGACGCCTGCCACTGGCGAAGTCAAATTGGGCGTTACCCATAGACCAAGGTCCCTTTATGGCGGTAAAAGTATGTTGCGGTATTACCTTCACTTTTGGCGGTCTCGCTGTAAATCCGGATACAACCGCTGTTATTTCGAGCGCTGGTCATGAGGTAGAAGGTCTCTACTGTGTCGGCGAGATGCTAGGTGGCCTCTTCTACGGCAACTATCCTGGAGGTAGTGGGCTGACCTCAGGTGCTGTGTTCGGCAGAAGAGCAGGGAGGGCTGCTGCTCTAGGTGCGCAGCGTAATCAGTTAGGTGAGATGGGCGGAGCTCAGCGAGCACGCTTGTAGCTTTATCCCCGGCGAAACTATAACACAAAACTTTGACTTATCGTCGAGCGTCAGGCTATACCCTGTGTTGCGTTGCCGACGATCCTGCTAGCTCTAAGGTCATTTCCATATTAATGTTAAGCATGGGCAGAGGTCCGCGAGTCACTTCAGGATATACTTACCTCAATATGGAGGAATAGTCTATATCGAAAGCCTCTAGGTTGACTTTCGCCGTAAAATCTTGGAATTTTCGTCTTTCCGTTGTATGTTTGATGTACTGACTGCTAAACGTAATGCTCTTTGATACTATTTGTCATAGATACTCAGCACGAGCACTTTGTGATAGGATATGACGAAGATGGCAATCCTTTGAATCGTACGAAGCATATGTGCTTCTTCGTCGAATTTCCATTGCGTTGTCGCGTTGTACAGAACAGAAGCCGTTTCGCTTCGGTGTTTATATCCGCAGCACACGTCCGCTCTAGTGCTAGCGCTGCACGTCGGAAAAGGTGCATTGGCGGCCGCCGCAAACGACCGACCCCAACGGTCCAAAGAGTCATCATGTTCGGCTTCTATCACCGACTCGTTTTCCAGGACATTCGGTTGCCGTGTTGAAGTGCCAAACGTCCAGTCGACCATAAATTGGGTATTGAAGTGCGCAAGGCCTCGCAGCAAAAGCAATTCGTGATCACAATACTCATCCACACCTGCAACAATGGCTTCTACCTCGGCTTTCGACTCTAGCACCCTCTTTAGGGTTGATGGCATTGTCGCCGTCATCACCGGAGGTGGCAGTGGTCAGTGTTGTGGTCTCAGAACCCACCCATCCTCATTGCTGATTTGGAGACAGGTATTGGTTTGATGATGACGCGTGCACTAGCGTTCAACGGTGCAAAGAAGGTCTACATCATCGGACGACGTCTTGAGAAACTTGAAGAGGCTGCCAAGGAGCACGAGAGCATCATACCAATTCAAGGCGATGTGACCTCAAAACAAGATCTTCAAGGCGCCGTTGACAGAATCACTAGCGAGGTTGGCTATGTCAACCTTATCATCGCCAACTCTGGCGATATTGGGCCCCCAGTCCGATACAACCCAGACGACTCAATTAAAGAACTCCGTGAGAAACTCTTCACGAACTTCAAACCGGAAGACATGACGAATACGTTGAACCTTAATGTCACTGCTGCATTTTTCACTATGACGGCCTTTATTGAGCTTCTTGATGCTGGCAATAAACAGGCACTTTCGGGTGGGTTTGGAAAACCCGCAGAGGGTAGCAAGGTACCTTTGATCCAGAGCCAGGTCATCTTCACGAGCAGCATATCGGCGTTCAGCAGGCACTCGTCCTCATCAGTTCCGTATGCTGCCAGTAAGGTGGCCATCATGCAGATCGCGAAACACTCCAGTTCCCAGCTGTCTCGCTACGGTATCCGCGTGAACGCCCTCGCGCCGGGCCGTAAGTTCCCATGCTCGCGCACTTCTACACTCTGTAAAGGATAGCTAGCTAACAGCCTGCTACTAGTCTTTCCGTCAGAGCTGGCTTCCGTTCTGATCAACACAAGAAAGCCTGAAGAAGAGTCGCCAAGTGATCCAAGGTTCACCCCTTCGCGGCGCTTTGGAACGGACGAGGAGATGGCTGGCGCCATACTCTATCTAGCCAGTCGAGCGGGTGCTTTTACCAATGGGACCGTCTTCACGCTGGATGGTGGCCGGTTGTCAGTCATTCCGAGCACATACTAGATAGATGCGTGGATCAATTATCACCTCCTTCCGCTAGAACATCTCTTCTTAGATGATGTCTGGACACCTAGACTATGGCAGATGGGGCACATGAATCAATTGAGTGGCTGTGAATGGAAAATAAGGAGCTTCCTGTCCGTGACAGACTTGTACTTCGTCGGGGTGCCAAGATGTCGAGCGTTGAGACGTGCGCAGGTGCAGGTGCCGACTAATGTAGGTGATATGAGGTACACCTAGGCATGGAACCGCGACCACGATCACATAATCCGCCAATGTGAGTGTGTCATTAGCGTTCAAAACCAACAATACCCTAATTCGAGAAACAATTGTGGGCCATGCGGGCAAGTCCTGCTCAGCATGAGCGGGGCTGCGGCTGCACGGCGGTTCTTGGTCGACGTCTTCTGAGTACGAGCAATGGATATCTCGCATTGGCTCCTGATGACACGACCGAGGGTTACGTGATAGGGTTGATAGCTGGAGGGAGGTTGCCTTATATTCTTGGTCTGCATCAACGTAAGCGCCGGAATCAGGGGTCTAGTGCAATCTACGAATTCCTTGGCGATGCCTACGTTTTTGGTATCATGGATGGGGAGGCTTTGCCTGAAGACGAATTAAACTTGTAGTTTAATCGAAGCTAGTAGAGCTAACTGATAATTCAACTTTCAATCCTAACGTACGTCCGTCTCTCACGAAACACCCATTGTGCCGAAACAAAACCCTCTAGTAGTGCAATTCATAGATTTGTTCGTCGATTCCTGGGTCTACAAAGCCTGCCTATACATCATATAGCCCGCAATTTCTACTTTACACCAGTCGTTCTACGGAGAGACCATGTTGTGAGCGTGCTGTCGACCGCTCCATTCATGGCGACTTTTTGCGTCTCAAGTTCGAAGTCCCGTCTAGGCAGCATGTCAAAGAGATATTCGATCTCGGAGGCATAGCAAGGAATAGAAACTTATAAAGTCTGTCCTTGTGAAGTTTGCAGAGCTGAACACGCAAGGTTGCAAAGTCCCAAAGCTCCAAATGGTAGGAGTAGTTTCAAGCGCAAGGGATCGGCGGCAGGGCATACATTATGTCATGTATCTTAATACGACGCCATGCCCAATCCACTAGCGTCTCGGCAGACCAGGACGTAAGCCATTAATGTGATGCCTTTCTATTTTTAGTCCGCTTCTGTTTGGTTCTAAGCTAGCGCATGGGGTTCCGAGACACCCGGGGATATGAGACACCGCGCAGAAATCCTCCACCCTTCAAACAATCGCGATATCTCCACATCCACCCTGCCAAAATGGCCAACCGTGAGGCTGCATTTCAAGCAGCTATTAG